CGTGGCACCTCATGGAGACGGGCGCGGCCGCGTTCGAGGACGGCACTGTTGATTTCTTGTCCATCCCCGACGTCACCGTCGGCCTCGACTGGATCACGCGCGTCGGCGTGGACACGGTGGCGACGCGCGTGCGCTGCCTGACCGGGTGGCTGCTCGAGGGCCTGCGGGCGCTGACGCACAGCGACGGCGCGAAGCTGGTGGTCTGCTACGGGCCGGCCGGCGTGCGCGACCGCGGCGGCACCGTGTGCTTCAATATTCTCGACCGCCACGGCGTCGTGCTCGACGAGCGCCGAGTCGCGGCCGAGTCGGCCGCCGCGGGCATCTCCCTGCGCACCGGCTGCTTCTGCAACCCGGGGGCCGGCGAGGCGGCGCTGGGCATCACGGGCGGCATCCTGGCGCGCGGACGGGCGGCGGCGGCGGCGGCGTCGTCCTCGTCGTATCAGGACTTTGTCGGCGCCTTGGAAGACGGCGGGGTGCCGGCCGTTGGGGCCGTTCGCGTTTCACTTGGCATCGCGTCGGTGGCGGCCGACGTTGAGTACTTGGTGGCGTTTGTGGAGGCGACGTATCGGGACAGGGCGTCGACGACCACGGACCTTGCGCCACGGGAGGGGTGTTAATAAAAGGCGTTGAGACATTGTGCAGGCCTTTTCAAACATCACTCTTCGGTGTAGAAAGGTGTCTAGCGGTCACTTCGGGGGCGGTTTCCCGTCTGGGGGATTGGAGCGCCAAGAAGTGACCTATTGCCGAAGTCCCCACCCTTGCTGCGCGATGCACGGCACAGCATTTTTCGGGTCCAATAATAGTTGATGTATATAAGCAGATGCCCTGCGCTGCTTGCGATAATGAGCGCTAATTCATGTCGGCGGTCCGTTTGTATCCACTGCCCTGCTCTCGAGGTCGCTGTCGATCAAGGCATGCCTGGTGTGCACGATGTGATTGGCTTGGTGAAGAGAGCGGCATGTTACTTGACGATAATGGTTCGACCGACCGGCACTTATAAAACCAGAGGGATATGCTCAAGTAGAGCAATTTGCGTGTTTCGGACTGAAGAAGGCCACATTGAGGTTCCATTGAGCAAATAAAGACTTGCAACATGCAGTTCAAGAGCCTCGTCTACTTGGCGGCCGTCGCAGCTGCGGCGCCCAACTTACACCGTCCCGGGTCGCCGGAATCGATCAAGAATCTCAAAGACAAGATCAAGAATGTCGTCATCATGGTCATGGAGAACCGGTCATTTGATAACCTGATGGGCGGGCAGACGCTGGCGGGCCTCGAGAACCCGATCCAGACGGGCCCGTACTGCAACCCGCTCAACATCAGCAACCCCGGCACCGGCACCGGCTGCACCGAGGCACTCGACTTTGACTCCATCATCAACGACCCGGACCACTCCATCTCGGGCAACAACCTCGAGTTCTACGGCTCCTTTACGCCCGACAATGCGGCCATCAAGGCGGGCACGCTCCAGCCCGACATGAGCGGCTTCCTCACGGAGCAGATCCGTCTGTACGGCAAAAAGGCGGACGAGCAGGTCCTGCAGACGCAAGTCATCAACTACTACACGGAGACGCAGGTCCCGGTCATTACCGCGCTGACGCAAAACTTTGTCGTGTTTAACCACTGGCACTCTGATGTTCCCGGTGTAAGTCGCCCCTCAGTCCTTTCCTCATTCTCTCTCGCCGCCACTCTCACTCACAACCGCGCGCAAAGCCAACCAACCCGAACCGCGTGGCCCTGTGCTCGGGGACGTCGGCGGGCAAGGGCAAGAACAACTTCCAGTACAACACGATGACGCAGCGGTCCATCTTCCAGGAGGTGACGGAGCTGGGGCTGGAGTGGAAGGACTACCTGGTGGACACGTCGATCCAGGACGCGCGGTGGTTCACTTGGACGTACGAGAGCAACAACACGGATCGCATCGTCTTCATGGACGAGTTCTACGAGGACGCGCGCCAGGGCACGCTGCCGCACCTCGCGTACATCAACCCGTCGTGCTGCGGGGTGGGCACCAACTCGATGCACCCGACCGGGCGCGTCTCGGACGGCGAGCAGCTCATCAAGGACGTGTACGAGGCGCTGCGCGGCAGCCCGCAGTGGCACGAGACGCTCTGGATCGTCACGTTTGACGAGACGGGCGGCTTCCACGACCACGTCCCGCCGCCGCGCGTCGCCCGCCCGGACAATGCCACCCACTCCGAGACGACGCCCACCGGCGCCGACTACACCTTTGCCTTTGACCGCCTCGGCGGCCGCATGCCCACCTGGCTCGTCTCGCCCTGGGCCGCGCCCGCCGTCGAGCAGAAGGGTGTAGACGCCTGCGGCAGGACCGTCTCGTACCATGCCACCTCGATCCTGCGCACGCTCGGCTACCTCTGGGGCTTTGCGCCGTATAATCCCCGCGTCAAGGGCGCGCCGTCGTTTGATCACTTGATTGGAACTGAGCTGCGCACGGATGTGCCGGACAAGTTTCCGACGGTCTCGCATTTTCGTTCGTAGAAATCGGGTGTGAATGATTTTAGAGGGTCGCTAGTTCCCATGCTGTGTCACGGTTGCAAATACATTTTATTCACATACCACGCTGCAAATGCATTGCTTTCCTTGTTTGCCCGTCTGTTGCCCCCCTGTGTAGGTTGCCAGTTCCGAAGACCCCGCACCATGTTGGGTGGCGTGCTTCACACCAAAAGTTCTGTTTGCCATCTGATAAGCCCGCGGCCGGCAAAAGTCGCCATCGCTGGGCAACTTGTGCCCTCGACGAAACCTCCCAACGGCAACGCTGATTCCTGATCAAAAAAAGTTCAACTCGCCATGACCCAACTCAAGCCCGTCGCCCCAGCTCCGCAGCAGGACCTCCAAACCGTAGTGCAAAGCCGTGCCAGGGAATGGCACTTTCACATTTACTTTCTGCTTCAGTCGCCGACCGAAAAGGCCGCCGCCCTAGCGCTGCGTGATGCCGTGTTGAGGCTTCGTCGCGATGGCAAGTACAATGACCGCTTTTTTTTTTTTCTCGAAATTCTTCCCACTGACTACTCAAAGGCGCTTTTGTTGCGGTTCCGCTGCATCAAGTCAACGAGTATCCCATCGGACCGCATCCTGCTGGATCATACGAGAGTAAGCCCAGAACCCGACCCCCAGAGGCTTCTTTTCAACAGCCCCTTTTCTTGTACGCGCCCATGGCTTTCCGGCCTCGGCAGATACGTCATACCATCGATTGAAAATGTAGAACATGGGCAGCGAGATCAGGATACCAACAATTAACCTTTGTTGTAGTCTGGGTTCCCGATTCATCATTCTCCGACGTCTTCTTTTACCTGTCAACCAATCGTGGACATTTAAGGCGAGTTTTGGCTTATTCACAGCTTGCATTGTCCATGGCACTAACCAATCGCCAGTGTTCTGATTCATCCTCTGACAACGCTGCAGCGTCGCGACCACGAGTTTCGCAATGGCTGGCTGGGCAAACCCTGGCCGATTTACCTCGGTGGCCTGCCCATAGAGAGCGCCGAAGTGCCGCTGCAATATCCTGAGCTGCGACTCGGATGGTCCACAGCTCCAGAGGACGAGTTGTCTCTGGATGAGCGACGTAAGAAAGGAGCCGAGCTTGAAGCACTGCTGGCGGGAGACCCCGAGGCAGCCCCTGCTCCCGCAAACTAGGGCGTCTCTCACCAAAGGGTACACGCAAGTAGAATGATGATGAAGGGTAAAGAGACCATCAATATTTATTCAATAGCCGCCCGCTCGCTATGATCTAGAAAGCTGAATAGCCTTGATAATACCTGTGCATTACTAATTATGGGCTCAAGGCAGTCATGGAGCAGGAGAACAGATGAGTATGTGTACGCCGCCTGTGACTGGTGGCCTTGAAAAGATCATGGGCAAAGTTCACCGCCGGCGTTACATTGAAGTCACCGAGTAAAGCCGACGTGCGCACCAACGGAGCGAGCTGCATGTTTATTGTTGTACGATGAGGCAGTGTGTTGTTGGTACATACAACTTGCTGCAACAACGCCACAACATGTGGAGTCTTCATTTATTTCTTCGTACATACTTGCGTGACAAAAGTACCCTGCATCCTACATACTCCATACATGACCCCGGAACACTCTTGTCAGTTCCGGGCCGCTGCTGGTGACTTGGCACCCTTCAATATACTGCGGGGTTTCGGGTATCTGTAAAGTCAGGCAAGGCAGTCAGGCTGTCTATCCTGGCCTAGATATATATACCTGTAGCTGTACTCATGCTAGTAGATTTGCTTGCGTCTTCCCTATCGCAACAAAGTCGCAGCCATGTTACTCTACCGCGCAGGCATTCTGGCTCTCTTTTCGGCCGTCATTTCAGCACTGGCTCTGCCAGGTACGTTTGTAGCCCTTCTCACAATGGCCATGCCTAAAAAAAATGTCTAATTTCTCCGTGCCTGCAGCCGCCGAATACAACATTCTCCTCAGGGGCCGAATGGCGGGTGGCAATATCGGCACCAACTATTTGCAAGAGGTCGCTGCAGCCGACAGACTAGAAACACTGGGAGCATAGCAAAAAGGGGAATATGGAGTGTGAGAATCCATAATGGGCTTCTTTTTTTAGAAGAAAGAGAGGGCAACACAATTGAAGGAAAAAATTGAAGGAAAAAGTGTGGCCTAAAAAGCGCCGAGCTTTTCGCCTCGTCCGCTTCTTCATGACTTGGAGCAGTCGTGTTACTCATTAAACTCCCGTATTCTATGGCCATGACGAATTTACCTCGATGTCTCTTTAACTCATCCGCTGCATTATTTCTGTGCTACGGAATCTCAAAGCCTTGGTGGCTCAAAGGTTGGCCCTAGGGGTGTGTGATTCTGCTCCTTTACAGCCTCGACGGCCTTTGTGGCGTTTTGTCCGCCTCATCAACGCATCAACGGCCCGCGTCTTCAGAATGCATACCCCTCAGTAAATCCTTGTCAATACTGCACCAATTGCCAGTGAATTTAAAGTAGTTGTCTTGCCAGTCCGGGGAACATGGTTGGTTGGGTCGAGCGCAATCTCAAGTTGAGTCGTTGCATCAAACCCTTTTTCTCCTCTCCGTACAGCAAACGAAATCCTCTTCACACTGCTACTACTTTGCTTCCACCACGCTCTGTATTCCTCAGCGTCTTTGAGCCCTTTGTCTCCGCACAGCAGCTCGCATACTAGAAACAGTGCCACGACGTGCCAGCATCGGCCTTGCGGCTCCAAAATGGACAACAGCTTCGGCCCGGGGCTTCTCGGACACTTTGACTTTACTCTCCTCTTCATAGACATTGTCTTCCATGTCATTCCGGCCGGTTTCATCCTGTCCACGACCCCTTTCTTCCTCGCCAAGATCAAGAACGGCCCCCGCGTCGTGCGAGCCGGTCGCCTCCTCTGGCTCAAGCTCGCACTCGCCGGCGCACTCGCTGCCGTGCAAGCCGCCAATGCCGTTCTCTGGTTCCAGTCCCCTCTCGACTCCGCGCTTGCGGAAGCGGCTTCTATTCTGTCATGTGTCTCGGCCGTCTGCATCGGCGTCATTCTCCTGGCGAACCACGCCTACTTTGTCCGGCCACTGCCCTTCCTCGGCCTCTTCCTCACCATCACACTGCTGCTGGATATTGCAGCCACCCGCGCCTACTTTCGGCGAAACGGACTGGGCGCCATTGCGAGGCTGCACATTGCCGTTCCGGTGTTGAAGGGCTTGCTGATCCTGGCGGAGGAAACGTCGAAGCGGTCGCTCGTCATTGACGCTGCCGTGCGCGAAACCCTGGGCAGTGAAGCCTTGGCTGGGTTTTGGAGCAAGTCGGTGTATCTTTGGTTCAACCCCATCATGCGCCATGGCATTCGCCATAGAATTACAACAGGTTTTCTTCCCGGAGTCTCTGATCGGATTGATCCGGTCGCTCTTCACAGCCGGTTTATGGCGGTCTGGCAAAGTGCTGACAAGAACTCCAGGTTCTGCTTGGCCAAGTGCTGCTTTTTAACCGTCCCTTGGCCATACATATACGTGATCTTTCCTAGGTTGGTTTTCATCGGCTTCAAATTCTCACAGCCGTTCTTGCTGCAAGACGTGGTCAATGCCGTCTCCGCAAAGACTGAAATGAACGGCCTCCGAATGTCACTCATCATCGCCACGGGAATCATCTACATCGGCATGGCCGTAAGTTTTTCATTCTTCAGCGTGACTCTCAACCCGTCTTCTCCGCTCAGCCTGACATCCATCAGATCTCCAGATCTTGGTTTCTATATCTTCTCAACCAAATGTCAACGAGTACGAGAGCCATCCTCACCACAGCAATCTATCACAAATCATTGCGCATCGACAGTGATGAAGCCGAAAGACAGGCGGCTGTGACTCTTGCAGATACAGATGTCGCCGGCATCATGCAGCTCATGAGTCTTTCCTATGAAAGTTGGGTCAGTCTTGTCGAGGTCATTCTTGGCATCACAATTCTCGCCTTCTTTGTCGGCGCGGCTAGCATTTTTGCGTTAATTCCAGCTTCTTGTAAGAGATGGCCACGTGTGATGACTTTTTGGTCGTGTCTTTGTTAATGGCATTCTATAGTGACCAGCGTCTTCACCATTTACGTTTCTAAACGCATGGCTTTCACGCGAAAACGGTGGATTGATCACACCGAGAGTCGGATTGCAGATACGGCAAATATCTTGGCTCAATTTAAAGATATAAAAATGATGGGATTGGCTCCCAGCTTGGCGAAACGTCTTCAAGAGAAGCAAGTTGAAGAGAGTCATCTTGCTCTCGCTGATCGACGCGTTGTCGTGTCGACTTTTTCTGCTTGTGAGGCAATCCTCGCACTCAATTCTGACCTTGACTAATAATTTACCAGCCGCGGTTGCGGAAACTGTCACGCCCGTCCTAGTTGCTGCAGGAACACTGTTCTGGACACGGGCTTCGGAACCAATCACGGCGTCACGTTTCTTTACCACTCTGGCTGTCATAACCATGATTGCTGAGCCACTCGCCAGTTTTCTCACGGCGTTACCTTACTGGACAGGAGCATTTGCCTCTGTGACTCGTATCCAAAAGTATCTCGCGCAACCAGAGTTGGGGGATCCCAGACAGATCCTGATACAGAATCAGCCTCAGGAACCAGTCTCGTCAGCCACAGGTGTCACGCAGCGCAAGTCAGCCAGGTTGCGAAATCGGCCATCGTCGCAACTGCCACCTGTTGTTGTCAGATTCTCCATGGTGTCAATCGATGTGGGCACCACCGTGGCATCGGTCTTGCGCGATGCCACCTTTTCTTTGCAGCGTGGCCGTACCGCAATGTTCATCGGTCCAGTGGGTTGTGGTAAATCAACGCTACTAAGTGCCATTGCCGGGCAGAGGAAGCTCAGCACAGGATCCATCGCTGTCGCTACTAAGCAGATCGCGTGTTGTGCTCAGCGGCCCTGGATCCGGAATAACACGATTCGAGCGAATATCCTCGGCGCGAATAGCTACAGCGCGTCGAGGTATTCGCAGGTGGTTTTCACATGTGCCCTTGACGCTGATATACAGCATCTTCCGCTCGGGGATCTCACAGTATGCGGAAGTGATGGCTGCAAACTCAGCGGTGGGCAGAAAACTCGTATTGTATGTGTCCCGGGAGACGGTGGGCATGTTGCCAATGTAACTGATGATTCTGACATGCATCTCAGGCCATGGCGCGAGCTCTTTACGAAAGCTCGGATATTATTCTTCTCGACGACCCGTTCAGCTCCCTGGACATGGAGACTTCCTCCACCATTCGAATCCGATTGTTTTCAGAGAGCAACTTCTTGGATAGTGGACGGCTCACCCTGATTATGACGACGAGCATGCGTGAGTAAACAGTGCCGCGCGCCAAACGTCGCTAACCCTCTTGCAGAACAACATCTTGTCGATGCCGACGACGTGTTTCGGATTCTCGAGAATGGACGTGTCTGTCAAGTGCCGCGAGAGGAACTCGATGCGCCCGGGTTAGGTCCCGGACCGCGAGTGACACCTCGGGTGCAACGGAATGTGGCAATCCAAGCCTCGGAAGAAACGGACGACAAAGAGTATCAGCTTCCCACCGTGAAACCCATGACAGATGGCGACCCCATGGACAACCTGCCCGAGACCAAATTCAGCGATGTATCTTTGTGGTGCTACTTTGCCAAGCCAGCAGGCCTTGGCCGTGTTCTTGTATGGGGCGTCTACGTCGTCAGCGCAGCCATCTTGGAAAGGATGCCTTGTGAGAGCAACGAATACTTTTTGGTGGTTTCCCTCGTTCTGACATTTGATCTAGTCATTTTTGTTCGAATCTGGCTTGAAACAGATGCTCAAAACCGTCTGTACTTTATTGGATTCGCAGCCTTTGGACTGATCAATCCGTTGATGAACTATGTCGCGTGCTAGTGAGTCGTGTCTAGCAGATTGCTTTTTCTCCCGAGCTGCGAACAAACAATAACCCATCTTCAGTGGTTACTTCTCTTTGATCAATTTCTCTGCGCTAGAGGCTCTTCATTGGCGGCTCGCCGATACCAATGCCAGAGCGACGTTTGACTTTCTCGCAACAGAAGATGCGGGTAGCCTGCTCAATCGGTTCAGTACCGACACGACAATTATTGCGCACCGTTTACCATTGGCCATAATGCCTTCAGCTTGGGGTGAGTTATTCTTGGTGCTTATGTTTTCTACTATTATCCAACTTATTAACCTCGCGCGCTCTCTCTCTCTCACACACCATAGGCGCCATGTCTGTCCTTATTGACATCGCAGTCATTGCTGCTGGGGCTAGCTATGCGGCGCCAATCATGCCCCTTCTTCTCCTTTTTCTATTCATCATTCAGCATTTCTATTTAAAATCATCTCGACAGCTGCGCGTGCTGCAACTAGACAATGCAAAGCTGCTTGTCCGCCAGCTCGCAGAAACAAGCACCGGCATCGAGCATATTCGTTCATTCCATTGGCAGGACTTTTTTGTTCAAGAATTCTACGAAATTTTGGAAAAGAACCAAAAGCCGTTTTACTTTTTAGCAGTTGCTCAGCAATGGCTTCTTTTGGTTCTCGACCTGTTCTCCGCTGGTGCTGGAATGGTCATGGTATCCATTGCGTTATACCAGCCTCAGTCGGCCTCGCCCAATTCCATCGGTCTTTCCTTTCTCACGCTCATTTCGTTCAGTCAGACGGTTTCGCTTTTTGTTCGCTACTTTACTAACATGGAAATATCATTTGGTGCCGTCGCACGTATCCGTGCCTTTGAGCGCCAGACACCAGTAGAACAGGATTCGCACGATGGATCGGATTTACCCCCGTGCTGGCCACGGCAGGGAAGGATAGACTTTAACGGTGTTACGGCAAAGTATAGGTAAGCTACTAAATTCTGTCGGCGGAAAGCTACTAAGTCTCCTCGTACTCTAGTTCGAAAGGCGATGACGGCGTGGTGACTGAGCACACTGCACTGGACCAAGTCACAGTTGTGGTAGAGCCTGGACACACTCTAGGTATCATCGGTCGGACAGGAAGGTATCGCAGTACTTTCACGGTCGTTATTTGTAGATGCTAACTACGCGCAGTGGGAAAACGAGCTTACTGCTCGCCCTTCTACGACTGACGCAATATTCCGGGAGTATTAGCATTGACGGGCGCGACATCAAGTCAGTGCCGCTTGACATTCTTCGCACCCGTATTACCACAATCACGCAAGCCGGTCTCGAGCTAAGGGGCACAGTGAGATTTAATCTCAATCCCTTTGATCCCGGCTGTTTGCCACGTAATTACATCCTCACCAGTGAGATGGAGCGGGGCGTGCTTCGCCGGGTTGGGCTCTGGCAGCATATCAGCTCTCGTGGAGGCCTGGAGGCAGAGATGAGGAACATGAAGTTTTCGCAAGGCCAAAGACAGCTGTTTCAGCTCGCTCGTGCAATGCTGCATCAGCAAATCATGAACTCGACCGTCGTTTTGATAGACGAGGGCACATGGAGCATGGATGAGGACACCGAGGCTGAAATGGGCAACCTCGTCAACCAAGCTTTCGCTTCCTGCACGAAACTTGTCGTCACCCACAAACTCGGTGCTCTTGTCAAGGCAAATGCGGTTCTTGTCCTTCAGAATGGCAAGGCGAGCGCGTTGAAGCAGGATCAAGGGACTGGCAATTGGAGACAGAGCCCGGAGCCATGATTACTAGAAGTGTGTTGTTGTATAGTGTCTTGTCATTTATCTTGGAAGCATGCCCTACTAAAAATTGCAAAGCCAATCTTGATGTCCTTTTGCTCGCCAGTGATGGATGGTGACTATCCGAGTATACACCAAAGCATCTCCCTCGTGAAAAAATTGTATACATCAAGGCATCTCCATCGCGAAAGTTGGGGCCTTGTATTCAATTTCTCTTTGTATGCGGGGTATATATCGTCCACCTATCGTCCACCTATCGTCCCATCATCTATCTCCCTCGCCCATGTCGGCACAAGTATACAGCAGCCCAAAACGTCAAAAAGCCCACCTTGGCAGATATTTCCCCCCTGAGAGCGACACTCCATCATGAGTCTCCCATATCTCTCCCCTTGCCTTTCCAATCGCGTGAAACAAGACTCTCCTGGCTCACGACACGGCCCGGTGCCCCCTCGGCCGTACTCGGGGCCGGGCCGTTGAGTTCCAAGTCTATGAAGCTATAGCGCTCACTAATCGGAGAATACGGGCCTCCTGACACAGGTTTTCTTCGTATAATGGCCGACCGTCGGCTGAGAAACGATGGTAGCCGCCCCACGTCGCAGCCGGGCAGCTCAGAATACTCTTGCGGCGAACACTCTTGCGGCGAGCACGGCTGCGGCGAACCCGCTTGCGGCGAACACACTAGCGGCGAACACGCCCTCTGCAAATACTCGTCCTCTTCGCCTTGAGCGTGCTCCGTTTGAAGCTGCGACAGCATAGAGACGCCTCTGCTACACGTGGTTCCGACCGCGTCGAGCTCTAGCCGGGGCCTGTTCGTCCCGTCCAGCTCCGGCTTGCTGTCGGTGTACGCCATGAAGTCGTCAATCTGCGTCATGTGCGTCGTTTCTTTCTTCTTGGCTCTGCGACAGAGAAGGAAGAGCCCAACCAGACAGGACAGCAGAAACAGGGGCGCGCAGACACTGATGGCCACCATCTGGCCGGGGGACAGGCCCTTGCTCGGATGGGTGGCGGAAGGAGGGGTGCCGGTGGGATTGGCCCCGGGAGGCTTTGCTTCAGAAGGATGGGCGTCGGTCGTACAGTTGGTAGAATGCGTGCTCGTAGGCTGGGACGGCGTCTGGGTCTGCCTGGTGGCGTAGAGAAGCTTGAGATCGTACACCTTGGCCGTTGTCTGCGCGTTGGCAGATATGACGGTTCTCTGTACAAGGTCAATGTCTGGGAAGTACACAACGGCGGTTTTCGTCTCGCCCGGCTGAATGGTGGACACGCAGGCATGCGAATAGACGCTGGTTTCGTCGGCGCAAGTGTAGCCACTACAAGTCGGGACGGAGGTCAGTCTCGGGGAGGCGGTACGGTTTACAAAGCTCCGCGCGTCCAAGATCGGGATCACGATCCAAAGCCGCGATGCTGCTGCATGGAAAGGGGCAAAAAAGTCGTACCTGAGACAGCAGCCGATGGCTGTGTCGCCGCTGGCCAGCGCGGGCCAGAACTTCACGGTCGGGTCCGCGGTGACGGTCGCTCCCGTGGCGACCGAGGTGCACATGGGCGCGTAGCCGGCCGGGCAGGCCGTGGCGGAGAAGATGGGATTCGCGCCCTTCTGCATGGCCGGGACATAGCCGCCCGGCGTGCAGGTGGTTGTGACGCCGCCGTCGAGGTACACGTTGAAGTAGTTGCGCCGGAGCACCATGTACTGGGTCGTCACGGAACTGTACAACTTCATACTCAACAGTGTGCTCAGGACCAGCTCGGAGCATCGCGCCGTGGTCGTGATGATGGGCAGCGGCCCTACGCCGGTCGTCGTAGGGCCTGCCTGCGCGGTCGTGGTGGTGCTGTTCATGCTCGTCTTGATTGCTGCCATGGTGACGACAACAATCCAGGGCGGGGGGGGGGGAGGGGGAGACGACTTGGGGCCAACTTTATCGGAAACTCGGCCTCGTCAATCGCGAACCAGGCTCTGCTCTTCCGTTGTATTGCATATATGAACCATGAAACAAACAAAGAAACGCTGCAGGGAGACGTCTAACTACATAAAAACAACTCGATCCCTGGCCCTTGGCGAATGCGTCGGGCCCCTTGCTGCCCATCATGCAGGACCCCCCTCCCCGTCACATGAAATGTTGTTATTATTAACTTCATTTGAAGGACTGGCTGCAGCTCTGCTCGCTGAGCTAACTGTTTTTTTCTCTTCTCTCCGAGGTTGCGCCAGAGCCTGCTCTCCGACTGTAGATGGTGTGGACTTGAGCAATGGCTATATGACGAGATCAAGGAGGGCGTTCTCAGCCCAGAAGTGAGGGATCGGATTCATGCTTGCTGTAGCTGGCGCACCATGTCAAATTCGCATACTATCGGAGGCACCTTGGGCGGGAAGCACCGAGGCATGCCGGCGGAGATGAGCGACATGTACTCCGTGCTGGTAGAAGGAATCTAGACAAGATCCTTTTAACTATCTGGCTCCGTTGTTGACTTGTCGATTGACTATTTATAGACCAAAAAAGGCTGGTACATGCTCTAGTTAGCAAGGCTGCAGGGTGACGGCAGGCTGCCCCTACCCGTTCCAGTGGAGTCAGTGATGACTGACGAGGATCGATGGTGCCTGTGAGGCAGGGATTATGAGAATAGATGAGCCAATGGCCAATGAGGATGGGGGTAGTATGTACGTACTAGAGGTACCGGTCATTCGTACTGGTATGATTATGAAGTTGTCACACCTGCACGGAGGAGCCAGCAGTCCGCCTATACTTGGTGCTCATCATACAATGTGACCCCGCGTCAACTGCTTCGGTCTGTATCCAAGAATAAGAAATGTGTCTACGGAGTCCCGAGTAATTTGTACTATTCTTTCAATATCTAAATATGTCTGTAAGCCCCTGAGTGCGCTTCAGAGGAGGCTGGAGGCAGCAATCAGGCTGTTCCATATTGTCGGTTCTTTGGCGGCTGGGTATGCAAGCCACAATCACGCGACACCGACTCGACGGCTGGGAGACACGACTGTTTTTTGTCCAGGCTTTTTGTTTCACCGGCTCAAATTCTCTTCACTCAAAGCACTGCTGTATGGGTAGGAATCAGATGAATCAATGTCTATAGCTTCAACATATGCAAGTGGTTGAATATACAAAAGAAAGCGCCACCCAACCGACAACTATGTACATGAATACGCATACGCCCTCCCGGTAACCCCCGAATTAAACCATGTTCCCACCATGAAACATCTACTCCAGCTCCTGCATCTCGCCACGGTGGCCGGCAGAGTTGGCCGTCGGTGCCTCATGGACCGTTTTGAGCGGGCCATCTTTGTGGACAGCAGCTCCCGCCGCGGCGCCGACAGCAGCGCCAGCCACCGGCGCACCGTATTGCTGCTGCATCGGCGGCGGCGAGCCGGCCACTGGCGCGGCGTACTGCTGCTGCATCGGCGGCGGCGACCCGGCCTGCTGGTAGGGCTGCTGGCCGTAGCCCTGCTGTCCGGGCTGCTGCGGCGCATAGCTCGTGGCAGGGCTGACCGAGGGCTGGCTGTAGGGATAGTTGGGGCTGGGCGAGCCCTGCTGCGGCGGGGGGTAGTACGTTCCGGCCGCGCTCGGCGACGTCGCGTAGCCTGCGCCGGTGGTGTCCTGGTAGGAGTAGTGCGCTTGCGAAGGAGGGGGCCCGCCGGGCTGCTGGGGCTGGCTCATGAGAGGCGGTGGCGGGCTCTGCTGGCCGCTGTTCTTCTTCTTGTTGCGCAGGAAGAGCAGAATGCCGATGCCGATGAGAGCGAGCGCTCCAACGCCACCGACCACGCCGCCCACGATGGCGCCGACCGGGGTGCTGCTCTTGCTAGATTGGTCGCCGGTCGGCTGCACGGTGCCGGTGCTGCTGGGTGCGGTGCTGCTGCTGCTGCTGCTGCTCGAACTCCGCGGCGGCGCTCCGGTGGCCGATCCCGAGGGGCGCGAAGCCGACGTCCCCGTCACAGTGTAATCTGTGTACGTCTGGGGGTTGAGCTGGCCGGAGTAGCTCGTCTCCAGGAGCTGGAATGTCCGGATATCGTTGACACCGCACGCATAGTCAATGGCACCCCCCCGAAAGGAAACGGTATTGCAGTAAGGGTAATCGGACTCGGCGCTGCAAGTTGTTACTGGTTGGTCTGCACACCCATCGGTCACCCGCAGCACGGACTTACCACTTGACAATGTATGTGTTATCGATACACGCCTGGTTGCAGAGTTTTGACGTGTAGATGTCGGCCGAGTTGACACAACTCGTTCGGAAGTTGCACTGGGTGGCACCGCAGCAAGCAATGCGCCCGGGATTGCCGTTCGCCGAGGTGCTAAGGGCGCAGTAGTCGCCCCTGTTGATGCAGTAGTACGACGCGCTGGAGACGCCGGACACGTAGCCGCAGGTGTTTCCGGAGTTGTACTGGAGGACGGGCGAGCTGGTCTCTGCCCGGGCCGCGACCAGTTCCGCTGCCGGCGGCGTGGTGGGCGCTGGTGAGAAGCCGTCGAGGGCGAAGATGGCCGGCACTGTAGGCTGTGCTTCCATCCGGGCGAGGTTCCGGGCCTCGACAGCGACGAGAGCTGCCGCGGCAACGGCAAAGCTTTTCTTCATTGCGGCTCGTCTCTGGAAACACCTGGCTGCGTGATTTGGCGAGCTGTATGGTTTGCGGGATGGGTATATCAGATGTGGGAGAAGCCAGGACAAGCGATGAGGAGAAGAGAGGTCAAGCGAGAAAGAAACAATCAGAAATCAGCCACAGACTATGTTTACAAAAGGAAACAAAGGATCAGCAGCCACGGCCAAAGGGGATTCATTTACAAATTACTTCACCAGTCAGCTGTGAGAAGCGGCCCCGTATTGGGCCAGCCAGGGCTGAAGCTGTTCCGCTTGGCTGGGCGACAGCTGCTCGCCCGAGGGCTCACACACCTCACACACAACTCACTCTCACACAGCTCATAGTTACACCACACGAGTTACACTGGGTGGAACCGCCCGAAGCATACGGATACTGGCAAGCAACCTGGTGCGCCTTGCCAACAAGAACGTGGGCAACCTTGGCCAGCCAGGGTTGGACTTTTCGCGGTGGCTTGCAGGGAGCTGAATGCGCTAGTCGACAGCCACAAGGATCATGGGAGTCGAAGGAATTCGGTGTGAAGAACGAAACTGAGCAAATAGGGTCGCAGCACCATACCGGGCAGGGCCGCATCGCAAGTTGTTGCCGCGAGGAAGAGTAACAGGCTTTTGCGAAGTCCTCGGCCGTCCAAGATAGAGAGAGCTCCCGAAACCAACAGCACATGGCGGTGACGGCTACCGAATTGGTCTTGGCGAGAACAAAAGGGTCGGCCTGGTTGGCCAGCACCAAAGCCAAGGGAAATTGTGCGGCCCACGCGCCTTGATCCCGGTCCTCAGCCGCAATTCAAGGTTAATAGCTAGCGCCCGCAACCTCGCGAGTCACGCAACGTCTCCCCGCATGTTCAAGTGCCCTGGATTCGCGGCCCGGAGTGCAGAAAACTCAATTAGGCTTTTGGGCTTCAATAAAGCTGTGAATAGCTTCAGTCTTGGTCTGGACGCGAGCTTGTGCTCAAGATGGCAAAATGGTGAAGATATGATCGAGACGCGGTGGCCATCACAGCTGCGCATGACGCTAGCATCGTATTCGCACTACTCGCCCTGTTTCCATGCAGCTAGGCTGAACCGTGCGAAAGCCGGGAAGCCCTGACTGAGGACGTCGCGAGAGTCTCTACCCAGTATGTATCCGAAGGCATCAACAAGTCAATCCGATCTGATAGCCAGGAGCGAGGTTCAGACGGACAAATCAACTATTCTATTCGTAACTGCTGTTCCCTGGAGCTCGGACCCGGTGCGGTTTGTCGTCGTCTTCGGATGAGTGGAGTGACTGTCATCAGTCGCTGTACTACAGGGTAGCCCGACAACCGAGAAATTCATCTCAGGACACAAGCCCAGAGACCTGAAAATATCTCTGAATTCGTATTTTGGAGCTTCTTTTTCCCTATAATAACTTGTACTCGTTTTATTTTGATATATTTACTATTGGCAAGAGAACCACTTATGCGGTCTGTGGGTTTCTAGTATCTCGACTAGCATCCAGCAACCGTATAGGTAGTTCGCTCAGGGAGCTCCATCACGGCTCTTGCACATGGACACTGGCAGAACGCGTGCCAAACAGCCACACAAAACTTAAACGCGTCATCTACAAACCCGCAACATAGCCACGGATCAAGAACGCGAAAGGTACAAAAAATAACGCGTACAATGTCCTCCTAGACACCTACGCAGCCTGTCACTCGCCGTTGCCGTCACTTTACGCGCTCGACGCGTGCCATCTCGCCGTCTTGGTCCCCATGACGTCGCGGGCACACGACCAGCAAAACCACCAGCTTTCCCGCGCCACGCCAATGACATGACGGACCTCGCCAAGATCCTGCCGTCATTCAACACCGCACCGTTTTCCGCGCTACTGTCCGTCGTCGAGCAGCATGCCCTCTCCACGACGGACCTCCTCACGCAGCACCCCGTCGACCTCGCCAAGCAGACGCACCTCGCGCTCCTCGACCTGAAGCGCTTCATCGCCGCCGTGCAGGCCTCCCTCGCCGATGACCTGACGCCCGAGAAGCCGCTGGCGACCGCGCGGGCCCCCGAACAAACAGCGGCGCCGCCACCACCCCCAGAGGAGGACAAAGGAGAGGGCGATGGTAGCCGCGAGCCCGATGCCGCCCCCCCGCCGGCGGTGGTGAATACCGCGCCCGCGCAGACGACGCCGTGCATCAGCACCCTCGACGACACCCTCGACGCGGCGCTCGGCGGCGGCGTCCCGGTCGGCTACATCACCGAGTTCACGGGGGAGTCTGGCGCGGGCAAGACGCAGTTCCTGCTGTCGCTGTGCCTGGCCGTGCAGCTGCCGCCGCCGCGCGGGCTCGGCCGGCAGGCGCTGTACGTGTCGACCGAGGCGGGGCTCACGACGCGGCGCCTCGCGCAGATGCTCGGCGGCGCAGCGGCGGCGCCAGACTGGGCGGCATCACCGCCGCCCTCGCTCGACCACATCCTCAGCACCGTCACGCCCGACCTCGAGTCGCAGGAGCACATCCTCGAGTACCAGGTGCCCGTGCTGCTCGCGCGCCACGACATTGGCCTCCTCGTGCTCGACTCCGTCGCCGCCAACTACCGCGCCGAGTTTGAGGGCGGTGGTCTCGGCGCCCGTCTCGGGTCCGGCATGGGCGCGCGCGGCGCCCAGCTCGTCCGCCTCGGCGCCCATCTGCGCGACCTCGCCCGCCGCCACGGCATCGCCGTCGTCGTCGCCAACCAGGTCGCCGACCGCTTCGCCAGCACCGCGGTGCCGCCGCCGCCGCCGCCGCTCCACCGCGGGATGCCACCGCCAGAGAGCCCGCTGGCGTCCCGCGGCAGACAACAGCAGCAGCAGCAGCCGTCGTCGACGACGCTGCAGGCCACGCCGACGTCGTCGATGCCCATGCCGACGCCCGACGACGCGGGGCCGCTCGCGCCGCCGACGCTGTTCCTCGACCACCAGCAGCGCTGGTTCACGGGGTGGGGCGACGAGCCGCGGTCGTCGTACGCGCTCAAGACGCCGAGCCTCGGCCTCGTGTGGTCGACGCAGATTTCGTGTCGCGTCGCCCTCTTCAAGCGCCCCGTGTACGGTCGCCCGCGGAGGTTCGCCGCGCCGCTCGACGCCGACGACGACGGCGGCGGCGAGGACCGCGAGCCGAATCTCAAGTCGTGGAGGCGCTGGATGAAGGTCGTGTTCGCGCCGCATGTTGCCGCGTCCGGCCAGGGCATCGCGGACGCGGTCGAGTTTGAAGTCACGGCTGGTGGGCTGAAGGCGGTGATGAAAGAGCATGGCAAACCCAAGAGTTGAGAGCTACAGCCTGTTGTCATATCGATCAAGGCTTTTGTTTGGTTTGTGACGATGGAGTTTGGTTGGATAGCATGGATTGGGGCGCATTTTGATTGGCATAGATACACACGTTCAAAGTAGATCAAGATTGGGTCAATATTTCTTCATTTATAAATATGTTTCATCCACCGGCTTCACCTACTTGACAGCCAACACGCCTTGCCCGATGCAGTCGCCAAAACACGACAAAAAAATAAAATAGTGTCAACGAACCATGTACACCAAAGAAGAAGGATAAAATTATATACAACATAACAGAGCCCAAGCGTTGTGCATTGGCTTACTTAGGGTGCGGGAATTCATCAGCTAGCTGCAGCCGTACGCCAACGTTCATGCTAATCAGCTCCTGCACCAGCAGCTTGGCTGCGTAGGGCATCGTCATCTTGGTAACCTCGCGTGTGCTCTTACACGTCTGGCAGTAGCCCTTGTAGCCAAAGAGGCCACACTGCTGACAAATGTCAATGACGACGCCGTCGGAGCTGATCATCAGTCGCTCGAGCAGAAGCTGCGAGGCGCCATAGGCAATCAGACAATCGCGCTCCATTTCACCGAGACGCAGACCACCGTCGCGCGAACGACCCTCGGTGGGCTGGCGGGTGAGGATGGCACGGGGGCCTCGCGCGCGCGAGTGCATCTTGTCCTGCACCATGTGCTTGAGACGCTGGTAGTAGATGGGGCCGTTGAAGATGTACGCCTCGAGCGGCTCGCCGGTCAGACCCGAGGTGAAGTAGTCCTTGCCCTCCCACGAGAAGCCGTGATCGAGGAGGACTTGACTCATCTCCTCGACCGGATGCGAACGAAAGGCGTCGCCGAAGCCGTAGTCTGGACGCCCGTGGATAATAGAGGCTTTCCCCGTCAAACACTCCAGGAGCTTACCGACAGTCATTCGAGAAGGGAAGCCGTGTGGGTTCATGATAATATCAGGCGTGAGTCCATTGTCAGCAAAGGGCATGTCCTCATGGTCGACGATGATGCCTACAACGCCCTTTTGACCGTGGCGAGATGAGAACTTGTCGCCGAGTTCGGGTCGCCGGGTCTGTCTCGTTTGGACCTTTACGACCGTGGTGTCTTTCTCGGTGTGTGAAATCATGACCTTGTCAATGTAGGCGGGGTCGGGAATTCGGTAGTTGACAGCAGAATCGCGGAAGTCGCTAGATCCGCGATCTAGGCCAATGCCCGTCGTCGTCATATCAAGCGGCGTCTCCTTCTTGATCATGGACTGGCCGGAAAAGACTCTGCAACCAACCATGGCCAAGCCGTCGTCATCCAGAGCCTTGTGTTTCTCTGAGCGCCTTCGCTGGTCACCGTCGCCTTCGTTGACCGGGTCACCAATGCGCTCTCTGCGGCCGTTGGGGTATTTTTGCAACTCGGTAGTGTACTTGCGAAAGACTTGGCAGCGGCCAAATCCTCGATCGATAGAGGCCTTGTTCAGGACAAGAGCATCTTCAATATCGTAGCCAGAGTACGACATGACAACGACGGTTGCGTTCTGACCAGCTGGCAATTTGTCGTAGTTGACCAGTTGGATAGTCTTGCTGATGACCATGGGTCTTTGAGGGTACACTAGCGTGTATAAAAGGGTGTCGATACGGTTGAACTGGTTATATGCAATGGCGCCAATAGCTTGTTTACCCATTGCACACTGATAAGTGTTACGTGGCGACTGGTTGTGGTGGGGGAATGGAATAAGACCGGCTACAGCGCCGAGAATTGTGAATGGTTCGATTTCCAGATGCGTAGTACTCATAGTAATCTTATCCTCGTAAATCGTGACCAAGGCATCCTGTTCCTCGTTGACATCAAGATATTCGACAACCCCATTTCGCAAGAAATCGTCGAAAGTGACGCTGCCAAGCTGTAAGAGGCGGAGATGTTCTGGTTTCAGTTTTTGAACACCATTCTTGACAATGATGTATGGCCTGCAAATTCGTCCTTCGTCGGCAGCGATATGGACGGCGTTGAAATGCAGATTGATGCTGATGCTGACGAAGGGGGAGATCCAACCACGTCGACGCATCGTTCGGAACTTGGAACAGAACCTCTTTGGGTATCTGGTCAGAGCAAACGGGGTTCCGTTGATATGTATAATGTATGACCCTTCCCGGTGCATCTCTGCACCGGAGAAGTTGCGGATAGGCTCGACGCCAACGTCAAGCGTGAATACCCATCTCTTGACGGGGTCCTCATCCACGTTTGTGGTAATATGGGTCATCAGAGCCAAATTCTTGACGAGACCGCAGGCTTCACCTTCGGGAGTATCTGATGGGCACAGCATACCCCACTGTGAAGGCTGCAGGGCACGTGGACCGGATACCTTTCTTGTCTTTTCGAATTGACTGCTGATTCGGGTCATCATACCCAGAGCAGCAATGTAACTGAGGCGACTAAGGACGTGGGTAACACCGGCTCGGTTCATGTTGAAACGCTTGACGCTCCAATTTCCCGTCTGGATAGCCCTGTTGATCCCCATGCCAATGTTGTTTGCATGATTGCTTATCATGTTGACGGCGTCTAGCGGGACAGCTCTGTTGTTTTTCTTGAGGAACTTATCGATGGACATTTTGACCTCAACCGTAAACCTCTTGAACAAATCTTCGAAGAGCAGAGAAAGAAGTTGACCAGCAAGTTCAAGTCTCTTGTTTCCGACAAAATCTCTGTCATCGACGAGCTTGCTATCTTGGGCAGCCATAAGAACTTTGCGCGTCATCATGGCAACATAAATAGCCTTGGGATAGAAATCAAGACCTTCGATGGGAACATGTGCAATAATTAGATTCGCTAAGGCATCAAGGCCCTCTTCGACATTGTTTCGGCGAACCTGAGGACCAAATTGCCCTCTGCGCGAACCCATTTTGACTCTGGAACCGATGTACTCGAGGGCTTGGTGTTGAGTAAAGACACCGGCCTTTGTCGCTTCATCAAAGTTGATGAGAAACTCGTCTTGGTAGCGACCATCAGCTCCAGCCACGAGCTGCATAATTTCGTAGTCGGTGAGTCCACCCAAAGCCTTGAGCACAATAACAATTGGGATGCCCTCGACTAAGACGTTGTGCACTAAGACAATTCTGTCTTTCTTAAGAGTAACATTTGTCTTGGATTTTCTCTCGTGCGTAGAACTGGTGACGGAAGCGGAGATGATGCGGTTCTTTTCGTCGGACTCAACAATGACTCGGTTCTTGCTGAGCTGTTCTTGGATAAGAATGACCTTCTCGGTACCGTTGATAATGAAGTAGCCGCCAGGATCAAGCGGGCACTCATTCATCTTTTCCATTTCGGAATTGTTGGCGCCTGACAATCTGCACTTGGAGCTGCGAAGCATGACTGGCATTCGACCAAGCGACACATTTCGTCTGATAATCTTTTGTTTGTCACGAATGTATACGATATCGACAAGGATGGGGGCGGCATAAGTCATATCTCGAAGTCGGCATTCCATAGGCGTCACGTCAGTTGAGGATTTGGCCTCTTTGTAGTCTTGTCGCTGGGGACGGTCGACGCGAATGTCGGTAAACCTGCGTAGGCGCTGTTAACGGCAATGCATCTAGGGTATCTCATCTCACGGCAGGTACGCACTCTAGCCAGAAATTGCTGTCAACATCGCTGCGTATAGTACGATTTGCGCGCACAATGTCCTTGATTTCCTGCTCGACAAAGAAGTTATAGGAATCGATGTGCCTGCGACACCTCAATTAGTGACTTGCGATTCGTGTGGCGCACATGTCGGCGGTAAGACGCACTGTTTTACAAGACCTATCAGTACTGTTAGAAAAGTTCAAGCTGGAACTTCTGAGGGCTGCAGAAATGACTTACCTTTGACCTTGAGGAAGGCGGGTAAAAGCTGAAATTTGTCCTCCTTGGTTGAAATGGGGTCGGTTAGCTTCTTGCCATTGTAAAATGGCTCTAGCAGGGCCTCGAAGCCGTCATCGATCACTGCCATCTTGTCCGTCACCGCCTGCCAGACATCTATAGCTAGAAGCAGTCACGCTGGTGTCGGAGGCGCGCAGAAATCGAGGACCTCGCTGTGGCCGGAGTGCTGAGTCGCGATGCTTTGCAAGAAAAAAAAGTTGATGTGACTCGATAAGGGAATGAAGTGGGGCGATAGGAGCTGGATGGTGGGGGACGATGCCAATGACAAGTGTCATGAGCCATGTAACTTTAATAAAAGTAGTGTAGCTGATTTTCTTCTTCATTTTCTTAATTTTTTTTTGAGTTGGGTCAAAAGTAACTAGCTTCGTAGATTTGCTGCTCTTACCCCTGTCCTGCTGGCACTTTTTGCGCTGGGACTGGCTTGACCTTCAGTACCTACCTGTCTCTTGTGAATCGCCACTTCTCACCTCGTTCTATTTTTATAAACCGAGCTGGGTATATCCAAGGGTCTGGATTTCAACAAGGCCACTGGGTGCTTATTTTCAGTATTAAATACACCGTTAATTCCAGCCTGCGAACCTCTTTCGTGTAACTAAATATATAACGGGAACATCAAAGGGATGAACTCTAGGGAATATCAGCGCTCATCGCAGATTGGTCGGCTTTATCGCAACGTTCTTGGCATGCGCCAATGGGACCAAAAGGTTGATGTATGATATTTTTGGAAGATGAAGTAATCGAATTTTCTGCAGACATTGCATGAAACACAATTGATTGAGGGACGACAGCTAGCTTCTTAATTAGTAGTCCTACGATGCTACACCAAAGTGGTTTAAACTACTTGCAGCAGCTGGCGCAAACAAATATGAGCAAGCTAGTTATTGTCTAGAGTTCAGCGCAAGTAAGAAAAGTGTACGCCTGAGATGACATCAAATATTGCTAGCTATTACAGTAGGGTGTATGTATCTCGTGGTACGCCACTTGCCTCGGAGAGCTACTAGCCCTAACCGACTTATTATTCTCTTTGATTGCCGATGGAATTTGAGAGCCAAGGAGCACAGCTACTCATCGCAACATCGCAGGGGAGCCAGCGGCTGACACACACAATACATATGCCGTAGTTAGTTCCACCAGCTTACATGTAGCGCACAGAAAGCTTGTTCAAACATGATATTTTAGGGATATTTCACAGCATCGAAGGGGGGGTCGGGAAGTCAGAGGGGCACAGCTTGGACGCAGGGCGCCTTCTTCCAATCCCTGGAAAGAGACGACAGGCTGGCGGTGCCATCGGCCTGAACAACAAAGCTGCGAAACATGATCAGGGAAGGAGCTATGACATAGTTGTGACTCTGAGTTTTCCGCCGTCAACTACCCCTCACTCGAGCAGGGAGGGTTGGGGTGATTTGCCAACTTACCCCTCCATCTTGAAATGGCTAGCAGAGAGGGGCAAGGGGTCTCGGATGGATGTGGATCGGGACAAGACGGACGTCCATCTGGTTGGTAGCGAGAAAGCTGCACAATGCGAGTGAATGGGTTAGACCTGCGCGGCTGGGGATCCTCAGTCGTCGACATTACGTTGCATGAGCATGTTGGCGTGGCAGGTGGATGTGCGGTGGGCCGAACAGCGACGAGTTGATGAGCCGGCAGAGCAGGATCAGCCAGAGAGAGTCCTGCTAGTTGAGTTGCCAGCATTCGGCAGGAATTTCAACTGACGCACAGCACAATCACAATGCAGATGATCTGGTGTCCAGGACACAAAGAGTCTGTGCGCTGACTGGTTGGCTTGTGGCCTGTTGGACCGGAGAGACTTGGTCCGCTTGAAAGAAGAGTGGAGGAGATGGCAGTGGGCGGATCTGTTTCTGAAACCGGGCTGGTAACCAGCAACAGAGCCGCGAGACAGTTTGGGTAATTCCAGGCAGCGACTTTTACAGTTTGACTGAGGCTGGAAGGCTGCTGGCAACGGGAGCTGGCATTGACGAGCGCCGTCTTTTTATCCACTCTACAGTCGAAAGACAGAGACAACTTTCTTACAATTTCAAAGCAACCACTGGGAGCTGGGCAACTGGCTCCGGAGGCGCGTAGTTCGCTCCACCGTGTAGCCGCCTCCGAAAAGTCGGTGAGGCTGCGACTAATGAGGAGTTTGCAAGAGGGAACATTCCAGATTGACGAAGAGTGGCGAGTCTTAAGAGGGGAACAAAAAGCTTGGTACGAATAGTGAGTTGAGGCCTTTTCTCTCAACGCAAGTAGAAACTGAGACAGTTAGGGCTGGGCAGGGAATATGCAACAGCCAGCACGCCGAGTGTGTTAGTTGCAGGCCATCGGGCCGCCCATGTACATGCATGTACATACGAGTATGCACACGCAGCCCTGCATTATCATCTAGTTTTAAAAGAGAAAGAGGGCGTCTGCTGGACGGGGCACCCCTGGGTAAATCACCGCTGTCCATCTGGCAGCACCGCTTGGCTCAGGGTGATATTTGCCTCGGGGGTTGCTGTCAGTGGTCGGTTGGCGCGACTTCTCACGTGTGTACGGATACTACGGGTTTGGCGATACATACCTGTTATGTTAGGGGTCCGAGACATCTGAACTAATACGCCGCACTGGCTGCAGAAGGCCGTGGGGTTCAGCTGAACAAAGTTGGCAAGGGGTTGTCTTTTCAGCGCCATTTGACCGGCACCGGCTAGTTAGAAGATATTAACCCAACCACCCCCTCCAGGAACCACCACCCTGGTCCAGGAACCAGCTTATCAGTATAGCTAGGGAGGTTAGGAATTAATTAGTTAGTAGAAAAAAACAGATTAGTCAGCAAAAAATTAATAAGTTAACAGCTTAGTATAGACTATATAAAGCTACTATATTCCTTAAGCTAATTTATAAGACACTTCTATATATACTTCCCTAGGCTCTATATATATTACTTTATAGCTCTATATATACTACTTTATAGCTCTATATATATAGCTTTATAGCTCTATATATACCTCTTTAATACTCTATATATACTATTTTATAGCTCTATATCTATAGCTTTATAGCTCTATATATACCTTTTTAATACTCTATATATACTATTTTATAACTCTATATCTATAGCTTTATAGCTTTATATATACCTTTTTAATACTCTATATATACTACCCTTAAGCTCTATATATACTAATTTAAAGTAATTCTACTATACTTTCTACTAGCCTTACTCTTCTAGAATACTACTAAAGCTTAATTAGTTAAAAGATAATATAGATAATACTATCCTATTAGTTATAAATAAGACTAGTCTTTACTAAGCTATAGAATTATATTATATCCTATACTCTACCTTATAGAAGTATTATCTTAGTAGCCTAACTTATAGTAATACTAATAGTTATATATAATAATTAATATTAGCTTAGGAGATTATACTTTATAATTAGCTACTAATCTAGGAAAAACTAAGAATACTAATAACTTATACCTAAATATAGCTAATAGTATAGGAGCTAGTAGTTAAAAATAGTAATAATAGCCTACTTAGTTAAAATTAGTTTACTACCTTTAAAGAAAAAAACCTTATAATTACTACTTAGTATATTAAGATACTATATTAAAAGAAGGCTAATATTATATAGCTTAATATTATTAATAAGTTTTTTAATATTTATATAAACCTTATAATAATAAAGATTAACTAATTAAATTATTAAAATATAGATAAAATAGGCTTAGTTAAAAGTAATAGTTAGAATAGGCTTATAATTAGTATAAATTAAGATAATAAATATATATATTATATAGACTAAGAGTCTTTATAGTAGATTATAATTATTAAGTATATATTAATAACTAATTAAAAACTATTACCTTTAGTTATTTATAAAGGGGAGATAGTATAGGAATAGTAGTTCTTTATTAATCTAATATATTATAAGTCTTAATATATAGTATATAATAAAAAAGGGTAGACTATAAATAAGCTAAGCCTTTATTAGCTATAGGAAATTTTTATTCTTTATACTTAACTAATATAAGCTAATTAAAAGTAGTTATTAGTTCTAAATAGGTATAAGTCTTACTTAATAGATATTTTTTTTTTAATATATCTTTATAATAATATTTATATAGTTATAATCCCTATATATACCTTATATATCCTTTAACTACTTAATATTACTATTTATAGCCTATTAAAGAGGTAATATTAAGGTAGCCTATTAAAGCTTAAGTTTAGCTAAATAAGCTTCTTAAATAAGAAATAACTTTTCTTAGCTATATATATATAAATATATAACTAAGCTTTTAATACTAATAATATCTAATTAAAGTAGGCTATTATAGGTCTCTAGCTAATTAACTATATAATACCTTTAATAAGCTACTTTATTATATAAGAAGAGGATAAAATTAGCTTACTTCTATATAGTAATAATATATAAGCTTTACTAGTAAATATAGTCTTTATAAAAGACTAGCTAATTAAAATTTAAATACCTATAAAAAGTAAGGATATTTAGTAGTAAATAGTATATAACCTTACTATCTAATTTCTAAATTTAAAGACTTAATAGCTTTTTAAAAAAATATTTAAAGCCTTTAGCTAATTAGAAGGCCTAAATTAAAGGCTAACTAAGAAGGTTTCTACTTTATCTAGCTAATTAAAAAAGGTCTCTAAACCTACCCTATATAGGAAGATTTAGTAGGATAGTAATATAAGGTTTAGTATACTTAAATAGCTTTATAAGTAGTAAAATCTATTACTATAATAAGCTATATATTTAATAATAAGATTAATTACGTGGTGGGCGTTGCCCTCGGCATTCGCGCCGCCGGCCTGGTTGCGGGCGCAGCGGACAGCCGCCATCAGGCAGCCGAACTCGGCGTTGCCTAGGCCCGGGGCCGGGCCGTCCCCAGCGTAAGCCAGGAGCTAATCCTAGGCGGCGGCGGCCGCGGGCTTAACACTATTAACAGGCTATTAATAGGTTAACTAGGATTAGACCTAGTTAGGCTCTAGACTAGAATTAAAGAGACTTATTAGTATATAAACTTTATTATTTTTTATATACTTAGCATATATAGATATATTAAGATCTAGGACTAGATTAGGATAGGGGCTACCCTAGTATAGTATTAGGATACTTACTAGTCTACTTAAAGTAGGTAATAATATTAGTATTACCTATATACTTAAGGCACTAGCTATAAAGGATTAGTACTAGCTTACCTATAGTAATAACCTAGTATAAGTACTTAGTAGAGTAGTAAGGGGGTAAAAGGGGTAGCTAGCTAGATTAGTATTAGAATAGGGGTAGATAATAAATAGGTAAGGGTTACTTATATTATTAGTAATAATAGTAGTAGTATTAGACTAATAGGGTTAGGGATAAAATAGGGCTAGGTATATACTAGGGATAAGGTAACTTACTATAGTAGTAATAATAGTAATAGTTAAAATTTTTATTTTTCTAGAAAGTATTAGTAATATTAGGATAAGGCTAGGGGTAGCCTAGGTATAGCCTAAGGAGGTATATAAGGATAAGAAGGAAGGGAGTATATAAGTATAGTAGTAATAGTAATAAGAAACTAGTAAAGAGGAGAGTTAGTATAATTTAGTAGCTAGAGTAGGAAAGGCTTAGCCTAGGTAGGGGTAAAGGTAATAGTAAGGTATAGTATATATACTAAAAGTAAAGAAAATATATAATTATATATTATTAAGAAAGAAAAGAAAAGAGTAAAAATTAAGGAATTTAAGGCTTTTTAAATATTATAGTAAATAGGCTAGCTAGCTAGGTAGTAGGCTAAAAATAATAATAATTAAATATATATAATTATAACTCTTTCCCTACCTAGTATAGTAAATATAGTAAACTATATAAAGGCTAATATTAATCTAGAGGCTTTAAAGGGGTATAAGGATATAAATAAAGTAATTATAAAGTAAGAAGTAAAGATAAATATAAAAATATATAAAAATAAGAAAGTAATAAAGCTATCTTAACTAGTCTTAATATAGGTAAAGCCTTATAAGGGGTAAGGTTTTTACTTATTTAATATAGATAATATAGAAAATAAACTATAGAAGTTAAAAAGAAGAATAATAAGGATAGGTATTATAGCCTTTATAGCTATTACTATACCTATTTATACTTTAAAGTATCTAAGGATTAGGATTTAGGAGGGACCTTAACTATATATAGTACCTAGCCTAGGCTAGGATAAGGCTATAAGGGAAGGAGGTTAAGGAGGTTAAGTAGGGGATAGATAGGTTTATTAGCCTACTAAGTTTTATATATTTATACCTATTATTATTATCTTTTACTAAGATAAGGAGTATACTACTCCCTACTAGGAATTACTTTAGGATTATACTAAACCTATATTAAAGCTAGGGTTTTTCCTCTAGGTACTCTAGTTTTTTCCCTATCTTATAAGCTATAGAGGTACTAGATAGACTAGCTAGTCTAATTAGTATAATATAATAATAATAATAATAATAAGATTAATTATTTAGAAAAGAAAAAAATTACTAATAGCTTATTTAGTATATAAAGAATTTACTTATGTTTTTTTTTATCTTTAGTATTTTTACTTAATTAACTATAATTATTTTTATTATATTATCATTTTTATGTAGGGTAGAGTAGCAGATGTGGCTCAACTGCCTCCCAGCCACACTAATAAGCTGGTTCCTGGACCAGGGTGGTGGTTCCTGGAGGGGGTGGTTGGGTTACAGAAGAAAAAGTGTCGTCGTTTGACTCGTCGGCCGAGACGGCCCGGCGAGCATGTCATGTTTTGTTGCCTCTGCCGTTGTATATAGCACTAGTCAACTACCTTGCCAACTTGCCTGCCTGCGAGATGAAGCCTGAGACCAGCGATGAAAAACTGCAGGGGTCTTGTTAGTTCCAGGGTTTGAGGCGAAGTGTTCGGCGCGGCGTATCGGGCTAGATGGGAATATTGGAGCCTTGGGGGAGGGGGAGGCTGGCTGGCTGGGTTTCCTTGTTTGTACCCTAATAACTAACTCAAAGTAATGGAGCCAGGGACGCATTTCACCGAGAACAAAAAAAATGCGGAATGGGCAGAGGGAACTCTCTAGCCATCGCCATAGAGAGCTTGATTGCTCTGAAGCATTGGCTACCTTCTGATCAACAAAGCTCAATAGCCGGAGCATGTTCGTCAGTCCCCGTACAACATCATCAGTGTGACATGTAACTCGGGCCAAGAACATCGACGTAGCCGCCCAGTGTGCCACTAAATTAAGCCAAACAGCCCCAGCCAGGGACGGCGAGATGCGACCCCGTTGCCGCCAGTGTCCCTGTGACGAATCAATCGATCATGCACGCCATTCACCTCCCCAGCAAACATGGCCTGGAAGTAACTAGTTACCAAAACACAAACAGGCTGCCAAGTACCTCCATCCCGAGACTCCCCATGCAGGCAAAGGCGGTGCGTGAACGTACAATCCATCTTTGTTTGATATCACATCACGTTGTCTGGAAAGGTCCCCCTGCAGGACGGGCCCCGACCTGCAAAAAAGTGGTTGGACGGGGTTTTGCGCCTGCGCACTCTGGGGCATTTGGAATTTTTGCAAAGTTTTACTCGAGGACAATAAGAAGTTTAAAACGTCCATTGTGTGGTTTCTCGACTGCGGTGCAAACAATTGCCGCTACCTATGAACTGGTAGTCTCTCGCCTCTCTGATGGAGTTTGGCTCACAGGTTTTCGAGTCCGTCCCGCTGCTACAGATTACATAGGGTTGCTATTTCCCACCAGCGTATGACATCCTAGTTATTTAGGTACTTCCCTATAGTACAGTAATAGTGTATCTAGGAACACAGATGGCGTAATTCAGGAACTGTACGCAAAAGGGTGCACGCAACTTCGTCAATCATCTTTCCTGGACAAAATCCGCACATCTCCAACTACAAAACCTCTTTGATTGGGTCGCCGTAGACCCTTTTTTGTACCAACTTTGGACACAGAGGAGGGCTAGGTAATTTACTGTCCGCTCCTCTGGCAGCGTTCGGCGCCCCCAATTCCACAGAGGAACCAGAGGAACTAACTAACCACAACCACGCAAGTGCCACCAGACCAACACCGGGCCACCCCTGGCCCGCCATGCCGTGCCCGCCTAGAAAAGGGTTGAGGGAAGCCCCAGTGTGGTAGCTCGGTGTGCTCGGGTACCTGTGCCCAAAATGGTCGTGCCGGTTCACCCTCTGTTCTTCCCACCACTGAGCCAATGACTGGGCGAGGAAAGCCGTAGAAGAGGGCTGGCCAGGCGAGGACAAGCGAAGAGGTTGGCAGGCGAGAAAGAGATGCTAAGTTAGCCTGCCCCAGGCCTCCACAAGTGGCAGGCTCTGCTGCAGTTAGCTACACATACATAATACATACAACTAGACAAAATCTATCCTCTTCGTGGTATTAAAAAATAGTTTAGCTAACAAAGTAAGAGTTGAATAAGAGTCATACGCATACGCCAGACGATTACAACCCTCTGATAACCTGGTCTGGCCATGTGCCACAAGGCTTCTGTTGTACCTTGACAAGTCCTGTACGTCCTGTACTCCTCCGTACAGATACACGTAGCTGTGCTCTAATTTGTACGGATAGCAGGCTTGCAGATGGCACGCGCGACAGAGTCCCGCCTCCACACAATTGGTTGACAGCCATCCCTAGCATTTATTCACCCTCTCCATCTTGGCTTTTTTCTCTCCCTTCGATATCGCAAGTTATTTCCTACAGTTCTCATTGTTAGCTGTGCCATATTACGACTGCAATTTGACGTCTCATCATCGCCATCACAGCCCCAAGGAGACTACGCCGCTGTATCTCACAGTGAGCGGCCGCAGCAAATAGGGGCTTAGGTTTATTCGGTGAGTTTGCCATCTCACATCCTTTTTAATTCTTCACCAATTCAGATACCATATATCTGGTCACATGCCTTCTTTCCCAAACCCTCCGCGCTTCTTATCGAATTTCCCTATTTTCCAGCCCTGCCCTGTCTTCTCGCTTGAGCTTTTGTGCGGCGGTCTGCACATGGCCGGGGGGGGGGGGGCATGGGGCAATGGCGACGGTGACACTGAACAAGCAGCCAAAAAAAAAAAAAAAACTGCCAGCCTGGAACGTCTACTTGTCGCACAGCCCGAATACTTTCTTGAAAGCTCATTGCATTGTGATTCTGTCATCACAAACCCAGACGAGACAGCCCAAATCGTACAGCGCAGAACGACCCGGGTCCTCGCAGGACTCGCAGGACTCGCTGGAGCGATCACTCGTTCACACACTTCGGTCGCATACCCCTAAAAGGAAGTTGCCAGCAGCCCGGCGGCCTAGCCCTGCTCTGTGTCCAAAGTTGGTACAAAACAGGTACTTTGCCTTGCTGTCGCCAACTACTCCGTACCCAGGGCCCAACTGACCCTGCCCATCTCTTCATCACGGCGCTTGTCTCTCTGAGTAAACCTCGCGGTCCAGAGGACCAGAGGTACTTACTTGGCTGGGTCACCACCACCGCCACCACCCCCAAAGCCTGTGCCGGTGCCGCCCATGCACCCCCCCGTCTGTCCCATCCATCCACCCACCCGTCCCATCCACCCCGCCTCAACGTCGCCTCGTCGTCCCTGACTCTCTCTTGCTCTTCCCTCCTTCACTGCGCACGCTGACATCCTCTCCTCGCCCCCTTGTCCATGACGGCAGCCTCTTGAGACGCTTAACCCTGCGGTGCCAATCCGGCGTGTACGAGACTTGCCCACCATGGACGACTTCCGTTTCCGTTCCCAGCAGCAGCAGCAGCAACAGCAGCAACAGCAGCAGCAGCAGCAGCACCAGCCGTCGAGGAACGACATGTCAATCTCCTCTCTAGTTTCACCACCTCGCAACGGCAACTCCAGAATGGTCATGCAGCAACCATCCGCTCACGACCATCGCGCAAACCTCCCTCGCCGCTTCACTACCGATTCCGGCCGTGTCCCGACCTTGTCCAGCATGACTTCGCCTGCCAAGGGCCCTGAGCTGTCGCACGACTACTCTTCTCCCAATGTCAGTATTGCAACGGTGCCTCTCAACTTTTTTCCCCATCACAAGCGTCCTTGCGCCCAGCGTGGATGCCTCAGAGGCCCTGCCTTTTTGTATTTGCTATACTGACATGCATGATAGCAAACGCTACACAAGGTTCAATTGGTATGTGTGAACCTCCGACGCCATGTTTGTCGATACTAGCCACCAAAAGTCTCTGGCACGCCGCAGCAACACCTGCCGAGGCTATGAGCTTCTCGCCCACCGCCACGCCCAGCCCGCGTCGCCGGGAACGAGAAGGCCACGATTGTGCTAACGTTTTTTTCTCCTGGCGTAGATTGAACAAAAGAAAATGGAGTATGAGAGAATTCGAGAGCAACGCCGCCGCTTCGAGCTGGAAATGCAAAAGCTCGACCAGCAGCAGCGTCGTGAGGCTCAAGAACTCGCCCAGATGGAGGAGGAGATTGTTCGTCTCGGCGGCCATCAGTCCGAACCCACCACTCCCCCCGAATATCGCGACCACAACTCCGGCTTCCCCTCCATGTTCTCGCGACCGAATCGTTATTCCACCTCGAGCCTCACCTCGCCCCCGGGTATCTTTAATCGCCCCGGCAGATCAGGCTCGCAGGTGACTTCTCCGCCTTCTGGCATCATGCAGCCTCGTTACGGATACGACGAACTGTTGCTGCCCTCGCGATCTGTTCCCACCACTCGTCGAAACAGCGACGATGAGAAAGAGGAGGCTGTTCGACAGGATCCTTCAAGCCATCGATCTGGCAACGCGTACGTCACCGTTCCACTTTCCGCACTGCAAATCACAGGGCTGCGAATTTTGAGACTGTCAGAGAGTCTTTATTTGTGCCGTGGCACCTGCGCTGAGCCGGCCATCCAAAATGATGCGCTTGATCATGCGCATGGTGTTGTGCATGGTAATGTGCTTCTCCTTGCTGGCGAAGCCCTTGGCAGTCGAATTTTCTCAATGCCGCAAAAGAACTAAAACAGGAAGCGTTCTCGTACTGTCGTCTGTATCCTAACGTTAGTAACAGGTTCAACCGTTATTCGATGCCAGTCACCAAGTCCAAGAACGGTTTGTATGAGGTGAACCTGGACCAAACCAACACGGCTCGATTCCTGTTCGGCGAGGATGAACCAAGTGCCTTTCCACGGCGCGACACCCCGGACCACAACTTCCCGACACTTGTGCGTCGTGATGACCAGATTGTAAGTTTGTCATTTCTGTTTGTGTGATTAATCAGAGAAATTCTGCTCTGAAAGTGCCGGGCGGTCTGCCGTTTACTCTGCCAGCTGGTGGCGGCTGCACACTCATGCGGACTGTGCAAACGCCCACATGGGCAGCGCTGCTCACCTGAATCTTCTCCCCTTCACAACGTGGTTTGAGCAAGTGCTTTTACTGCTTCTTCCCGCCTTTGCCCTTTTTCTTGCCTCTTTTTGACCCGTTTGTCTTGCGTGCTTTCTGACCTTGGTGTGCTCTCCGTTCAGCTTTCTGCATCTTCTGCCGCTCTCGACCTTGCCTTGTCTCCATCGCCGAAACCTGATGCCAGCAGAAACTGGGGTAATGTTAACCGACATCGCGCACAGCAGAGCCTCTCCTCTTTGAACACCAACGGAAGTTCCAGCCAGCTCGGTGATTTCAGCGCCATTGGAAGCCGCCCTGCTTCTATGCGCCATTCCCTTGACCTCAAGTACATCCCCGAGAGCGGCGACGGAAACGCTGGTGTTATTTCTCCCAAGGGCACTCACGTTGTTACAACTCCTCCCAAGCTTCAGAGCTCCTTCTCCGCCAACGAGATCACCACTGTCAAGAACTCCTCTGGATCTTCCATGATGGCCAACAATGCCAACAACCACGCCCAACAGCATTTTCACAACCACAACGCCAATATGGGAAGGATCCCCGCTGGGGCTGTGCAAGCACGTCACAGTCGTGAACTTTCTAGCGACAGTTCCATGAATGCCGGTCGAGACCAAGTGAACCCTTACCAGTCCCTTCACTCTGCTTTGCAAGCAAGTGCCGCGCCATTTGGCCCTAGCATGACCACCTCTGCGGCTCCTTTCAGTTCTGCAACAGCTACATCCGGTTCTACATCTCCGGCAATGAACGGTATGAATGGCATGAACGGTTCTAACGGATTGAACGGCATCGGTGCTATGAACGGAATGACCGGGTTCCCTGGCTACTATCCTACGAATGGGTACCAGACCAACGGCGCCAATGGTGCACAATTTGGTGGGCCAATGCTTGCAGCCGGCATGCAGCAGCTGAATCTTAATGGTGTTGCGTCTGGTAACATGTATCCTGTGCAAACCTTTTCAGGGTACAACGGCGTTCCATTCCAGCACGGCCCTGGGGCCCCTCAGAGAGACAGCCAGGCTCGTGTCATTCAGAATCGGCGACAGCAACTGGACCCTGACGGTAAGTTCACACTACTCCGACCTTGAACCCTCATGACGGCGCGCTAATAAATAACCAGCCATGTCTCGCTACCACAACATGCCTCTCGAATCTTTCCGTTCCCAGATTTACGATCTCTGCAAGGATCAACACGGTTGCCGATATCTCCAGAAGAAGCTAGAAGAACGCAACCCCGAGCAAGTTCACATGATTTGGTTTGAGACCAACCAGCACGTCATCGAGCTCATGACGGATCCATTTGGTAATTATTTGTGCCAAAAGCTCCTCGAGTTCTGCAATGACGACGAGCGAACGGTCTTGATCCAGAATGCCTCTCAAGACATGGTTCGCATTGCCCTCAACCAGCACGGCACTCGCGCCCTGCAAAAGATGATTGAGTATGTCAACACTCCACAGCAGGTTCACCTCATCATCGAAGCTCTCCGATTCCGCGTTGTAGAGCTCATTCAAGACCTGAACGGAAATCATGTCATCCAGAAGTGTCTTAACAAGCTCACTTCTCTTGATGCACAGTTCATTTTCGATGCGGTTGGCAATAACTGTATCGAAGTTGGCACCCATCGCCATGGCTGCTGTGTCTTGCAGCGCTGCATCGACCATGCATCTGGAGACCAGAAGCAGTGGCTCGTTGCGCGTATCACTGCCCATGCCAGGATTCTTGTCCAGGACCCGTTCGGCAACTACGTCGTCCAGTACATCATCGACTTGAATGAGCCAACATTCACCGAACCGGTTGTTGCTACTTTCCAAGGATGCATTGGACAGCTCTCTCGCCACAAGTTTAGCTCCAATGTCATCGAAAAGTGTCTTCGGTGCGCTCAACCGCCGTCGAGAGATATGATTGTGGAAGAAATGCTGGCCGCCCCAGAAATTGAGCGTCTTCTCCGGGACTCCTTTGCCAACTATGTGATCCAGACGGCTCTCGAGTTTGCCACCCCTCAACTGAAATATCGCTTGGTGGAGGCCATTCGACCCGTTCTGCCGCAGATCCGTACAACACCTTACGGACGCCGCATTCAGGCAAAAATTTCGGCCTACGACGGTCGCGGAAGCGCTGTGTCCAGCGGCCAAGCTACCCCAGCCGATAACACACAAGGGCAGATTCCTCTGCGACCTGCCCACGCGAGGGGTATGTCTGGCACCATTGCGCAGAACAACCTCGCTGCCAACGGCGCTCCTGCGTCTAGCAGTGATAACCAAGCTGCCCGCCAAAACATGCCCCCGTACGGCGGCAACGGTGCAATAGCTTCGGCGGTCCCGGCGCAAACCCATGTTCAGCAGCCTCAATTTGGACAGAATGGCAGCAACACCAATGGTGTGACTATGCAGTCGCCCATGAATGGTGGTGCAGAGAACATGGAGCCTCGCTGGGTGTAACTTTATTGGAGACGCAGATATGATAGGTCATCATCACTTGCTTGTACAACATGACGCCCCGGCAGTGGTTTGTTTCAGCTGCTTCTTTGCTGAACCCGATTCTGCTGGCTCACGACTCTGATGAACTCTTTTACCACTTGTTTGAATAAAAAAAGCAACGCATCGCAGGACAATCGCGTGTCACCCCGCCATCGATATCCGACAAAGCACGACATCCTTTGAGGGATGGTCTGTGTGTACATTACAAGCGGAAAAGGGAAAAAAAATATTTTATGAGAAGGAAAATGGACCCCATCTGGAAAGCGCGTGCCTGGCACGACGCTGATTATACAACATTTAGCTCCTGCGCTTTGTTTTTTTCTTTCTTTGTTTCTGTTTCCGAGAATTGTGCTTTTTCTCTTCTTTCTTCTCTGGCTTGCCCCGACTTGCAACAACGCCGTGAAGAACTACTTCTCGAAGCAAGGCGAGATTAGTTGCGGAGAGTTGCAAGTCTAATGGTTGGCCGCGGATTTGATTTGTTGTCTTATTTTGACATTTGGATGATACTCTTTGCACGTTTACACCGCATCATTTGAAGCCGTTTGGATGGAAATTTACCTCGTCTAAGTGACGGGAGCTTCAATCACAAAGGTACAAAGTGTAGCGGGGGTTTAACGTGAAGGAGTTTCCCTCTTTTTCCTTCTTCTGGCATATTGTATGATTGTTTAGGTATAGGGAATGAATTATATATATACAGATATACACAAAGATGACGACCAAGCTGCAAATATCTCGTGTGTGTTGGAGAGGATGTGTAGTGTCATCTAACTTTGGTCTACGCCCAGAGGAAACCACTTGGTAGTTGCTTGTCCAACCAGACCCCGTCGACTCAAGTGAGAGACGTATCGTGTAGAACATAGTCCTGGTGGGAGAGGCAAGCAAGCCTCATTGTCCTGGCCGTTCTGCTGTGGCGCCGAGCAGAGAAGCGTGCGTCGATCGGATTCACGTACTTCGATGGTACTTGTTTCTATGCCCAATCGCTGTTCCGCGTGACAGCTGGCACACCTTAAAAAGCAATGCCCGTTACCCGAGCCGCTCCCCAATTCATGGGCACATAGTGCGGATGCACGCCCATATTGACGATTTCTGGCTGGATACTAATGTAGAATCGCGCAAACGCCTCCATCTCCTCTGTCGTGTACGGTACCGGTGGGGGCCTGTCATTGGCCTTTCCGCTCCCCATCTTGGCGACTCTCGACGACCACGTCGCCATCACCGACGCCGTCTCCCTCGTCGCCGGACCGCGATCCTGCCGATCGTGCAGCTGAAAGAGCTCGTCCGCCTCGCACGAGATTGCGGGACCGCCCGCGGACACAATGGCCCGCTCCACGCAGCCATCCTTGATGAAAAAGGGCAGGTTGAACACCACGTGGGTCGATTTCTCGTCCGTCTCGGCCTGCCAGGACCAGCCGGTGAGAGCGCCGCAGCCATTCTCTTCTTGGTGGAGCTTCGTGCCGCCATCGGTCGCCCAGCCCTCAATGTCGTAGACGGAAAACGTCCAGAAGAGGAAGCTGTCTGAGATGGCGCAGCGTGCGTAGGGTGTTCGTGTTGCAGGCTGTATGGAGAGCGTCGTCTCGGGGCCTTGGTGGGGAAACAGGTAATCTTGCCAGACCGACTCGAACCAGGAGTGCTGCAGGTCGGCGACGGATATGGCCACGTCGTAGGGCTCGAACGTCGCGGGAGCGACGTCCTCGCTGAGCAGGCCGTCGAACATGATGGTGTGTTGTCCGTCGGGCCGGTCCGGGTCGTCCGGGTCGTCCAGGTCGCCGCCGGAGCTTCCGCCGCCACCTTGGCCACCAAAGACGCTTGGTGGGCAGAATGGGCAGTCCGAGTCGCACCAGAGAAGGCACGGCCTCCCGCAGTCGTGACAGTCTGGCTGGGCGGTGGGCTCCGGTACCTTGCCCGACTTCCACGTCGGCGTCTTCGAGTTGAGCACCGGGTCGGTCGTGCCGGGCGTGGGCTTGCTAGACGGGTACGGATGGGGCGTGACGGTGACGCCAGTGGGGAGCAGGGTTCTGCCCCCGACGATGATGGTGCTCTTCCCAAGCGTCTCCGTCTCCGCGGGCGGAGCATGGGTCTTGGTGCCCCAGATGATGGCCGCTGGTGTCGTCGTCGACGTCGACGTAGGGTTGATGATGGACGTCGTGCCGTCGATGATGGGTGTGACCTGGACCGTGAACGGGGGCGGCTGCACGGAGCTCGTCAGGATGATGGGGCCGCCGCCGGTGCTGCTCGCGTTGTTGAGCGTGACGCCCCAGACGGGGATCGCCGTGGTGACGAGCGGGGGGATGGACAGGACGGTGTGCCAGGTGACGTAGACATAGGCCGGATACGTCGAGGTGATGCCGCTTCGCGTCGTCGTCTTGATGGTCGGGCTCGAGTAGCTGACCACGGTGCTCCACGGCTCAAACGTGATGGTCGTCGGCGACGCGAGCGGCATCGGCGGCCACACGAGGGTCGCGCCGGGCGGCGCCGTGACGAGCTGCGTGGCCGACTGCCAAATCTTGGGGTCGATGTAGATGGTCTTGTGCGAGTCGGCAGCCTCGTCAGGCCCCTCGCCGCTCTCAGACTGCAGGTCCACGGCCCAGTCGGCGGTCCCGAGGAAGTTCATGCCCTTGTAGAGGAGCTTGCGGAAGGCCTTGTTCTGCGGGCTCATGTGGGCGACCCATTGTGTATTGTTGAACACGACAATGTCCGAGTAGGACCCCGGGTCGAGGTGCGTCTGCGCCGACGGGCTGTGCGCCAGGATCTCGTTGATCTCAAAGTCGGAGATGTAGCCGGCGGTGCCTGTGCAGCGGCCCTTGTACGCGCCCGACTCCGGACCGGTGTAGGTGCATTGCTCGGTCCAGCAGCCGGCCTCGGACATCTGAAACGAGCGGCCGTAGCTGCTGACGCCGACGACAATCATATCCGACGGCACGTCGGCCTTTGTGATCATGGACAGCACGTTGATGGTCTCGGTGAGGTTGACGTGCGAGCGCAGGCAGTTGCCGAGCCCCTGTTCGTAGGAGCCGCAACCCGAGGAGGAATACTTGTTGGTGTAGTCCCACTGCCCGTGCAGGTCGTACGTCATCAAGACGATGTAGTCAACCACCAGGCTGATGCCCTGGATGGGGAAGTGCTGCAGGTACCAGTAGGACGCCGGCGCGGTCACGGAGACAGTCTTTCCCTCGGGCATCTTCTTCCGCAGCTGTTGAAAGAAGAGATAGAAGCCGACCTGGTCGTCGAGGGTACCGGGGGGGATGCCAGGGATGTCAGGCTCATCGGGATACTCCCAGTCCCAGTCGACGCCATCCAGGTCATTGTCCGTCAGGAACTTGACCACGTTGTCGATGAGCTTGCCGCGGTTCACCTCACCGCGGAAGGCGCTGCGGAAGATCTTATAGGTGGCGACATCTGTGGAGAATGCCCAGCCACCGATGGAAACAATCTTTTTGATCCCTGTCAGGCTCCTGAACAGATTAAACTGCGTCGCCGTGTCGTGGACGCTGATGGACAGGTCGTCGGTGAGCACGGCAAAGGAGAAGTGGGCGTGGGTGTACTTGGAGGCGTCGATCTGATCCGCGGCCATGCGCAGGCAGGGGCGGTCCCAGTCGTAGGCCTCAAAGTAGGCAATGGTGTAGGTGTCCTGGGGGGTGTGGCCGGTGATGACGTCGGTGCCGCAGTTGGAGATGCACCCATTCTCACCGGGAGCGGCCGTGCCGGGTGCTCCGGTGGGGGACTTGGAGGGCGTGCAGAACTCGCCGGTCGTGCCGCACTGGCCCCAGATGTTGCAGCATGCTTTGAGTCTACATGCATTGAGACTCGCCGGGTCGATGTCGTGGGGGTATCTGCCGGTGCCCTTGACCTGCGGCCCGCAGACGGCGTTCTTGACCGGCGCGGGCCTCGGAGGATAGCCCTTGCTGAGACAGATGTAGTAACCCGCAAAAATCTTGTTGCAGCCGTTCCTGGTTCGGTGATGTTAGACTGATGCCAACTACATAGGTAGCAGAGCGCACATCACTTGGAATCAATCACTTACCATCCCCATGTTTTCTTATTCCACTCTTCAATGTCGTCGTTTTTGATTCCGTACGTGGCTGATAATGCAGAGCAGCTATCTCCCATCTTGACCAGATATGAGTGACAGTAGCCGTCCGAGTCTGGAGCCAAAGCGCGCCTTTCATTTGTACCTGCCGCACCCGACGCACTGCAGCACAGTCGCTGCCCGAGCAGATACTTGCCAAAGTGTGTGGCCCCTGGATTGTATTGGGCGAATTGGCTGATGCTCAGGCCACATTCGCGCGCCAGGGTTTCGAGGCCATCGCCCGCCTCGACCTGGATCGGGCTGCAGCCGTCTCTGTCTCCTCGCCCTGTCAGTGTTGCCGGGCTCCTTGGCAGGCCATTGCTTCCAGAGAAGCTGCCGTGAGATACAGTCGTTTCATTCGCTCCTCCAAAGCTAGCGCTGATAGCCAGTGGCGATGCAAATGTCACCGGCTCCCAGCGCACCGGGGCCGCTTCGGTAGCAACGCATGTGCCGTTCTTCCACGACTGGAGCGCTCGCTGCACCCGGCCAAACTCGCCGTCGATGCCAATGTAGATGCCAAAGGTATAACGGGCAGTGGAGTTGCCACACAGCTGAACGACAGTCTGCTCTGCAACAGTTTCGCCTTTTGACAGCTTGGCGCGAAGCTTGTCGAGCGCAGCCGTCAAGACGCCCTGGTCAGCCAGCCCGGATCCGGCGTACACTCCCACGGCAGCATTCCCCGAAGACGCAAATTTCAGCATTTCGTTGCAGCCCGAGTCGTGAGAGCTGTAGAATGCCTTTAGCAAATCCAGGCTGGCAGTGATGTCGGTCAGGTTCGTGACGGAGGACCCGGAGCTCGATAGTTGCAGGGACGTTGTAACATTTCCGCGCGGCACCCCCTCTCGCGAGCAACGGGAAGCGTCAGATCTCCGATTCAGCACCGGCGTGGTCGACTTGGAAGATGTGAGACTCGCGGCACAGGCGTGAATGGCGACCTGAGCGTCGGGTCCGTCGACGCGATTGAACAGCGCAAAGTCCAGAAGCATGGTGCTGTTGCAGGCCCGTTTCAAAGCATCGAGGCCACCGTACAGATACCAGGAAGACGTGTCGCCGAGCGCTTCGAAGCAGCTCGTCGGGCATCCGATCCTGTGCTGGACGTGTCCAAGCTTGGTGGTGTCTTTCGCCAAGAGCGCGAGCCGAGCGGTCTCTCTGTCAGCAGACTGGGCTGCGCCATTGCTCTGGGAGACTGGTATGTTTGCGAGGTATGACTTGACGTCGTCTTGAATCTTCTTCGCGAGTCCGAAAGCTCCCGCATTGAAAAGGACACACGCGAGCGTCGTGCATGGAAGGAACCTCATGATGTGGCGATAGAGCGAGAGACTGGGCAGTCTTTCACCTTGAAGTTTGATAGTGCGTGAGGCAGATTCTACTTGTCGGAACAGAACAGAACTGTACTCTAAGCAGAGATGGCAGTATGAAAGTACAGGAAAAGAATGACTTGGTTCGCATCAGGTTTGGCAGCGTGCTGCGAGATTGTGCAGCCTGCATGCGCAAGACCCGCGAACTCTTGTAGAATTTGCTAACATGACCGTAAATTACTGTTAGAAATTTGCTCATTCAACGACCCGAAATTCTCTTCTAGTCTCAATTTCTGTTCTGCATAGTACTTCCCAACGTGGTAACAATCCGTCAACCCTGCAAGATAGCGCCAAAATACACCAAAACGGGCAATTTTCCGATCAATACATTGCGGGCTTGATGAGTTCGATGAGAAACAATACCTGAGCATCAGCCGCATGCCCCATATGCGCGGAGATGCAGGGCCCGGATACACGCAGATGCCACAGTATTCATTACTTTACGGAGCTATGCAAGTTGAATGGACCCAGTGGCGTGAGAAGGATATAACTAGTATATGGAGGACATATTAGGCAGCCAATACTGACTAACTATTGCTTCTTCAGTCATTGCTATTTTGGTCGCCCTTTGCATTCGGAAGCCCACAACTCCAACCACCTCGGTCAAGACGCAACTAGAGAATGGAAGAGTATGCCCACAGTAGTGAGCTGTTGTACCCCCCCCGGCGATCTTTGAGTTTTCGCATTGTTTCTTTTACACTGACTTTCTTTCTAATTACCGTTATGGGCGAGTATTACCATTCAACACTGGAGTCGGAAGATATGTAGAAAGATAGACCAACTACAATACCCCCTCCTTGACTGTTTCGTCTTCTTTTTCCTCCAACGTACGACTGAATTGCAATCTTCAAAATGGTCCGCATACAACAGTCGCTCTACTGGGCGTCCACCCTTGTCAGACTGACCAGCGCATTCCTGGTCAATCCCCCGGGAGCCGCCATACCCGGGGCAACCTCTCGTTGCAGCAAATGGGTTCAAGATGCATACCTGCTGTCCTGCGACAAGATCACCAACGCCTTTGGCATGACCAAGGACCAATTCAAGGAATGGGTATGTCCTCGTGCCGTCTGAGGCCCTTGAAAGCATGCTCACTCGAACGCAGAACCCGAGCGTCGGCGATACAGGCGCAGATTGTCAGATGATCCAGGGCCTCTACTACTGCGTTGAGGTCGACTTTCACCCACTTACACTGACCTCGACCTCGACAACGACCACCGGCACTAGCACCAGCACCAGCACCACGGAAGAGCCTCAGCATTCTCCAACTCAAGCCGGAATGGCCCCTGATTGCGATGACTTCTACCTCGTCAGTCACGGCGACACCTGCGCGGCTGTCGAGTCCAAGTACCACATCAGCGCCGCCGATTTCCTGCGCTGGAATCCCGCCATAGGAGCAGGCAAGTCATCATGCCGCTGCAGTTCATCTCCCGTCATCTAATCCCTCATCTCTATGATAGACTGCACCGGTCTTTGGCTGGGCTATTATGTCTGCATCCACGTTCCCGGAGCTGCCACCACTATCCAGTCGCCAGCCATCACTACCACCACCACCCCCTCCGAAGGGTATGTAATCTACCTTGGTCTACCATTCACCCAACACAGCTCCTAATTTTTTGCCTAGTATCACCACTCCGCAGCCGACGCAGCCGGGCATGGTCAATAACTGCGACCGCTTCGTCTTCATCAAGCCCGGCGACAACTGCGGCGCCGTTGCCTCCGCCGCCGGCATCTCCCTGACCGACTTTATCCTTTGGAACCCCAACGCGGGCAGCACCTGCTCCGGGCTCTGGGCGAACAGCTACGCGTGCGTCCACCTGATCCCCTCCCTCACCCTCGCCACGCGGTACGGCGATGGCTGTGCGGGTGCCGTCCAGAGCACCGAGGAGTTTCCGCCGAGCGGCGCCGGCCACTGCGTCAACACCGACTGCAAAGTGACGTCGCTCGACATTTCCGCCAAGGGAACCTGTCCGGACGGCGAGGTCCGCATCAGCTACTGGGAGCAGGCCAACTGCCAGGGCAAGTGGTTCGGCTACGGCTACGCGAGCCGTGGGCAGTGCCGGACGCTGTGGTCAGGAGGTTGGGGCTTCAAGTCGTTGTATATTGCTTGCGAACCTAAGGACAGGGACTGTGTTAGCCAGGAAACTTGCACTATTGACCCCCTGCCCAACTCCCATATCTGCTAGCTGCCCAGGCATCTCCTCTTTCCTTCTAACTTGTAGAGTTGTTCTGAAACTGCTACCAAGAGCCTACTGGTGTCTAGCCGTCAGAGGTTGGTTTACATGTATCTTAGTAACCAAACTTCTAAAAAATGCATTCTCTTTTGGACGATAAATGTTACCTTTCCAAGTTATTCTTTTTGATTCTGCAAAGCTCGGCCTCCAGGCGTGAGAAGACATCCAGATGTACGCTTCTCGCGACGACTGAGCACTTGTGAGGCATATAATTTTCAAAAACACCCTGCACTTCCACAGCTCTGGGATGCTTTAGATGAATATCCGCGCCGCCTCTGATCAACACCTCGACTATTTCGTCAAACTTGAGCTCCGCAGCGAGATACACAGGGCGACCGCAAGAGTACTGCGGCGGCGGTAGATGCAATTCGCGGGCCTGTCGCGGATGCCCGCGGCATATGTTGTGGTACGCCACGTTGGGATCTGCACCGTGGGCGAGCAGCAGGTGCACGAGCTCCATGTTCCCAAGACGCACGGCGCGTGCGAGAGGTGGTGTAAAGTCAGAGTCTGTATCCAGCCGAGGATCGGGGCCGAAGATGCGGCCATAGTAATCCGGTCGCTGCGGCCACTTGGGGTCCTCATACTCACACCTGACAGAGCTGGCGAGGAGAGCCTCGACCATCGGAAGATCTTCCTGCTCCACGGCGAGACAAAGCGCCCTGGTAGCTGCACACCTTTCCGTCCTACCAACCAGCCGGCGCACGAGAGCGAGGTTGCGACGCAACACGGCCGTGACCAGAGCAGGGCCGTGTTGGGGATAGCCGACAAAATTGATATCAGCGCCTCGTTCGAGAAACAGGTCCACAAGATCCATTCTTTGATGTTCAATTGCCCACTCTAGCGGTGCGACCGGAATGTCCTCTCGGACGTGTGGCATTGGCATAAGATAAGTATCGTATGTCTCCTGCCACATAAGAACTATCGTGTTGAGGTCTGCACCGCGATCGAGAATCTGGCAGACCATCTCTGCACTGCACTGCATTTTCAGGGCAACTGCAAGCGCTCTCGTTAGTTGAAAAGGCGCGCAAGACTTGGACCAGTGGCGATTTGGCGAGTATGCGTAGCGACGTACGCAAGACTCGCAAGAAGCTCCCAATTCCGACAGTCGCAGGTTCCACCCCGACAATATCGACTCCAGCTGTTCAAGACCGCAGAGTTTAGCTTGCTCGCTTGATAGAAGAGCTTTTCCGGTTACTGAGTTTGAGAATCGAAAGTCTGCGACCATGTCATCCCAGACAATGTGCCATGCTGTGTCTGGAGGCGTTGGGCTGGAATAAATTGCTCGCGCTTCCTCGCTCATTATCACGCCGAAAGATCTCCAAAATGATATCGGGCCCATATATTCTTTCTCATAGACCACACCCTGAGAGGTCCGCCGTTCCGGAAACCTCAAAGGCCTACCGTCAGCTCGAGGCTCAAGGGCGAGCACGTCATCGTCGCTGCTGCACCGAAAGACATTGGTATCTCTATTAGCGCATTCTTGACGCGCTATGCTCTGAAAAAAAGAGGAACTCAGAATCTCTTGAGCACCCCTTGCACCTAGACGCTTCTCGGGGTCTGAGTGTAAAAGCATACCCAACACTTCTTTGGCAGAGGCGGAAAGATAGCCCGGGAATGACAGGTCGTCCCCGCCCTTCTTCTTCCGGCCACCCTGCCCGGAACAGGAAAGCAAAGGGGGAAGACCTGTGAGCATTTCATATAAAAGAATGCCGAGATCCCACCAGTCCGTCATTTTCGTTCGCGGGAGGCCCTCACTGAGCTCGGGCGCCAGACACCCGACAAGCGTCGCGTCGGCCCCAAGAATGAATGCCGTGGACGCACATAGGCAAATGTGGTCAAAACAGTCCAGCATGACAGTTTCTGGGCGTAAACATGCAACGGTGTTGTTACTATGCAGCCATTTGAGCGCGCAGATGAGTTGGGCTCCGTATTTCCTCACTCGTGCCTCGGTAAAGCGTCGCTCTCGTTGAAGGTGGACGAAGAGATTTCCGCCGCCCGGAATGACCGTGAGCAAATAGAACAGCGTCCTTTCAGCTTGGTAGACAGAGATGACCGGGCTGATGAACGGCGCCGTTCCGTGTGTGGCATCGAGCAAGTCGGTCCGAAGAGGCGATTCAGCAGTGGAACGAACAGCCACCAGCGCACACCTTAGGCCATCGCCATGCCGGACGTAGACGACTTTACCTGGACTGTATTTTCCAGGAATCAAGGTGGATAGGCGCTCCGACAGGGGTAGAAACTCTTGAGAGGAATAGAGTTGCAGAGAGAGCGAGCCTTGGCCATGATGACTGTCGACATGCAGCGATGCCTGCGTATCCAGTTGCTTTGGCTCGGTGCGGAAAGAGCAAAGAAGAACGTTCGTTTCAGTCCCGTGGTTTTGCGCGATTATATGCACAGTAATTTTCGGAGAATCCTCACGCACCCAATAATGGAGGAAGGCCTCCGGCCGCTCCCAAAAAACGATTGTGTCTTCGGCATCTGCGCCAGGCTTCAGCTTCAGAACCCGCACCCGCTGCTTCTGAAACTGGTCCCTCCGCCAATTGGTAGCCGCTGAAGATCTTTGGTGCATGCCACAGTCTACTACTGCGTATATTTTCCATTCACTGTCTTCCTGCAGGAGACCCAAGGAGTCTCGTGTGCTTTCGTCAGATGGAATAGACACGTGCGCGCAAGAGAGAGTTATCCTTAGAATGCCGCAATATTGTTTGGTCGGTGACGGCCACAATAGGCGAGGGTCTGAGGAAGGCAAAGTTAGTCGGCGTTGCATACAATAGTTGTGGCATGTAGAAAAATACCATGATTGTCCGATGAGGAATCTGCGGACGTTTGGCTTGTCATGATTGCCAGAATTGCGTAGTTGTTGGTGATGATGTTGGGAGGAAGACGGTCCCCGCTCGCAGTTCCTGTTTGTAGAGGCACTCTTGATTACTACCTACAAACATACCTCCCTCACACGTGGCCAAGCTCGCTGCTTGACTGCCTATATTTCATTTCGTATATAGCATGAGAAAGTACCCACGTGTAATTTTCCTTGAAATTAATCACTAAATCATAGCCGTCGTGTGGAACGTATTCTACGACGGTGGCTGGCTAGTTCCCTGGTTCCTAGGACCCAAGCCGCTCAACAAATAAAAAACAAATATTCTCTATGTGCTGGGACTACAGTAATGAACACCTAATAGCTTTGTGAGCTGTCCGGAGAATGTCTCCCCGTGTGGATCTATACCAAGGCTGAGAGAATGATGTGCGTCTTGGCCCTGATTTCCAGCACCACATGCAACACACAGACCGAAATCCCGAAGCCCTCGAGGGCCCTGCTCCATTACCGTGTTGGCTCGAAGCTGCAGAATTTGCTTCTTCAACGCCTTTCCAGGCTCTATGTAGGCCGGTTCGGCCCAGTACTGGTTAGACTCCTTGATGATGGAGAAGAGGCTACACGGAATGTCGGGATCGTCCGTCGCTATCCACGACGCGAAAAGGGCAACGGGCGCGAGCCACACGCCCTTGGGCAGGTCAATCAGGCTTCCGTGACGTCTCTAGAGCTTCACTTCCCATATCCAGCGCGTCTCGCTCAAGGTTGGCATTTGTAGGGTCCATGGCCAGCAGGCAGGCGTTGAGGACCAAGGCGGCACCTAGTATCACAGTGGGATCTTGACTTTAGTGACGGGATTTCCTAGACGTGGAGCAGTTTCCGAGACCACACACAACAATTTGAATCGAATTCTGACGCACCGACTGTGCAAAGGTGTCGCCCCAGTATTCTTCCACTGTGTCATTCAAGAGCTGGCAGGTGCAGGCTATGTGGTTCAAGTACTGACTAGCTGAGTTCACAGTCCATTTCTGAGCAATTCGATTAGGAAATCATCACAACGTCTCTCCTTGAAGATAATCTGCACTTTGAAAATGGCAGCCAGGGGATTGGGGGACTTGGCCTGGTGCTGGTCCTTCAGCACCGACTGTAAGCATTCCATAGCAACCGCATACGCCGGCGACGCCGCACTACTGTGTTCGTCGCTCTGCAGACAGTCAAATGCATCCAAAAACGCTGATGCTGCCTTTTCAAGCAACTCATTGGCACCGAGGCGCTCTGGTATCTGTGTCAGCCAGCCGGCCAGGCGCGAGATGTCTAGCACTGCCAGCTGACGGCGTTGTACAGCGCTGCTAGGCTTCTTCTTGTGTGCCTCCCAATGCATCGCATCTGAGGGAAAATGTTCTTTAGATCTATAGCGAGTCTGGCCTCGGCCATTGCATGGTATATTGAGACGAGCACACCGCGTGCACGTTGGCGAGACTGCATCGCACTGTGGAGGGGTGTTAGATACGACCGAGCAGCGAATGTGTGTGTGTGAATATAAATATGATAAGTTCTTCAAGTATGGACCTCACTCATCAATACGGGGAATCTGGTAACCGGAGCCGGGCCCCCCTTGTTGACCGGAAGAGTAAGGATGCAGCGTGCTCCAGTTCTCAGTAATATGGGCAGAGAGCTGCATGCTATTGCCATTAATGGCCATTTATAAATGATCCACCTTGATCCGCAACAATATATTACGTGAGAGTGTGGGAAATGGCATGGTAAGTGTGTGTTCCTCTTCTCTTCCTCTTCTGTTGCGCGGGACAATTTGCCAAACGAAGCTTCCGCAGAGCGTACCCCGTGTAAGCCCCTCTTCACCATTCATTCATAGACATCTCCAGAGGGAAAAGAGGGCATCGTTTTGGCTCTACTTACAATCGCGTGAGAGTGGGAATGCCCCCTCACACGATCGTAAGGGTGCAGCATTCGTGTGGTCGGAAGGTACGTACATGGGTTGCTGTCTCGGAAGTATTTCGCAGCTACTATTTCCGTGCTCTACATGTTGCGACGCGAGCGGCATGCATCAAAAATTTGGGAAATCTGCGCTCTCGCAGGTGGCTCCGACTGAGCATTGGTGCCCGACTCGAGTCGCATGTAGTTGCGGCTGCACTGGTGCTCCGTCGATCGTCCCTTTGCTCGAGTAGAAAATACAGGCATACGGCATCTGAGTTGTGAGACATCAAAGAACCTTATATTTCAATCTTATTCGCAAGTCGCTCCTCGCCATCCATGATCTTCACTTGGCTCCTGCCGCCGTCGCTGGTAATATTGGTGAAAGGTGCGACCACAATGTCGCCCAGGAGTACACCACCTGCGAACATTATTTACTGCCACGGACGTGGTTCCCGGTGGACTTGAGCCTACACTTGCGGTGGCTGGTGCTGCTACAACGCTCCCGCGTCCATGGGCGGCGAGTCCATGGCCAATTGTCGTTGTTGAGATCAAGAACCTGGCTAGCCAGTGAGGAAGTATTTAATAGTCAAAAGTACAGACACTAGCCGATTCTTCAATTTCAGTCGATTATAAGGAAAGAGGGTTTGGCTAGTTACGAATCCATCTAGCTTAGAGACGCCGAAGTTGTGAGGGATCTGGAATGAAGAGTCAACGTATAGATAGTTGCTGAAAGTAGCATTTGCCAAATTAAGCAGCTAATACCCGGCGGGCTGTCATTTATATTCTCAATATTTTTTTATTCTTTTTGCCGTCTCCGTCTCTAATGGCTAACATTGATTTTACCCAGTTTGGCGGTATATCTTCTCTAATATATTGACGCCACCATGACAGCCTTTCCATTATAAATTGCCTGTTCTAGCGTCCTGCTTCTCGCGTGCCTTAGGACCCAAAGATTCCCCCCAAAAAGTCGAGCCTTTACAGGCTGGATTAAATTGAGGCAAAGGCGAAAAAGGGATTGACGGAAACTTATTAACTAGTCAATTATCTCTTGACTTTGCAAACAGTGTCTAGGGCGAAAGACATCCGCAGAGCTTTACTACCCTCCCTACACCTTCCCTTTCTGGCCGTCTTCTGGCTCCTGGTCTATCTTTCGTCTACTCAAGAGCAGTTACCAATTCAAAAATGTGGTGGTCACGAGTGTCTCTCATTGCATCCGTCTTCGTGTCAATTGCCTCTGCCGGTGTCCTCGCTACGAATGGCTCGTTCGACACGTCTGATGCCTTCGAGTTGTTGTATCCGAGAGACAACCCCAGCAGCAAGATTGACGATCTCTTCGAATTGGGCAACAGCTGCAAGGGAAAAGTTCAAGTTCTTCAAGGGTGGCTTGACGAGATCAAAAAGATGCATTCCGATTTCGAAACTGCGGCCCGCGAAGCATCAGGGATACCACCTTTCGCGGTGGTCTTCCGTACATTTTTTGGTACAATGCCGCTGAAAGGTATGGTGGAGGACACCGGCACCATGGAAGAGGTAAAAAGTAAGTTGCTAAAGCCCGTTCGTTGAAAATATGGAGAATGGAAAGGCGTTTCCTCGTGTTCCCTCGCTGGTTTCTTACATGGCATAGCACGAATCGCAGGCGTCACGCAGTTTTTGAACGGCGGAGGTCTCAGGAGTGCAAGACGGCCCGGTAAGCCGCTGCTGGTTTGTTCAGATAGCGAGTTTGAACATGAGGATCCGGACAGCGCCGTACGAGACGACAAGGGCGAGTACATCGTCAGCGAGAGAGATCCAAATACCAACGTGCCTGTTGCCTACTTGGGCATTCACAACGTATTCTCAGGCTTGAATTGGCGTTTTCAGCATGTCTTTTGGTGCAACAACTTCAAAGGTTACGTATTTGCGGCCAATGAAAAGATCTGCAGCGACACGCTCCAGGGCGCCGTGACACCAGAGACTCCAGACGTCGTGCAAGGAATACCCGGTGTCGAACCCTTCACCATCGGTGAGCGTGGTAGGCTGCTCTTGCTTTGTCCCCCGATCTTTGGCGAAGATGGAAAGACAGTCACCGCTCACTCGTTTCCCTCCCTGGCGGAGGCCGTGGATCCAGACAACTACCCCGAAGGAGACCTGAGGCAGCAAAAATACCAGCTCGACCGGATGCTGCCTAGATCGGCAACATTTTATCATGAGCTCTACCATTTGACAGACAATAACGACACGCCCGATTCTAGCTGTAAGTGTGAATTCGAGAAGAAAAGAACACCATCTTTCAGTGCTTTTAATAGACGCATCCCGAGACAGCCACCATGTTCATCCATCCCATTCAATAGATGCTGACGAACGACGCAGATTCCTTGAAGAAGATACTTGAAGCTGCGAAGAAGGAAGGCCCTGTGAGATCACTTTATGCGCGAAACCCAGAGAGCTACGTTTATGCTGCCGTGGCCAATTATCTATATCTGAATGGGCCGTTCATAAACCAACGCGTCGTCTATTCTGAAGGGTACTTTCCCCAACTTGAGTCAGATGTATTTCCAGGGGCCCACTAGTATAGCAGGGGAATAGGAGGATTCATGACAACATGTATCCTGAAGCAAACATTCTCTTCATCACAGTACTTTTTTAACAGCTTAATCCGCCATATGCAATGCCTATTTACGATACTTTGCAGGCCGTAGCTTTTCGTCCGACTTCCTGCTCGACGTATCCTACTCATCGTCATCTTCGCTGTCCGCATCACCCAGTGCAAAGTACCCCCCGTTCTCCCCGTCTCTCCGTTCTTCGGCCTTGTTCGTGGCCTTGGCCGACGGCCACGAGCGCCATGAGCTCATGGACTGGGTAAAAGCTAACTAGGCCGCCGCCCGTTAATACAAACGTCGGCCGATTGCGTTCGATGCTGGCACAAATTGCCCTCTGCACCGAGGTGGCTGGGCGGGATTGGAACTGTCGATCCCACTCCTACGCTAGGCCGTATTAGATCCGCTATCGATGCACAACATATAACATGATTGTCTGACATCGTGTAGCTTCGCATCCTCCAACGGCCACAAAACGAGCAAAATGTTTGAGACAAAAAAGAAATAGCAAGAAACAGCAAAAAAAACATACAACAGCCGGTGTTCGCTGGTCGTCACCGACCCAACTACTAATCTGCCGGTCAGTAGCTTAACTTCAGCGGAGCAAACGGGACGCGGTGTTTTCTACTGCCTATGGTCGTATGTATCAGAAGAGGACGTGTTTTGACTTATATTTGAACACAAACGCGCCAAACCTGTTTTCTGGAAATTGGAAGAATGTGTATTAGAGCAAAATTTGGAAGAGTATGTATCGGAGCAATAGTAGCAAATAGTGAAACCCTTTGACGGATATCTCTAGGTGAAGTTGTTGCGGATGGGTATCCAAGACATGGGCCACTCACCGGATGACGCTGGAGTCATGCCCTCGATGTCGAGTCCCGGAGATTTCTTTTTCCTAGCCATCTGCTTCTTGTCAAACTCTGCCCGCTTCTCCACCAGCAGCTTCATTAACACCACCGCCTCGTTTTTTAGAAACGTAGGTGCGCACGACTCCGCGACGGTGCAGGCCGAGACGAGCGCCCGGTCGTCCACGTCCTGAACCCGCGCCACGGCGTACGGGTCGGCGCCGTGTCGCAGAAACAAATCCAGCACCGCCATCCAGTCCTCGCATACTGTCCTGCGCGCCGGCGACAGTCCGTTTTCGCTACACCCTCGCACGCCTGCAAATGCAGACGCGGCGGCGGCCAGCGCCGCTTCCCACGGCGTCTGTCCGTTGAACGCAAAGTTGGGATCCACACCACCGGCGAGCAGCGCAGCCACATCGGCCCGGTCAACGGCCGCGGCGGGCGGAAGCACCACAGCCCGCAAGAGCATATGCTGCCCGACGTCCTGGTCCAGCACGTTGACCGACCCGTCCTTGACCGCGACGTAGTGCCGCAGACCGGCAAGGCGCGCCACGTCATAGAAGCTGGCAGCGCCGTGCATGGGCACCAGTCCGGGGACCTCGAAACACCACGCCCAGTGGTGGTGCGGCGTGGTGACCGTCTTTGGCACCGGAGCCGCCTCGCGCCGCTGCTGGTCCTGGGTTGCCCGGCCGCTGAGGCGTGTTCCCTTGTGCGCAATGTATGAGGCGGCCAGCGTGTTTTCGGCAACGGCCAGACTGGCTGGGGCCGGCTGGCGCGAGGCGTTGTGTGTACCGAGGTCCAGTGTCCCAAAGACGCTGGATTGACTAGCCATCATGGAAGCACGGTACGACTGCAAATAGCTCATCAGCTGCGTCGGACTCGCGGAAGGACTCACGCTTTTGTCAGATTGCGCGTCGGCTGTGTCGCTGCTCGTGTCGGACAGATTGTCGACTCCGTAGACGGCGCGGCAGTCGCCAAGGCGCCATTGATAGGAAACGGCCACGTCCAGCTGGTCGAACAGCTGTGGGAACCCGGCCCCGAGCTCTGTTTCCGCGTCTCTGGCATAGAGGACCGCATCGACGACGATTCTCAGGTCAAATAGCCGCTTGGGGCTGACGTCTAGACTTTTGATGCCCAGGATGCTGGACTTGAGCAGAGCGAGCGACGGACTGAAGCCCGTGCCGACTGTCTGCGCCTGAATTGCCGCCCACACACTGGGTTTCGCGATCCAGTCAGACACGGTGCGATGCAGAAACAGGACCTTGCCATCTGGCGCGATGCTAGAATACTTGGAGTCATGGGATTCAAGAAGGCCGGCGCAGGTGCTCTGTAGCTGGGAAACCATCTCCTGGCAGCGAGATGCCATGTCGTGAACTGAGATTCTCTGCATTGGCGCCTCTTGTGCAAGTAGCTCGTCCTCATCGGTGGCAAAAGACAACTGAAGAAGCGTAATCTTCTCTGGTGATCGTTTTCTGGCGGCTTGAAATATCTGCAGAAGCTGTGAGGCGCGTCGGTGGTCCTTCAGGGCTACCATGTATGCGAACAAGTCATCAAGATCGGCAGGAAGTTGATGTACTTGATGCTGCAGGTCTGCAATGCTGTCGTAGGTAGGTAAACCATGTGATAGTAAGCCGACCACAAGCTTCACCCACAAAAAGACTCCTTGAGATTTGCTCACAGTTTCCTGAATCAAGCAGGACACTTCGCTAGATTGGGGAGATGAAAGTTGCTGCATGCGTGGTTGACGGTACAAGCAGTCCAGCACGTAATGACTCAAGTCAAGATGTGTCAAGTCCTGAAGTCGAAGGCTGGGCAGCCCGGCGAAGGCCTCTTCAAATACTCGAAGCGGTCTGCTCGAGAGACAAAACTTGACATTAGGAAGCATAGAACACTGCGCCGCGAGGCTGATAATGTCCGAGTGCTCTGCGCCGTATTCATCCAAGCCGTCAATGAAGAAGCACAGCTTGGTAGACTCACCAACAGCTTTGAGCACCTTTTGAAAAATCTCTTTGAGCGCAGAAGTTGACAGAGCGTCTGGCTCTGGTGGCAAGAGCGAGGAATCATAAGGGAGCTTGTCCTTCAGCGCAGTCTCGGCACGGTGGGACCACACGCCCCAGACATCTGGCATAAGCCGGCGCATCAGGTCACGGTGCCTCTGCAGGATATCAAACAGAAGTGACCGGAGAAGGCCTATCTGCGACTTTTGGTCGTCGGCACCGCTGTTCCAGAAGAAGAAGCTGTACACCTCGCAGGGGCGGTCGGCAGCCCAAACCGCGAGCTCCCGTTGCGTGGTCGCGTTCTCGCACAGGTACCGCATGAGGGTCGACTTTCCGCAGCCCACCTTGCCGTTGATCCAGTAGATGCCGCCGCCGTGTCTGAGCCAGTCGACAAAGTTGCTCCAGGGTACCTGCGCGCTTTCGGCATCCTTGTAGATCCAGTCAAAGGTGCGGGCGTGCGCCTTCTCCACGCTCTCGCGGCGGTCGACCATGGCCTCAAAGGAGAGGCTTTCCAGCACACAAGTCTCGATGATGAGTGTACGTAATTCATTTTCCAGTTTCGGATTGGTGAGACGAAATGTGTTTCGGCTCTTGCTGTGCTCCGGGGTTTGAAGAGCACCGATGCTGTGCAGGAGCTCGCCCGCTAATGTCCCAAGCGCATCGTCGTCGTCGTCGTCGTCGTTGTCGTACTCGTCAAGCTGGAGCAGTTTTTGGGATTGAGCTTGTATCTGGGAAATGAAGGCCTCTTCGCCCTTGTAGAAAGATTCCAAAATACGCCCCGTAAACCTTCTCAGCTCGTGTGCTGTGTGTGATCGCTGTCTCGCGAGATGGGCGAGAGCGCGACTAATAACAAGTAAGGAATTGTCATGGTAGAAGGAGAAGATGCCTACCGGAACGAAACCATAATGCGGAGTTGAGCGTCTCTCCGGATTTCCCAAATATCGTCCTCCAAAGTCTGCATTTGCTGCCCGTTCCAGGTTGCATGGAACGCTCTGTGAAAACCGTCCCAGGTCCGGAACTGCAGCATTTCAGGCTGTTGCTCTCTATCCAGCGTTTCCAAGCAATCGGCACCCAACAGTGATCGCCATTTACCCGTGGCTGACTTACTCTGCTGCTCATCGTGTCGTCTCACGTTCTTGACCATTGGCCGCAGCCGAGACAGATGGGCAAGAAGGTCCTGGATCGCACCCATGCACCGCAAATGCAGAGCTTCCAGTGTCTTGGCATTCTCCGTGTTGGGGTCGTGCGTCTTCGACATGTACCTGGGGGGCGCTTGTCGCTTGAGGCGCTGCTTGAGAGATAGGAGGTCTTGGATGAGGACTTGGACGTTGACGTTGTTGGTCAGTGCACCGTGGGCGGCCTTGTACATCTGCGGCGCCGGGGCAAGGAGCTTGCTTGCATAGTCGGAGAATTGTACCAGTGTGGACGCGAGCGAGAGCGCGACGAGGGCGTCCATGATGACGGCTGGTCGATGAGCATGCTAGGGGGCGGCCCTGTTTCGGTTGGCTGTCGAGCGCATGAAGCAAGGAGAACTCTCCAGTCAGTGGGAGGCATGCGGGAATTTATGCCCAGTGGCAGCGTCAATTTAGATAGATTCGTGCCACCTGCAGCGTATCGTTGGCTCGTGTCTGAGGTGCAGAGGTTGCTGAGGTGAGGCTGAGCTCAAGAGGCGATGGCGGGGTCACGTAACGACATGGGCTGTGTAACGCGCGACCTGGTCACTCGGACTTATGGTACGATATATGTGCGACCGATGTACAGAGTGCGGGTAGGCAAACAATATTGAATGTCTCACATATCGGATGGGGAGGGCAGTAGGAGACATTTTTTCTGTTTGATGTCCTGATGTTGTGGGATGGAAGCTCTATGCCAGTGCGGTCAGCGTAGTAGAGTAACTTGGGGCATTGATCATCGCGAGGCATCAGCAATATTGACCATTGAATATTTTTAGTTTATAATTTAAAATATGAAGAGGTGACTCGAGATTACTGGTGTCAAAAAATCTAATATTTCTTGTGAAACTCTCAGCCAGGTTTTAGCCGTGCTATTCATGTTGGGGTAACAGACATGGCTACCTCGCCGACTACAACAAGGCAATTCTGCCCAATGCACGCCTATGTATCCAAGACACACAAAGGAAAAGGCGGCAATGACTCCCACTACAAGACTTGCGGGTGCTGAGCATCGACCCATGGATCATGTCTGCCCACCGCCCTCGTAAATCAAGCTGACGTATCACGACATATACGGGCGCATATTTCTCGGTGACGGACGGAGTGCATGTATTTCGGTCCTTCCAGCGCCAAAAGAGAGTGTTTGCAAAAGGAAAAAGCTAGCCAGTTGCTAGAGCTCATGCTCTACCTCGAGTGTGGGTGGGATATAAATGGAAGAGCAGATGTGGATGTAGCCTACGTCGTATATTTGGCAGGGGGTTCTGTGAAATACTTGTTTCTTGTTTGTACGTCGTTCATCATACATACGTAGGCGTGTTTCGCTCATATACCCTACACCACTCATTCCGCTAAGCGCAACTTCTTGCCAACATCGCCACGGCGTCTCGCTTGGACAGCTGCTCGCTCCGAGGGCTTCGTCTGCTCAACAGGCCCGGCAGCCTCTTCTGCCTTGCGCGCCTCTGTGGCCTCGCGCGCCTTGAGCGCCTGTAGGAGCATGCCTGCGTCGAAGAATCCATCTGCAAGGTGTTGCGTCAGCAGCAGAAAACAAAGTTTGATCAAATAAAGACAAACGCCAGGAGGCATGGGGGTGTGGGTGACTTACATCCGCCTAGTTCATCGTCGTCGCTGGCAGGCATGCTGTCGTCCACGGCCGACCGCGTCTCCGTACCCTGGGTGGTGCTCTTGATATGCTCGGTGCCGGTCAGCGGCCGGCCGCGGTTCTTGACGCGACTCGAGGTGGCGGAGGCATGCGGGCGGGACGACTCGGCCTCGCGCGCGCGGCTGACCTTGGCCGTCGACGACTTGCGGTTGGAGAGGCGCAGGAGGCGGCGGATCTCGAGCAGGTAGCTCTCGAGCGCGTCGACGAAGCGCCTGGTCTGGCGGTGCTTGGAGGACACGCAGATGGAGATGCTCTCGTCCTTGATGATGTAGCCGATGCCGAAGCCCTCGGCCGAGGTGGGGCCGAAGCCAAAGTGCCGCAGCGCCGGGTTGCCGCAGTTGGACGTGGACAGCACCGTCGTGTTGAGCTTGTCCCAGCCGCCGTCGGCGAAGAGGAGCGGCAGCTCCTGCTGGCTGGAGGAGCCACGGGAGCGCGACCCAGTGCTGTCGCCGCGGTCCCGCGTGGTCGTGGGCCGGGTGACCTCGACGGCGCCGCCGTCGGACGCGCTGCTCGAGGGTCGCAGCGGCGGCTCCTCGCCGTCGGACAGCGCATCACGGGGAGGGCTGGCGGTGCCGTAGCTTTCGCCGCTCGACACGTCGCTATAGAAACCGTCGACGTACTTTTGCCACACGCAGTAGAGCGCGTAAAGGTGCCGGTCGCAGCCCTCGGCCCGGGCGCAGGTCCGCGTGTTGGCGACGTGCCGCTGGCACGCCGCCTTGAGCGCCTCGAGCTTCTTCTCGACCGGGTTGTCGCCCCAAAACGTCTGCACGAAGCGGACCGACTCGTCCGTCACTGGCCGCACCGCCTCGGTGCGCCCGTGCAGGTACACCTTGGTCATGGCCGGCTCGTACGTGCACTCGACGCGCCCGTAGAGCCCGTAGTAAGCTGCCTGAAAGGCCATCTGCACATATGCGTCAGGCGAGAAGCCCATCGACGTGATGAAGTTCTTGCCGTATGTGCCAAAGTCGAGGCACTGGAACTCGTTCTGCTCAATGAGGTCCGCCAGCCGCGTCTCGGCGAAGCGCACCGCGATGCTCAGCTCGGGCTTCATGTCCCAGCTCAGCTTGCGCGGGGTGGTGCTGACGTCGCCGAAGCTTTCCGGGTCGCGCTTGGAAGGATCCGGGCTGGTGGTTGTCCAGAGCGACGGCGCCTGGCCGTTGATGGAGCGCGCGAATCGGAGAATCGTGTCGGTGTAGATATCACTGGCAAAACGCAGCACAGTATGACCATCCACGCCCGTGTGCTCAAAGTTGATACCAGCACTGCCGTTTTTGCAGACAATAATCTGCAGCTTGTCGTACCATCTGTTTGTGCAGGTGCCGATCTGGACCCCGTTCTTAACCTCGCTCGTGCCGCAGAGCATGTTTTGGCAGAGATCGGCGACGCTGGTGGGCTCGCTGTAGTCGAGGCAGAGCGCAAAGAGGGCCGAGTCGACAATGTTGAGGCAGTCGGCGTTGTTGGATTCGGGCTCGCGGGTCAGGACGTCTCGGAGCCCGGACCAGACCTTTCGGTTTTCTGTACTGAGCACGCCCACTGCTCCCTTGGCAGCCTCCTGGATGGGAGTCTTGACGGCATCGTCGATGATGGTTTGCAGGTTGACGGCAAGGTCGCGCTCGGTCATGATGGCGTCCGAGTTGTCGTCGAGGACGTCGAACCAGTAGACCTGCCCGTGGCACATGACAACCATGTGCTTGGAGTTGGGGTCCTGCTCAATCTGGCAGCCGGCCTCGGTGGGGACGCGGGCCGTGCCAAAGAGGCGAGAAAACTGATACATGCACAGGGGAGTGCCCTTGACCATGTCGGGAGGAAGCTCCTCCTTCCTGACGGCGCGAATGAACTCGAGCGCTGAGACGACGAGCGAGGCCGCACGGGTCACCTGGTTGTTTCTGGCTGGCGTGGGGTCATCTTCGAGCAGGAAGAAGGGGTTCAAGTTGAGGACAACGGGATTGTCATAGTTGAGGTATGAATCGTACCCTGACTTGTTAGCGTCGAAGCCATGGCATAAAAAAGCTGCGCCGACTTACAGAACTGTTCAATGTAGCTCGTCTTGCCTTGCGCATAGTTCTTGAGCTTTTCTTGTAGTTCCGGGCCGTCACGTCGCAGGAACTCCTCGGTAGCCTGTTGTGTGTCGGATCGTTCGCGCGCAGTCTGAAGCGGTTTGAGAGCCTCGATATATCTGCGGCACGTCGCAGCGAGTTCGGGAATGGGAAGCTTGGGAAGCTTGTCCTGACTGGCAAAGGTAGCGCCGCCCTTGCCGGAGTCGCTCGACATGGGAAACTTTGTGTAGACGGAAGGCCGCCTCTCAGAGTCCAAAGGTGGCGTGTTGGTGTCCTTGCGCAAGTCCTCGGGCTTGAGAGTATCGCCTACAAGAGTTCGCGGGGTGCTTGCGAATGTTGAGGGCGCGAGAGCAAGAGTCTGGCCGAGGGGCTGAGGCGAGGCAAATGTCCTAACTTGAGTGGTCATGGCGGCGGTTAGTTCGGGGTAGCTGAATATGGTATATGTTGGTGTAGGCTGCTTGTGAATCCGGTGTAGTCTCAGGAGTAGAGAGGTGAGACGGTGGTGCAGATGTTGAGACCGCGCAGGGCGGTACGGTAAAAGTAATGACAGTCTTGAGTACAGTAGGCTGGCATGTCACGAGTGAGGGCTGGTGACCAACAGAGTCTTGGTAATACAAGACTGCGATGGAGCCAGTGGAGGTGCAGTGAGTTGAGTGAGGTATGAGTGAGCTTCAAGAGAGTATGTAAGACGAGTGGGCGGAGGTATGGAGAGGAGGGCAAAGTGATCTAATATAGAGACAAGCCTTGCACGAGCACCGGGGAGTGGGATGAGATGGGATGGGGGTGTGAAGGGGTGCGCCTCAAGACGGGGGCGTGAAGCTGCATCACAATGACACCAAGTATGTATCGGTGGGCAAGGGCAAGGCACGATCGGGGAAACGCCATGGGGAGGACTCTGGAGCTAAAAAGAGTAGGGGGTGGGGGTCCGTCCCAGAGAGGCTCGTGAAGGCAACGCATGTCGAGTAATACCAAGTCATCTCAGAGCCAAGAGCCAAGGGTGGAAAGGTAAGCGAAGCGCATTCAGTGTACATCTGGGGGGGCGTGGGTGAGTGAGTTGTGTGGGTGGATGATGTGCTTTCTTGGTGATATTTTGGTGGAGGAGCGATATGGAGGAGCTCCGCAGGCCCGGCCGGGTAGACCTGGCACACACGGAGCGCGGAAGAGGCTCGGAAAACAGGCAGTCTCGCGGTCGGAGGGGGGTCTTGATAGGGAAGATGAGGAATAGATTGGACAAATCAACGTACCGAGGAGAATGGGTATAGCGGATGTGACGGGATCGCCGTTGAGTGCGCAAGGTTGGCCGTCACCACCTTGTCTTGGCTTCTTGGTGGCGGTTCGGAGGTGATGGCCCAGAGCGGGCGCGCGCGATAACGGACGCTGAGAAGGCTGATAGAGGCGAGTTTGCGCACGGCGGGCTGGTGACGGAGTCAGTCTACTTCCAGGAGATGAGCTGCTGTGGCCTCGGAAGGGGTGCTGGTAGTTGGAACAAGGACACAGTCAGAGGAGCTGTCGAGACGAGTTTTGGCATGTGGATGATGATTCGGCTGGGCAATATTTTGGTGTCGGCGCAGTTGTACTGGTAACTACCTACCTATGTAGTGTGCTGGGAAGCTTACAGGGGTCTCACTGTCAAGCCGGCGAATAAATAAAGGCTGTTGAAAATGGTTTGTCAGGTGGCGGTTAGCTTGCTGTTTGTACATAATAATGAACCGGGCGCTGAGCAGCTGGGGTTGGCGTCTCACATGGCAGAGCTGGCTGACTTGCAGTAGCTGCTCTGCCACAAAGCGAGGTTCGAGGCGGCCGTAGTGGTGTGTGTGGTGTTGTATCAAGAGTTGTCTGGGTGGTGATGGCTCACATGCAATAGAAACCCGTCTCAACGGACAAAGGCGGTAGTAGGTAGTTGTACAGCGCGCGTTGTATTGTACGAGAAAGCAAAGTCTGAAGAGAGAAGTGTGGCGCCCGTAACGTGTGGTCGGGCGCAGGAAAATATCTTGGGGGAGGGGGAGGGGGATCGTCCTTTGGCTCAAGGCTGCGAACCAGCAAGAGAGCTTTTGCTGTATTATTATTATTAACCAGTTCTTGCGACAACTTAGCTTCTGGCTCTGCGCTCTTCGGGCGAGTGGATGTTTCGGCCCAAGTCACTTGTCAAAACGGCACCAACACCACAAGGTTCCACCTGACGTAGCATCGCCGGGCTTCTCAAGGGTTTGTGTTCCTATTTATTAGACAGTTTGTAACCTACATCCCCGTTCGGTTCGTTCACTGGAATGAGCACCTCCAACACTCTTCTCGGTTCTCTATCAGACTCTCTCGCCGTATCTCTCAGCCGATGTCTGGTGGCAGTTTATGTCTCCATAGAATATTAGTTACTGTCTAGTTACTAGTACCGAGTTGTGCCATGGATATTACTGTCCTTGTCACGACCGAGTTGTGAAGCACCACGCCGCTTGTCATCATACACCTCCCGCAAGGTAGCATCTACCTGCACACACACACACAGATAGAGACGACGCAGCCGCATTATGCCTCACCTTGGCACTCTGATGAAATCGCCCAGCACATACAAAGTAGCGTGTAACAATTCTGCACCCCGCCTCGAGGCTGGACACTGCCCTAGTTACCCTCGCACGTAACCATGCCTTTTCACGTTCTTTCCACAAGTAAATGCGGCCCTTTGCCGCTGTTCCCCATCTCTGGCTCCGTGGCAGCCATTCAATTTTCAGTGCTTACATATCATTTCATCCGTCGCCAAAAAGACAACGGGCGTGGAGACGGACAGCTTACCGGTTACCGGTGCCTGGAGCGTTCTGCCGTGAGCCAATAGAGCCCTCCGGACGGGCGGAAGACCAGCGGACAGCGCTCTTGTACCTTCCCGCTGCAGTGGCTAACTACCAGCGAAAATAGAATCGTAAATATGACTGTGACAAAATGGTATTACAGTAGTTGTATCATTGACCTTGCGATTGCGGATCTGGATCTTTTGTTCCTTCGGCATCACAGGCCTGGCAAGAGATGCAGCGTAGGAGCCCGAGGGTCGGCCAGTAGGTAATTGCAATCTACACAAATTCTCGCGGAGATGTACTCGTTACAGCTCATGCCGAAGCCTCCAGTGCAGGCTCTCGGTGGGCTGCCGGAGGTTTGTAGCTAGGTGGGTAGCACATCTTCTTTATCTACTAATAACATGCACGGCGATATTCTTACTTACATAATTACCCTACCTAGTGTTGTCTGTTTCGGGCCAAAGGACCGGCGACATGACCGTGATCTCGGAGCGAGCTTACCGAGGCGGCAGAGAAAGCCATATTCGTAGCTATTGCGGTTGCGCAGGTTCTTTTTTTTTTTTTTTTTTTTTTTTTTTTAGGCGCAGCATTTTATTTACGCAATGGGGCTTATCGCCTCTATATTAGTATCATAAGATCAACAGATACTCATCTGAACCATCTCAAGTACTCAGCGCTAATTGGGTAGTCGGTGTATCCAGCAGATGTCTTGGTGCAAAAGGTCCCGCGCTTGCATTTTGCTAGTTCAAGACCTTGCTGCATGATACACAATGTCAGGATTCGAGATAAAGTGTCTTTCAAACATGACCACTATATCCTTGTCCAAACTGCTTGTCATCAACAAGTTCAACTACTTCCTGCGCAGTATAAGGTCAGGGACGGCTAGGACCAGATTTTGTGCGAATGGAAGGGCATATTTTCGGGGAAGAATCCTACGAGTTTTCAGCCTGTTGTATTGATTTTGGAACAATTTATTTGGTCCAAGGCGGCATCCCTGGCGCCAATAGAGGCATTGTGGGAGAAGGCAGGGCTGCGATGAGGTTAGCGAGTAGCTTTGGTGAACTTGGGAACCAGAGCAGCTTGTACCAAGTTGTCAAAATCAAGGATTAAAATAGGAATATAAATAACCAAAAATCAAAAAGCTAGATTTTTATGCAAGTAAAACTCGGATGCATTTCTTCGGCTCGCCCCGTAGGTTGGCAATCTCCTCGGTACACTCGAAGGGGAGTGGCTGGGGGTGGCGTGAGTGAGCAAAAAGCTAAACCCCCCAAACCGCTTTGTGGCGTTCATCTTGGACCGGCGCATGTGGCCGCTTGACAACTCGCATCACAAGGGTGTCGTCTCGGTGGTCACAACCTCCGATCATTCATTGCGTCTGCTTTCTTTTCTCGGCTCCTCTCATCAATTTATTCTCACTATACTCGACGCATCCTCTCGCTCGTCTTTGGGGCATGCCAACTCTAATCGATCCCCGTCATCTCTGACTGCGACTTCGAGAGCTCCCCCCAACCCCCCATTACCGAGCTGGCCCTCCGCTCCCGTGCCGCAGCCGACGACATCATGAACAACCACTTCTCGGGCGTCGGCGAAAAGCCCGCTGATGGCAGCTACGATCATGGCGTCCAAGTCATTGACGAGGACAAGGACTTCAAGTTTGTGACCCCTTTGCCCCCCTCCCCTTTCGCCAGGCGCATCCTCGCTGCTTGATGCGCCGCCTCCGCGCCCAAGGCAACACACACTGACCGGCATCTCCGTGCAATAGCACCAATATCACCGAGTACCTCCGCGTGACGGACGTCGCCGACGCTGGCTTCAACTACCACCTCATCTCCGTCTTCGGCTCCCAGTCCACCGGCAAGTCGACGCTCCTCAACAACCTCTTCGGCACCGAATTCTCCGTCATGTCCGAGACGGAGCGTCGCCAGACGACCAAGGGCATTTGGATGTCCAAGAACAAGCGCATCGAGAGCGCCGGCAAGAAAATGGCCGACAATATCCTTGTCATGGACGTCGAAGGGACCGACGGTCGCGAGCGCGGCGAAGACCAAGACTTTGAGCGAAAGAGCGCCCTCTTTGCGCTCGCCACCAGCGAAGTCCTCATTGTCAACATCTGGGAACACCAGGTTGGTCTGTACCAGGGTGCCAACATGGGTCTTTTGAAGACTGTGTTCGAGGTCAACCTGCAGCTGTTCCTCAAGGACAAGCAGTATGCCCACACCCATCCCCCCTACGCTGCTCAGCGTCGCAATACCAACTAATTGTTTTGCAGATCCACTCCGAGGTCGCTCCTCTTCTTCGTTATTCGAGACCACCTCGGAAGCACGCCCCTCAAGAACCTCCAAACGACTCTGATCCAAGACTTGACCAAGATTTGGACCTCCATTTCCAAGCCCTCTGGCCTCGAGAGTGCCAAAATTGAAGACTACTTTGACTTTGGCTTCGCTGCTCTCCCCCACAAGATTCTACAGGCCGAAAAGTTCACCGAAGAAGTTAGAAAACTCGGCGCGCGCTTCTCCAGCGCCCATCGGTCCGGCTCCAAGGATACCCATGGCGAGGAAGAGCTGCAGGGTGGCATCTTCCTGCCCGAGTACCACCGCCGAATCCCCGCCGACGGCTTCTCGATTTATGCCGAGGGCATCTGGGACCAGATTGTCCACAACAAGGACCTTGATCTCCCTTCTCAACAGGAGCTTCTGGCCCAGTTCCGATGTGATGAGATCGCCAAGGAGGTTATTGCAGCGTTTGACATTGTTCTCACGCCCTTGGAAGACAAGCAGGTCGAAGCATCCAACTTGGGCAAGATCTTGGTGCTTGTCAATCTTGGCAGTACCTGCGGTGAGGCCCGTCAAAAGTGTGTCAATGCTTTCCAGACTCAAGCTAGTCGCTACCACAAGAAGGTGTATGGCGAGAAGCGCATCGAGCTCGAGGGTAAGATTGATATCCGACTCAAGACTTTGTATCAAGGCCAACTAGCTGCTTGCCACAAGGGCGGCGTCGCTGCCTTCACTGATGCCGTTACCGGCAAGGTCAAGGCTGGTCAAAAAGCTGGTGGTAGCTATGAATTTGCCGAAATTGTCTCGAGCGAAAAGGGCAAGGCACTCAAGGTCTTCAAGACTGAAGCCCAAAGTTTAGCGATGCAGGGTGTTCCTTGGACCAACTTCAAGCCCCAGTATCAGCTGTTCGAGGCTGACCTTGACGAGGTCAGTGGCAAGTTGCGCAAGGAAGAGATGCGACGATTGGCCACCCGTGTTGAAAGATGGGTCAAGTCTCGCCTTGGCGATGCTGTCAGCCTCGAATTCAACAAGCTAGGATCTGGTAGAGGCGGATCTGGTGCCCCCGAGGATGAGGAGAAGCCGGAGACTGAGAAGGATCTTTGGGACCGCATTTGGAAGGCCTTTACCGATATTGTCAGCGAGGCTGAGACGCGTTTCGTGGACCGTGCCAAGAGCTTCGATGCTAGCGAAGAGGAAGTCGTCATTGGCCTGTGGCGTCTTCGTCGCAAGAGCTGGGTTGGCCTCCGCGAGAAGATTGAGGAAGAGGTCATGGAAGGCAACATCCTCCTGAAGCTTCGTGAGAACTTTGAGGACAAGTTCCGCTACGACGAGGCTGGCGTTCCTCGTATTTGGCGTCCCACTGACGACATCGAGGGCGTGTATACCAAGGCTAGAGAGTCAACGCTGACATTGATACCCCTCCTTTCTCGCTTCCGTCTGTCGTCAACGTATGCACCACCCGATCTGGTGAGCTTCATCGGCCACCAACCCATCGGGGTTGAAGCTGGTGACGAGGAAGACTTGGCACCCATCGGCGGCGTGGACGAGGAGGAGGGTAAGAGCCTGGAGGAGGAGATGACGGTCTTGAGCGAGAGTAAGCGTCAGGATCTCGTTGTACGATTCAAGAAGACCGCAGATGGTGTCTATGTCGAGGCTAAGCGTGGCGCCATCGGTGGCGTTGCACAAGTTCCTCTGTACTTTTATGGTATTCTTTTGGCGCTTGGTTGGAACGAAATATGGATGGGTAAGCAGATTTTGATCCACGTCTCTCAGGGCAATGCTAACAGTTTCCACAGTTCTGCGCAACCCTTTCCTGTTTATCCTCCTTTTACTCATTGCCGGAGGCACATATGTCGCCTACACGCTCAACCTCTTGGGTCCCATGATGCAGATGAGCAACGCTGCAGTCAATCAGGGGATGGACATCGCCAAGCATTCTCTGCGTGAGTTCATTGCCAACTCTGACATGGCTCGCCAGGCCCTTGCCGTCCCCGCCGACCAAGGCAGGAATGCCGACAGCATCAGCCTGGATAGGCTCGACAGCCGCGGTAAGAAGACGGCCTCGTCGACGAAGAAAGACGATGATGATGACGAAATTTGAAAGAAAAAACACAAAAAAAAGACTCATGTTGAAAAGTTTAGAGGCTATGCGACGGGTGTCTGCAATCATGACTGGGAGCGTTGAATATATATATATATATATCGATGCTTGTGGATTTTTCATCATTGTTTCACTCAACATTATAATGCAATAATTTCAAACCCCTCCAAGATCCTTTTACGCCGGCCAAACTCCATCCTAAATATGCATATACGCCGTGATTTACAGATCAAGCTAAAGAAAGTGTGTTCGTCTGCCGGCATTAAAAAGCCTCTAAGCCAGCCGGCGTACCAAACCAGTGCCCGAGCTCATTCGTGTCCTGGTCGCCCGAGACAAAAAAGTCAGTCACTCGACTCGTCTCGCCATCGTCATCGACCGGCCACTCCACTTTGACGCCGTTGCCCTTGGCCTCGAGCATGTCCTTGGCGGTGCCCCAGCTGAAGCGGCACTCGGGGCCCCAGCCGAAGACGGGATGCAGGTTCCCGCGCATCCAGCCGGTGCAGCGCCCGTCCGAGGGATACCCGGAACCCCAGGCCGGGGCGCCGTCATCCTCGTCCCCCTGGTGGTCTGCCGGGTCCTTGCGGTCCTCGTACAGGGTCTCGAGAGCGACGTCGCGTGTCACCTTGGCGCAGACAGAGGCGGCGCTGACGCAGGCGTACAGGCTGTCGGCCTTTTTCGCGACCGTGACCTTGGCGGTGGGGAAGATGCGCTGCAGCTTGGCTTGGTAGGTGGCGGGCGGGCCGATGGTGTCGACGTAGATCTCCTGGACGTTGACGCCGCGCGCGTAGACACCCCGGATGAGGTCGACGGTGGCGTCCATGGCCTGCGCGTTGAGGTTGTAGGCGCCGACGGGCTGCAGCATGTTGGCGCCAATGTCGCGCGCCGAGAGCGCCGCCGTGGCCCAGCCGCAGGCCGCGTGGAGGTCGGAGCCGGGTGCGCAGAGCGTCGCCATGAGCGAGGCGCGCACGCCGGCCGTCAGCACCTTGGAGTCGTCAAAGTGGTGCGCCGAGCGCAGGAGCGCGTCCGACTGCGCGATCGGCAGGTAGAAGACGCCGTAGACCATGGGGCCGAGGACGGGCCCGCGCCCGGCCTCGTCGACGCCGAGGCAGCACGGGACAGCCGAAGCGGGATTCGAGGGGTCTTGTGGGAGGAGAGACGGCGGTACGGGGGAGAAGTGCGAGTAGGACTGGCCGGTGATCAGTGGCTGCCGGTGGATGGAAGGCAGGACGGAGGTGCCCGTTTCAACCTCTTTGGGGATGTCTTGTTGAGAATCGGCCATTTTGAGAGGGTTACTTTCAACAGGAGATTTTCGGGTAAAGATGGAAAGAGGCAGTTTTCCACCAAGTCGGTGATGCTTTTCGGTAAAATGCCCTGAATGACGGGCAAATTGAATCCCGGGAGACGCGTTGGAGATGGTGGCACGCGTAAAGCTAGCCAGACCCACTGTAATTCGAGCTCTTCAGCTCCACCATCTCCAACTCGCAAGGCCCCACAGAACGTCAACACATCACAACAAGACTCCGGCGCGTGTTACTGGACAATGCGGTAAAAAATTGTGAACACGGTAGTTTTGTTTGCTAAAACGACCGTGCGGCTGAATTACCTACAATTTGCTTTGCTTTACTACTTGGGAGCTCACCTCTGCACTTCCGCCACGAATTGCCGACGATTTCCTGAGTCTTCGGTCGGCACACAGCCATGGCCCGTCCGACGAGGCGTGGCGACGCTTCGCCGCAAGATCTCTATCAACTTGGTGTCCAGGGAAGGTAGGTTTTGCAACGACGACAGGACTTCTGGTGCCAGACGTGAGTGCGTAGCTAATGCGTGGTAGAAAAACCGGCGCCACGCTGAAGGATGACGGCCAACGCGATTCACAAGGCATGATGCCAACCGAGGGGCTGTTTTCTTCCCCGGGAAGCAGTACCACACAGCAGCCGATTGCGGCTGCGACAGAAGAACCGATACGAGAAGTCACACCACCGGTAGGGGGGAACGACGATGAAAGCGCTCCCATGGACATTGCTTCAAGTACGGACAGCCGCACCACTTCGCTGGAACCAAGATGCTAATAGGTGTCCTCATAGGCGGCGGCGCCGGGCCGGGAACTGTTCTCCGAAACAGCAGAAATTTTCAGCTGCCTCTTTCAAAGGGCCGATCGCCAATTCAACCGACTGCGAGGCTTCTCCGCTCCCCGGCGAAGCGACCCCCGAGTAAATCACCGATGCGACCGTCGGCAACTGACCCGACCGCAAGACACATCTTTTCGAGTCCTTCTGTATCGGAAAGAATGCCGAGGCGACCAAGCATCATTAGAGAGCCTCCGAGCGACGACTCTATAAATGCATTACTCAACCAGTCTGAACGGATGGGCGACAGGACTGGACTGGAAAGGGATTACCGGGTCGCGAACGAATATAGACCTGAGGCACGGTCACCACAACCTGCGGGAGGCATGTCCGCAAAGGCCATCGGCAAGCAGAGAGCGGTTCCGAGCATGTCGCCGCCAAGACACCCGCCTGTAAGGCCATCGCGACTACCGACTCCATCACCGCCAGCTCCTGAATCTAGCATGTACGTTCATGAGCCTGACCCAGACCCTGGCCCAGAGCCAGACCTTGAGCCGGAGCCGGAGCCGGAGCCACGACGACATTCATCATCGCCGTCTGCTCCCATTCGTGAGCCGTCGATTCCAACATCTTCCCCCCGACTACAAACGCACAAACGCCCTACGCCAGCGGTTTCGACGACTAGTTCAACAGCGCGCCGTGCGCGTGACGAGGAGGATGATCGCAGAGACGGGGCGAAGCGAGTGAGGCAAACAGATTCCGTCGTATCAAAGCGGAGCGCGCAACCTGCCAAGCGTGGACGCGGGCGGCCGCCAAAGAACGGAGTCGCCAAACGTGGGCGTGGACGGCCCCGAAGGAGCGAAGTTGAATCTGATGGAGACGAGGGTGACTCTTTGATGACATTGCAAAGAGGGCCGCCAATGCCGAAATCACGAGGACTAGTCTCCATGCGTCGCGATGCTGATGCCGCAGTTGAAAACCGCCGCAGAGGCAACGACGCCGACTGGTGGGCTGATATACAAAACGACGATACGACGCACGGGCATGAACCGCCTCGTGGCCAACGACTTGCATCGCAAGCTGCTACCAAGCACCAGCGCCGCGCAGACGCCGCTATACCCGACGTAGAAGAGGACCTCGAAGATTGGGAGCTTGATACCGGTAGCTTCACTGGTGAGATTGTGGTCTGGGAGCCAGAGTATGAGCACAATCCCCCGGGGCCCGACGACCAAGTGGAAGTGACGGACGAAGTTATTGCCCTCACAGCCGATGCGATCCCGACGTTCGAGATTAGAGAATCGGACGCTCGGTACGCCAAGCCGCTGGTCATGCCGTTTATGAGTGCCGGGTTCGTCGACCTGCCCTCGGGCTCAGAGAAGCGGCCCAAGAACTCGCGCAAGATGCACCTCGTCTTCTTCGTGCACTACGGCAAGGTCACCGTTAGCATCAACGAGGAGCAGTTTCGCATCTCGACGGGCGGCATGTGGTTCGTACCGCGCGGCAACTACTATAACATCGCAAACGATTATGAGTTTCCTGCGAGAGTGTACTTTGCGCAGGCGTGTGAGGTGTCGCCTTCGCCGCAGCCAGTGGATGACATGACGCAGACTATTGTGACGTGAGTCTTGTGATTGGCGGGTTTTCTGTTGGCTTTTCTTGTATATATCTTTTGGTGGCGTATTGGATGGCATGGTCTAGGGTTTTTGCATATTAATTCGGCGAGCGTTGGCCGTTTTAACTTGGATTTATTCCTGATGGATAATGAATATACCCATTGATACCAAGCACACCGGGTTCTCGTGCATTTTCTGATCGACATTGGTGGGCGACCTGCCCGGCGGGCTCAAGAAGAAGCGCCGTGAGTGCGAACTTGGATTCTAGGCAACAAGAACCGCTCAAACTGGTGGTATGGTCATCATCATTGTTTCTGGTTGGGACAAGAAGTCTCGTGGACAGCGGACGACGTCGTCAGGTCGCCGAATGTTGCAGCCTAAAAAAGCATGTGGCGCCGAACAAGTGAGAGCCAGCATGCAAACGTTCAAGGAGTTTTACCAGCACGCACAACAGCTTTTGAGTGAGGTTGTACCAGCATATCTCTAGTTCAGCCCGTAGCAGAAAGTGTCTGCCTGGAGACAGGCCAGATTACCAGCGCGCGTCCATCGTGGAACACCATGTCGACAGTGCTTTAGAACGACGCGCAGCCCGCTGCGAAACGAGTGTCAAGAAGCCTAGCAAGTCCAAACACCTCATCTCAGAAATCACCCCAGAATCACACTCGAGGAAACCGCCTAAGAAGCACTTTTCTCCCATTGCGGAATTTAGGTGTCCACTGAGGCTTCAAGTTAAGCCCCTTCCTTCTTGGCATGATCGATCCAGACCCCAAGAAACGAATCTCATGGAAGAGAAAGCCACAGCAATGGAAATTCTTGGGGTAACACGTCAGTGATTAGACTAGGGAGCATGTCTCGGATAACGCATGTGGTAACTGCAAGAAAATGGCGAGTTCCTATAGTTATGCTCAGCTCGTCATTTGGCGCCGCATAAGTAACTTGTTGTATACAGCCAAATCGCACAAGAATCAGGCACCAGATAGTATGGGGAAAACGGTGTGGCTCGGCGAGTTACACTGTGGAACTTACTCCCATACGGCCGTGATGCTCGCGCGTCTTCACCGACAGCTTTGCAGGCAACCCCTTGAGCAGTCATGTTGTCAGACGTGCGGTGCCCTTGGTCAAGTGCATTAACTCACTTTCGATTTTTGTTACGATCCAGTTTTTGTCGAGTTGCTTCCGTCAAAGAAGCCGTCATGGTGGCGAATCAAGAAAGAGAAAGAATCGAAAGCTGTCGACCGCATCTACTAGACATGGCGACGTTCCTTGGCCGCAATGTAGGGACATTTTTCATGCCACGTCCGGGCATCTGTGATAGGTATCTATGCTTTCGAGTTCACTTGAGCAGTAATAACGGCTGTAGTGAGGCATTTTGGGCCCGTTTCCGGCCTCTTATCCGACTGGGCAGTTGTGCGACCCTCGGGCGGTTCCAAGCCAACGTGTATCGAAGAGCCGGTTTCCCCGACCCTTTCTTCCTCACAAACTCAGGTCAGCTCTACTCCATGGTTTTAGTTTGGACAGGAGTCCTCTTGTGGCAACCCCCGTCCTGCTTTCTGCCCTCCATGGACCCGTGCCGCCCGTATTCTCCTTGCCCCCTGGCGTTTGCCGCCCCATCCTCCGTCGCCAGGATACACAATTCGGCCCCCAGGAGTCATACACGAGGGATACCAAACAGGCTCGGATTCTACGCCGAGAAGCTCAAAGACACGTGGGAGGGTGGACGGGCGACTCGCGTGGCGCCGCGCGCCCCTTTGACCGAGCCTTGTTGTCGAGTATGGCAAGGACGAACCGAGCAGAAGGCACCGAAGCTGGCTTCGTTTCCGGATTGATGGCAGTTAGGGTCGTGATCCTTTTGCCAGACAACTGAAGACGGTCGTGGGGTTACACACACGTGTTGAGGGTCTACAGGCGGCAGTTGCAGCTGACAGCGTGTTTGTGTTACCTGACACCACCACATCACATCACCAGGCTGGAGTTTTTCCCAACTTTTCTGTTGGTACGCCATCCCAACATGGTAGAGGGTGAAGCAGCTGGGTATCCCGAGCTTGTATGACACGTCCGTCATTGAGTAAGGGATTCAAACGTTTGGCGACTATATGTCGCTTTGTTTGACTCGCGTTGCCCTTGCGCTCGTGTAATGAATGCTGCCTAGACGAATTGACGCCGCGCCGTGTCCCGGAATCGGGCAGCACTCGTATATACCAACACTCACTCTCCGGACGAACTGCTTTCTCGCCTCATCTTTCCCCAGTCATCATCTCTTCTCGGCTTCTATTTCCCCCCACCAATTTATCCTTCCATGTTCAGCGCTCCGTCAGCTACTCACACTCTGATCTCGAGCCATGCCGCCCAGAGACAAGCCCGACCACCGCCTCGGTCCGGCCATCAGCGGCCACTTACGACCAAGCCCCAGCGCCGGCATTTCTCACCGATTTACGTGGCGCCGGCCCAGACTAGCCTGGGCCGCCCGGCCCGTCTCTACGATGAAGGCGCGCGACCGCCAGAACCAGGTGTGGTCTGCTCCCGCCACAGCGCCCAACAGCGGCGGCCCCGATGACGGTCCGGTGCATGATATGCACCAAGATCTTGAGCGTGCACATCGTGAACGCCTGCCCGGGGCACGAATTATGATTGCGCGGCCGCGCAGCGTCCAGCACATAGACCCAGACCACGCCTGGCTCCAGCCGGCCGAGTTTATCAGTCAGTCCAGCGATGGGAGCAGCATACTAGGCGTTTTGCAGCGCCTCGAGGATGTCTGTTTCAATTTCCACGTGCCCTTCCTCTCCATGCCGTCGGCCCCCGGGTCGAAGATCTATGAGCTGCGGGCGGTCTTGTCATACAATCCTGCAAGCGATGAGTGCGAATTCTTCTGCAATTCACACGACGTGTGCTTGGTAGGGGAGAGCGCCAATCAAAGTCATTTGTTGAAACAGGGACAGATACAAGATATCGAACCTGGCATGTGGACTATTGTCGTGCCCTCGATCCCGACGCCTGGTGGGAATGGCCTCGGCCGTTGGTGGCCGGTTGTGAAATTCTTGTTGTTGAAGCGCACGTTTGCAAGTACTGTGACGCGTCCAACAGCATCAGAAAGCGATGGAACGGCAACATCGTCGACTACGGATGATTACATGGTGAACATGGCCTTAAGAACCAAGCGCTCCGCGGAAACAGTTGCAGAGTTTGTCATGGGAACTGTTGAGTCGTCCGAATCTGACAAGACACTGCCAAACATCTCGAAAAATGAGATCCTTGAGCCCGATACGGGCCCATTCTATCAGCTTCGAGACGAAGAGACCCTGCAAGTCACGACGAAACCAGCCGGAGGCGATGATGCAAAAATTGAGCAGCGTTATGCCAGAACAGCAGAGTCATATCGAGTCAAACGTCTGGAAAGGATTGATCGAAATACACGGTCGAGCGTTTTTGTTTGCACACATAGCAAGCTCCCACACACGACCCTCGTCGCGAAAGCTCTCAATGTCGGACCAAGCATTCGCAGCTCGATTGCGTCCCTGGCCAACCATTGGGCCAACGAAATGGAAATACTGAGGACGTTGGACCACGTACGTTACGCCGCGCTTGTCATTCGTTTCTTGCTGATTTTGACATGATGTATAGAAAAATATTGTGAAAATCTTCATGTGGGATGCGCGGGTCTATACCGTGTACTTGGAGCACCTACCCGACTCTCTAGCATCTTATCCGAAAGGATACTTTACCAGCAAGGATGCCGAAAGAATACTGCTCGATGTCGCCTCCGCACTAGCCTATCTCGAAGAGGAGAAAATCTGCCACAACGACATCAAGCCGCGCAACATTGCTTACTCGCCTGAACGCGGCGCCGTGGTGCTCGACTTTGGGCTGGCCACCCGCGGCCGCTGGGTGCCGCCAAACGCCGGCGGCACGGCGTGGTACCTGCCCCCCGAGATTGTCGAAAACGGCCCCCGGTCCTCGCCGAGCAGTGTATGGGCGCTGGGAATCACGATGCTCTACGTGCTGGGCAAGATTGGCGCGCCAGAGGAGTTTGGCCGCGCGTGGGCGTTTCACAACATGCAGGACCCCAATGGACCCGATCGTCGTGCCATGGAAGGATGGCTGGACTATATATTATTCGACGTAGTGGCCGAGCTGGACATGGGAGACCCGATGCAGCACGTAATTTCGTGCATGATGGAACAGCAGCCAAATGATCGTCCCTCAGCTCATCAGATCGAGCCACTGCTGAAAGGGGAGCAGGAACGGACGGCAAGACTAAGTGTTTGAGGTTTTCTTGCCTTTGACTTTGTTCGATGGCCATTGTGGCGACATATTCTTCTTGTATATATGTTTTTTTTTGTCTTGTTTGGTTTTGTTTAGTCTTGTAAATGCGTGCTATATTGTCTTGAACGCTCCTGAGTTGATGCAACACTCGCTGGTGAAGCAATCGCCACCGCATCCCTGCCCGAGGAGTCGGTGTAAGCGCATGGCAGCAACGGGCGCACAGGGCTATGCAGCGTAATCTGCAGCCAATGAATGAAATTTAAAGAACATGGCACGTTCCCATATTGGTAGCTTTCCTCATCGAGACTTTTCTTTTTTCTTCCACTCACCTGAGAGAGCAGCCAGCCCCGCGCAGGGCAGGAAACACAACATCAGTTGCGCACTGGAGTCACGGGTAACCATGGCTGCTCGGCGCTCCGTATCGGAGGCTCGGTCGTCGCCCAGCAAACACCCGTTTTCAGGCCCCAATTTCAGAGGCACGTTTGAATTCCACTCCTTTTACCCATCAGCAGAACAACTGTCATTTCGGGCAAGAGTGCATCTCTCTTTTTTTTGTCCCTTTTTTTGTAACGGTTCGCGCTCGTCTTGGGAGACGGGCGGCTGGATGACCCCGCGATGAGCTTCCTCGAGGGGTGCAACACCAAGGGTGGCGGCGACAACACGGACGTGGCCGGCGAAGAAACGACGCGACCCAAGTTTTGGATCGAATTCCGCACTTTTGACGATGGCATGCACGATGCAGACAAAAGTGCGTCCACATTGACCTCGTTTCCACAGTTTGCAAGGCTGCCGCCGGAGCTACGACTTAAAATCTGGGAGTACCTGGTGCAACCGCGCATCGTCGTCGCGTGCTGCCTGGAACGGGACGGGCGGCTGCCGGAGCGACGCGCGCAGCTACGCAAACGAACGGCCGGAGGGTCTACGGACGGCGACGACGACAGCGACGGGGACGGGGCCGAGGACAGTACCAATGGAAGCTGCAGCCCCGTGCTGCTGCGTACCAGCCGCGAGGCGCGCAGCGTCGGGCTGCGCTTCTACGAGCTCACGTTTAGCTGGCGCATCTCGAAGCTGCTGTCGGACACGCCCGTGTCGCAGCCGGCGCGGGTGTGGTTCAATTTTGCGCTCGACGCGCTGTACCTGACGGGCGAGCTCGAGGCGTTTGACGCCTACGGCTTCAACTCGCCCATGGTGTACTTTTTGCGCCCCGAGGACACGCGGCGCGTGCGGCACGTCGCCTGCGCCTTTGCCGAGCTGGGCTACCCGCGGCTGGAGAGCGACCAGATCTTTGGGTGTCTCTGGCACGTCGCGGACCGGTTCCGGGCGGCGGACCGGCTGCTGCTGGCGCTGAGTCCGGGCGAGGAGGAGGTGGCGCACTGCAAGCTGGCGGTCGACGGGGGCCGGCCGGCGGCGCCGGGCACGACGCAGGAGAAGACGAAGAAGCACGTCGTGACGGCGCTGACGGACGAGGACAATGTGATGCAGAAGATTTGGGAGGGCTGGATGGGCAGCGTCCAGGGAAAAGGCGGCGCGCGAGACGACCGGACGCAGCTGGTGGGGAAGAAAATGGTGTTGGTGCGAGAGGAGAGCCTCGCGCATGTGATTTCTAGTTGCTAGACGCCATGATGGATGCGCGAGCCGGCTTTGATCAGTGGTAGATAGATGTCTGTATAAATGAAGACAGCTCCATATCGCATCGTCGCACATAAGCGAAGCGGCGGCAGGCTATCAGCGCGCAGAGCCATCTCTCAGGGTAGAGGCCAAGCCAGTGACCCTTCTGGCCTGAGAGTTCGACACCATTGCAAGCTTTGGGAACGCAACCGGCATCAAGCAGTTACGTGGCTACCTAACTAGCTGGATGGAAGCATCTGTAGACGACCCATGGCCCCCGCATGAGTCGTTTCGGATGGGCGGGTAGCAGTAGGCTGAAGAGGCTGTTGGGCCGTGACGGAAGGAGACTGAACCCAAGTGAATGAATGTAGAGCTTATTAGGCGAAGTTGAGTGAAGCTCGCCTACTTAGGCGACTGGATTTCCTTTCAACATGGAACCGCCGAGCTCCAAATTTTTCATCGGGCCCCTAAATCACAAGCTTGGTCCGTTTGCCGTCTCATTGTCCATTACGACCGGAATCGAGGAGCCACAAAATTTTCGTCACTGATTGTCATGTTTTTTCTTTCTTCGACCGGCGCGCCCCGCCGTTGTGCTTGGTTGCTTGGGCACGGCTGCAGCCACAGGCGGCTGGTACAGTGGTACGTACCGGCTCTGTATCTGCGCCCCACCATCTGCCACACAAGGAAGGCGGAGCTCCGTTCGTTGCCTCGCCACTGCAGAGCTTTCCGCGAGCTGCCTTGCAACGGGGCGCTATCTGGTAATTGGATCTGACAGACGTCAAGAACCAGGGAATTTTCGTTGGCCGGGGAAGCAATGTGAGGGAAATTATCCGTTTGCGGCAGGGCGGTGAGCGCGATACCCAGCCACGTTTCGTTCGGAGCGCTTCGTTCGATTCGGGTCGCGGGGTAATACAAACAGAGCTCGGCTGCATGTGTGAGAAGCCACCTCTAGCGTTAATGGGACAGCTGGGAATGCATCGTAAAAAAGATTTCGAGACTCGCTGGTCGCTTCGAGGCAGATCCATCGCTTTCGAACCTTGCTGTAGCTCCGTCAATGGAGGCGTTCTGGAAAGCCCTCACCAGCCCACTATGACGCCTGTTCCAACAATCGCCGCGTTGGAGGGGCATGCGGGTGACAAAAAAAAGGCCGGACACGTAAGTCTACACTCTATTAAAACTAGGAAAAGGAAAAGCGGAATTAGCATAAGTATAAGCAAGATAAGAAATATAAGCAAAATAGGAAATATAAGCAATATAAGAAAAATAGGAAGAATAAGGAAGAGGTTAGTATTCCTAACCGGCGGGTTACTATGTCTTGGTGAGGGGCAGAAGGTAAAAAATAGAGGTGGGGCCGTAAAGTACTCAGTACCTCCATACACCGCCATAAGGCGGCTCCAAAAGGCACGGGTGAATGTACTCGGGACTTGCTCGGGTGCCCCGCGGTGGAAGAGTGAAGTAGCTCATCGAAAACTGGTGCTCCGTGATGGAAGCCCAAAGTGAAGACAGTGAGAGGCGAACAAGAAAAGAGCGCAGAAGACACTCACGTTACCCAGGTTACTCACCCGCAAGGTTGCGCAGGAAGACGACCGCCTTTTGTAAAAGAATCTGGTGGGTGCGTCCAGCACCCTGCAGCTCTCTTCAGGTAGCTCCAGCAAGCTCCAGCTGTTGCCAGAGACTTCCACAGGCCCCTGCCACACTCTAGTGGGCTCCGCTGGAAAAGTTTCGAAGCACATAGAAGCGCCCGCTTCTTCTTATTTAGATGCATCCTACTCACCAAGAATTGTCTATTAGCTTTTCTCTCATTTCATTCTCACACACACATTATACCCCCTCTTCAATCCATCATCGAGAGGAAGAACTAGCTCTCCTGCTTGCTCCCATTTTCAAACACACTCGAGTGTTTATTTTCTCTTCAACATCCCAAAACCCCTCCTCCCCTCCATACACACACAGAAGCCGCCAACATGACGACCTCCACCACCGCTGTCGGTATCGATCTCGGTACCACCTACTCCTGCGTCGGTATCTTCCGTGAGGATCGCTGCGACATCATCGCCAACGACCAGGGTAACCGCACTACTCCTTCGTTCGTTGCCTTCACCGACACCGAGCGTCTGATTGGTGATGCCGCCAAGAACCAGGTCGCCATGAACCCTCACAACACCGTCTTCGACGCCAAGCGTCTCATTGGCCGCAAGTTCAGCGACCCTGAGGTCCAGGCCGACATGAAGCACTTCCCCTTCAAGATCATCGATAAGGGCGGCAAGCCCATCATCGAGGTCGAGTTCAAGGGCGAGCAGAAGACCTTCACCCCCGAGGAAATCTCCTCCATGGTCCTCATCAAGATGCGTGAGACCGCTGAGGCTTACCTCGGCGGCACCGTCAACAACGCCGTCATCACTGTCCCCGCCTACTTCAACGACTCCCAGCGCCAGGCTACCAAGGATGCTGGTCTCATTGCTGGCCTCAACGTCCTCCGTATCATCAACGAACCCACTGCCGCTGCCATTGCCTATGGTCTTGACAAGAAGGTCGCTGGTGAGCGCAACGTCCTGATCTTCGATCTTGGTGGTGGTACTTTCGATGTCTCTCTCCTTACCATTGAGGAGGGTATCTTCGAGGTCAAGTCCACTGCTGGTGACACCCATCTTGGTGGTGAGGACTTCGACAACCGCCTTGTCAACCACTTCGTCGCCGACTTTAAAAGAAAGCACCGCAAAGACCTATCCACCAACGCGCGCGCTATGCGTCGTCTCCGCACTGCTTGCGAGCGTGCCAAGCGTACCCTGTCTTCTTCCGCCCAGACCTCCATCGAGATCGACTCTCTCTTCGAGGGTATCGACTTCTACACCTCCATCACCCGTGCCCGTTTCGAGGAGCTCTGCCAGGATCTCTTCCGTTCGACCATCCAGCCTGTTGACCGCGTCCTCGCCGATGCCAAGATCGATAAGAGCCTCGTCCACGAGATCGTCCTCGTTGGCGGCTCTACCCGTATTCCTCGCATCCAGAAGCTCATCACCGACTACTTCAACGGCAAGGAGCCCAACAAGAGCATCAACCCCGACGAGGCTGTCGCTTACGGCGCTGCTGTCCAGGCCGCCATTCTGTCTGGCGACACCACCTCCACCTCGACCAAGGAGATTCTTCTCCTCGACGTTGCTCCCCTGTCCCTCGGTATTGAGACTGCTGGTGGTATGATGACCAAGCTCATCCCTCGCAACACCACCATTCCTACCAAGAAGTCGGAGGTCTTCTCTACCTTCTCTGACAACCAGCCTGGTGTCCTTATCCAGGTCTACGAGGGTGAGCGTCAGCGCACCAAGGACAACAACCTCCTCGGCAAGTTCGAGCTTACCGGCATCCCCCCTGCTCCTCGCGGTGTTCCCCAGATTGAGGTTACCTTCGATCTTGATGCCAACGGTATCATGAACGTCTCCGCTGTCGAGAAGGGCACCGGCAAGTCCAACAAGATTGTCATCACCAACGACAAGGGCCGTCTCTCCAAGGAGGACATTGAGCGCATGCTTGCTGATGCCGAGAAGTACAAGGACGAGGATGAGAAGGAGGGTCAGCGTGTCTCTGCCAAGAACGGCCTTGAGTCCTACGCCTACTCTCTTCGCAACACTCTCGGCGACCCCAAGGTTGACGAGAAGATCGAGGCTGATGACAAGGCCAAGCTCACCGCCGAGATTGACAAGATTGTCCAGTGGCTCGACGAAAGCCAGCAGGCTACCAAGGAGGAGTACGAGGAGCACCAGAAGGAGCTCGAGGCTGTTGCCAACCCCATCATGATGAAGTTCTACGGCTCTGGTGGTGAGGGTGGCATGCCCGGTGGCATGCCCGGCATGCCTGGCGGTGCCCCTGGCGGCTTCCCCGGTGCCGGCGGCGCCCCTGGTGCTACCCACGATGACGGCCCTACCGTCGAGGAGGTCGACTAAATGCTTTGATACCCCCGAACCAAAACAACCCCGCTGGAGTTTCACATTGGCATTTTAGGAGGCTCTGTTGAAGACGCAGAGATGATGAATGATTTTTTTAGAGTTAAATTTCTTTTGTACTGGCTTTGCATTACGGATATGATCACGGAACCCAAAAGGATGAACCGGCAATTTGCTGGCAGATGTACTTTAATGAATAGGGTAAATCAAGAAACCCATTAGACAAAACACTCTTCATGAATTGTGTCTGTGATATTGAATATGCTCGTGATAATGAAATGATGATGGTGACTGCTTAAAATTGAGGGAGGCTGATAATTTGGTAATGGAATCTGGTCAATTGACTTGCGATAACTGCTGCCACGATGGATGGAATTAATAATTGCGCTACGATGCAGCCGGCGGCTGGAATTCATAATTGCCCTATGACGCAGCTGACGGCGTTGTTAAAGCTAGTAGCAGTATCGATGGAAGCTGGCGGCGGCGGTGGCGGGTATTGACAGTCCCTGAATTTATGATAATAGCGCCTGTTGCGTCGACCGCATCGCCCGTATCGTCTGTATCGTCTTGCATCGTCTGTATCGTCTGTATCGTCCGAATCTGCCTCGCCACGAGGTTGCCTAACGCCTGCCTTGAGGCCGTTGCTTGGTAAGAGAGCTGTTGAGGGTGTCGAGGATGTTGTTTATTGATGCTGAAGAGGCTATCATAAGATCGCGCACCAATCGCTGGTGCCAATGTGCACGACCAGCCCATTTGCAGATGTGATGAAACAATCAAGACACTTGTTTCGATAATAGAGAGTGGTATATGTACATTGATATGCTAACAGGTCATATTATACAATGGTGGTATATTTTCTCGTCAACAAGACTTCTCAAAGCCCAGCCCGTCGCGAATCTTTTGTCTGCGTTCGCTCTCCATCTTGCGCCACTCCTCGTCCCCCATGGTCGGCACGTCTATGCTCTCCGTAAACGCCGTGTCCGGGGCCACCTTGTGGGTGCGCGCCTCCCAGACGTCCTCGCTGCTGGCCCTGCCGGGCGCGTAGTATTTGGCGTGCTCCTTGTTGCGGTAGTGGGTGCGGATGAGTTCCTCCTTGACGGGGCCCGACGACGACTTGTGGCGCATGCAGAACCAAAAGTCATCCCACTTCTCCGTGCAGGACCGCATCTCGCCGTAGCGGTACACGGCGTTCCACTGCCCGCCGACCGAGTTGCAGCCCCAGGCGGCGTCAAAGGCCTGCCGGCACGACATGTCGGTCGGCAGCAGCGACTCGGACAGCGGGTCGCGCCGCGGCGCGTCGGCTTCCTTGTAGCGCGGGTTGTCCTTGGGCGTGATCATCTTGGCGAGCCACTCGGGCAGCGGCGAGGGCGCGGGCTCGTGCGGTCGGGCTGCGCCGGAGGAGGAGGAGGAGGCGGCCTCGTCGGCCTTGAAAAAGTCCATGATCTTTTGGAGCTCGGCGTCGTCGGCGGACTGTGGCTTCGGTTGTGGTGGTTGCGCGCGAGGGGCTTGCGAGGGGGTCTGCGTGGGAGGAGTGTCTTGTGATAGCGGCGTCTCGGCAGGCTTTGAATTCGAGGACCATAACCAACCCATGATGGCGATGTGATGCGATTTCCTCGGCGGGTAGTCGGTGTCTGGTATTGATGATGTCGGCGCGCCGTCGCGGCGAGAGAGGATTGAGGCGATGGGGTGCTTTCAAGATGGCGGATTGATTCGACGTACAGAAGAAATCAACGCAACAGTGTTATAGCCGCAATGGAGTTATCAAGAAACACATTCAATAGCTCGTTAATCGTCGCTGTCTGGCCTGGGGAAAAATGATCTGCCGGCCCGCTCTTCTCGGCGGCGAACGGCAACAGCAAAGAGTGACCTCATGATGAAGGAGCCAATACTGCTGAGGTCAGAAAGTACAGAAAATATACATAAAGAGAAATAAGGATATTTATAGATATATATTTTAGAAAGCCTTTCTCCGGGACCGTATCCATTTATTTTTAGTTATTCCTTTGACTGTGCGCCATTCAATTCATTCCTAATTGCAATAACTACCTACTAATACACTGTAGCGTGACTTGGTGGGGAGCTGGCCAGCTTCCAAGCTCCCCAGACTTGGACCTCGACAAGCTCGACTTCAGCACAACCCTGCGGCCAAGCCCACGATGAATACCTGTTCGATCTCCTAAAATCCATCCTACAACTATTTACATAATGTACACGGGCCTGCGGCTCGCCGCTGTGGCTGCACGGCCGCTGGCGCGAGCTTCAGCCTTGCGGCCGTGTCTCGTGAACCGCCACCCAGACTTGCGCCGTTTCGACCAGGCAGCTCTTCGACAAGTCATCCCCGGCCGATCATGGGAGAGCACGATTGCGGCGCCTCCGTCCGAACCCGTGGCCCCGGCCGCCGAGAATGCCACGGAGAATATAATCTCAGAGGAAAAGGACACTGGCCACTTCGAGGTCAAGGACAATGAAGCCATCCTCTTCTTCGACAGTACGCACCGCAGACAGGAACTGACTGGGACAAGGCGCTGACTCGCGACGTAGACATTTTTCCCCTCAAGATTATCAATGTGCTGCGCAGAAACGAGAGCGACAGCGAGCTGGCAGATTTGATGCGCCGCTTTGATAGCTCGAGACTCGGCATTATGGATCCCATTCGTTTGGTCAAAATGGCCATCCCGGAGGATATGCCCATAAAAGTCACCGAAATTCTACCACGCTTCAAGGACGGTGGCGCCTTCGTCAAGTTTCGATACAGCGCCGAACTGGACCCGGCCGATATTGAATGCAAGTACAGGAGACACCCTTCGCCACAACCCTGGCTAACCATGTCCGTTTGCAGCAACATTGAAGAAGAGGCTGAAGGAGAACCCCCTAAAGCCGTGGTTTAACCCGTTCCGCGGTATTCAGGCGCGCCTAGTCAGGGGTACTCCTTGGCTGGAGGACATGCATCGATATCCGTCCGGCGTGCTTCGCGTTGAATTTGTCCCGGCTGAAGTTGGTACGACGCCAGAAACCCTCCCCGAGGAAGTCCTGTACAGTGTCTTTCGCCGGTATGGCAAGATTGCCGATATTATCCCGCAGTCTGCAGACTCCAAAGAAGTTCCGAAATATGCCAATGTTGGCTTCCCGCTCCTGCGCGATGCCATCATGGCAAGAAACTGCGCGCATGGATTCGTCATCCCAAAATCCCAAGGCGGCGGAGCGGCCGGGACGATGCTCCGTATTACCTACGTAAAACGGGTAAAGGGTCACAATATCTGGAATTGGATAACAAGCCATCCACGCATTGTTTTCCCGATCATCGCCGCTCTTCTTGCCGGCTTGTCTGTCATCATTTTCGACCCTATTCGACAGTTCTTTATCCGCCTACATATCCAACACTCTTTCAACTTTAGCGAGTCAAGATTATACAAGTGGTTCCAGAGCCACCGACAGTCATTTTCCTTAGGGAAACGTCGCGAGCAGTGGGAGAGCTTGGGCGGCGCGATATGGAACCATCGTCTGGATGTCATCAGCCAGCTACGAGAGTGGCTCGATGTGACGTCAGACAACTTCATCGTCGTTACTGGGCCAAGAGGTTCTGGCAAGGTTGAAGTTGTCATGAATAAGGCGCTCGAAAATCGCCGAGACGTCCTGCTGCTTGACTGCAAGCCCATTGTTGAAGCACGCGGTGAGTCCGCTATGATCGGAAGGCTTGCTTCTGCCGTTGGCTACAGGCCCGTGTTCTCTTGGGCCAATAGCCTGAGCAGCCTGATTGATCTCGCTGTTCAAGGCACCACTGGTGTCAAGGCAGGCTTTTCCGAGACGCTTGAGTCACAGCTCACCAAAATTTTGTACACCACCGCAAGCGCGCTGAGGGACGTAGCATTGTCTGGTCGGTCGAATAAGGAAAGAGACGGCAATACCTCGGAGGATGCGTGGCTCGAAGCTCACCCGGAGCGTAGACCCGTCATTGTCATTGACAACTTCCTGCACAAGAGTGACGAGCAGGGTATTGTCTACGACAAAATATCTGAGTGGGCAGCGTCGCTGGTACAGAATCATGCCGCGCAAGTCATCTTCTTGACCAGCGAAAACGCCTACTCCAAGCCACTGACCAGAGCTCTACCCGACCGCGTCTTCCGCGTCGTCTCCCTAGGGGACCTCGACCACGGCGTAGCCAAGAAATACATCCTGGGCCGCCTTCAAAACGACCGTGAGGCTGCAGAGGAGCGAAAGGCGAAGGAGGAGAGCGGCAACAAGCCAAACGGCACCCCCAACCTTAGCGGTCTAGACTTGGCTATTGAAACCCTGGGTGGCCGCCTGGTGGATCTCGAGTCCCTCGCCCGCCGCATTCAGGCCGGCATGAGCCCAAGCGACGCGACCGACGAAATAGTCACGGAGAGTGCCGTCGACACTGTCAAGATGTTCCTCCTGAGCAAAGGCAGCGACGCCGCCGAGAAGAAGTGGTCGACTGCGCAGGTCTGGCACCTCGTCAAGGCCCTTGCCAAGGACTCGTCTCTCCTCTACAACCAGGTCCTCCTGTCCCCGACGTTTTCCTCATCGATGAGCCCGGCCGCCGGTGACGGCGAGGCAGCACTCGAGTCGCTCGCGGCCGCCGAGCTCATTTCCGTGCGCGCGGACCGCGGCCACCCGCGCCTCATCACGGCTGGCAAGCCGCTGCAGCAGGCCGCATTTGCGCGACTAGTCAGGGACCGTGTGCTCGTGGCCAAGATGGACCTGGCGCAGCAAAACGAGCTCGCCAAGATTGAGGCCAAGAAGATTGCCGCGGCGGAGAATGAACTGGTGCTGCTCGGCAGCCTCCCGCGCCAGACGAGCGAGTCGGCGGGCCGCGTGCACTATCTACTGGTGCAGATTGATACGGCGCAGCGCAAGATTGAGGACTTGGACAAGAACATGGCGGCGTGTAAGAAGATTTTGAGCGAGGAGGTCTAGGCAATAAAGTGCCGTCTTTTTGGGGGCGTTTCTGGGTTCAGTTCGGGACGGGGAAATGGCCGCTGGAGGGCCGTCTTTTAAGACCCGAAGAGAATATAGGTAATTCCACTCGCTATGTCTATAAGGATCAGACTTGTAATCTCTACTTTGTTTTAATTTTATGCATTGGGACCAGTCTTGCTTATGACCCTCTATGAGTCGGCTGAGCTGCAGCGCTACTCTGCTTTGCGGAGTGTAAAATAACAAAAATCATACTCGGCCCATGTCAAGAAGCATTCGACAAGTATCAGAATGGCTTTTTGAACATGGACTGAGCAGTGGCATCCGGGCTTTCCGTTTCGGGATGTAACACCTGATTGGCTTTGTCGCGATGGAGGGGCACATCTGAAGCTATGGCGGGGTGGCTCCTCTAGCTATTTTGCTCACCTCGAAACATTTACACCTCAACAGCCGCTCATTGGAAGTAACAACAAGCAGTTGCGCAGACTATCTCGAAATTCTCACCCCATCATGTTGATCCAAGAGAGCCACGTCGATGTCAAGACGACAGCGAATGGCAAAGAGAGCACCATGCGTACGGACCCCTCCCCCCCCGCCATGAAGCTCATCTAACGAAGCTCATCAGGCATCTTTGTCTTTCATCCTGCCATTCCCGGATTCCCCAACGCGTAAGCCCCCCCCATTTGCCACATAGACTAGGACCGGGCTGACACGGACGGACAAAAAGGCGCTTCCCTGGTGTCTGCCTGTTTAGCGAAATCTACCAAGGTCCGTCGGCACCGCCGGGAGGTTGGCCTACCTCGCCTGCATCCCTATTGACCGATACTGGTGTGCAGTGACTGGCCCGGTCGCGCGGTTCGCGCGCCAGATCGCCGGCCAAGGCTACATTGTCGCCGCGCCGTCGTCGTACCACGACTTTACCGGCCCGGAGCCGCTCAAGTACGACGTTGCCGATACCGACCGGGGCAACGAGTACAAGATTCAAAAGGTAAATCTATCCTGACGCCTCTCCAGAGCTTCATTCTTCGTTTCAGCTAACACCTGCAAGACGCTTGAATCATATGATGCCGACTCGTACGCCACCGTGGACCACCTCCTCACTCTGCCCACCTGCACTGGCCTGATCGGCGCCACCGGCATGTGTCTCGGCGGCCATCTCGCCGTCCGTGCCGCCGTACGTACTACCCCCTCCCAGAACCACCATTGCTCACCTAACCCCTCATCCACCCAGCTCGATCCTCGCATCACCGCCTGCGTGTCCTACTTTGCCACCGACATCCACAGCCGCACCCTCGGCCCGCACGCGGGCGCCAACACGGCCGCCGAGGCGCCGGCCAACAGCACCCACACGCTCGACCTCTTCTCCCGCTTCAAGGGCGAGGCCGCCATGATCTTTGGCGTGCAGGACACGCACGTGCCGGCCGCCGGGCGCGATCTCGTGCGCGCCAAGATGCGCGCCGCCGGCGTCGTCGCCAGCTTCCACGAGTTTGCGTGGGCCCAGCACGCCTTTATCCGTGACGAGCTCAGCAAGGGCCGCTACGACCCGGCCGTCACCAAGGTGTGCTTCGAGGTGCTGCTCGAGGTCTTTGGCCGCGTGCTCAAGACGGACTTGGGCGTCAAGGGCAGCGTGCCCGCTGTCGAGCACGACTGTTAGGCTCTTGCGAGCTTGTCGCATCTTGGTAGTGGGGTATATAAGGCAATGAATGGTCAGGTTGAAATTATATTGCATCGTATTTCTCTGCTATGATGTCTGTGTTCTTCTGGTTCGTAGTAGCGCCAGCTGCGACGCAGGCGTGGTATCATCAGTTCGTCATTCGGTATCGTTGTCATAGACGTAGGATGCAATCGATGCGCAACGTAGAAATGCCAGGCCGGCGAGTGCTATTAACCCAGGATGATCATTGTTTAGAAGATGTGACTGATTACTGGCAGACGGAGCCAACATCAACTACCCCTCCGTCAAGGCCATCATCAGGGCACGGCACTGTCTGGAGCAATCTTTTCAACTTTCGCACACTGTTGCAGCCGATACAACGTCCAAAATACCGTAGTTTAACTTTGACATTCTAATTTTGACACCCTTCATTTCGCTAGACCTGTATGCGACGAACCAGATCCTTCGGGATCAATACAAAATATACTACATCGTGCTGCTGGTTTATACTTGGTGCACCGCTAGCTCTGGCGCCTTCCCCGAAGAACAGCAACAGGTTCATTGATTTCCTCATACTCCGTCGGAGGGCATTGTGATTCTGCGCTGGATCAGAAGGGTGCTTTTCTCTGGGATGTTGTAGAAGGACAAGGTGCGGTCATCCTCGAGCAACCGCCCTTGAAAAGACAAATAGAAGTCTAGGGAAAGACGTTTCCTGTCCTTAATCATGCACTTGACGTCTTGGATGGTATTGGACGGCTTGACCACAATATCGATCCCGAATCTTCTCCTTGGAGAGACTGTAAATGACGTTAGTCGCAGGCGTCAACAATCCAACGGCAATCACGCGGGAGTTATTAGTACCTTTCCGGATTCGAATTATGAAGAGTCTGAAATCAGTTTCGGTTTGAGTGTGTTTCCCTCGCGCCTCGCGCATCTCGGGCTCCTCAGCCTCGTACTCAGATACCGTCTCTACGTCGGGGTTATTCTCTGTATGTATTCCCCGGCCAGCTCCTTTCTCCATTTCCCACTCATGGGTCAAGGCTACGGTCATACCCGATTCGAAACCCGTTTTCCTCTTTTGCGCGATGTGGCTGGTGATGTCGAGCTGGACGGCGTTGAAAGCCACGGACGCCCGCTGGAGACTGTGCCTGACGATTTCGGCCTCGACCGGCTCCGGGTGCAGTTGGACGGGCACATGGGCTCCGGCCGAGACTCCCTGCAGTGTCTGTCGGGTCTGGGCGATGATGTCGGACGTACGAGCAACCAAGGCCTCGTACTCGCTGACCAGGTGACTGACGGCCCAGAAGCATCCGAGGTGGACTTGGTCTAGGGTGACGAGCCTCTCGTCCCGAGGTCCGTCCTTAAGACGTTCATCCCTGAACGCCTCCAGCTGCTGGTTCAGCCTTTGTCTCCATTCAGCCTCGTGGGGTGCTGTCCATTCCTCCACGGATGTGGACGCTTGATCGAGCTGTACATTCCCGTTTGCAATCGCACCATGACCTGACGGGGCAGAAATTTCAGACGCAGCGGCGGCGTCTCGAAGTAGTGTTCTGGCGTACGGATCCATAAACCGCCACCAGAACGTTTGCTGGCACTTCTCATGGCCGTTGAGGAGGGTAATGTACGTCGCCTCGCTGATATCCATCTTGATGTTGGGAACCGGCATCGACGGCATGTGTAACAACAGCTTGCCCGGTGAAGTCTCACACAGGTGCTCGTGAAGCTCAGCCGGAGAAGTCATTTCGGCTTGAGCTTATCCGAAAGACGTAGTTGTATAGTTGAAGGACGGGGGGAGTACTTTTTGATGGCTCTTGCTGAAGGTATCTGGCGAGTCGCGCGAAGCGTGCAGCAAAGGGAAGGGTTGGAGAAGGGACAATACGTGAGCTGCAAATCAATACATAAGAGGGAAAACTCGAGGTTGATTTGATGTGCTTCGGGAAATGAGGGGGCACCACAGTGAATTTGGGTAGTTTTGCGGAAGACACGCGAGCAAACGGACGAGCAGCTGAATTTTCTCTTAACATGCGAGCAAACGGACGAGATGCTAATTTCTTTTGCACGTGGCTGCTCACGAGTGAATGATAGGCAGGGGAGAAGCAAAATTTTCAATAAAAGAATACCCGAACTCGCTACTTCTTACTACTGCTCTCATAGATTCTGTCTCGTCTTCCGGGATCGTGACTGAGAGCTCATTGCTTCCTCATTCTATCAAGGCTTGGTCGAGGAGACCATGTAAAAGATGCGATCGACAAGCGACCAGCTTTCCCACCGCGCTCTCGCCCAAGTGTGGTACGCGCTTCTCGGTCCTACTCCAGCAGGTGGACACACTGCCAGGATACTCCTCAGGCTCGCCATTTCCTCCGTTGTAAAAGCAGTCGGAGTTGATGCGGTAGCCATGGGCGGGGCAGTAATCTCGTCTGGCGAGTTTCTCCAATCGTGCTCTTCGGATTTGATTTCATCTGTGGGCGATTCAGCCAGGAGTCTTTCTGCTGACATGGAAACGGAACAGGCATCCTCGTGGTCACTGTTGAGGCCATCCTCTGACTGATGCTCAGGCCCCCAACCATCATTATCTTCTGATTCTTCCTTGGGCTCGGGTGAATTAGATGTAGTTGTCTGTCTCAAAGCCCGGTCCAAAATTCCGGTCCCGCCCTCTCCTTCGTCGTCAATCCTCTCGGATTCGGCATCGTCGTCGCACGAAACTGCGCGAAGATTGCTTGGGCCCGGAGCCTTCGGGCTCTCTCGGTCGCCGTCATAATCGTCGCTTTCCGGCTCCAGGCTGGAAAAACAATATTCAAAGGTCGAAGGAGCCGGGGGGGGAAGGTCCCGTTCATCTGCGTCCCGGGCATTATCGCCGTCCATGGACCCGATAGGGAGATAATCATCTTCCCTAGGGTCAGCGACGAGAGAATCCTCAACGATATCCAACGTGTCCGACGAGCCAGGTATATTGTCCATATCTTTAGAAACCAGATGTTAGTATTGTAGAAGCAGAGTTGCCTTGACTATTTTTCATACTCGAATGGGAGCACTGGCAGTATCGTTGAGGCATGATGGTTGACAAGGCAGCACCGTGGAGTTGCAACCTGCAGTTACAAATATTGAGCAATATGTTTAGAAGAAGAAATGATGCAGTGTTTAATGCAAGGGGGAAATAGAAGCAAAAGGATGCGTGTCTGAGAAGAAGGGTGGAGGAGCTGCCGGCCGCTCATGCCCGTTTGCACCAGGGCGGAAGTGGTGAAGCTTGGAAGGTGGCAGCAGAAGAGTTTTGGGACATAAACACGAAAGATTGTGTCATGATCAATTGAAATTCTCAATAGAGTACATCCGCCTCGATAAATGCCCCCAATGCTGTCCATCGGCCAAAATCACAAAAGCTTGTTGTTGTCTTCTCATCGGCCTACCATAAGCTCGAGCATAATCCAAAGAGCTCCCACGAGCAAGAAGACAGCCGAAGCATACATTCCAACCCTGCCTTCTTCGTTCAAAACCTGCCGCAAAGGTGCAGCGGCCGCGATGGGGGCAACGACGGGGGCGGCTTTCCGCGGTTGCGATGGAGAGGACTCTGCACAGGGGTTGACAAGTTTTTCCGGCAAGGTACGCTTATCAGATAGTTGGCCAGGAACGTTCCCTCCATCCATCATCACTCCGTCGACGCCCTCGTTTCTCTCCTCGTCTGACTCGGTCTCCGCGACAGCAGTCACTTCCTTGATCCCGGCCACGGACTGGACCGCACCACTCCTCCAATCGACGTCATTGATGGCAAATCTGAGGAGAAGGGGCGAGAAGGGAGGAGCTCCTTGAGCAGTGGCCATGGGCTGCTCCGTCTCGCTGACCTGGTCGTCGTCGGACATCAAATCCGGTTGCTGGGAGTCAGGTTCCTTCTTGGCGGCACGACGCCGGGGCCGAGGCAAAGGCGACTCGCTTTCGAATCGAATAAGATTGTCCTCGTAGTCCATGGAAGGCGGAGTGCCTACCCAGAGGCTCTCCTCAGTCTCCAGAACCTGGTCCGGCGTCCTCGCTCGTGAGTCTAGAAAGCCGCGGCATAAGCGTCGTCCCGGGCGTCGTGAGATTGGCACAAGGAGAAATGTCAAGTACTTACAGCCTGAGAACTGACTGGTGTAGCGACTATCGTCCATGATGCGCGATGAACAACGCAAAGATGTGAAGAATGATGCAACGAAACTGGTAGGATTGACCTGCGGCGAAGAGTGAAGTGGATGGGAGGGCTATGTGAAGGGCGTGAAGAGGGGGAGTATGAGTCTGCGTTCACGTTTCGAAAAGAAAACAACACCGCCCATCCGCTGCGCTCTCTGTTTGCCGGCGGCATGTTTGCCGATTCACAGCTGAGCGAACCAGCGGTGAAAGCAGCGGCATTCCTTGTTTTTCCTTTTCGCAGGGTCCGTAAATTCACATCAAATACCTTGTGATTGCTTATCTGTGTCAAGATTTTTGCCTTTGAGCAGACGCGCCTTTTAGCAGACGCGCCTTTGAGCAGACGCCGTGATATCCTCAGGCCGAGTTGATACCACTCACTAATCAAGAGTGTCAACAAAGTCTGGAGCAGCGTTTCCATTGGGGAACGGAGATCAGTGGGTAATTGATGCTTCTTCATTCAAACTCCCAATGTACTCTACCCTACCAGCCTCCATCCTCAGCTTGTGTACATCTCCCCCCCTTTATCTACTGCTTTCCAGCCTTGGCCTCCTCATCATCCATGACAAAGCCCTCGAGGATGCGCTTGCCGTCGGCCGCGTCCTCACTGTCCCATGGCTTGAGCCCAAAGGATTGGCAAAATGCGGTCCATCCGCCATAGGCCTTGCAAATGGCACGCTCCGCGGGCGTCAGGGGCGGCTCTAGGACATGGCAGGGTCAGTCAAGGTTGTTGATGAAACTCGTGCACTTAAACCTGGTGGGGGTTTTTGGCGGGTGGAAATGACGGCGGTAGAGGAGTTGGATGGGGTAGTGACTCACGGAGAGAATCGCTAGCTGGCATTTTGATAGGTAGGCTGAGGCTTGTTCTTGTTGTTGTTGTCAATGATTTGCTTTGCCTAGTGTTACTGATGGTGGTGGAGGAACTTGTCAATTTTGGCGATTGGCGATTGGCGATTGGCGATAGCCACTCACCATGCAACATTTAGCCACAATGCGGGGTTACTTCGCGGCACTCTGTTAGCCAACGCTTTTGGCAGCCACGCTTCTCGTGCAAGTAACTAGTCATCATCTAATGCATTGTATTTGGAATTCTGTTTGAATCCATGTCTATAAGCCTATCCAGCTGCCATAATTATGACCAGCGACAACATAAAAAAGTGATACACGCGCAATGCTAGATAAATAACAGATAAAAAGCGAGCTAGAGATCGACAGAAGCCACAGCTTTCATCTCAACGTCAACTCTTTCCCTCTCATCTGAGATTGGTAGTTCAAGGGCCGCGCGAAGGCCGACGACCGACAGGGTTGCCGCGGACGTTGAGCGAGGTCGAGCGGCGCGGTTCCTCCTCGTCATCAATGCGCACAGTCTGGAACCCGCCATGGCTGTGGTCGGCAGCATCAGTTCTGTGAGCGGGGTGGTTGCGCTCGTAAAATGTTGAGGGCATGTCTGTGGTGGCCTCCTCGTCAAACGTCTCCAAGCGCGGGCTCCTCTGCTGCGGCGGAAAGTGGCCGTCAGTAGGCGTCAGGCCAGTGGTGCCCGTCAGACCCTCGCCAGCCTTGCGGCGACCGCGCTGACTCTCCTTCTTATGGAGCTCAGAGCGCATCGCCTCAATCTCGCGAGAGCGCCGCGGGTCTGTCGACTCATCCACAGCGCTGGTAATCGTGTCCTCGCGCGACTCCCACATGCTAGTCGCGGTATCAAGGGACAAAGGAACCGTGTTGAGCTCGGAAATGGCGGCTTTCTCGGCAGCGGCGTGCTCCTTTTCCGTCTGTGATGGGTTGGAAGGAACCATGCGAGAAGCATCCTTGTCCTTGGCGTACTTTTCGCGGCCAGCCGCAGCAAAGTCGTCGGAAACGGCGACAGTGTAGCTTGGGTTTCCAGGTCCACCAAGGGCTTCGTTTCCACCACCTGGTGCGTAGATGGGAATCTTTTTGAGGGCGAGCGCGAGTGCGCACATGAATTTGGAGCGACGAGTAGAGCGAACTGAGTCGTTGTGCCAGTTGGACTTGTGCTTGATGGAGATGTTAAGGACCATCTTGTCGAGATTACCAACACCGCCAATGCCAATGGAGAAGTCGGGGTGGAAGTCGCGCGAGTTGTCGGGATGGCGAACAAACTTTTCCATCTCGAGGCGAAGCAGCTCAACGTCTTCAAAGCTGGTGTCGTAGGAAACGTTGACTTCGACGGTCTCGGACATGGCCTTGCTGCGGGAAATGTTGTCGATCCAGAGATTGTTGAGCTGGATGTTGGGAACTTGGGTGACCTGGGACTTATCTAGGCGCTTGAAGACCGAATACAGCAGAGAGATGCGCTCAACAACCATGGCGCTGCCATTGATGTCAACACGGTCGCCAACATCGAAGGGGTGCTTGACAAAGAGGAAAATGCAGGAACCGAGGAATTCTTGGGTAGTGACGGCAAAGACGAAAGACAGGGAAAGCAGCGCAGTTCCGGCAGTACCAACAACAGTGACGAAGCTGCTCCTGAAAAAGGCAAGGAAGATGAAGACGACAATGAGGAGAACAATGAATAGGAGAACCTTGTCGAGAACGCGAAGAGCCTGGCCAATGTCCTTCATGCCTTCAGCAATAGCCCTGCGCTCCTGGCCCATTTCAACGGTTTTGCGGACCATTTCGTCGAGACTGATATCGCCGTTGAGATCGCTGTCGTAGACAGCGAAAGCCTCTTCAGCGTCGGTGCTGTATGCGGGACCCAGAACCTCGTAAAAGTCGTCAATGTAGAGGGCGTCCCTGCCTTCGACAACAAAGGACATCCATATGCGTCTGGCGAGGGCCTCGGAAGGCAGTCTCTTCTCGAGAGCTTCGATGACGACTGTGTGGGACGAGTGTGGGTTGAAGACTTGCTTGCCGGTGATTTCAGAGGCAAGGTTACCAAAGACGGAAGTGACTTTGTCGCCAATGCGACCAACATCACCAATGAATTTCATGGGTGTGGCGGAGCCATTGCGCTTGTGGCCAGCCTTTTTGCGCAACATCATTTCAATACTATCGTCGATGACATAGTCCTCGTCTGCAAACTCGCGACAGTACATGGGGAAGAGGGTGCGCGAGGCCTCATACAAAAGACCAAGCAGGCGGATCTCGCGTTTGGAGTCCTTGATGCGCAAGGCAAACGAGCGTTGATGGTAGGACACACCAATAAGCTGGATAATGGCCTTTTCAGCGAGCACAACGGCTGAGGACACAAAAGTAGCTCCAAGAACACGCTCGAGATTGATGCACCACTGGATTTGTGTGGAACCAATGGCTTCGCTAAAGAGAGTTTTGAAAGTGATCCAGGTAGCCAGCGCCCAGAAGAAGAGGGAAAATGGAATGGCCATGTTGTGGAGGACGGTGGCATACTTGCGAACACCAGCGCTGACGATACCACTGAGAGCCATGAAGATTTGCGGGAGCAGGAGAGCGGCAAGCTTGGCAGCCCACAAAGTCAGCCAAGTGATTTCAATCCAAAAGAAGATGTTGAAAAGCGTGGGACCGTGTCTGTCCTCGCCATTCTGCTCGGGCCCAGTTCCAACATTGAGGTCGTTGCGGTGGCCAGTGGCCTTGAGAACGATAAGAGGAATAGCTAGTAATACGCCGACGGGGACAACGTAAACCATGTATCGCGTGAGAACGGAGAAGCCAACAATCTTTTCGTAGAGGCGGCCGAGGGCGTTGCGCGTGACCTCGTCGCCGGTGCCCTTGCGCTTGAGGCCGTCGGGGGCAATCTTCTTGCGGCGACCATGGTGACCAGACTTTTCGCCATTGGAGTCGGCCGAGTCGGTATGGGCGTGTTTGATGCCGGCGGCAGTCTTGCGTGCGCCCGGAGAGGAGGCGTGGCTCCGGACGTTGGTGAGGGGGATATCGCGTTCCGTCATGTCGACCGGGGAGCCGCCGTCGAGCTGGACAAAGCCGGTAGAGTCTCTTTTCGAGGCGCGCGAGGAATTTCTATGATTCATTCGACAACGAGACGAGCAGACGCCACGTCCCTGAGTAATATCCGGCGGTGCGTGAGGTGTGGAGTCGTCTCCCGTTTCAGACTTGTGATTGTTCAGACGTGTTCGCCTGAATCAAAATGAAACGCGTGTGGGCAGAGATTGACCGAGCGAGAGGCTGAATAGTAGCGAGGATCGAAATCGTAACATAAAAAGGGGTTGCAAAATTAAAAGATGTTTATAGAGACGTCAAAGGGGTTCGTTGAAGGGGTTGGAAGTGAAGACCGGCTTCAGATGCAGAGTCGTGTTATCGGCGCCGTGTAGAATGTGGGTTCGTAGTGCCGGGAGGTTGTACGCCAGCTGGCGAGGCGTCCTGTCAGGAGGAAATACCGATTGATGCAGTTGCAGTAGAAGAGAAACTATCACCAAGCCCGTGGGCAACGTTGTCCAAGGGTTTGACAGGGACAATGACGTAACGCAGAGAACAGAGGGCAGAGGAGGACACAAAGGAGAGGAGGGGATAGGTAGGGGGAAAAAGGGGGAGTACGAGAAGGATATAGGGAAGAATACAAAAAACGAGGGAAAACAGACAACGAATGTGAAGCTGGAAAAAAACAAGAGGCAGGGTCTGCCAAGGCAGCAAGTCGGAGCGGAAGAAGAACTGTGGAGGGGCAAGACATGAAACTGAGCAAGGGTTGACACATCTTGCCATCTCGTCTTTCTTTTCTTTTTTTTTCTTTGGCGCAATGTGAGTGGCTCGCGGGTGGCGGTACCTGGATGATGGGTCCCCATTGGAATGGCGCCGCTTTAGAAGTGACATTTGGAGATCGGCCCATTTAGCGTCTTGGGGGGGGGCAGGTTCATGCAGAAAGTCAAAAAGCGGCAGTCTTTTGTACTCCCCACTGGAATCCACCCGCCAGGGCCCCGTTCCTTAGTAGCGCCACAACGGGCTGGCTGGCTGCACCTGGAAAGCCGTTGCGTCCTCTCATAGCCTGACTGACCGCTGTAGTAGGTGGTAGCTATTTTTGCAGTGGAGCCTGATTGCGTTTTCAGAGCCAAAGAGCCTGAGCTGCGAACCCCAGTTGTCAATCCGGTCCACGTAATCTGTACACATGTACAAATTATCCGTACTAATACTAGCAGGTAACTAATTTATAGGTAGTTATTATTTCCTATCACCTATTGGCACGGATCAACGACATGGCAACCCTCGCAGCAATCCACCGGTGAATCATTTAATTAATGTCCACACTAGGATATAAATAGGCGAACCACGCAAAATCGGCTATGGACCTGCCTTGCATTGGAACAACTTGCTCAGCCTCTAGTTATTCTGGAGCCTCACCGGTCGACGGCATGGCAGCCAATATCCCCCCTCCCAGGCACCTCGTATCCCCCCAATCCTTTTTTGCTTTCTCTTTTCTGTCCAAGTTTTTATTCTTGGATCCAGGCTTGGCCTCGATCAGGATCAGCGGCCGACAGCGCACAGATCCAAAGTCATCGTCACCCTTGGTGCTCTGTGCTACAAGTCGGGGCACATTCCCCGACTCGTACTTCGCGAAACAAGCCAATGCGTCATCTACTACCCACTGAACGACCTTTGTGGTTCGCAGAAGTGCAAGGTTGAAAATCACAAAGGTTATGACGTGGTCGTCAATATTGAAAATGCTTGATTGAAGTTGAGGCGCTGAAACAAATTTTGCTCCCTGCGGTCCTCCCCATCAAGGCGAGTCTCGGTAGTTATCTACAACTTCCACTGGGACTTTTGTGTGCCAGAAATTCCGGGAATTCCCCAGAAAATGGTCTATGCGCGCCAGATCAGGCTGGGAAGCTGGTTGGCAAGTATGCATACCTATGTATGCACCTCAACTTAGACGAGGCTCTGGGCCCAAGGTTTATTCGTAGAAGGCTACGGAATACACACTTGGTAAAACATGCATGGGCAGAAGATCCCGGGGTCGGCTCCAACAACCCCTCAAAAGAAAATTCTCCTGCATCGCTCTTAACCCATGCCCACGACTTGGCCGGTATCACCGTAGAAAAAAACAGGCTCCCTCCACCGACAATCTCCATATCGACGTCAAAGACAAGACTCTGCATGCCCACCAAGAACCACATTACGTTACGACGCACCCCAGTGTACAGCTCCACCACCAAATCCGTGCATCGATCACTCGCCCACCAACATTGGCAGCTGTCGTTTCGAGTCTGCAAACAAACAGTGTACAACAATGGCGATATTAGCAAAAGCAATACGGTTTGGCAAGTCTGCTGATGTAATCTTCGCATAATCACATCGTCTTCATGTAGCTGTGACACAATGGCGCTCCTAAACAGTACATACAGCAACAGACAACAAAAATGTACAGTACAATACAGACAACAAAAATGTACCTTGCCATATATACATTATCAACAAATAGAGGGTATCGTTCCAAATCGCAAGCGCCATGCTCAAATCAAGCACTCAATCCCAGAAACCACAATGTACGTCGCGTCATCAATCCAACGCCACATCCAAATCCCAAAATGCTGCAAACACGAATCAATGAATCATAACATCCGACAGGGAAGAGTCTTCTCCGTTCCGCGGATCGATTCCCTTTGTAAAGCCAACCATTTCCTTCAGCTCCACCCTTGCCTTGTCGTTCTCAAAGCCATCGTCGGCGTCGTCGTCGGCATCGTGGTGATCCTCGAGGTCCAGCTGGTACAGCGGCTCCAGGACGGCGCTCTTGTCCCGCCGCAGGTAGCGGTGGTACCACCAGGGCAGCGTCTTGGTCACCTGGTAGCGCATAAAGACGCTCGTCGGCACCGCAAAGATGTAGTCGAGCTCCTCGAGCGTCCGCTGCTTCGTCTCCGGCACCCAGAGAAAGATCATGACGAGCGCCACCAGGTTGAGCCCCGCGTAGAAGCCAAACACCCCCATGACGCCCATCGACCCCAGCATCACCGGCAGCGTAATCGACAGCACCGCCGCCCAAAACAGGCACGTGGCCACGGAAAACGCCATGCCCACCTCGCGGTGCGACAGCGGGAACACCTCTGCGCTGTACGTGTACGGCACGGGCCCTTCCCCGGGCGAGTAAAACGCGGCAAACAGGTACACAAAGAGCGCGACCAGGCCGAGGTGCGCGCCCTTTTCGCCGGGAATCAGGTTGCACAGGCCCGCCGCCAGCAGCGTCCACGACATTTGCGGAAACGTAAAGAGCAGCAGCGAGCGCCGGCCAAACGTGTCAATCGTCCAGAGGGCGGGAAAGGCGAAAAGGAAGTTGATGAGGCCAAAGCCCCAGGTGGCGAGGAGGGCCTGGAAGTTGGACGCCCCAGCGCGCTCAAAGACGGACGAGGAGTAAAAGGCGATGATGTTGATGCCGCACATCTGTTGGGCCAGCATCGTCGTGAAGGCGGCCAGGGTGGCGCGCCGCACGCGGGGGATCGAAAACAGCTCGACGAAGCGCTTCACATAGTGCGTGTTGCCAATGACGTGGCGTTCGACCTGCAGCTGGACGTGGATGTAGTAGAGGTCGCGGGCGGCCTGGATAGGGTCGTTGCGGAGACGCAGCAGCGAGCGCATAGCGTCTGCGTAGCGGTTCTTCTTGATGTACCAGCGGGGCGACTCGGGGCACAGGTAGATGAGGAGGGCGAGCGGCACGGCGGGGATAAAGGCGGCGCCGAGCTGGTAGCGCCAGGCATCGCGGCCGATGCGCTCGCCGACGAGGTTGGCGCAGGTGCCGAGGAAGATGCCAAAGGCGGTCCACAGCTGCCAGCTCATGACGAGGGCGCCGCGGATCGGGGCGGGCGAGTTCTCGGCGGCAAAGATGGGCACGGTCGAGGCCTTTGTGCCCATGCCGATGCCGAGCAGCAGGCGGCAGGCGACGAGCTGGGGCCAGGTGCGGCAAAAGGCGCTGGCGAGAACAGGCCAGAGGCAAAAGTTGGCGGCGAAGAAGATGGTGCCGCGGCGGCCGACGGCGTCGTTGAGCGGGTCCGACAGCCAGCACCCGAGCAGGGCGGTGCCAATGTACGGCGCCGAGTTGACGAGCCCGACGAGCAGCTGGTCCGTGGTGGAGGTGCTGCCGATGCCCAGGGCGCGCGGCAGGTGCAGGTTGGCGCCGTTGGAGCCCGTCTGGTCCCAGCCCTGCACGGCGGCGCCGATGGAGCACGTGACAATGGTGAGGAGCAGCACGCGCGGGACGCGCCACTTGTGCAGGACCTCGTTGCGCAGCGCGTCGACCTCGGCGGCCGTGAGCGTCTCGTCGCCCGTAATGTCCTCGTAGCCCGTGGGGTCCTGCGCGACGAGGGCGCCCTTGCGGAGGACGGCCCGGTGCTGCTCGAGGCCACGCGCGCGGCAAAAGTCGTCGACATCGCGGAGGAGGGTGTGGCGCGGGACGCCGACGAGGGGATTCCTGATCCTAGAGGCATTCGTCAGTTTGGGTGGTGGTCCAACGTCGTAGGGGGGCCCTCTTGTCGACGTACTTGGCTTCAACGTTGGCATTCAAGCGTATAGGCGGCGGGTCGGATTTCGAGTAGCCGGCTTCTGGCTCGGCCGAGGGCGACGACGAGGCATGGCGACGGTGCGAGGTTGAGCTGCTAAGAAAAGAGTTTGGATCATCAGCAACAAGTTCTGTGCGGGGTAAAAGTAGTTACCCAAAGTTCGGGGAGTAATTGCAACGGTGCTGGGGACTTGGCGCAACGTCAACGGTTGACGGTAGCGCGAGATGCGGCTTAGGCCGGAAAAAGAGTTTTTCATTGGACGAATGATAACGCACATTGTCACTTGTTCGATATCCAGCGCTTCCACAGGCGGCGCGGCAATGCCTCTGACCGTATCGCAGCGTGTGCCTGGGAAAGCGTCGCGTGCAAGGTGGGACATTCCACGGGGGGGTTCCTATCGATTAGGCCAGCAGGGCAACCCTTTTGCGGTGCGACGGGCGCTGCATCCAAGGCAAAAAGGCCAATTGGAGGGGGTCGTGTGACTGTGATGGGCGGTGGTATCGAAGCAGCGGCGCAGGACGGCGACGTAGCGACATGGACGGGGGGACGGGCGACGGCGATGATGCTGAGAGAGTGTAATGGGAAAAAAAATTGGGAAGAAGAGAGAAAATAAAGGAAACGCCCATGATCAGCAAAAAGAGACAATTGGATCCGGTCAACGCCATGAAAATGTGGCGGCTGAGAGCAAGGCCCAGCCAAGCCCAGCTAGTAATTCCCCCGCAACGCAAGACAATAGACAATGCGGCACTATTCCAGCGGCGTTTTTGGGAGCCAGTGGTGGCCGGGCTGAAGGGACCGACTTACATACTTCAGGATGCCCCATGATTTTCCAGCTCGGGCGACCACCATTCTCTTCTCAGTGCCGCGCGGGGATTAATTGCATAGCGCCGGACTTGCCGTCAGAAGCACTTATTAGTTACCACAAACTCGCCCTCGAGAACCAATGGAGAATTATCCCGTACATCGTTCAATTAGTAATTGGAAGTGTCCCTATTCATCTAGGTAGAATTAACTCATCCCCTCTCCAGACCCTGGGCACTCTGCGCCCGCAGTCTGCCAGCCACACGCTATCGACTACCTATGTGCTTGGAAGCAAACATGTCTCAGCCGTTCATTTCGTGCTTTAACTTGATCTATTTTAGTTTGTTTGCCCAACTCATATATCGCTTAGCGTTATTTATAGAAATTTGACTGACGCCGGTAAATTCCCAACCAACAGAATCAAGGGAGTACAATACCTACAATACCTATAGTAATACAAATACAACAAATACAGGCCCTAATTAATCTCATACTTGGCCAACGCCAAAGTAGCCTTCCGTACAATAATGACATGTCCATTACATCTTCTTGTCCCCGTTACACGGCGGCATCGTGGCACGCTGCGTCTTGAGCGAGTCAATCACCTTATTGCGCAGATCAAACAGCTCCCGATCCTTCTTGTCCGCCTCGTCCAGAAGCGCTTTGTACTTGTTCTGCCAGTGCTCTGCCTGCAGCTGCGGGTCCGACGTGTTCGGCCCATCCTCGTCACGCCCGGCCCCGTCCGCCCCGTTCCCGTGACTGCCCTCGCCGCCGCCGCCGCCGCCACGCGCGCTCGGCTTCAGCCGCCACATGCTAAACGGCACCGAGGCCGCCATGTTGAAGTAGCCGTGCAGGTGCCCAAACTGGTATTCCCATTCGCACTTGTACGTCGTGTGGCCGTCCTTTTCCCCCTGGCGCGTGCACCGCGTCAGGTTGGTCATGAGCATCCGCGCCCCCGCCAGCGCCGCCAGGTTAATCAGAAACGCCTGCGACGATGCCGCCGTCTTGTACATGTTTTCGAGCGTCGCGTTGATAATGGCCGTCGCTTCTTCCATGGACGAGCACTGCGTCGACTTGCCGTCCTCGTCGTACCACTGGGACTCATACGTCATACGCACAAAGTAGGCCATGACCCCATCAATGTTGGTGCGATCCGACATTGTTTCGAAAAAGTATTCTGGAATGCTGTTGCCCGGAGTTTCGCCCAGTGCGATGCCCACGTTTTCTGACGCGTTAATGGGTTCCCATTTTTTATACTTGTCCCCGTCCTTTTCCACAGCAAAAGGCTGCCCGGGAGGCGGCGCGTGCATGTTGTCGTATATGGGCAATGGTTCTTTGTACGACTGCTCCTGGGCAGGCATTGCCTGCGGGTGCTGTACTTGCGGTTGCGGCGGGGGCGGTGTTGCTAGACGCACCGAGCCACTGGGTCGCTGTGGAACTTGCAGAGAAATGCTTGGACGAGCTGGCCGGGAGCCATCTTGTTGGTTTTGTGGAATGGAATGCGAAGAATAAGGAGCTGGTCGATGGCCATCTTGTTGGTTCTCTGGAATGGAATGCGGAGGATATGGAGCTGGTCGGGAGCCGTCTTGCTGGCTCTGCGGAATGGAATGTGAAGGATAAGACGGAGCGGACCGGGAGCCGTCTTGTTGGTTCTGTGGGAGAGAATGTGAGGAATACTGGGGTTGTTGAGGATGGTTAAAAGTCATATTGGGCTGGGACATGTCCTGCATCGTGACTGGTGGTGTAGCGCTCATAGAGCTGTTTCGCGATAGTTGACCTCCCATGTGGCCATCCAAATCAGGCTTGTCCTGAGACTGCAATGCATTCGGTGTATGCGGCCACGCAGTGCCAGCCGTTGACGGGGTATCAATTGGTGTGCGGTGGATCGGCGGCCGTCCTCTTGTTTTCTTGGGCATGTCCTCGCCACCCAGCTTCCACGCTGACGAGACATTCTTTGCTCCGCGGCGCTGGTGAGGGCCGTTCGCCTTGCTCGGCGTCACGGCAGAACGAGGCTCGTCAGCCCAGAAAGCGTCCCGTACAGAGGGTGTGACGGCCGAAGCGGGCCAGCGCGTCAACGGCGTCTGCATGGTTTCATGGGGTGGCCATCCGCCCACTGCACTCATGGGCGCAGCGTCCATGGGCGTCGATCGCGGGTCGGCGCCATGGGGCCAGGCTGACTGGGGCGCATACTCGTCGACAGCGGGGGCTGGTGATGTGCGCTGGCGCTGGTTGGGGCCATTGCTGGCATTGTCGTTGTCCGGTCTCTTGCGGCCCCTCTTGGGTCGTATGTGAGGTAGGAGTGCCCTGAGGGCCATGTCGTCCTCGACGGCGATGCCATCCCGGACAGGCGTGGCCACGGGGTTGGGGTCCACGGGAATATTTACCCAATAGTCATTCGGCATATCCATGAGGTACTCAAAGAAGGCTTTTACATGCATAGAATGTAGCCATTTCTGTATAGCCGTTAGTGCCAGACTTTAGATGCAGTAGTCGGGCTTACGTACCTTGAGGCGGACACCATACTGCGCAATCTTCTGAACGCTCTCCTCCTTGGCGGGATCAGGGGGCTCGACGCCGAGCTTGACGGTCAGTTCGGTCCAAGTCTTGATCTCCTTGCTGTAAAACCTGCGGACGAGCTCGTAAATGGTAAAGGGTTCAAAGATCTTGCCGCCGCTGCGAGGCGGGTTGCGAAAGGCTTCGCGCAACGTCACGGTGTCGCAGTCTGCGGGCAGCGCGGGGTTGCAGTGAAAGATGAATGCGACGTAGGCATCCTCGATTGTCTCGGCAGCGACATTGCGGTCTGGCAGCGCGGCGCGGCCAGGGGCAGGGCCGGACCCGTGGCCATTGAGCAGAGCCATCCTGGCAGGCAGGCAGGCGCCGGGCGTCGTGGGCACGGGTTTGCGCTCAATCGCGACGAGGTTGCGGCCGGCTGTCCATCAAAGAGCCAGGTTGTGGCCACTTGGGGGGGTAACAGGATGAGGGCAACAGGACGAAGCAACAGTGCAAACTCAAACGCGCTGTGGCTACCTAGCTGTGCTTGGCGTTGAGTCGGCTGGGTCGGTGTCCCGAAAAATGCGGTACAGAAATGCAAACAGCTGCATAGACAGCCGCCGCGTTGGAACAGAGAGACAGGGTTCGGCGATGGCAGGTCGATGATGAATAGCGGAAACTAAGACTAGCAGGCGTTGAGGATTAGTTTCGCGGGAATAGTTGGCGTGAAGAGTAGTGGCGCTCTTCAGACCGGCGGTACCGAGGGGGTTCGCTGGGCTGATGGTTGAAGTCGGCAGTTTTTTTTTTGTTAGCGGCTATGTGGCCACCATCATTCGTAGGTAGGTAGAGCAAGAAAGGAGTTGGGCGTGGCCCGCCACAGCACAGGGGGGAGGGAGGGGGAGGGAGGGGGGCCGACCGGTTCGGTACGTACACTGACTGATTTCTTGGCTGCGAAATACGCGAATGCCAAGGGGCGCAGAGGTGAAGCTGGAAAAATCACATCTACACACCTGAAAAGCAGGCTCAAAAAGGCAATCAACTCTCGGTTCTCGGATGACATTGCCGCATCTGCCTTTGCTGCGGGGTTCCGTGTTCCGTGTGCTAATTAGCCTCTGTTCGTGTTGCCTCGGCGCGTGCTGCACGGCTATGTATTCTATGTATTCCGCCTCGATCACGATGGGACGGCAAAACAAGCAAGACGGCGACTTGGAAACCATCTCGTGGGATTCAGCATGCCAAACCAACAAGAGAAAAAAAAATATACAACAACTCATTAACTACATTTGATGGATTTTCCAGGCTACAGCCCCGGCTTCGCACCATCGGCTCGGGTTGTCGCCAGACGGCATAAAATAGTCAAATTTGCCCATTCTCTAGTGCGCTGACTAACAGTCGCTACGGAAATATGCTCTGTGTATGCTCAGCCTGATTGTTAATTGTTAGTTAATTAGCTGGTGCACCTTCCGCAGCCAGATTTCAGATCGACCGAGTATTGTTTTGGCAACTTGATGCTCTTCCACCCCTCCTTCCTCATCGTTGATAATACCATGTAGTCCCGCGCATGCCCTCAGCCGATCCTGCATACACATACAGCCTGCATCCATCCTGCATAGGAAACCACCCTCTTAGACTACACCATCCAACCTCCCTATACCGCTGGCCCAGCTCAATTTCAGCATCATGTCCCTTCACGACCATATATCCATTTTGCGGGAGAGGCGTCGGCTGTGGTTACTACGCTGGTGGATCTGGAACAGCTTATCTCTCACCATCGGCGGCAATAGGACATGGGCAGCTCTGTCGGCTCTCGCTCCTTTGTGCACATGATTTCAAATATAGAAGCGACTGAACAATCTTCATTCAATTGTCCCTCCCCTTTTTTTTAGTCCCCGAAGATGGTGACATGCGCACTTGACGCCGGGCCCCGGCCAAGTGGCGTGATCCTGTAAACCACGCCCTTTGCGCCGTGTCAAACTCGGACATGGTCAAAATTTCGGCCGTTTAATTGGCGAAAACAACAGTCAAATTACGAAAGCATCAACTGGATGAGTAATGATCAGAGTGGTGCTGCATCGCAGCCCGCGGGTCCGTAAAGTCCCCCGGCGGTAAGAAATGGCGTCAACCTGACCTACATTAGTAGGCTTGATTTGAAAGCGATTGATTAGAAATCACACCATTCCGCTGGCGATGGGCATTCCCTCGGGAAATCTATCAAATATCCCAAGCCGCCGCCACATGGAAGCAAGCTACTGCTTTAGTGCAATTCAATTGCAACCCCGGTTTAAGACCAAAAACGAAAAAAAAAATTATCGTCATCGTCCAAGTACCCGGCGTGTGCCTCACCACTTATACAGCCAACATCACACGGAACGATCATTGTTCCTATACACAAATACAAACTTCGTATACCGGAGTTCATCCATCAACACGGCATTGTTCCTTCAAGCTAAAAAGAAAAAGAACAAACTTCTACCCTCACCACACAATGGCCGCCGCAGTCGCCATTCCCCGGGGCGACGTCTCCGCCAACCTCAACTACTACCAGCCGCCGGCCGACAACTCGCTCCCCTACAACAACATCGACCCAGCGCCGCCGCTGCCCGAGCGCAACTACTCAGACGTGGTGCAAGCCACCACAATCCACGACATCCGCGGCCGCGAGGCCGACTTCTCGCTCGACCGGGACGCCTTCCAGGTGATCCAAGACGTGCCGCCATCCGCCGAAACGGCCTTTGCCTCGGACGCCTCCATCGCCGCCCACTACTACCCCGAGGTCGAGCAGCTGCTGCTCGCGCAGATCCCGGGCGCGCAGCGCGTCTTCCTCTTTGACCACACGATCCGGCGGTCCGCCGCCGGCGCCAGCCGCGGGCCCGTCAACCGCGTGCACATTGACCAGACGGCCAAGTCGGTCGCGCAGCGGGTGCGCCGCTACTTTGGCGACGGCGACGAGGCCGCCGCGCTGCTGCGCGGCCGGTACCGCCTCGTCAACGTGTGGCGCCCGCTCAACCCCGCGCCCGTCGAGAGCAACCCGCTCGCGTTTGCCTCGGCCCGCTCCGTCGACGACGCAGACGTCGTCCCCGTCGAGCACCGCTACAGCAACGGCTACACCGGCGAGACCGCCGCCGTCAGGTACAACCCCGCCCAGCGCTGGTACTACCTCAGCGGCATGACTGGCAGCGAGCGCCTCCTGCTCGAGTGCTTCGATAGCGAGTCGCTCAAGCCCGGGTCGACCATTGCCGGTCGCGCACCGCACACGGCGTTTGCGGACCCTAGGACCCGCGTCGACGCCGAGGGCCGTGAGAGCATCGAGGTCCGCGCGCTCGTGTTTGGACCGTAGGGGCCGGGTGCTCGTGGTCCGCGTTTGTAGCTTGTACGCTCGATATAGTAGTAGCAGCATGGGAGGAGCCTTGGTTTAGTCGATCAATTGAACATTGTTAGAAATAATCATGCTATATTGTGCAACTCGCAGTGTGAACCAAGTAATTACTCTGAAAATAAAAGCTTGCAATGTAAATCAACTCCAAAACTCCAGCTCATTCTCATACCTAGGGTCTGTGTTGCCTTGGTGTCCATCTCGCTGCCCTATCGCCCATCAACTGCACGTCGATACAGGGGACTTCAACCCGGCCCGTCATCCCACTCAGACCAACAACAAGGTAGAAAACAAGGATATCCAGTACGACCAGAACCTCTGCTATAAACATCTACATGAGAGAAATGACAAGTACAAACAAACCGCAGTCGCGCGGAATTACAGCAGCCATCATTCGCCATCGCCGCCCGCTCCGCCAAACCCCAAAATCATCAACGCCCGCCATACTTATGGATGAGGCCAAGAAACGTGGGAGATCAAATTCAAGTCTCGTAGTATAAACAAAAACCCAAAAGAAAAAACATGCTCCCGTCAGAATCCTAACCGCGTCGGCCCTTGCCTCGTCCGCTGCCTCCCGTGGCCTGGCGGCTCATGGCCGTGCCGCCGCTGCTCTGCCTGCTCATGGGGACCGCCGCGGCAGCCAAGGAGGACGCGGCGCCCGAAGGACCCGGGGGGCTGGGCTGGTCGCGCAGACTGCTCGTGAGGCCGAGACTCTCGCTGATGGCCTCGGGATCGTCGCGGGGCGCGGCGGTGAGGCCGACATACTTGCCGCGGTGGTACGGCGTGGCGACTGTCTCGAGCACTCTCCGCATGCCGGTAGGCGCGTCCAGGTGCGCGCCGGGACGGTGGTGCGTCTGGTCGTACTGCTTGAAGAAGCCCATGATGGTCAGGTCCGCGGCGATGTCGTCCTGCGAGAGCGACACGGGAAAGTTTTGGTCCGCCGAGCGCGGGTACGGCTTGAGGTACTGCTGCGGGACCGGCGGCGGCATCTTGGGCGGCTCCTGCGCGTGGATCAGGTCCAGGTTGCCCGGCAGATCAAAGTTGACGATGCCCTCGAGGCCCAGGATCTTGTCGTCGAGAAAGTTTTGCGCGGCCGCCGCCGCCGAGGCCGCTGCCGCAGCGCCTCCGCCCCGCGTGCTTCTAGTCGCGTGGGAGACGTTGCGCTCCATGGCGGGCGCGGCCGACGGCGTCGACTCGTCGTCGTCGCCACCATCGCCGTTGGCGTGGCCCGAGTCGCTGTCGTCGTCGGGCAGCGACGCGTTGCCGTTGGCGCGGTTGCGCAGAACGTACTGGTGGGCGGCAATGGCCGCCGTGTTGTAGTGCATCGAGAGCTCCTTGTCCGTAAAGAGCTTGTCGATACTGTAGACGGGGCCGTTTAGCTTGGCCAATGCGCGGGCCTTTTCCGACTGCCACAGCGGCGTCGTGCTGCTGGGATCCATGCCGCGGCGTGCGGGCGCCGAGGCGTCGTCCTCGAGGTTGCGTTTGCGCTTCTTGCTATCAGGAAACAGCGTCAGGTCGTCGACGTCCTTGCGCAGGCGGGTGGCCCGCTTGCCGTGGGCACCGCCGGGCGAGCCGGGGTTCGTCAGGCTGAACTGGTTTGGGTTGAGGAGGAGGGCGTTGGAGTCATTGATTTCGAGCACTTCCTTTTCACGGTTGAGTCGGTTCTTCTTCTGCGTGAGGGTATTTACAAGTCGGTCGCGGAGGGTCCTTGAGAGAGCTCGGTGCTCGCGTTTAGCCGTTTCGACCTTGTAGGTATGTGTGTTCTTATATTCTTGCACTTTGCGGTCGTATTCATTCTGGTAACCATTGTTAGCCTGGGCGTTTTGTTTGATGCCTCCCCGAGAGTGTGCGGCATACCTTTGACTGCGCCAACTGAAAGTCGCGAATTTCCACAAGATCCTCAAGGTCGTCCATAAACTCAGGGAATCGAATACCAGCCATGTCAATCATGCTTCGCGCATTGTCCGAGTTGGCCATGGGGCCGAGGACCTGTTTGTGTTCTTTGCGCAGTTCATCAGCCGCGTCGAGCGGGTTCTCCGCATATGGGTCGAACCGCTGCACGAGGTTGATTTCAAATTGAACCTTTTGTAGCTGGTCGCGATACGTCGGGTCCTGTTCGCGCTGAAATTTTTCGCTCATGACGGTGAGGCGGTCCTGGAGAGCCTGTCGCTTGCGGTCACGCTTCGATTGGGACGCAGCGGGCGTGCCGCCGGGGGCAGAGGCCACGGCAGCGTCGGTCGTAGCCATTCTGAATGTGGTGGGTTATGTCGAGTTGTTGGGCGTGGTGTGAGAAGGGGTATTGGCGGTATATATATGTATATGAATAGCGCGAGGGAAAGTTAAAAAAAAAACCTTTGACGAAATGATCGCGAGGCCACTAAAACTTGTCGGCGGCTTGCCAGCTAGTGGTGGTGACGGGTTAGACCAGGCTTTTGCGGGACAAGGCCTGCGGGCTTGCCACGATGACGGACAAGAGGAGAATTAAAAAAACAAGAGCAGGAAAGCTGGCACTCCAAGGAACTCGACAGACAACGCGGTCAACTTGGTCAACAGTGAGGTGAGGAGTAGCAGTAGGCGAATGAGGCGATCTTGGTGTTGTGCGACAGCCTTTCTGCCCCAGCCGCTCGCTCATGGGCCCTGGCTAGAGTTGTACTAATGGCCGTATTGGGCCATCTCACCGCCCGCGTGGGTCGCTTTGTATTTCGAGCAGTAGATCTGATTGGCTGTCGGGTATTGGTGGAAAGACCCGCACAGTAATGATAGATAGACACACTATCCGGACACACTGTACATTATTTGATGGAATTGGATGCAAAGAGAGCAGCTGCCTTGGGACTCTTGAATTTTTTGAGATAGACTGTGTTGTTCAATTTGTATTCATGCATACAATATGCATGTCGGGTCAAAACGCAGTCACAAGGTAGTTTACACAATACGCCACTACCAGCTTCGGTATCGCTGTCTCATTCATCATTATAAAGTCTGGTCATGTTTACAGTCCGCTCCGTAATTTTTGCAGCTGGCTGATGAGCCCAAATCCCCCCGGCGGTTGCACCGGCCTCGTCTCCTCCCCGATCGCGGGCGATCCCGTCCGTCTCGCGCCGCCCTCGGCCGTCTTCTTGACCGGAGACGCCGCGCCGCGCTGCTGCTGCTCCAGCTCCCGCATGAGCTCCTTGTGCCTGTCCTCGACCATTTTGGCCAGGCTCTCGATGAAGCGGCCACGGCCCTTTTCCTCGGCCGTGCCCTTCCACACGCCCGTCAGCGCCTTGAGCTCCTCGATCCGGTTGGCCGCCCGCTCGATGCCGGCGACGGAATCGTCCACGGAGCCGCCGCCGCCGCCGCTCTCCTTGGCCGGCTGCAGCAGGCTGCTGATTTCCTCGCGCAGCTCCTGGAGCTTCTGCTGGCCTCGTTCTTCCGAGCTCTGCTGCGCGGAGCCCGGCTCCGGCGCGGACACGGAGAGGAAGGACGAGGTGACGGAGGTTTCCGACGGGGGGAAGCCAAAGTCCATGGCATCGCCAAACGTCTTGACCACTTCCTCAATGCGTGACCGCACCAATGTCAGCGTCCGTAGTTGCTGCACGTATGTTGGCTCATTGCTAGTGCTGTCTGCCTCTGTCGTGGCCTGCACAGAAGGCTCGCCCCGTGTGCTGTTCTCCGTGACCGTGTCCTCGCCATCTTCTCCCCCCGGCGACTTGATCTCGCCCTCGCCCTGCTTCCCTCGCGCACCCTCCGGCACGAACTTGGCAATGTCCTCCCGCAGCGTCTCGTGCAGCGTCTCAGTCAGGCTGCGCGTCTCGCCGTGCAGCAGCTCCACCTGGTACGCCAGGCGGCCCCCGCTGCGCAGGATGTCGTCGGTTAGTTGCGTCAGCGTCGACGACATGCGCGTCGTCTGCGCGTTGAGCTGCGAGAGCAGCGCGTTGGCCTGCTGCGCGAGGTCCGCCAGCGGCACCGTCCCGGCCGGCGAGGAGGCGGGTGCCCTGGGCCCAGGCGCCAGCGGCGGCAGCTTGGCGTTGAGAAAGGCGGCCGCGTCAAAGGACGGGCCCAGAAAGTCCTGCACAAACTCGTCGGCGGTGTGTATCGACTTGGGCTTGCTCATCTGCCGCGAGGCCCCGCGGGCGTGGCCGCTGCGTGTGGCCGCGCTGCTGGCGCGGCGGCGCAGCTTGGGGTCTGAGGCCATGTCGGCTTGGCCCCCTCCACACTAGTTCAGATGGCCGTCAAGGTTCAAGTCGACGATTTCGAGGCAATCTCAACTAGCGGTCTGGCAGTCACGACGACGCTGGTGTTTGTAGCGAGGCCCGATATTGTGCCGATGCTCGCGGGCGAGTTCAGCGCTGTCTGGCGGCCGTCTGGCCACTGCCGCCACCAAAAAATGGATGAGCCAACGACCCGACCCACGCTTGTGGACGACCACTATGACATTTTTGCTCGTAATACATACGCCCTTTGCATGTTTTTCCATGTCCGACTCATTCCTTTACAAAACTCACCACTCCTCATTTGACCCTTGGATCTTCCATGTCCACTAAGAAATGAGTCAAGACAGCCAAGAAATGCGCATAGATCCCGCCAGAGCGGCCACGCTCGTCTCACAGCTCTCCTCGGTCCAGCAGCGCATCGCGGCCCTCAACCCCGGACGCAATGTACGTGTAACCCTCTCCATCTCTCTCTCTCTCTCTCTCCCTGCAGGTAGCCGTGGGCAGACCACTTAAAATCCTCTTGGCAAAAATTTCTCCCTCCTCATTCCATGCTTCTATACTAAAACATTGCAAAATCCCCCAGGTCCGCCTCGTTGCCGTCTCCAAGCTCAAGCCCGCCAACGACATCCTCGCCCTGCACCAGGCGCCCGCCCATCACTTGTACTTTGGCGAGAACTACGCCCAGGAGCTGACGCAAAAGGCGGCGCTGCTGCCGCCGACGGTCCGGTGGCACTTCATCGGGGGCTTGCAGTCGGGCCACTGCAAGGCGCTCGCCCGCGTCCCCAACCTCGTCTGCGTGTCCAGCGTCGACACGGCGAAAAAGGCCGGCCTGCTGCACGCCGCCCGCGCCGCCCTCCGCGACGCCGACCCCGCCGTGCCGCGCCTCGCCGTCCACGTCCAGGTCAACACGTCCGGCGAGGAGGCCAAGTCGGGCTGCGCCCCCGGCGACGAGACCGTGGCCCTGTGTCGCGAGATTCATGAGCGTTGCCCCAGCCTCGAGCTCATCGGCCTCATGACTATTGGCGCCATTGCCCGCAGCAAGGCCACCACGCCCGAGAACAAGAATGACGACTTTGTCGCCCTCAAGGAGCAGCGCCGTCTCGTCGCCCAGGCCCTCGGCCGCGGGCCCGAGAGCCTGGAGCTGAGCATGGGCATGAGTGACGACTTTGAAGGAGCCATCGCCGAGGGCAGCGGCGAGGTCCGAGTGGGCAGCACAATTTTCGGTCAGCGACCAGATAGAGCCGAGGCCAAGATCCGTGTATAAATAGCTCCGGCGGCATATCATTTTAATTACGCACTCGTGTCTCCCCTTTTCCACACTGTCTTCAGTCCCCTTGATTCATCCCAGGCAAAGCCTACTGAATAATTTCTTCTTCATTCTTTTTCAAGCTTGTCAACTTTCAATTGCAACCCGCCAAACGCCAGATTGTTCCCACGAGCCTATACAAACAAATGCCAGTCATCCGGGTATTTGCCCCGACACTAGAGTCACGCACACACCCGTATCAATGCTTCCTCCCAATCATGACACCATCACACTCCCAAATGCATCGGATATGTCTTGTCTCGTAGGGGGTTCAGGGAGGTCGGGTCCTGCGGAAACACCCATGCTGAGATGGTCTTGCATGAGCTTGAGCAGTACTGCCGGCACCGAATCATCGGTTGCACGAATTGTTAGTCGAATCATCTGCGTCAAGCGTTAGCACAAGTAATGTTCCTAAGGCGAGTAAGACGTACTTGACTTGCGTAGTTTGGTTCCAGTCTCATGAGACAGCCAAACTTGCCGCCTTGCGTCGTATGGAGCACACTGGCACCAACAATGTTCTTAGGGTTGGGATCGAGCATATCAAGCAAGCGCCATCGGAACCCCTCTACAGACCTCCTAACAAAGGTCTCTGTAATCTCCCTATTCTTGGCCTTGGCGTGTACACCGAAAATACTCTGCGCTTCTCTTTCGCCCGCGCTAATTTGCTTCCATCGCTTGAAAAAGTCCTCTCCTGATAGTTCCGCAGGATCCATGAACTTGTGTATGGCAATGGGAAGTTTGAGCGTAACAGCCTGCAAAGACCCCGCCAAGTAACTGACTCGGATTGTCGGGCTTTTTGAGAATGTCTTTTGCGCCTCAAACATGATGACTTGTTGCGACTGCCCGCCATGGACGAGACTGCTGTCTGGCAAGTCTTTTACATCCCACGTCAGATTGGCCTTTTCGCTTCGGTCCAAGTCCAAAGTAGTCGTAAATGAAGCGATTTCGCCGGGATTTTTGTTCTTGAAGTACGCAATGATGCAAGCCATTTGACCGCGGTATTCGGATCGGATGCCGATTTGCAGCTGGCCATCCTCATATAGCACACCTTCCGATCGAAGCAAGAGGCGATTGTAGCCCTTTTCCCAGCCAGGCGACAAATGTGCGGCGCTAGCCAGGTTCGGTGCTTTGGCCGGCTCAGCAGGTGAGCTCATGTCCAGGCCCGCCAGATCATTTGCTCCATGCGAATGTCCTCCGTTCTTTCCATTGAGTGCATTTCCAGAGCTGAAGGAACGTTTGAGACCAGGCTTGGCCATGCTCAATTCCGTATTATCCGCATTGGCATCCTTGCCTCCAACAACCCATGTCCGTCTATCGCTAGTATTCGCGTGCTTTTGGTGTAGTCGAGACAACAGGGCCGACTCTCTCTCGGGGAAAGGAGGCATCTCGTCGCAGACTGTTCTCAACAGGTCATCGGTGGGGAGTGTAGCAAGGGTGAGGTATTCGCAGGCTCTTTGCTGCATTTCCGAGTCCAAGGTGTAGCTGTGGATTTGAAAAACCTGGACGAGTTGAGGCTTAATCTCCGGGAATAAGTTGACAAATTTGATAAAGCACGAGAGAATCATGGCACGTGTGCTGGGTGACGACGTAGCCAGCTTGTTTTGCAGAGCCATAAACTGCTCAATGGGGCTGCATCGCGGCTGGTCCGCGACTAGGTGGCCGAATTCGCCGAGGATATATGCTGCAATCTTGACAAGTGTTTCATGGCAATGGTCCGACTTGATGTGTTGCAGGGCGTTTTGGGCAGCATATATTTGGAGCTCCTCGTTGTTGGAAACGATTTGCGTGACGCGCTGCCAGACTTCGTCGCTAACATGATCACCAGCCATGGCAATCAGCCTGAGGGAGATGTCGACGTACCACTGGACATCGGTAGCGTACTTTTCTGTCAAAATAGCAATCTTCAATACCATTTCTTCACGTATGGCGTAGTCGGCATTTTGAAGGTGATGCAACAGCTCTCCGACGATGATTCTAGCATTTGTAGAATCACACATGCTGTAGAGAAGATCCAGTCCCTTGCGCCGAACGCTGATGTCACGATCCTTTAGTGATCCAAGAATGATGCTTTGGTGCTGTTTAATCGGAGAAAGTGTTCGAGTGCGCGCGGCCAAGTGCGTCATAGCCTCAAGGCCGAGGTAGCGAACATTGGTTTCGCGGCTTTGAATGAAACGACCCAGACGAGTGGAGATTTGATCCATGAGCTCGTGCTCGGTATCGAGATGAATGATGAGGTTGATGGCCTCGAAGAGAACCGCATTTTGCGCATTATTCTGCTGCACATTCTTGCTGCCTTCTGTTGCCAGGCTCAGAATCTTTTGCAGGGCCTCTCGTAGCATATTGCGGACATGCGTATCATCTAGTATCTGGTTAGTGACTATACAGCATGGCAGTCATACTGAACAAACCTGAGGGCGCAAAATACTGAAGGAGCCTCAGGAGCTTTACTTGGAGCCACGGGCAGGGAACCTTGTAGTACAAGTAATCGGCAGTGTACTCGGCATCGATGACAATGCGCTTGAGTCGAGCAGCGGCCTTTGCGTAAGCACCCTTGTACAGATCCAAGCTGTCCTGTGCCACTGTCATAACCAATGAGGTGACAGAAAGTGCAACGCCGAGATCTTGGTCGTCCATCAAGTGTATCAGACGATCAGCCCACTGCGGGCTGACAATTTCGGGGCTCTTTCGATACAGACGTAGTAGAGTAAGGGCTGCCTTCTTTTTTACGAACGACTTGGATGTACTGTGTGCAAGCATTAATAGAAAGAAGCATGGTGTGAGAATGCAATGGCACTCACGGAGCTATCAAAAGCCGGTGGACGTCAGCACTTAGAGACTCGCCCATCTCGCGGCCTCCGACATTGGCAATGGCGTGGAGAGCCAGGCAGTTGAAGAGCTCATTGCTGTCCAAAAGATCCTTGCGAATGCTGTTGACGACAAGGTGAAGGAGCTCGTGCTTTTCATGAAGGAAGAGCGTAACAGCCAGATACCCAATCTGCTTCTCGGAGTACTTGGTAGCTGAGATGAGGTTGACGGCTTCGAGGTGGCCAAAGTCGACGTTCCAGCCCAGGATATAGATGTACAAGAGTTTGCAGACGTATTTCTTCTTGTGGTAGCCATTGAGGTTTCCGTCTTTAAACTTTTGTCGAATATTGGCGAGTTCCTTGTTGATGCGCTTCTCCTCGAGCTCTCTGGCGCGGGCATTGCGCAGATCAGCGATGAACTGGACCAGGCCGCGCATGTTCGCGGTGCTATTGCTCGAGCGGCCTAGGAAACCGCCCCCCGAAGACGACATGTTGGGCGTTTTTTATTCGGTGGTCGTGGGCGCAATGCAACGGTTTCTCGTTCTCTTATTCGTCCCCCTTTCCGAGATCAGTAGCTCGGGCAGGCCTCGCAGGAAAAGTCGCAGGCGTGTCCGGACTCGTGCACTGTTGGAATGTTCGTGTTAGGTCGTCGCAAAAAACCGCATGCTCCGGGAAGAACATGGGAGGCACGACAAGATGCCAAAGGCGGGGCGCGAAGAAGTTGGTCGTCGCTTTGCCTGCGGCGCGCTTGTGTAAGGAGGGGGGGCGAGACGACGACTAGACCGATGGGTGGGTGAGGCGGTGGTGCCGGGCCACACGGGGTAACGAGTCTTGTCGACGGGGAAAAGGGCGCCTGCTGCAAAAGAAGGTTATGGGATTCGAGTCAGCGCCAGATAGACGTTGAGGGTAGCTCGGTGCAGACGAGGCCAAGGATTCCGAGGCTGCGTAGGTAGGTTGTGGTTGAGAGGGTTGAGAGGAGGTTGAAGAAGTGGCGCTGGCAGGTAGGTGGTCGTGGAGGTGACGGCGGCGGCGCTGTCAAGCGAATCCTGGCCGCCGGAGGTACGTACCTACTAATGTTAGTATGCAGCGGGCCACTATTTTCGCAAGTCAAGCACAGCTTCAACCAGCCCGTGCATTTTACCACTTTCCAGTCCTCCTTTTTTTACACGCCCTATGCAGCGCTCGGCGTCTATTTTTGCTACTACTGTGTAATGTCATGTCGGCATGCAGCCGAAACTTGAATAGCCTGGCGAGGGCGCTCCCTCGACCCCCTCTGCATCGCTGCTGCGCGCCGCCTGCTGCTCGTCGAACCTATGCCGTGGCTTCGTCTGCGGCCCCGCGCTTCCAAGTCTTCAACCGGCGGACGAAATGGCTTCAAAAGGAGCGCGCTGGAGCCAATGCGGAACAAGGCCGACAAGCCGATTACCTCAAGGATGAGGTCGCCATGCGCGTAGCCGAACGATTGCTGGTATGCCATCCCGGCCTGCGCCCTTTGCTTTCCCGCTGGGGGGCCGTGGGGGTTTCGGGTTTCTTTTTTGCTAATGCGTGCCTTCAAGGATATCAATCGGCATTTTGAAAAGGTTCTCGACCTCGGCGCAAACAGCTGCAACATTGCACGCGCCCTCACGGCCGACAACCCGGATCCCGATCCCGCCACCCCCGAATCCGCGGCCCTGTCGACGCGCATCACAGATCTGACTGCGGTTGATTCCTCGGAGACGCTTCTATACCGCGATGCTGGCCTCGAGTTTAATAAGAAGCTCAACATCAGGCGCCTTGTGCTCGAAGACGAAGAGACGCTACCGTTTGAGCCAGCGTCGTTTGATCTCGTCCTCAGCTCGCTCAGTATGCATTGGATCAACGACCTCCCAGGCATCCTCTCGCAGATCAACAATATTCTGAAGCCCGACTGCCCCTTCATCGGGGCCATGCTCGGCGGCGACAGCCTCTTTGAGCTGCGCACGTCGCTCCAGCTGGCAGACTTGGAGCGCCGTGGGGGCATCTCGCCGCACGTCTCCCCGCTGGCGGACGTGAGAGACGTCGGTGGCCTGCTGCAAAAGGCCGGATTCAAGATGCTGACTGTGGATGTCGATGACATCATCGTCGACTATCCGGATACGTTTGCGCTCATGCAGGACCTTCAAGCCATGGGTGAGAGCAGTGCCATCCTGGGCCGAGAAATGGGACCCATAGGACGCGATGTCCTGCTGGCCAACGACGCCATCTACCGCGAACTGCATGGGAATGAAGACGGCTCGATTCCTGCGACGTTTAGAATCATTTACATGATCGGCTGGCGAGAGGGCGAGAACCAGCCTCAGCCCCTGGCCAGAGGAACTGGCGAGACTAGCCTAAAGAGTCTCCTGGAGCAAAAATAAGACCCCCAAGTCTCAGATACATGTATTTATAACTATTTTCAAAACAGGACAGTAATTTAGACAAGGCGTGAAACATCAGCAATCAATACGTGAACGGCAGACTAGAATTGTAGCTGCTTTGTCTATGTGTGAAACTGGCTTTTTCAACCGCCAAAAATACCAAGCCCCTCAATCCCGTGCTGTTATTATACTCGGCGCCAGTCGGTCATTGTCCTGCCAATGCATCCCAAGCCGGCCACCTCGACGAGCTTCTCATGCCAGCTAAGCATGACGCTCATGCCAGCCGACGCTGGCTCGTTGGACGCGCCGGGGCGGCCGCCGACCTGGCTGAAGCCGCCGGTAGGTTGGGGGGCCATTTTGGATGCGCGTCCGCCTTGCGATCCCGCCATTCCCTTGTAACTGTGGTGCAGCGTTCGCGTTAGATCAAGTTTCGAGAGCATGGAGAAGGCTGCGTTGTGGACTACTCATACATGTACTTCATCAGGACGTCGAGGCACTCGCTGCCACCGGGCGACTCGTAGATGCGCTTCAGCAGCGGCGTCATGTCGCTGGCCTTGATGGACTGTAGGACCTCGGTGAGTGTTTGCAGATGGGCATCCTATAAATTTGGGGGGTTAGTCTGTCTGCTTTGCCAGCTCATACCGCGTTTCCCGACGTGGTGGGGGTGGAAGCTGGCACGCGAAGGGGCTAAACTCGAGCCGTATCCCCGTTCACGCATCTCTTATACACGTCATCCTCGGTCATCGTACCTTGGCCGCATCGGTTCCGTTGTATACCGGCGTCTCCAGACACCCGCGAAGAGCCCCCTCAGCATCGCCGCCACGGAGCAGCTGCCTGACCTGGCCGGACAGCCCGCGCACGTCGGCCTCGGTGATCTCGGGTTGCGGCGGGTGCAGGGTCGAGGTGTCAAAGTTGACGCTCGAGTCTTCGGTCAGGGCGTCAATGTTGATTGTGCGCCAGGCATCGCCGAGCGTGGCGCTCGTGTGCTGCTGGATGATGGACATGGTTTGAAGAGGGTGGAAGCTAGGGTCAGGAGGGGGGCGGACGAGAGATGAAGGCGGGTTGTCGCGCAGAGAATCTCTCGCGATTGGGCGACGTGTTTTATTGGAATGGTAGCTGCTTCGGGAGGCCCGGGGGTTCGCGGAGGTTGTCGAGGACGAGATGGTAGTGCAAGTTGTGGTGAAGCTTAGCTGCCTGCGTCACCAGTTTGGCGGGGTTCTTCGACGGCAAAGGCTGAGTGGCTGGAACCGGCTAAGGTGGGGCTGGATCAAGTAACATACTTCGTGAACTTGCATGCGCTGCATTTCATGTCTGTAGTGAAATATGTTCGTACGAGTTTCTCTAGTGTATTCTTTCTGGCAGTTTTTCCTAGTCTTCATGTGGCATCCGTCGCAGCCCATTGCCACCCACGGCTTTACATGGATGCTCTCCTTACACTGGACTGAAAGAACACAGCATCTCACGTGAATGGAAACGACCAAATAAGCAATGTTTGCTCTGCCCGGGTCACGGGATAGACAGATACACAAGTTTACAGGCACAAACACCTGCTACCAAAGTTACTAGCCGTCTGGCTGTGCAATTGAAATCTATGGCAACCTTGCAAACGCTGGGGGTTCTGTCCAACGTCTACCCGGGAACCAACACCAAACACACCAAACCAGGAACGAAGGCCTACCCGGGAGCCAATGAGCCAGCGAACCAACGGGACATTGAGCCCAAGCTTCAACGGTAATTTGAGCTGCATAAACATGCTCACCTTTTACTCGATAAGCAGAAGCAATTGGCAATTTACGCTGTAATAGCCGCTGCTCACCCGCGCGCCCGGCTAATGGCTGCGGCACAGCTGCTGCAAGCCCAGTGACATCTGTAACATCATCGACCAATAATCAAAGAGCCAAGATAGGATCCATTCCGTCACCATCGCAAATCCGACGATCCTGGTTGCATATCTGGCTTGTGTGGACAAAACACCCCCGAAAAGAAAAAAGTCTGCCAAAAAAACACACACACAAGTAACACGCTCACTGACTCGTCTGACCACAGCAACCAGGACGGACGGCCCACTGTCATACTCCAAGACGTGTCAGGAGGCAAGCCAACAACCCTTTTTCGAGATTGCCTGATCTCCCGATATAGCAACAAAAATGTTATTGAAAAAAAAAAGGTATCCGCACGACGACCAACGGCCCGGGGAGGCCGCGAAAGTTGCCGAAAATGAAGTTGACTCCACTGCCCAGCATTGACAGCAAGTTGGACCAGGATCCAGGGCCCTTCCAATGGCCCGCCTGATGAAGGGCTTAACGTTTCTCCTACATGGGAGGCGCATGCGGCAGCATAAGCGCAATGTCGGCAAACGACCAACAACGCCCATGAGCAGGAATACGACCAAGGGCACGACTATTCATTAGCCCACGTTGAAGCGTCGATATCCGCCGCGCATGGCTGCCTTGGGGAAGAGCCAAAACGTGTCATTGCTGGGCACTTTTGCGGTATGCGTTTTGCAGGTAACCTTCCTCATCCAGCAAGTTTTGGCAACCTGCGTTGCAATATTTGCTAATAGTAAGCCAATGTGGCATCGGATACTTGGACGCCTTCGGGTTAGCCCAAACTTGTGTTGCCCAACAAAGCCCCCCCCAGAAGTGCCAGCGGTCCTGCAACTTTGAAAATATCCTTGCCGAGGAGAGAGGCCGACAAACCCGCAACACGAGTGGGACAAGAGGAAAAAAAAAGGTCCTGCCAAGCTAGCCATGGAAGGGCTCCCCTTTTTCCAGAAGGAAAGGAGAAAAATAAATAAGAAAAATTCCCAGCGCCGAGCCTTTTTATGCACCCCGGCTTTTTGGTTCTGGTACCTTGCAGGAGTTCCACAAGAAGGGTGTTCGCAGCAACACTAGGTGTCGCAATTATTCAAAAAAATAAATTGAAAGAATACACCCCTGCTGCCCTGTCGATGGAACTGGGAGAAAATTTTTCCCTCTTGTTAAAATTGCGGCGGCCTGGGGTACGGCGCGCGGTGGAGAGACGGCTGGGCTTCCGCGGTTGTCTGGCAAGTCGTCGTGTGGTCGCATTGGATGGTACCTGGTGTGGAATAGTACTGCATTTCAAGACACGTCGGCGACTTGGCCAGAAGAAATTCTGAACAAAGTGTCTGACGCGTAAAGTGATGATGTTGATGCCATGTTTTGCTCAAACGACAAGAAGAAAAAAAACACACCACCACCAACCACACCACTGGTTGTATCAATCGAGGCAACAAGTGGGACGAAATCCAGAGTTGAAATGATTCAATGCGCAATGTCATCGACTCATCGTGCACCGGGGAGGAAACAAGACATACCTGGTCTTTTTGCCTGGTGCGCTTTCCGATCACCAGAGAGCTTCAACAAAAAAAATGTGGTGGCCGGAATGAGTTGAGTTTTTTTTGGCTCTCGGTGCCAACCAAGAGTCCACAATTGGCAGGCCGGCCCTGGCTAGGATCCTTTCTTTTTTGTTCTAGAGTATCCATGTATAGCGTTATCCTGTATGTATATCCGTACCGTACTTTTGAATCCTCCGTGAGAAGTGGCAACAGATCGCACTTCACCCGCCGGCCCCCTGCCACACAGACTTTGTTTGTCCCAGTATGAAGCTGGAGCAACCGGTATAGCCGGTTGCAATCTGTGCGGCAATGTGGTGAGAGCGATGGGCTTTTTTCGTCGTTGGCCTTGAAAAGATACCGAGTCAGGATCACACGAGTAGGTAGGTAGGTAGGGTGGGTGCTGCCGCGAGTCAAATACCAGCCGCAAAACATGATCCGTATATCAATAGCATATGGCGTCTGCGTCAATGTAATGCGATTCTACGTAGACAGTCATTTGCTGGGTGCAAGCATCAAAGTTACTTGCTTTGGTGAAATCCCGAACATGGCGCCGTGGCCGGTCGGTTGCTGCCACAAATCAGTACGAGGTGACTCCGCCACGGACTGAGCAAACTAAAAGGCAAAAAGGCTAAAAAGAGAAGCAATGAAAGCTGGCTAGATAACGTATCTCTCTCTTATCCTTTGCCCTTCTTTCATTGTTCAGTGCCGCCGTTGAACATGTATCTTTGCCGAGGCCGTTCACATGTGTGGCGCGGACCGTGGGCCGGGAAGGGCCGCCCCAGTCAGAGCGTTTTTACCCGTCTGTGCATTTTGTGACAAAGAAAAAAAAAGTAAAAAAAAAAGTAAAATCACAAACCTAACTATCAAGTTGCTGATAGAAAAGGTTGTAAAACAGGAGCTGATTGAACAACTTGGTCCTCGCGTTACGGAGTACTGCAGATGGCGCCCAACAAACGGGCAACTTTTTTTTTTTCTCTCTCTTTTTTTTCTCTCTCCTTTTTTTTTTCTGTTTGACTCGCTACCCTCGCTTGAACCAGCGCCTCGGTATCAGACAGCCGAAGAGGGACAGGGAGGGGGTGAGAGAGACCAATGTTTCAAGTGCAATTTGGGGAGCTGGGGAAGTCTTGCCCGAAGCGGCCTACGTTCAGGAACAGGGACCTTTTTTCTTGACAAGATTTTTTCCCCACCGTAATCCAACTGGGTCTGTCTTGGTAGTTACCCGCTAAAGGTCCCGAAGCTCACATTCTGATCCAAGGCCAGATGTGACGAAATGCTCAGATTCAAAACTGCAAAGTGCTATTCTAGTTAACTATTCTGTCCGTCTCAGCCTCTCCGTCTCTGCTCCCCGAGGGCCAAACGGGCACGTCTCCCAGCCACACTCGGGCACTCACTTGCCCATTCTACTTTTTTCACGGCCTAAAAAGTTTTTCAGTCATCTTACTATTCCATCGTTATTAATAATAATCTCGTACAAGCCAACGGCAACGCACTAGTCAGGGCCAGCAAAACCAACTTGGGACCCTGCAGACGCTAGTGTGTAAGCTTTGACAATCAACATATGCTCGCTGGTCAGTGGTTTTCACAAACCCGGTACGTGATATTGACGGCAAGGGCACTAATACATACGTACTCTACTAGTTAGCAGTGTTGCAATAGCGCTTGTCATTGCTTGACAAATGGCTGCGGGACGCGGCGTGTTTCTAGAAGGCTTCTAATCTGGGGGGAGGGGGCCGAATACATATTGTCGTCCTCGGCGTACAAGCTAGCCACTGGTAATCAAACGACATGTTTGAACAATTTTTCTTCCTTGATGTATGTAGTACAGGACAGGACTGATAACCATTATTAGCTGCATCGAGCATATGCGTCGCGACGAAAGCCAAGCTTGGCCCTCCTGCAGCGCACGTCCGGTTCGGGTGTCACTGGGATTTGCCCTGCAGGTATTCTATGGCTCCGGCACGTGGCTTTTTTTTTGTCAATGACGGAGATGGCAATGTGAATCTGGCGTCTGACACCGTGCATATGACAGCGGCTCGGCAACACACACACACACACGCTTTGTTGCCTCCAACTGAATCACGGCCCACGCGTCGCAACTGGGGTTTGGGACGTGTTTCGACTTGCCTTGGACGGGCCAATGCGAGGGTTATCTCCCCCGATGGAGAGAAGCGGCTTGACGTCAGTACGAGTCACTTGGGAAATGGGCATGAACGAAAAAAAAGCAAGAGAGCACTGATGTGTGTTTGGCTGGCTCGGAACCTGCCACTCCCAGTGACGCTCACTGAAGGAAGGACTGCACTGGATTGGATAAAGCACCTGTATGGGTCGGCTAGAGCGCCTGCAGGAAGCAGATCAGTTTTCAGTTCCCATGCATGCAGGTTCGGCCATTCATTCATTCACTAGTTATTACCTACCTAGTTAACTCAGTTATTAAGCGACGCATCACACCCTGCTGTAGCGCCCTTGAGGGTCCTCGGTAGAAAGCGTAACCTTGATACGCATCAGTCATGCTTCGTTCGAAATTAGAGGATGGGTGAATCAGAGAAGAACAAGATTGCTTCATGGCACTAACTATTTCCTTGTCCTGCCCAGTAGTTGCCATCATTCCCCATCACTGTGGCTACAACGCCCCCTCTCCTCGAGTAAGACAGCTGCCATTGAGTCGCCTACGGATTCCGGCAGTGCAACCTATCGGGCGTCTGCCATAAATAGCAAGCAATTGCTTTGCTTTGTGCTTTCATGTCATGACGTATCATCGTATCATCGAGGACAGTAATAATAGCGCCCGTGTCCACGGCAAATAAAGAAAAAAGGCAGCCCCCAACGCCTAGTCAAACGTATAACCAACTTATTCATCATGTTACGGAGAACCCCAACAGCATACATGTCCGTACAATGCCCAAACAAAGACGCTTTTGCCATGACCACTTATGCGCACAGCCATGATTTGTTTGATGGAAAAAATCCACTTTCCAACACGGCCTTCATCTCTACTGCTGCCCTCTCCCGAGGCGAATCTTGGGAGCTGCATTCAGCGCTTACATGACAAAGCCATTGTTGTTTGTTCCCCCCAGGCAGCAAAGCCCAGAAAAAAAGACGGCCAGGCCCGAGGCTGTTTCTGGGCTAGAGCAGCGAAGCAGAGCCACTTGGCGCATCCGATTTGTAGACACAATACCTACCTAGGCAGCGTTCTGCCTAGCAGCAGCAAGAGATGACGGCAATGCTTTTCCGTCTAGTTAGAGGACGGCGCGTGACCAACGCTTTCTCCGTGCAAAAAAGTACGCCCTGCCACGTATTGTACAGCATCGCCATGCTGTGGTCAAGTTGCTCACGCAGATGATTGGACGCCAAAACGGAATCAACTAGTTGCCTGGGACAATGGGCTTGTGGCGGCCTAGCCTAACGGACGCCGGACGCTATGGAGTGAGTGCGTAAGGCTGGGAGCCCGATGAGGCGATGACGAGTTAGTTGTGTGCCGGCGGCGCAGCCCCCAACAATGGTACAGATGACCGTTGCCGTTTACGATACTGGATACCTTGTCCGTCCCGAAGCGTTCAGCTTTCGGCATCACTTGCCTTTTTTTATTTTGTTTTTCTTTATTGATACGCCCGTTGAGCGTAGACCAGTCGGGATGTTGGGCACTTGCTTGCCGGCGCGACAAATAAGCTTTCGTTTTTTTTTCCGGCACATCCATCATCGGTTGCGAACGCACTATCCGACCAGCCCAACGGCAATGGCCTCGCGGTGCCCGGTGCAGGTTCCCTTGTTGAGTTGGGGCCGGGGAGACAAAAAGGTAGTTGATAGTTGTCCGATGCCCGCGGGGCGTTTGCGGCTCGTTTGGGGAGACAAGAATGCGGCTTCGTCGGCCATTGATGACAGAGGGTGTGGTGGAAGCGTCACCATGACACTACAAAGTACGGCCATCAGTCAGAGTAAGAGGTTTCTTTATTCGCCATTGGTAATTTGTAATTTGTACCAGTCCTCGAAAGAGTACCCCGTACCTGAGCATGCAAGTCACCCCGTCAGACAACAGTCAGACCAACTCGTGCGCGCCACGTCTACCGGGAGATTTTTTTCCTTTTTTGGCCAAGGCATCGCGTGTTGAAGCAAAGACAGCCATGGCCGGGTAGTTAGAATTGCCCGCCCAGGCCCCCCTGGCGACCGAAGCTCGTTTTGGGATGGAACGGGGAAGGCGGAAGGGCAATGCCCACTGGCGGGCAGGGCTCTCTCTGCGTGTCTGCGGCGTGTCTGCGTGTCTGCAGGCCCTGGCATACGTTATCCGTGCTGAATACTAAGTATCATGGGTATCATGGCATCCTAGCACCATGAGCAGCTGCATGGAGTCTGAAGGGCATGCACGCGTGCAAGAGAGGAAAAGCGAACCCGGCGCAATGGGTAGACCGGATCGACACCCTAACTAGCTAGCCCCCCCTCCCCCTCCCCGGTAGGGTAGGCCCCAACTCACTAGCCCAGGCACGAACCCGCAGCAACTTTTTGGCTTTTTAGGCGCAAGAAGCAAGAAGGAGGCGCCGGGTGACGTGGGCGTTGTTCCTACTACTAAGAGGTACCTAGGGTAGGTAGGTGTGTTGGCAATTCGCACTCCCGCTAGTCACCCCCAGCATCGTGCAGCCAACTGGCTTTCATACAGGTAATTCGTAGACATCACAGGTTGGCAACGGGCGCTCGCATGGGCCGGCCCAGCCAACCGCCTCTAGTTATCGCCCTTTGTCAACTACCCAACTAGGCAGCCGTGGCGCAGTCCAGGAGTCCAGGTTTCGCAACCCGCATTGCCTCGTCGGGAGACAACCTTTCTTCTTCTCTCAACGCCCAACAGGAAGCCTCGTACACGACCAGTCTGACGGGTACAAGTCACACGTTTTTTTCCCCTTTCCATTTCAATTCATTATTCATTCATTCCCTCCCCCCCCTGCTCAAAGGAGACCCGACGAGTGGGAAATTGCCCACACCCTCCCCCCCAATACGGCTTAAACCCAGGGACAGGGGAGGACGGGGCTAAAGTGCTTGAGAGTGCTTTGGCCGCCCCGGGGGGAAAGAACAACGGGCGCCGCATTCTTCTTTTATTATTATTATTCTGATTATTCTGATTATTATTTTTAAATTGTACCGGCACAGACCAGTTTTCCTTCTTTTTTCATTCTTTTGTACCAGTACGGATTAGTTTCTTTTTTCCCTTTCCTTCCATCGACTTGTCAGTCAGGCTTGGAGAACGGACCACATACGCCCCAAATGGCCCTCCCTGCTCTGACTCTCTCTCCTCATCTCTCTTCTCACCCCCCCCCCCTCCCTTTACTCAAGTCCAGGCACGCAGCAGCTTGTTGGCGCAGACTTACTCTTTTTTTTTTCTTTACAAAAGCTCACGTTCCCTCCCTTTACTGCCTCTCTTCTGTTGTATCACTCTCTTCGTCTTTGTTTCCTGTTTCCTCCCTAATACCCAGCGTTGCTCTTGATTCACAGCACAACTGCTTCTCTTGCTTGCCTCTCCTCGTCTGACATTCCCGGCCTTTGATCCATCCCTCTCGCCAAAAAAAAAACCACTTACACCCCCTTTAATCTGCTTGTCACGACCAAGCACAAGAAATCGACAAGACCCCATTGTCGAGCTCGCCGGTCTCACCTACTCACGTTTCTCCGACATCTCTGCATCTCCATCGCCGACGCCCAAATTCACTGCCCGTCGCTCTCTTCATCGCCTCGAGCCCATTGTTTGCTCCGAAACAGCGACAATATCCGCTACCCATACCATACCAATCATCGTCCCCGTCAGCAGCTCGGATCACCTTTCGGTCCGCCAAGTCGTATTCACTCTCGCAAGTCGCAAGTCGCAAGTCGCAATTCGCAATTCAAGCGAACTCCCCGTCGCCGACTCTCCATTCTTCATTCTCCCGCGAAGCTAGTGATTCGCCTCGTGTCGCCTGATTCAACGCGCCGGTGCCGACATACTCTCGCCTCGGAATCCACCACCACCCCCGCCTCGGCACCGATACACATCTTGTCCAATAGTATTGGCAACACTGGCACCCTAGCCGTTGTTCGGCTCCTTTTCTGCCTATTCCTTGAACCCGTCATTCTTGGGTGTTGCCTGAGCGGCTTCTGGAAAACCGTCACACCAGTCAAGGTGAGTGATTCATGAGTTTGCCTTTCGCTTTCCCTAGTCCCTGAACCCGAACCCAACGACGACGTTTGCCCAAACAACTCGTCAATCTTGTCGTGCTGCTCTCTACTGCCTCGACTTTACTATATAGTCCTCTGCCAATCCTCATCAGATCCAATGGCTAACCCACATGATAGCAACACCACTTCCACTTGCACCTCATATCACCTATACCCAATCCCACCCACAGCCGTCACCAACAACAACCGTCACAATGGTTCACAACGAGTCTTCTCTGCGCAACATGGGCCGCGGCGCCTACGATACCACCGGTCTTCCTAAGCCGGCACCTCAAAAGCCTGTTCAGAAGCCTCGATAAATGCGGCCTGCACTCGTATGCGCGCGACCGAAACAGTGTCGCGTAGCACGACCTCGCCTTCAGATTGCGACCCCTGTCATCTTCTTCGACTTTTCGACTGTACCACCACCCTGTCTATAATGGTTCTTCAGCGATACGACTACTTAATTTCGCCCTTGTTTTTCTTTCTCGTCGACAATACACAAAAGGCTCGCTGCCAATCCTTGCGTATCAGCATCAAGGACCTTGTGGAAAGCTGACTCGAGTCACCTTTTTCCATGCTTTGGGGACATTTGTTTTTTTAGACACCACCAGAAGAGTGTGTGCGGCGTTTGAACATAGACGGATCTGGGCCAAAAATTTCCTATTTGTCACGTTTTTTTTGCTTTTGTTTTGCGCTTTTGCTCTGTCTGCCACTGGCTTTCGGATTGCTTTGGGGACTACTACAAGTACGCCCGTAGGTCTTTGGGCTGTTAACTTGGCTCATGCCTCATGCTTTGCTGGCAACAGCTGTTGAGTCGCATTGATTTCGGTTCATGGTCGATTGGCCGGTCGTCAGACGTAACCCGTCTGGCGATTGAGGGAAGAAAGGGCCACAGTGTGGCCTTGTAATATTGTGTTTTGATCTTTGTACTTTTACCCCTTTTGGCACACAGAACACTTTAGACGGGAAGCAGAGCCTGAGAGCTCTTGGTTTGGGAGACTACTTTATTGCTTTTATTTCCTCATGTATCAGATAGACCATCAGCCATTAAGACATGAAATTCTTACCATCAGCCCTTGAAAACATGAATTTCTTGTACTAAGCTTTGGCTCTACTATAAACCTGAATCTTTGTATGATCGGCACCCAGTGCATGTCCACGCTGGCTCTACCGCGGGACCGTGCAGCGTCTTGATGCGGGGGAGATTGGAGAATGGCCATCTCGCGTGGCTATGACTGATGACGGTGTTGCTCCGTCTCGGAGTGTTGGGCCCTGTATTCTTCCCATCGAAATACAAAAAAAAAACAAGTGTCGTGCAATAGATCTCGTGCTGGCGCATGCGTCGGCGCGTGAGCTGCCACAGTTTGCGGACCAAGTTAGCGGCGACGCCCGGATCCTGGGGGGCCCAAGATGCGATTTGTGCTAGACTCGATCCAGTCAGCCCAGTCAGCCCTTTGCTTGCTGTGTAAGGCGTGTAGGGAGAGAGGCGCCGCCAGGTACCCGACAAGCCGGGACAAGATTCCATTGCGACGCTGTGCTACGTTTCTTCTCCAATCACAAACGGACGGAGCGTGTAAGAGAACTTTGCCCGGTGAAATACGAAACAAAGATCAGGGAGAAATACTACAGACGACGACTTGATCAAGACACACGCCACCACAAGCTGAGAGAAGTGCTGAGAATTCATCAAGTGCGGACTAGTCGGGGTCGAGATGGCAGCGTAAAACAGAAAAAAAGAGTCACAAGAAAGCAACCTGGAGAATGACGAGCAAACGAGGTGAGACGCGTCCCTCGACGACTTTTCTCTTTGGTGGTGGTGGTGGCGTTTTCCGGCGCATTCCCAGCCTAGGGAGGTGGCGTGAAGGAGGGGTGTGTAGTCAAGGGAGAGAGACGAGAGAACAAGTCGTACAGACTACTCTGTACAAATTAATTTGTAGTTACTGGTAAAGAATTTACTTCTTTGCAACATGTCTCTCACTCTCCCCACCCAAGCTCTCGTCATTGTCATTCGATCGCACAGTCGCGCAATGTAGATCAAGTCCTCGCACCACGAGGGCAGATCTCACGGCCTCTCATCCCACGGCTCTATTTCTTCTTTCCGATGAGAGCTACATTCTTTCCAGGTATAGGACAACATATATGATCCTTCCATTATCGTCACATCGAATAGCTGAAGTGGCTGGCTCGTCGGTCGCCGCATCAAGCCGACTAGACGGCCGAGACCGTCTTGTCATCGCGACACACTCAATTCCCGCCCTTCCACCCCCTGGCTTGAGGACGGGAAGTCCCATGATGGGCGGCGGCGCCGACGATTGGCATTCACCCCAACATGAGCTGAAACAAATCAACCCATCCCGCGAGAGAAACAGTGTGGCACGCACGCCACACCACCAAAAGCCGGCGCGCAGGCAAACAACTTTGGCGCCACTTCTCCAACTTGGCGGAAATGTGTGGCAAAGGGGATGTCATTTGAGAACTCGTCCCCCTTTTTTTTTGCTGCTTCGTATGTAACTTTACAATTGATACATGTCTGCATTCATCAGCCAGCAACGCACCATGTCGCCAAGCCGTGGACTGCTGCTGAGCATTGTTCGTCTACTCAATGCGGGTGATATATGTACAACGAGGTGGACCCCAAATCCCAAACTCGACAAAGGTCCGTCAAAGAGCAAAAGTGTAAAGAGCTGGCTCCTTGCACTCTAGAACGGCGGGGATGTTGTCGTGTCTCTATCGGCCATCATTTTCTTTGTTATAGAGCGACGTCTGAGCTGCGAGCCATGGCTCTATAAAAAGCAACAACCCACGGCCACGCCGCTGCAAACCCGGTTTGATCCAAGCTCCTGGGTCGGAAGCGAAACAAATAATAGCAAAAGCAAAAAAAGAAAGAGAAAAGGGGGAGTTGCAAAAAAAAACAATAACTGGTTAGTCGACATCATAAAGGAGCGAATCAAATCTGATAAAAATCAGCAAATCACCACTTTGTCAGATAACTCGTATACAACCCCTGCGCGGCGAGACAACCGCCAGCCACTCGGGGGGCTGATGACGGATCCGGGCGGACGGGCCGCGCCGACAAAATGATGAATGACCGAATAGGACTTCAAGTACAAATTACCGAGTAAGAGTACATGGGTTGTCATCGCGATTGTGGCTAGAGATGATGCGCACAAGAGTAAAATCTAGGCCATAATATACAGCCCATGCCTGTGAATGGTGGCTGAGGTGTTTTGATTTTGTCTCTTCTCCCCCATGAACTTAATATTTGAAATCCGCAAGATCCTTCCATGATGCCATGATTTGCTTTTTGAAACTTTTTAGAATAATGCGTCCTTCTCCCCATGGCGCAACGTACCATGCAGCATCGAGGGGGGGGGGGGGGTTGCCGAGTCCAGCTTACCAGTACAAAAAGCAAAAAAATAAAAAGAACTGCCGCGAGTACATTCACCCCAATGAAACTTCATCAGTAGACGGAATATGTGAAACAAAGCAAAATCGGCCTAGTAACGTGCGCGCTGGGAAAACAAAGAAGCAAGTTCTTTGCGCGTCATCTTGCTTTTCTTCAGAGGGGGGCGGGCTGGCGATGAAGCTACTCCAAAGGGAGTGTGCATAGCAAAGTTAATTGATGGGGGCATGAAATATGGAAATTGACAACTCTACATGTCACATTTCAGTCCAGCGTGAGGGTGTACTGGTAAGCGCACATGTCTGCGTGTCGTGGTCGAGACGACTTCAACGACGGCTGTTATAAAACGTGTAATATAGAGAGTGAATAACGCTCAATTGCTAAATGACTGAGTCTCTTGACATTATCTGCCACCGAATGTATAGCCCCTAGTTTATTCATGACCGACGACACATTCTACTCATGATTGTAAATAGACACCTCAAAAATCTACAGATTACAGCGTCAATGGCCGCTCCAGGTCCATCTGCAGTCCAACCGAAAGCTGCGGCACCTGCTCATAGTTGGACTGTCGCAGGCACAAGCGCGTCTCATTGAGCGTCTGTAGCCAGCCAGTCCGTTAGCCCATTTCCAATCAAAGCCGGGTCTGCTTCAAAACATACCTGCAAAAAGCTCGGGTTGGGGTTTCTCCTCATGACCTGCAGAAACGCCCAGGACATGGCGCCCTCGCTGACGCCGGCGATGCTGGCGTCGGCGCTCGTCTGGTCGTCGCGGCAGCCCGAGAACATGGTCACCATCTTGTGCTCCTGCTGGTACATGGCGCTGTCCTCGTCGGCGTCGAGGCCGGCGGCCTGCTGTTCCTCGCCCATGTGCTTGAAGGAGCGGAAAAAGGACGTGGCGCCGGCGTACAGGTCCTGCGCCTCGGCCAGCTTGTCGAAGCTAAATCCGCCGCCGCCGCTGAGCAAGCCCGACGCCTCGCTCATCAGCCGCATGCCCTGCCGGATATTGTCCACCAGGCTGACGTTGCCCGAGTCGTCGGTCCGGTACACGTACGGCAGCTCCAGCGCCGAGCCCGAGTGGCAGCAGTCGAGAATCGCAAACAGCGTGCTGTTGCCCGGCATCCGCGTCACGAGGTGCTGGTGCAGCGTGTCCGAGTCAATCTGGCCCCGCTCCTCAAAGTCCACCGGGCAGATCGTGTCCAGGATGCCCGACGGTCGCTGCCCCGTCGGGTCCCGCACCTGGCCGCCGTGCCCCGAGTAGTGGAAGAAGTTGCAGGTCCCGGGCTCGCTGACGAGCCAGTCGATGGCAGCCTGGAACAAGTCAGCCACCTGATATCTTTCGTGTTTATAGCGCCGCATACCAGCATGTTGTGCGCACTGGGGTAGTACGCGTCTCCCAAGTCATCTCTCAATATGACCTGGGACCGAGGATCGGACGAGTAGCCCCGGTAGCTCAGAAACTCGGCAATGTTTTCAACATCTCGATGGCACCCGTTGAGCTGGTGCTCGCTCCCCGTGTAATTGATGCCAATTAGCAGTGACTTTTTGCGCATTTCCATCTTGGCCGTGTTGGGCTGCGGTTATTTGTTTCCTACACATTGCCGCGTGGCTTGCGCTTGCTGACCTAGTGAGGGGTGCCTATCTGCTGCCACACCTGGATGAGGTAATTATTTGCGGGTTACAGCTGGCTGCTCCTGTGCAGAGTCTGCAAGGTCAATTTAATGCAGAAAAGTTGCCGAAATTCCGTATTCCAACCTTGTCACTCTTTTCCCTTTGTGGCTCTTTGTAGCTGGTAAAGTTGGTGCCGGAGCCAGCCGTGCCGATCCTCATTGGCAATGCTGATGATGAGGCTTTGCTGTGCTTACAAAGATGAGAGTCTTCTGCAAAATGCAACTTCAACGTCATTGCCCAAGAAGGCGTGTTATATCGGCCCAGGCCGCTCTCGGTTGCGTCTGCTTTCGGACTCAACCGATGTGGCGCCAGCCTTGGCCGACATCCATCACGCCACAGTCTTGGCGCAGATTTTACCAGCCCGCGGATTTTGCTGTTTTATTTGGAAAAGCGCTGAAAGACCTGGGAAGCGACTGGACGAATAAGGTGAAGCAAGAATAGACGGGCCGCGTGCCAGAGCTGCTTGCCCGGGGAGAGTAGAATCAGGTCCCTGCCATTGGCAACGACTACAGCTGTCCCTTGGTTACTTTTACATTTGTGTTGACATTTAAGCGCCCGTGTCGCTTTCGTAGACTTGATGCATCCTAGATACGACTTGTGATGTCTTGTACTTGGCAAAAATAGAATGTATTTGCAAAGGAAAGGCGAAAAGGTGTTTGGTCAATCCAGCCCCTCGTTGGTGTAAAGTCGCATTCCACGGAAATCTCAGGTTCCTGGATATACGACGAGCGTTATACTCAGCAACTCATCTGTCAGACAAGGATATATACGAGTAACGACTACATCCGACGCTGAAGTGGCATCTCGCGCCGAACTCTCTCCAACTCGCCGATATCCACGTCTACGAACCCAATCTCTCCCACCGCTCCCTCCGACGCGTTACCCTGTTCATCAGCGACACCACCCAGCGACAAGACGACGCGGCCCCAAGGGTCCACGACCATGCTGCGGCCGTAGCTCGCGCGCGTCTCGTTGTGGCGGCCGACCTGCGCCGCCGCCACGACCCAGCTCTGCGTCTCTATCGCGCGCGCGCGCAGGAGCGTCTCCCAGTGCGCCTCGCCCGTGCGCAGCGTAAAGGCGCTCGGGTACGTCAGGATCTGCGCAGGGCGCGCGTGCCAAGCACTGCTGGGTGCCGCGCGCGGCTGCGCCAGCGCGACGGCCGTTTCGGCAAAGCGCAGGTCGAAGCAAATCAGGCTGCCGATGCGGCCGACGGGCGAGTCAAACGGGGCCGTCAGGTGCATCCCGGGCTGCACCGTGGCGCTCTCCCGCAGCGCGCCATAGTCAAACACGTGCAGCTTGTCGTACGTGGCGGCGTCGTCAATCTCGCCCTCGGGCGTAATGTACAAGGCCCGGTTGAGCATCCGCCGCGCGTGGCTGCCGGCGGCATCGTCTGGCGGAGGCATGTGATGGATGCCGACATGGACGGCGACGGCGTGGGCTTTGGCGGCGGCGCGGAGCCCGGTGACAAACGGTGACGCCGTCTGTGGTTGTGCTAGCTCCAGAGACGTCTTCGCATCGGGCGCAATGTAATCTGACGCTTCAGGTAGGAAGAGAACCTGGGTCCAAGGGGAATGAGCCACGGTGCTTGATATCTCGGTATTCGGCTTCGTACCTTGGCGCCGCCAGCAGCGGCCTTTGCCACCAGCTTGACGCATTGCTCCAGGTTTCCCTTTAGGGAGGCCGTGGAGCATATCTGCCCTACAGCCTAAGAAGTAGTCAACATCATTAGATTCCCGGATTCATAGAGAACAGACAAGGGTCGTACTGCTATCGCCATCCTGACAAGTGAGGTACTTCGAGTATGTAGGTACCAAGTACGCTTCCTCGGTCCACTTTTGCGCTGGCGCAAGATCACGGAGCAGCTACGCAACTGAACTCTATGGAATGCTTGGTGATGAAGTCATTTATATTATTTTTATAATTTCACAAGAGCTATTTTCCATCCTCTCTTGTGACCCATCGGCACTCCCATGCATCAGGTTCAGCCGTTTAAACCTTTTGAGCTACACTTTGCTCCATCTGTGCTCGTTTGGAGTTTCGCCGAGCGCTCCCATTGCAAAAAACAAGATCCAGTGCCCCATATGCCCTCAGGAAAAGACAAATTCAAAACGCCGGGCTAAGATAAGATACACCAATAGAAAGGTAAGAAAAAAAGTGCCATGGAGAGGTACTGATCCTGAAGCCACGCCCATCCCAGGCAGTGCGTGTCTCGGAGACGGCTGATTATTTGGGGTTGGATGAATCCAATTGCAGATATGCCTGCTGGAGCAAGTGCGCTTCTCGCCCATCCCGCTCCAGAACTGTGATCCAATCGCGTAGCTGAATGTTCTTCCCCTTTTCCTTGTCTTCACGCCAGGTCCCTAGACGGTTTCGACCTTCCGTCGTCAGGGCCATATTACCTGCCACTGTCTGCGCCATGCCATTCGCTGCCTTGCCGCCATCACCCAGGGTTTTTGTAGGTGTGCTCGCTCCGCTGCCTCCTCGGCCGACATTCATCCAGTCATAAGTTTTGCGTTTGCTCTTGCCAAATAACCCACTTTTGCCTCCTAGACCCGCAAACATGCTACTCGTCATGTTTTGGTTTGCATGACTGTTGGCCTCGGCAGCCTTGAGTGCTTGGTTCTTCTTTTGTTCCTTCTTCGTCATCGCCTTGTCCGACTCTGGCGCAACTGCTCCGGGTGTTCCAGGCGCAACGCTGCCCGATCTCGAGCCAGCCGCGGCCGTGTCGATTGTGCCGTCTTTTCTCTTCTGGCGTCTCCGTAGACGGGCTTCTTCCCACTCCCGCTCCTGTCGGGCCAGATCCCGCATGGTGAGCGCCATGTATGAGGCAATCTTCGGCAATTTGGCAGGTTTCGGGTTTAATTCACCGTTCGCCTGATCCGAAGTCCCTGTGAAGCGAATTAGTCAGCAATTCCTCGTGCAGTGGTGTCCGGTCTTACGCTTCAGAGAGCCGTCACCAGTCTCGGACCTGCCCTCTTCGTTCGGCGCGCCTACAAGCTCGAGCACCTCCTTGTTCATGGGCGCTGCAGCGGGTACCCATTCTTCCGGCACATCACCATGTGATGTCTTTTGTCGGTTGAGCGCGATCGCGTGGGCGTCCTCAATCATTTCTCGAACTCGTTGCTTACTACTCAATGACAACAGCGCAAGTTGATCAACCAAGTATGCGTCGTGGGGTATGAAAGATCCAGTGGTGCTGACCGTTGTCGAGTCGGGCCCCGGCTGGGTCTTCACAGTCACTGACGGGGAAGGGAATTGCTCGGGATAGCGCAGTTTTCCAGGCGCATAAGCATTGTTGCGAAGCTCGAGATTGAGACCAATATGATGCTCGCGCGCAATCTTGTCCGCTCGCCGATGCATCATCGCCACGAGCAAAAAAGGATTCGCAATCTCCTGCGTTCTTGAAGCCGCTAATCTCATGGCGGATTCCGTCCAGGCCCGCTCTGCGGCCTGAGCCTCATACTGTTTCTGAGACTGGCCATTGATCATCTCTGCAGGCTGGCTTGCAGGGCCTGCACCATAGAACGAGCTTGCACCAGTCGGTAATTGCACAGCGAATCCGGTGCGAGCATCTTGATTTCCATCCAGCGCATTGGAGTACAATTCAGACATGTACTGTTCTTCGGCGCGCAAGTCGATTCCCGTTCCAGCAAGCGAATCTGTAACCTCGTATTCGTAGTCTTTCGTCGGTCGCTCCGCGGGTCGCTGAGGCGGTCCCATGACGTTCTGTTGCATTTGATGCTGCCCTTGGTGCATAGCAGGCGTGAGTGTTGCATTCGTGTACGGCGTCATCCCTGAAAGCTGTTGGTGTTGTTGCATAGGAGAAGCCGTCGCAGCCGCCGCAGCTGCTGCAGCTGCTGCAGCCCGAGCTTCGGCAACGTTATAAACGGGTGTCGCTTGGCCGTTTGCATAAGGAGTGTTGTAGCCCTGTATCGGAGGCGTTTGCGCGAAGGTGGGTGAGCCAGCTGCGAGGGTCGGACTGCCAGACGGACCTGGGCTTGCAGCAAACGGCGATGCTGGATACGGCGAGCCCGGTTGTGAAGCCGCCCCGACTCGTTTGTTGGGCGGAACCGCATAGGCAGACTGGGAGCCCGCTGGCGAAGGAGTGGGCTGCGGCGGCGAATAGGCCCGCGCCGGCACCTGCGACTGGGGCTGAGCCATGATGATACAGCTCAGTCGCGATGCCCTGCTTCAGCTGGCAGAGCGTGCGCGATGAAGTTAGACGGCTGCAGGGGCCGGTGCGATGATGCATTCAGCAGGCAATGAAGCCCGACACGTCGGATGCTGCTCGTCCCATTCGACGCGCCGCCTCTGCAGAGTATATCGCGACACCGTAAAACTGTATGTGTAGCCTTCGTATAGATCGGGATTGCTGAATCGCGTTTGTTAGATGGCGCGCATCAATATGGAAACCTGGATGAGTCGCAATCGATTCGCATAGCCCGTTGGCAGGGAGCGTGACTGGAAGCTTTGTGCCGGGGCAGATGGAATTTGTTGTGACTTAAGTGGGTCCACTGTCGCACTTATTAATCAGCCGACTGGCCGACTATTACCCGCGACAGCTTCCATCGCGTCTTGGGAACAAGACTTTTTTTTTTGAGAATTGCGCATCCAAATACCTACTACGCGGGCGAATTACTTTTTAATCCTACGGCCATATCTGGCCTTTGGGGAATTCTTGTCTCTTGTTGGGGGTGGATTGTCTAGACAACGATAGGCGCAACCATGGCATCGAAACGCAAGGCATCCGCTATGAATGCGGCCGCCTCAGAGGAGCCGGTCGATCCATCCGACGAGCTCGTCTTTCTATGTTTAGGTGGCGGGAACGAAGTCGGAAGATCATGTCATATCATTCAGTACAAGGGGAAAACGGTCATGGTGAGTATGAACCTGGATTTTTCTGCTCACAGCTGCTAACTAGCCGTAGCTTGATGCTGGTCAGCATCCTGCCTACGATGGCCTCGCTGCGCTCCCTTTCTACGACGATTTCGACTTGAGCACGGTCGACGTGTTACTCATCAGCCAGTCAGAATTGCGCTACCCCATGCGACAGTGCATTGACGTCGCGCTCTGCGCCAATACCGCTAACACTAAACCAGTTTCCATATCGACCACGCCGCGTCTCTACCATATGTTCTAGCGAAGACGAATTTCCGAGGACGAGTGTTCATGACACATCCGACAAAGGCAATCTATAAGTGGCTTATTCAAGACAGTGTTCGTGTGGGCAACACATCGGCGAATCAGACCACTCAGCCTCTCTACACCGAGCAAGACCACTTAAATACATTTCCACAAATCGAAGCCATTGATTACCATACGACGCACACGATATCGTCCATCCGAATTACACCGTACCCTGCCGGCCATGTTCTGGGTGCGGCCATGTTTCTCATCGAAATCGCCGGACTCAACATTTTCTTTACAGGCGACTACTCTCGAGAGCAAGACAGACATTTGGTCTCGGCTGAAGTCCCCAAAGGCGTCAAGATTGATGTCTTGATTACAGAATCCACGTATGGCATTGCGTCGCATGTGCCTCGTCTAGAACGTGAGCAGGCTCTCATGAAATCCATCACAAACATTCTAAACAGAGGAGGCCGAGCCCTCTTACCGGTCTTTGCCTTGGGGAGAGCTCAGGAGCTTCTTTTGATTTTGGATGAATACTGGGGAAAACACGCCGAATTCCAAAAGTACCCAATATACTATGCTAGTAATTTGGCAAAGAAGTGTATGCTTATTTACCAGACCTACGTGGGCGCCATGAATGATAATATCAAGCGACTCTTCCGAGAACGCATGGCGGAAGCCGAAACATCAGGAGGGGCGGGAGCTGGTGGTCCTTGGGACTTCAAATACATCCGCTCACTGAAGAACCTGGATCGTTTTGACGATGTCGGTGGTTGTGTCATGCTTGCCAGCCCGGGTATGCTGCAAAATGGTGTCAGTCGCGAGTTGTTTGAGCGCTGGGCGCCAAACGACAAGAACGGCGTCATTATCACGGGTTATAGTGTGGAGGGTACCATGGCCCGTCAGATTATGAAGGAACCAGAGCAGATTCAGGCCGTCATGTCGCGGAGTATTGCAGGCGCGAGAAGGGCGCCCGGAGGAGACGGCGAAAAAGTCATGATTCCGCTACGATGTAGCGTCCAGGAATATTCCTTTGCCGCGCACGTCGACGGTGTCGAGAACCGCGAATTTATCGAAGAAGTGGCGGCACCAGTAGTGGTACGCTTTACCGAGTCCCGTTTTGCATCAACGCAGCTACTAATACTTGGCAGATTCTAGTGCATGGCGAGCAAACGAATATGATGCGTCTTAAATCGAAACTGCTATCGCTCAATGCCAACAAGACAGTCAAGGTCAAGGTTTACTCGCCTCGTAATACAGAAGAGCTACGCATTCCCTTCAAGGCCGACAAGATTGCCAAGGTCGTGGGCAAGCTCGCATCCATCCCGCCACCACGACCCATTGCCGCGTCCGACGACGCCGACACAGGCGTCGCCGGGGGGCCGCTCGTCTCGGGTGTCCTGGTCCAAAACGACTTCAAACTGTCGCTCATGGCGCCCGAGGACCTCCGCGAATACGCCGGCCTCAACACCACCACCATTACCTGCCGACAGCGCCTCACGCTGAGCGCCGCGGGCATCGACCTCATCAAGTGGGCTCTCGAGGGCACCTTTGGCACGGTTGAGGAACTGCCTGAGATGCACCTTATGCAGATCGACTCCAGCAAGACCGCCAAAGAAGGCGCGGATGACAACGAGGATGACGATTACAACCCGGAAGTGGCCGTGGCGGCGGCGGAGGAGGAGGCCGACGAGGAACTCCCGCGTCTCGTGGCGGCGTACCTCGTCATGGGCTGCGTGACGGTGCGCTACCGCAGCAACGGCGAGGTCGAGCTCGAGTGGGAGGGCAACATGCTCAACGACGGCATCGCCGACTCGGTCATGGCGGTGCTCTTTTCCGTCGAGAGCTCCCCGGCCGCTGTCAAGAAGTCGTCGGGCAAGTGCGGTCACGCCCACACCTCCCCGGATGCCATGGATGCGGACGCGCCCCTGCCAGAGAGCAACCCGCACGCGCGCGTCTCGCCGCAGGACCGCCTCGAGCGGCTGCTCTGGTTCCTCGAGGCCCAGTTCGGCGCCGACAATGTCGCCCCGATCGAGACGCCCCGGCTGCCCGCCCTGCCCGCCCTGCCGTCCCCGCCACCAGACGACGACAGCAAGCCTGCAGGGTCCTCCTCCGCCGCCGCCGACGGCGACGACGCCATGGACGTAGAGAACGAGGACAGCACCCGCGCGGAACAGGCTCTCCAGCAGCGCCGGAGCAAAGAGCTGGCGCGCCTGCACAGGCTGGGCATCCCGGTCCCCGGCGTCTCCATCAAGGTGGACAGCATGACGGCGACGGTCTGGCTCGAGGACCTCGAGGTGGAGAGCAGCAAATCTGTCTTTGCGGACCGCGTGCGCGCCGTCGTGGAGAGGGCAGTGGAAGTGACGGCGCCGCTGTGGGGTTGAACAAAAATACAACGGGAGCTACAAAGAAGAGCAATTTTGAAATGGCGATTTTGTAACAACAATAGTCTAGGGGACCGGGGTCAGTTTCTCTATGTATGGGATAAAAACGTCACACATGGCAAGGATAATACAAATGATTACTTACGCATGGGGCCGTTTTCTCTTCTTTTTTTTAAATTACAGAGTCTACGAATTAAAGATGCTCGAGGTAGGAAGGTATGTATGTATGTATTGATGAGTATTGTAGTACAGCAAGACGCGCACGTTTACAGGATCAAAGTCTAGACGACGCCAGTCCAGCGACATGTGACCATCTCGGCCAATACACATAAACAGTTTAAAAACAACGAAGCAATATAATAAAGAAAACTAGTCTACAGTGGGCGGAAAGCGATTATCCCAGATATACCTTGAGCTCCTCCGACTCGTCCAGCAAGGCCGCAAACGAAAACGGCACAAACGGCCAGCCGGCAAACTCGGCAAACTTGGAAAAGGACTCGACCCACGCCAAACGCAGCGAGTGCAGCATGGCGCTGGTGCCTTCCATGCATACGAGGATCGCAATGGCTGTGCAAGAGTTAGCAGCTAGTCACATGAGGGTAGGGTAGAGAAGAGGGAGGATACGTACTGAGGAAGAACCACAGGTAGAAACCAATAACAATGGCAATGACGCCGACGACGCCAGTCATAGGCAGGGCGAGACCAATGGTCATGGTCCACAGAACGACGCTGAGCTGCTGATGGGCGAGGGAGAGGGCCCACAGACGCAGGTATGAGGCAGTGTGGGAGACGCAGTTGAGACAGAATTCTAGATGCAATGTTAGCGGAGGGCAACGCGTCTTACTGTACAGTTCGTGCATGGTTGTTGTAACGTACCAATGGTGTGAATGACTTGGTGAATCATGACCTCGCTGAATTCAAACTCTTCATGCTCCTCGTCCACGTTTTGCGAAATCATGGCCACGCCTTCGCCGTCGTCAATGCTATTACCGTGGCCACCACCATGAATCAGGCCCTGGGCTTCGTCCTCGTCGTCGCCATCGAGGGCGCTCACGCGGGACGTCTCGCCGATGCCGCGGTACCCCTTGGCGCGAGCGCGGTTGTTCTCCCAGCGGAGGTAAAAGGGCTTGAGGAAGAGCAGGACAGGGACCTGGGCAAAGGCGAGGAGGAGCAAACCCACCTGCACGTATTCCTGGCCGGCGTAGAGGCGCTCGCCATTGGGCAGGGTGCCTGGCTGTAGAAACATGTAGATGAGCATGTTGAGCAGGCCGGGTGCGGGCTTGCCAATCGCGTTCCAGTCCACAGTCCACTTGTAAACGATGCAGCCGACAAGGTAGCCAAAGATGGACTGGAAGAATATCATGCCGGGCACAAAGTTGCCCCAAATGTCAATGGGTCTGCGAAAGTGCTTGGCATTGATGTAGGCAAAGATGAGCGAGTACGTCATGTGCGCCCAGCCCAGCAGGATACTCATCTTCATCTTGTAACTGTTGCTAAAGAGAAGGTCGTTGTCGGTGCCGTGCCATGCCGAGTCAATACCAAATGGGTAGCGGTATCCGTGGCTGTTGAGCGTGCCTTCAATCGTCTCGCCCTCCTTGAAGCCGCCCTCGGGCAGCCGAAACTCCCACGCACTGGTAAAGAGCGTCATGGACTTGGAGAAGGCATCGTTGTAGACGAGGCCAGTGAAGAGGGAGAAAACGGCCATGACCAGGGCAATATAACGCCCGTAGAAAACCATGGCAAAGAGTTCAAACGAGACCTTTTTCAGTGAGCGCTCCCAGTAAATCATGGCCAGCGCGGCAGACAACATGATGATGGCGTGGCCGAAGTCACCAAACATGACGGCGAAGAGAAAGGGAAATGTGACAATGACCGGCATGGCGGGGTTGACTTCCTGGTAGCTGGCGGTACCGTATGCATTGACAATAGTCTGGAAGCCCTCGGTAAACTTGTTGGTTTTGAGATAGGTGGGAGGCTTCTTGTTTGTACGAATCTCGTTGATGATGGACGGGACGGAAAGGCCTGCACGGTTGGTGACATCTTGCAGAGTCGATCTAATGAGAGGCAGGTCGTTGGTCGGGCACCAGCCTTCGGCAATCAGGGTGCGACGAGCCCTGTCGTACGAGAAGAGGTTGAGCGTGCCGTAGACGGCTTTTTCCTTGGCAATGAGCACCATCCAAGCGGACAGCGACTGAGAGATTTGGTTGAGCTCGGCCTGGAGAGTAGCCTGCGTGTTCTGGAGCACATTCTGCACATCCTGGAGCCTGCTGTTCACCTCGTGGATCTGGTCGCGGCGCAGATCGCTGTTCTCGTCCACGCTGTACACCTCTGCACCCATAGACTCGGAGATCTTGCGGATCTTGGCAATGATCTCTTTTCCGTGGGCAAAGATGACAAATACGTTCTTGTCGACGGCCTCGTTGTTGACCGGGTTGATGAGCGGCTCGGAAATCTCGGACTGGTTCATGTAGAGGTTGCCGCGAAGGGTGCGCCAGAGAATGCGCTCAAAGGCGCCGACACGGTCGCGGGCAATGACACCGGCCACAAAACCAATGTTCATGCCGCCAAAGGAGCGCTCGACCTCGGGGGCGGCTCGGTGCTGCTCCACGTCGGCGAGCAGCGGGGCGTCGTCCTGGCCGCCGCTGCCGCCGTCCATCGAGGCGCGAATTTCCTCGACGTTGCCGTGGGCGCGGTCAAAGAAGCTCCCGGCCTCGCGCAGCACCCAGCGCCACTCGGTAAGGTCGCCCTCGCGCTTCTTGAGCGTCTCGTAGCTGTCGTTGAGGGCCGACACGCGCTGCTCGAGCTTCTCGCTGCGCTCGGCGAGCTCGTCAATCTCGGTGGTGGAGGGGGAGGCGAGGCTCTCGGTGTCGAGGTCGAGCTTGCGGAGAGTAATGTTCGTCTTTTCCATCTGCGCGTTAAAGTAGCCTGACATAGGAGCAGGCATGTTAGCAAATCAACTCTGCAATGATCGTGGTCGTAGGGCGGGATGTGTCGACATACGTAGCTGTCGCTCCACATTATCGAGGCGTCGGATTTCCTGGGTATAGGTGCGCTGGAAGGCGCTGACATCTTCGTTGAGCTGTTCATGATGATCCCGTTAGCCAATCTTGAGGTGCAGACGGTCATTTTCCAGCGGTGTGATGATCCGGCTGATGGGGGCAGGATTTCTTACATCTCGGAACTGGCAGAGGCCAAGCTCGCCGAGCGCCGTCACGACCTCGCGGCCAATTTCGTTGGAGACATAGAGCTGGACCATGCTCATGTCCGCAGAGCGGAAGGGGGTATCCTGTTTAGGAGCCATGGCGATACCGCTTTTCAATCGCCAGGTGCTCTTGGCCAGGTGGTGGTGGTAAGCTATGCAGTCGGTTGAGAAGCGCCAAGATGTTACGTAGGTAGCGCTGGGAGGAGGGAGGCCACCAAGTTGACCTGGATCACGTGACGAGTCCTCGACGTCACAGGTCCGCGCTGTGGCAACGCCATCTGAGAACGATATAACAAGAAAAGAAATCGACACTGAAAGGAAATGTATTCATTTAGCTAATTTTCTCCCTCCCATTCTGTTATGTAGCCCGCACCTGGAAAAACCGCGGACTTACCAGCAGCAACATTTCTAGGCCTAGACTGAACGAGACAGTGATAATTACAGACGGTGTCATATAACAAGACAGCGATAATTACACAGATAGTGTTATATAAATCATCCTATGTAGACTATCCAAAAAGAAATGTATCCAAACAAAAAACGGATATAAAGAATTGTGACTGGTAACCATGCAAAAATAAAAACTGTCCAGAGTACCGACCGAGTGACCATGCTTTTTTAATTCAGGGGTATCCTTACATGCAGCGGCCAAGAGGAAGCAAAATGAAACATATTCGACGCCGTAGTGAAAGAATCCATAATGGCCTTTTGTGGTACGCTCCCGTTGATGCAGTTTTCTTCGTGGCAAAAGTCCCGTCCGTACAAAAACAAATACAGCCACCAAAAAGATAGCAAATCCGAAGCGCCTTGCGTATGATGTGAGGAGAGATGATGCCGTTATTTTTCTTTCTTTTCTGACGCAGATGCCAGATATCGGGTCTTTGTCTTTCTTTTTCGTATATCAAATTGTGATACTTTCTTTCGTGTCGTGAGAGCTGGGTATTTCGGTAGTTCGTTGCAAAAAAGTCGTGAATGAGAAATCGTAGAAGCTCAAAGCCGACGACCAAACATGTAAGAACCGTACATGCCTCCCACTTCGGAGATGACAGTAGGAATCTTGCGCATGCCCCAGCTCTTGGCACCCATCTTCCAGGAGCGGTGACCGTGGTCAAAGTTGGGTTCGTTGGTATCGGTGCGTGTCAGCCAGTAGCGGCTGCCAAATTCCTGAGCATCCCATCCGACACGCTGCAGGTTCTTCTTGACCTTGGCAGCGCGCTCATATGCACGCTCTGAGAGCTCTACAACGAGAAGGGGAGCAGATGCTGGGGCAAGCAGAGTGCTGGCGCTGCCAATGATGGTCTCGACGTCACAAATGTCAATGTACTTGAGATTGTGGGTCTGCCACTGCTGGTCGCGGAAGAAGAGGCGGTGTATATCGGCCATGGCAAGACCGCGGCCGACGGCGAGTTCTTCGAGGGTCTGCGACAGCCTGGTGAGCTGTTCGATGTGAGACGAGTCCATTCGGCTGCCTCGAAGGCTGAGAGACTTGAGGGAAGCTGGCAGGTTTGGGAGAAGAGCGTCGAGATCACTCTTGCCGAGCAGTAGGTGAGTGCTGGGATCAGTACCCAAGCTCAAGAAAACGAGGTTTTTGGTAGCAGGGTGGGAGGTTACGAATTTAATGACAACATCGGCAGACAGCTCCTTGCACCTAGCAAGGTTCAGGTGCGTCAGTGCGGCAGATTCGGGAATGGACAGAAGTGCCTTGTCGGTGACTCGCGTCTCAGCGAGATCGAGGTGGGTGACATTGGGCAGTCTAGGGAGAATTGTCTCGAAAAGAGCCGAGGGGAGGCTCAGAGACTTGTGGAAGGACAGCTTGGTGATGGTGAGGGTCTCGGGCCAAACGTCGTCGAGAAGAGTGGTGAAGGATCGCTTGAAGGCGAGAGATGAGCAACCGCAAAAGTCAATGGAGGTGAGTGAGGGCATGTCAAAGAGGAGCTTGCGAAGGACGTCAGGACCGAGGTCGTCATCAATGTAATCCTGGGCGAGAAATTCTTTGAGGTAGGGAGTCAAAGCGAGGCAGTGGAAGAGAGTCTCGCTGGTGAGATTCTGGGCCTGGAGACGCTGGGCGGCGGTAGAGAACATGATGGAGGGGTTGAAGTGGCTAAAGTCGAGGCGGCGGACGATGGTGGCGAGGACCGGGTACTCAGTAATAGTGGTGAGAAACTTGCGGAAGATGCGAGAGTGCGGGATGGTTATGTGGCGGTAGAGGGTGGTGAGAGTGGCGGCGTGAATAGAGCGTGAAGTGCGGAGGAGCGACATGAGGTCGGTGTTGCGCGTGGTGAGTCCATTGGGTGGGATCTCGACGACGAGAAGATCGATGATGGAGCCTAGGGATGGGTTAGCAAGGCGATGGCAGGGTAGGTAGCAGGGCAGATCGGGCGAGCAAGGTAAAGAGCGAGCAAAGTAAAGGGCAGGAAAACAGTAAAAAAGTCACAGCTGGCGAGGCAAACATTATGGTAGATGGTGTACATACTCAGAATTTCGCTTGGTAGACTCTCGAGAGGCGCGGCCGATGGGGGATAGACGCCAACCGGGGTCTCTGTGATCTTTGGGGCGGGATTGTCCCACGTCATGTGCAGCTTGCGCAAGTCATCGGAGCTGCGGCTCGCGATGCGGCCCTTGATAGGAATCTCGCGCCAGCCCTTGAAGCCCTCGGCGGGAAACCAGAAGCCATGGAGCTTGGAGCCCGGGTTGGTGAGGGCGGGGCGGAAGACGGCCTGGGGCGCCTCGGCGATGGGGGACTCGTCAAAGACGTCCTCGGGGGTCTCGGTGTAGGAGGAGATTTTGGAGCGGGTAAAGGTCTGGGCGAAGCCGTCGTCGTTTTCGCGGACCGACGAGAAGGAGGAGCGCGAGGTGGCCTCGGAGACGGAGGGAGACATTGCGCGGGCCATGCTGGTGCCCTTGACAAACATGGCGACGTCGTCGAAGTCGAGCGCCTTGCGGCGCCCGGCTCCCGGAGGCCCGGCCATGTAACGTGTCGGGGAGGGTTTGTTTGTTATTGGTTCGAGATGTGTGTGTTGGTCCTCGGCGGCGTGAGACGGCGGTGTTGGAGGAGAACTAGCAAGACGCTGTTGGCGATGTGTGTGAGTAAGTGTGTCTACGAGAGCGGTCGAGGTTGGGCGAGTGTTGTTGAAAGTGGAAAAAATAGAACCAGTCGCGGGGTTGAGTGGACGTTCTGGTGTGGTCGCCTCTTTGTGTTTCTATGGCTTGGCCTTGGTTTGCAGTGGTGGATGGTGGTGGCGTGGTGGTGTGGCGTGTGAATAGTGGTGAGTCGGAAAAAATAAAAAGGCCAGCGTCGGCTTTAGGTCGTATTCTAGCGCGGACCGATTTTAAGGGTACCTATGTACCAGTGGTATCCAGCAATGGAAGGCAAAGACAGCCTTGCCAACTTGTCAAGGTTGAATCGCCAATGGGGCAGCCAGCACAAGGAACAAGAGCAGAAACCGAGGAAGAAAAGTCTTGGGGTTTGAGTGTGGTGGAGGAGGGGAGGGCAGAGTGCGAGGAGGCGAAGGGGAGGTGGTGGTTTTATGAAGACGAGTCGTGGGTTTTGTCTGACAAGTGGGAGGACCCCGTCGTCAGTCAGTCAGTCAGTCAGTCCCTGTACGGACTCTTGGGCCGTGTCAAGGTGTGGAAATAGCGGGTGATGGCGGTCAGGTGGTGACAATGTGGTGTGCCTGCGCCAGTCTAGTGGAGTCCTGGCTGTGTTAGCGGACACACGGCATCGAAGCAGGACGGAAGATGTGGTCAGTGATGGGATGAAATGAATTCATAATGACGAGTCAAATCAAAGAAGAAGAAGAAGAAGAATTTACCTAGCTTTGCAGACCGTTGTGCTGAATATTGGCTGGTAATGATAGGTACGGTACTTAAACGTCTCATCTCCAGTCCCCGAGGCTAGGGCTAGTTTGCACCGCTAACGCCGCCCGGAATGCGAGGCCGCTGCCAAAACGAAGTAAAAAAGCAGTAGCATCTGGGGGTGGCGCTACGGACCTATTTAGTATTACTTCCTTTTCTCTTCCTTGCTGTTCTTTTCTTCCAGGCCTTCCATCACGCCTCCACTCGCCCCAACCCCATTATTACCTATCATGTTGACAAACGAATTCATCACCATAGCCTCTGTATATAATTCATATATTTACTACTCTGTATGTTACGAAGGAATCCGTACATCCCCATCCTCCCGTGCATCCAGCTTGTACCCCTGCCTCTTGCCCCTTGCTCTTGTCTCGTCCAGCAATAAGCTTACTTGCCAGTCGACATGGGCATGAACCATCTGTGCTCACCTTGTCGGCGAATCAATCCAGACCGCCTACCAATTCCGCCTCGCTATTCGCCCACGCTGTCATGTGAGCCGTCCCGAGTCCCTGGAACCGTGACCGAGTACCGCCGCGTCCAGTCCCCCAGAACCAGGCGGAAAGCAAACATGGTCGATTTATTACTTGGTCTTGTTTTTATACAGCACCCCTCTCTACTCCGGATCCTGTGGCGCACCAACATCGTGGTCACCCCAGCCTCGGGCACGGCCCATCGTACCAGCAATAACTGAACCAAATTATTAGTCATGGAAACTCGCTGCCCTTGTCCTGTCTCAACATTTTTCAACTTGCATCATCGAGTCTCGTCTCTTCCTTGCTTCCTTCTGCTTGGCTACACGTGTGCACACCAACTGCCGTATCCGTACTTGTCTCACAGCTGTCCACCACCAACACCAACCTCAACAAACCAGGACAAGAAGCTCTCTCCAGATTGTCATTGCCAGTGTCTGCCATGTATCATTATTCATAGTTTCCAACGTCACACTAGCTAGCTCAGCCATCTCACTACCCCAGCTTCTTCTCCTCGTCACGCGCCCACCCCCCCGCCAACATCTCCCACGCCACCACCATCACTGCCGCATGTCGGCCCATCGGTTCTCACTCCTGCAACCTGCCTCGGATAATAACTACTCTGCATCATGTACATGTAGGCAGGACTCTGCTGCAGCCTACCTTGTCATTTTTCTTTCAACAGTCTTGTGTGATATAATTCATGCTATCACACATGATCCTATAGTACACGTCACTCCTTCAAAATGGTTGCACTCCTGCCCCGTCCACCAACTTGCCCACATCATCATCCCGCTCCCCCTCAATCACCTTTCTGATCAGCGCGCCCCCAATCGACGGATCCCCCGGAGCCTCCCAAGTTCGTCGCCAAAGAACCCGACAACACGCTCCAGACCTTGACGCCGATATTCTTCAAATTCCAATACCACGCTAGCATCATCCTGTTGAGCGGCGACTTGCTCGACCGGTAGCCGTCGAGGTCAAGGCCAATGGCGTTTCCCATGCACCATTCGGCCGGCGGCGGCGGACCGGGCCCGTAGGTCGTTCCCATCATCTCGGGACTGCACCAGACCGCGTCAGCAAGAGCAGGCGCGCGTCCTTGGTCCGGGACTGTAACTTGAAGCAGAGGCTCGAATGTTCGTGTGAGATTGTGGGTGCCCGTGACGTCGGCGTCGAACATTTTGTCCCATGCCTCGCGCGTGGTAAACTCGCCTTCGACCATGTTCATATCCAGCGAGTAAACTAGAACGAGAATCAGTATTCGGTAGCGTGGACTGTGCATTTTGTCGTGACATACCGTCATTGTACCAAGACATCAATGTAGCCCAGACCAGTCTTGACCGTCTCGTAGGCTGCCTGTGTGGGCTCATCACTCGAGATGTCAATTGAATCACTTGAACCCCAGCTTCATTGGTTCCCTTTTCCACCGAACGACTTCCTAGAAGGACGTGGTATGCCCGTGCCGTCTGCCCAACCAGAGCACGCACCGTCTCGTAGCTAACGCCAAGTCTCAGCTCCCGTGATCAAGACGACAGTTTTTTCAGCCATAGTGTGGGAGGAATTGCAAAGTAGACTGTCACGAAATACGCAATGTGTTTGATTGAATTGGCATTACTTCGCTTTCAAGCACTCCCAAAGCCTTGTTTATAAGCTTCCTGTCCTCTTACAACAGCATTGTATAAACGACTTAGACCAGTCACCCAGCGGAAGCATCAGAGACGAATACGAGGTACGTAATAACTCCGTTTATTAGTTGACGGCAACCCAGCCCAGAGCACCGTCAACCAGCAAAGGCCGTGGCAACACCGTGGTTACACGGCCTCGTGCACCAAGTCCGGCCGCTAATAGTTGGCCCCTCACATCTCGTGCAGCCGAGTTCGGCTCCGTGGCGTTGGGCGGGTCATTCGTCATTCATCAGGCTTGGGACAGCACCCCAGGTCTTTGCAGCGTGCCATCACCTTGACTCGTTCAATGTGTCTCCTTGCCCGATGACGCACAGCACAATGGCCGTTGCACGATTGTTTGCCAGAAAGCAGCTCAGCGATGCAATCAATACATGGCGTCAGCTCGCCTCTCCCGAGTCGCACCATCATAGGACGCCTGACAGCAGCACTGGGCAGTCCGCGCTGGCGTCGCCTGGCGGAAAAAGCAGGCGTGGTCACAAGACCTTTTTTACTTTTTGGCACAATTTGTGACCAAGCTCCTCCCTTCCAAACCTCACGATGTTTTTTGGCGTGCGTTGGTGGACACCCGTCACACACCCCTCAATTCTAGACTCCGACTCGTACAAAGGTATGCAAACTGCACGCTGGCCCAGAGTGATTCAGCCACCAAAAAAAGAACACGACAAACGACAACACAATTGTGCATTCCCTTCCAATGGCTTTCTGCGCAATTCGCATGGCCACTTTCTTCCATGTTATGTACACAGCAATGTCCCGTACACCCCCCCCCCCCTTCGTGTTCTAGGATGCCCCATCGGCAGCCGCCGACCCCGAAAACAATGCCTCCCCCAACCTACCTAACCCAGCGCACTAACAATATCTAGGTAATAAATCGTGAACAAGTCAATCCAATGCAACACGCCAAAAGGAATCCAAGTTCCGAGTTAGCCTGCCCCGTAATTCCTCTTGCCAATATTCACCGCCTCTGGCAGTGATGAGCGACGCCGAAGCCAACCGCGTACATACTGGAAGAAACAACCAGCAACCTCCTCCGCGTGGGCGAGGGCGGGGTTGATCGGCCAATTCGCGCCGTCGACAGAACCCGCTTAGCACAAAACTCAAGTAATAGCAATGTCAAAAGACTGCTTTTGCTGAGGACGTGGCTATTTTCAATTGATCCGCGGCTTCTGGCTACCCCTCATTTCAGCAGGCACCAAGGGGCTTTTGTTTTAGGTAACTGATTCCTGCCTAGTACTCCGTACTAACAGCCCACTTGTTCCAATTCCAGGCCTGACGAACACCACCCCACGAGATCCGATGAGCTGAGATGAGTGTGGTGGCCTCTAATAGCATCAATGCACACCCCGGTCTCACAAATGCTGAAAGCTGTTGACAAGTTTGGGGGAAAGCGTGGCCGTTCAGCCGCGAGCGCTGCCCACCCACACTGTGCGTGTTGTGCACTTTTGTGGCGTGGTATGCGAATCTCAATATTCTACCTTGGACTTCCAGCAAGAAGCATGAATAGTATAATAAATTACAGTATAAGAACCATAACTACTCGTCCACCACTCCGATTCCTGGCAAAAGCTAGCCGATCAGCTCCAAAAATGACAGGTAGAAGCGTTGTGGCGTCTCGTAGTATTGGTGTCCCCCCCCCCCCCAAAAAGGTGATATTTGCCCGCCCCTGGTAGGAATCTCGATATGATATATTTATAGACTTGAAGCTTTCCTCTTGCTTGAGCCTTCTGGATACGGTGCCGACGGCGCGGAGAATAATGTCTGCCTTTACATGTGCTTCAGGGAGGTAAGCTTGTGCTGCTTGCGAGCTTGGCCGTCGCTTGCAGTCAACTATTGCGTCTGCCAGTATCGCAACGCCCTCGGCGCCTGCATTCTGGCCAGCACGACTTGGAGGAACAGACGTGCGCAAGCCCATGGCTCGTTGATTTGTCCTCTCATGGCTACATGATGAGGCTGGCAGTGCCGCAGCATCTTGACAACTGCCCTCGGAACAACAAAAGACACACCAAGCTGACATGCGACGAGGTTTTTTTTTTTCCTTTGTGCCCCGTGTTTGGATGTAATTCGTGTCAAATTCAGTGACCTAGTTGATCTATGTTCATCATCTCGCTTCTATAGCAAAACACACAATCGCATTTCCCTTCGTCAACAGGTCCATCATGCAAGCTGAGCGACCAGAGAAAGCAGGCCGAATATGTGTCAATGTAAAAATCCGGAATAAAACGCAAAACGTGCAAAACGCAACCCATCCAGAAATCCCAAACAACTTTCTGTGTAAAAAAAAAAGGACTCCAAAAAGGACGTGTCGGTGGTGTCCCTTTGACTTTTCGATGTCGCCAGCATGCTCGACCCGTCGTATGCTCCGTTGTCTGGTCTCTCCCTCGCCGTGATGCAAGACGTAACTTCTTTTCCCCCCTCATGCCCGCATTTCCAATCATGCCCAGCACGCTCCTCAATCCATATCCATCCCATCCTCCTCGACGCCGCCGTCCTCGCGCACGCGCAGCCTGCGCTTCTCTGTGCCAAACGCCTTGACCTTGTAACCCCTCGTCGCGCGCTCCTCTTCGGCTTCCACATCCACGTCCTCGCCCGCCGCCGCCATCTCCGCCAGCCGCTTCTTCTCACTCCCGCGCATGCGCGGCAGCAGGTGCTCATTCTCCGCCACGAGCTTGCGGGCGTCGGCGAGCGTGCGCGCGCGCTTGCCGGCCATGCGCTTCTTGTAAAAGACGCGCTCGCGGCGCTGGCGGATGGCGCTGACGCGCTGCATGGCGTTGAGCGTGCGCGCCACCAGGTCCCGGTCGTAGCGGACGGGCTCGTTGCGGCGCTGGCCAAAGAGGAGCGTGCTGTCGACGACCATTTCCTTGCCGGCGTTGCGGCGGTACGCCTTGGTCCACTTGAGCTTGCGCGGGTTGCGCTTCATCTTGAAGTTGCGGTGGCACTTGGATCGGCAGAAGCGAAATGATTTTCCTGTGGGAGGGTAGGTAGATCACTGGTCAGTAACGCTCATGAGGCGGCTATTGTTTTCTGTGCAGGAAGAATCTTAGACAAGAAGCTCCGACTTAGAGATTCCTTACCGTCATTTCGTACAAAGGTAATACCCTTGGACGGATATGAGGGCCGTCCGCAGAACGAGCAATCTTCGATACTGTAAATGTTCAGTAAGTACAATGTACTTCCGCGGTCCAAATTTGACGACGTTTTCGGCAAATCAAGACTCTATTCTCATTGATTGCGACATACCGCATCTTGTCTGTACCTCGGCCGTCTCTTTGTTTCCGACTGGGGGTTTTCTGTCCCAAAATGTGCTTTTCGCCGCCGATGGTACCAATGCAGTCCATCACCGAGCCTCTGCCACTTTTTTTTTTCTGCCGCCTTAGTCATCATAGTCACCGCTCAGCTGTTTTTCCAGAGTATGTAATTTGTAGCTCCTGGCCCCCACTTCGATCAAGCAGTAAAAGCGGTAATAAATGGGTCTAAGGTCGCCCATGACAGGTTCGTACCCTAAAGCCGTCTAAGAATCTAAGAGTCGTGTCCGTATTTTGGAGGTTCTGGTATATAACTAAAGGGAGACTGCATACAGATGTACTCTTTCTTCGGGGATAGTTGGGGTTCTGGTCCTCAAAGAGCCTATTGCTGCTCTGGTGTTCAAGTGCAACATTTCGCGCTTACCAACAAGCTCTTTTGACTGTCTCCGAATCAAGAAGCTAAAGTCACAACTAAAACGAACCATCTGCCCCATCTGCCATGCCAAACATCATATTCAAACACTACCATGCTATGTTCTGGTTGTCTCAAGTCCATTAAACAACAAAAATCCGCCAAAAACCTGCCGCCCCAAAAACCCCCAATAAAGTCATGAGAAGAAATGACCCCCAATAAAAAAGCCTGCAATTCCGTCAACGCCTTGTTATTCATGCTCAGTTGTTTGAAAAGACATCACTTCAACAAATCCGAGTAAATCATCGCTAGCGCCTGCTATATTTCCATGGGCAACAATTCAACCCTTGCGCCCGGCCTTTCTGCTGCGCCCCCTTCTCTATCGAGTGCTAACTTTTTTACCGGCCAATCTGAGTCGTTCTTTGCAGTCTTCGCAGTACCATTTTGCTAGACAAGCTGTCAGTTATACGCAGAGTCTCGTTGTCAACGGGGCACACATACTTTTAGAACCGGGTGCGACCTTGAGGCCGACACAATCCAAATGGAACCATTCTCGAGTGCAGTCATCCGAGTCACAGGCCACCATTTCGCCATAGCTAACACTATTGCAGTAGCAATAAGTTGGCTCATCACCATCAATATCGCCTTCGTCCTCCTCTTGCATGCTGCTGGTTGCGTCATCGTCGGCGGCCTGTTGTGCAACGAGAAGGGTTGTGCTGCCCTTGCGATGAGACTTCTTAGCGCCCTCGTTTCGCGCCCTCGAAGCTCGCGCAGCGGCGGCATCCTGGAATGTCGCGAGCGCTGGCGTCGACGGTTTGCTTGCTCTGCCGCTCTTGGTGGTAACAGTGGCAGGCTGCGGTAGTGATGGTGCTGACTCGGCCTTAATCTCAGGAGGTTCCACTCTGGACTCTTTCTTGGGAGCAGCGGGGGGAGCAGCTGTAGGAATACTATCCTGTTTGTCGTGCTTGTCGCTGTCCTTCTTGCTAGGCTCGCTCTTGATGGGCAAAGGAACTTCAGTTATGGTGGTAGCCTTCTCGGTAGCGGCATCTGGCTTGTCCGCAATGCTGCCATTTGCGACCCTTGATGTGACAGATGGGCGTCGAGCTTTGCCGTTCTCCGAGGTAGAGTTGATGGAGTTTTGGCGGGCTCGAGAGGATGCAGGTCGAGGCGCGCTTGTTGGTGCTGGTGATGCCCCAGTCATTGGTTCTGCGATGGTGTGAACAACCGGCGAGGATGTCGTGGACGAGGTCTTGGCAGAAGTAGCGGGCCTGCATACGTTGTTAGCGAATTGGACTCAAGAAAGTCTTGGTATTGGACGTACTTTTTCTTGTTCGGCGCGCTTCCTGTTGGTAGAGCGCGACGCTTTTTGGCTCCCTCGGGAGCAGGAGTTCCTCGGGGGCTACCGGCTTTGGCTTTGGAAGCCGTGCTTCCAAGTGCAGAGCTGATTGTTCTCTCCATAGGAATACCTCCGATAGCAGCCTTTTCCGTCTTGCGCCTCTTTGAAGGATTCCCATTTGTGGGACCAGGGATACCGAGGCCAACGTGATCACCGTCTTCAGCTTTTCTAGCCTTGCTGGAAGGCTTCTTTTCGCGTGGGCCGTCCAGCTCTGTGCCATGATTGGCATTTCTCATATTCTTCTTGGCTTGGACAGCTTGCTTTCTGGCGTCACTCCGAGCCGCAGCCTCGTCGGCCAAAGCTTGAGCAGCGGCGGAAATCGCAGCGGCGCCATCGCGCCGAGCTCGCTCGAAACTGGACTTGCCTCCCCGATTCTCGGGATACGCCCAGTGCGTTGCGCTGCCCCATTTCGCCTCGTTGCTGAACTCGTTTTCGAGGTAGGGCCAGACATCCTCGACGCGAGCCAGCTGGTGCTGGAGAGCCTCATTGGCGGTCGAGATGACGTGGTTCTTTTCTTCAAGCGACACAAGCATTTCCTGTATTTTGAAAGCTGCTTGGCGGAAAATCTGTCGTCTCGGAATATTGGAAGGGTCAAAAACACCGGCAGTGGTGCTGGGCTCGTCGGGCGAGGCTGGGGCCAGAGAGCTGGTTTGAGCGGCGCCAGTAGAGCTCCCTTGGGCACTCGTTGTGGCGAAAGTCAGCACAGAAGAGGTGGCAGCTTCAATCTGGGCTTGAGGGCTGGGACGAGAGGACTGCCTCGCGGCAGAGACGAGCTTGAAGAGTTGCTCTTGAGGAGCGAAAACCTTGGCGTCAACCTCTTTCAGTAGTGTAAAGTGACGGACCAGTTCTTTCGGAAGAGCAGTCATTGTATCCGCAAAATGCGTTATCGCAGGGAAGATGTCGATGGGCTGGTCGCCGACTGGGCGAGAGGCGGGCGGCTCTCTGGTGCCCACACGGCCGGCATTGATGGAGCTTCGTGGGGGATTCGTGCGAGTCTGTCGAACGGGTTGTGACCTGCGATGCGATGAGGCCTCGGCCGGTGCGAGCTTGGCCGACTTCATTGTAACTGTTGCCGTCGCTGAGGCTGTGGCTGTGGCGGCAAAAACGAGGACGAGAGCAAGAGGACGAGAACGAGCGCGACCGAGCGAGGGGTGTCGTGAGAAACGATGGCTGTGAAGCGACAACTATGGGTTGCAGAGAGAAATGACCATAAATCTGAAATCTCCTAGGCCATGGCCCTCAGGACGGTGCTGCAGCAGCTGGGCAGAACGTTGACGGTGGTTTTGGGAGCGAAAGAAATGGGAGAATGCGATGACGGCGGGTGCGAAGTTCGCTCGCGAAATTTGGAGGCAGGTGCAGCGACACTGCTGGCAGCGGGTTAGCGACGGGATGCAACTACCTGGTAAGGACCTTTCAGATACATCGAATAATGTTTGGGACCGGCTTGGGGAGTTTCTGCGGAGGTACCACCGAGGTACCCAGTCATCTGTACCTACCTAGGTCGGCGCTATACTGCCAATCCCCGCTAAGCTGGGGAGGCTGCGAAAGCCGAGTTGGGCGTGGCTTGACGGAGACCTCCAGGCCGTGACAAGTTGGGAAAATGCATCAATGGGTGCCTCTTGAAGTTATGGTATGAATGGGATGCATGTAGGAAAATAGTTAACGGGTTGGGAAGCTCAGCACATGGAATCAGGGCAGTAGCCGCGGGATGTAAATATACAATTGCAAACAAAATGTAAGCTTAGTTGGCCGTGTCGAGAGTAGGTGCAGATTCAGCTCATCTATGCTAGCCGCCTGCAAATATCACGCTTCGGGTATATCTATCAATGTCTATTCCATCGCCCTGCGCACCTTGTTGCCCTTGATCTGCACCGAGCCGTCCCTGGCTCTCTGCTTCTGCCGCCACTGCCACTCGAGCAGAACAAAGACGAAATGCTGCAGGTCAAAATCTGGCCAGAAGCACTTGAGAAAGAAGATTTGTGTATCCTGGTGACATTGCCAGAGCATAAAGTCACTGAGACGCTCCACACCACTGGTGCGAACAAAGACATCCAGAGGCGGATCCGGCGCCGTGTACATGTGGCTGTCGAGAGTATCAGCCGTAATCGATTCGGGATTGGGGAGGACCGACAAGTCGGCGGAGCTTTTTCTTGCGCGGACACGGGGCTGGGGTGAGTCTGGCAGGAGCGTTGAAGAAGAGTCGCCGGTATCACCGTCGAGGTCCTTGTCAGCGTCGCCCTCGGCACGGTCGTCGGGCGAGGCATCGCGGATGGTCGGAAGCGTGTCGCGATCGTCATACTGGGAAGAAAGAACCTTTTGGCGGATACGCGAAGGCGAAAAAGGAGTATTTTTAGGAGGAGGCGGGTGGAGGAAGTCTTGGACGGTCTCGCGGATGGCGGTGGTGATTTCGGCTCGAGAGGTGTAAGGGAAGCAGATATTCAGCACAGCCCTGGTCAGTGTTAGCATCAAGTGTGAAAAGCATATGAATGACGTGGGCGACATACTTGTTGTTATGCTTGGTTCGGGCAACTGCCTTGTCAACGACTTGCAGGACATCGTCGCGAATCATGTCGCGCTGGCCGAGGACGCGAACACAGGCGCCGTAGCGGTCGAGAATATCTCCATAGGTAGTGAGCTGCTCAAGCTTGACCTTGGCAAGCTGCATGAGACCTTCCACTTCGTATTTGGGGCGGTTAAAGTTTTCAATGCTGAATGCATATACGGTGACGACCTTGACGCCACACTTGTAGCAAATTTCCATGATCTGACGAGGCGAAAGTTAGCCGAAAGGCGGGGGTAGCAGGTAACCGCAACGGCCAAAACTCACTCTGGCAAGTGCTTCGAATCCGCGGTGATGGCCCTCGACGGTTTCCATTCGATGGGTTCGAGCATAGCGCCTGTTGCCGTCCATCTCGAAGGCTACATGCTGCGGGACGGGGCCCTGCTTCAGAGCGCCGATCAAGAGCTCGCGTAGCTGGTTAATGGCCCACTCTCCCGGGGGAGACTCGAGAATCAGTCTGCGAAGCAGCGAAGCAGCGCTGGCCATGGTGGTCGGGAGCTGCGGATGTGGCGGGCGGGTAGAGACGAATAATTAGGGAGGATAAACGGCGGAATAGAAGACGAGAAATTGGCGCCGGAAAGGAGGCCGGGAGAGCAGAGGAGAAACAGACAAGGAAACAAAGGCAGGCGCGATGATATTAGTTGGATGCAGAGGAAAAGAAAGATGCGCTGAGCATGGTGGCCTGAAGAGGTCGGTGGCAGTGAGTATGACGAGGTGACAGGGAAAAAGCCACGACGACCAGTGGCGAAGCGAACGAAGCTGAAGGCCTTCACAAGCCAGCCGGGGAGCCAGCGCAGCCAAGCCACACACATAGCGACATGGGGCCGCCCTGTGTATCTGCGGCGGTGCTCGAGACGAGAGTAGGCTTTATTAGAAGGCTAAACGGTCATGTATGACATGCACCCGTGGAGATACCTCCACCTGGTAATTGGCTACAAAAGTACAATGCTCAAAGAAAGAAAATATTTGGGCGACAAGCCAGAGTACTGCCATGTTTTGGCAGGTAGGTCGACATAGGCAAATAATACGTGGCTTGGGATACAAGGCGCCAGCTTGGGACTTGGCTGGTGAGGCTTGGCTGTAGCCACAGCTGCGTCTAAAAAAAGAAACGAGGAAAAGGATTACAGCAAAATTAGGTGGTATACTGCAGCACATGAATACTTTGTGTGTTTTTTTACGATGCTCCCACAAAACAGGCTTAGATAATAGGTAGGTTGACGAGGAATATGCCGTCAGACCCCCGTATAGGTAGGTACTAAGGTACACAGTGGCCTAGACAAGGCACCACCCATGCACCAGCAGCCCAGTGCGCGAGTGGCTGCATACATCCCGTTGGGGAGCCATCGTCATCGATCGCCTGGACGAGCCAACAGCTCCATGTCTCATGTACTCCGTACAATATGCAGATTCCCAACGTAAGGTGAAAAAGGAAACAAAAAAACAAACAAACAGAATATATAGAACCGAGTATGCGTGAATAACCCACCCTACCGTACTTTTCAAGCTCTGCCCCGTCACTTGTGTGCAGTTCGTCGGGTAGCGTTGCAAGGTAGGTACCTAGGTACCTAGAAGCAGCCTCATTACCATCGATAACTTAGTACCTCATACCTAACCGCTTCTGTTATCAGCCACTCCCCACTGGCTACACCCAAGTTAGCTCGACGGATCACCCCAAAAGTTGCCCCGCCACTTCGATAAGCCGCAACCACCTACCTACCTACTCAACTTCTCGTCTCTACTTCTACCCGCGTTGCTCTCCAGCACACATCCTGTTCCTTCCAATTGACCGCCCCTGTAACGAGCCATGGTTGTTTTCGACGGCCACGAGTACCTCACCGAAGAAGAGCGCCGCCTCAAGGAAGACCGCGAGCGCAAGCGTTACTGGAAGAAATGGGGTCCCTACGTCGCCGAACGACAGTGGGCTACTGGTACGCATAAAATCACCGCCTTAAAAAACCCTTACCGGATAACTCGCAGTCTCTAACACTTCGCAGTACGAGAGGATTACAGTCACGATGGTGATGCTTGGGGCCGTATGTTTGACCGACACCCCGCAGCTTCCGGCCCATCTAACGCTTCTTAGACTTTCCCCACGAACATGCCCGGTCACGAGCCTTTCGCTGGGGTGAGGATGGCATCGCCGGTGTCTCCGATACACATGGCTGGCAGAATATTGGATTTAGCTTTTGGAACGAAAAGGAGTAGGCTGCTTCTCTCCCCACTACGCAGTTCCGTTGGCCGATTAACACCCTACAGTGACTTTCTGAAAGAACGTCTTTTCGGCCTCTCCAATCCTCAGGGTAATCACGGCGAGAGCGTCAAGGAAGCTCATTTCCATGTCGACAATACACCTGTATGCCCTCCTATCCTTCAACTTACCATCACAAAGCTAACTAGCGCCTATAGACTGTATGAAACCCATCGAGCTGCCTCTCCGCAACTGCTAACATTCGCTAGCATTCCTACATGAAGTTTCTATATAAATATCCTCAAAAAGCCTTCCCCTACGAAGAACTTATTAAAGAAAACGCGAAGAGATCGAAAGAAGACAAGGAATACCAAATCATTGACACGGACGCATTTGATGAAGACCGCTACTGGGATATTTTTATTGAAACGGCAAAGGAGGAAAACGACCCCGATGAGCTCCTCTTCCGAATCACAGCATGGAACCGGGGTCCTGACCCTGCGCCGCTTCACATTATTCCCCAAGTCTGGTTTCGCAACACGTGGAGCTGGGGTATCGAGCCCCCGGAGAAAAAGCCCACCATGACAGCCAATTCCGAGCTTTCTGCCACTTCTAATCACTGGAGCCTCGGTCAAAGACATCTGACACTCTCGCCCTCTCCTGGTGTTGGATCGACTGGCGAAGATGTTCTGCCAGAAATGCTATTCACTGAAAACGAAACAAACGTCAAGGTTTTGTACGATCAGAAGAACACACAGCCTTTTGTCAAAGACGGATTCCACCGCTATATCGTGAACGGCGAGAAGGACGCTGTCAACCCTGCGCGAACTGGTACGAAGTGTGCCGCTTGGTTCAGCTTCAACGAGGACGGGGGTGTGAACCCCGGTGAATGTGCAGGTCAGTAACGCGCTGAAAGCGTACGTGCTGCAAACCACTAATGACCTACAGTCGTTCGCTTCCGATTTTCCAAAAAAGATCAGAGCTATCTCGATGAAGAGGAATTCGACAATGTGATTGAAAAGCGTAAAGAGGAGGCTGACGAGTTCTACTACCGCCTGAGCCCGCTGCCCATGACTGATGACTTGCGAAGTGTCCAGCGACAGGCCTTCTCGGGTATGATGTGGACTAAACAACATTATCTCTTCATCTGGGATCAATGGGCCAATGGTGATCCCGCCTCGCCCCCACCACCGCCAGAGAGACAGTCAATCCGCAACACCCAATGGCGTCACATGTACTGCGACGACATTTTGTCCATGCCTGACTCGTGGGAATATCCGTTCTTCGCTGCATGGGACAGCGCCTTCCACTGTATTCCTTTGGCCATGATAGATCCCGAATTCGCCAAGAAGCAGCTCGATCTTTTTACCAGAGAATGGTACTGCCACCCCAACGGCCAGTTGCCGGCGTGAGTACTCATCCTTGTGTGTTCCCTCGCTTCAATACTAACCATACCCAGCTACGAATGGAACTTCAGCGATGTAAACCCGCCTGTACATGCCTGGGCTACGTTCCGCACGTTCAAGATTGAGCGCAAACTCTATGGTCGCCAGGACTTGGACTTCTTGGAGCGTGTATTTCAAAAGCTGCTCATTAACTTTACTTGGTGGGTAAACCGGAAAGACACGGACGGCAAAAACGTCTTCGAGGGTGGCTTTCTCGGCCTCGACAATATTGGTCTGTTCAACCGCTCAGAGCCCTTACCTACGGGCGGTGTGCTAGAGCAAGCTGACAGCACGGGCTGGATGGCGTTCTACTGTCTGTCCATGCTCAACATTGCGCTTGAGCTGGCCAAGCATCGGCGAATCTACGAGGATATTGCATCCAAATTCTTTGAGCATTTCATTCTTATCAGTGATGCCATGACGTTCAAAGGAGGCAACAAGGGTGAGCAGTCTTTGTGGAATGATGAAGACGGCTTCTACTACGATGCCATCTCCTGGGGCGGTCCGCACATTCAACAGTTGCCCGTACGTTCGCTCGTCGGACTCATCCCCCTATATGCCACAACGACGTTGGAGCCGGAACTCATGAATCAACTGCCGTCGTTCCGTAAGCGTGTCGAATGGTTCATCCACAACCGATTGGATGTCGCTGAGCGAAACATGGCCAGTATCAGAAAGAGAGGAAAGGGCAACAGAATCCTTCTCTCAATTGTCAGTAAGGATCGCCTGGAAAAGATTCTGAAGCGCATGCTGGACGAGGATGAGTTCTTCAGCGACCACGGCATTCGGTCTCTGTCCAAATTCCACAAAGACCACCCCTTCTCCATGGACGTCAACGGGCAAGTCTTCAAGGTCGGCTACGTCCCCGGCGACTCGGACAGCGGCCTCTTTGGCGGCAACAGCAACTGGAGAGGGCCAATCTGGCTGTGCGTTAACTTTCTCCTGGTCGAGTCTCTGCAGAGATTCTATCTCTTCTACGGACCCGAATTCCAAGTCGAATGCCCGACTGGCAGTGGTGACTACATGCACCTGGGCAAGGTATCAGAAGAGATTCAACACCGTCTGCAGCATTTGTTTGCACGCACAGATGACGGCAGAAGAAGCGTCAATGCTGGAAACGACATGCTCGACTTTGACGAGAATTGGAAAGACTATCTCTGGTTCCACGAGTTCTTTGACGGTGACACTGGACGCGGTCTCGGCGCCAGTCACCAGACGGGCTGGACCGGACTGATTGCCAGAATGATCCACGATACTGGGTAGGTACGCTCCATCAAATTGATTGCAAGAACAGAGACTAACCGTCCCCCCTACTAGTGTCAGCTGTCGTCTCCCGCAGACGCCGCGCACGCCGTCCGTCGGCATGGCACACTACTTTGACGACGTGTTCCACCGCACCGTCGAGGTCGGCGTGCCGCAGTCCCCGCGCATGCACCGCATCCGCCGCTCCTCGACGGCGCGCTCCATTGGCGCCCGCAGCGACTTTGTCATCGACGACCACGACGACGGCCGCTCCGACGGCACCGCGTCCGTCGGGGAAGGTATCATCCTGACCCACGGCGCCGGCTTGACCCGCGAAAAGACCGAGGCCGACTCCCACATGCACGCCTACATCTCGGACCAGCTGAGCCGCTACACCGACGAGATGCGCTCAGACCGCTTCTCACACGCCGACGAGTTTGAGCCGTCGGCAAATGGAAACGGACAGGGCAGCAGCAGTGGTCAGTAGCTGCGGCTGTTCGTTGTGTGAGTGAGTTTGTGTGAAAAAGCAAAACTGTGTCGAGGAGCTGTAGGGGTGAGCAATATGCATTGTACAAAGAGAGCATATCTAGAACCGATAGAATAAAATATAGTCACCTGCATCATTCGTCAGCCATAGTCAGCCGTCTTGACACGCTGCTATCCTTGGTGACTTGGCAACGTCGATGTGCCCTTGCCCAGCTAGTCCGTACACAGCACGTCCCATCATACGGCAAATCCGTAGCCTTGCAACAGCAAATAGACAAGAGGTGGAACAAACGAGGTAAAAAAATTGCTCTCTATTTTCACATGCAAAGCCATCTCCATGCTCTATCGACAGCTTTCATACACGACAAGATCACCTCCCCGAGGTACGGCAGAGGCTCTGTCCAATAACAAACAAACAAGGGTGTGTGTGATGTAACAAAGAAAAATTATTCTGGGTGCAGAGAAGAGCTTGTTCCTCTTGCGACCCAATCTTCACTCCCCCAGTCTCCCCCATTCTTCTTCCCTCTCCGTCCAAGCCCTCACGGTAGTTTTCCAGCACCAAATAAGGAATCCCGTCAAAAAAGTACCGCTTTCGAGGACATAGTTTCCGCTCCCTGAAAAAAAGAAAGATGAGGGACACTTGGGGCGTAGATGCAGTTTGAGGCTTATGGCGTGGTTCGAAAATTTCCCTCGTCCCTTTCTTTCCATGGAAATCGTGTGAATTTACAAGCTGTCGGTGAGAACCTTGTTCATCTTGGCGATGCGGGAGGAGACGCTGAGGTCAATGGTACGGTCGCCGACCTCGACGACGAGGCCGCCAATGATGTCCGAGTTGACCTCGTTGGTGACCTTGAGCTTCTTGCCGGCGCCGACGTACGCCGACTTGCTGACGGCGGTCTCGAGCTTGGCGAGGGTCTTGGTGTCGAGGGGCTGAAAAAAAAGGAACACGTTAGCAATTGCTTGCGTCGTTGCATTAAGGGTTTTTCCCCCGCAATTTCAGGCGTTTTTGCATCTTTTACCTGGGCAGAGGTGACGGTCATCTCAACCTCACCGCGCGAGGCCGAGATGATCTGGTTAAACTTTTGGCAGACGCCCTGGAGGAAGCCGAGTCGGTTGTTCTCGGCGAGGACCTCGAGGAAGTTCTTGATGGTGGCGCCGCCGCCGCCGGCCTGCTTGACGAGCTCGGCGACAATGGCCGACTTGTCCTCGGCGCTGAGGGTAGGGGTGGCGAGGATGCGGTTGAGCTTGACGTCCTTGTCGAAAATGGCACCGAGCGTAGCCAGGGCCTTGGCCGTAGGGTCCAGAGTCGAGGTCTTGGCAGCAGCCGTGTACTAAGAAAAAAAAACGCCTTCGTGTTAGCCATTGCGAGCCTTCTCCGTCACTTGTTCGTCTCCGAGCGGGCCATCGAGGTGGAGTGAGCGGTATTCATGCTTCTTCACCGCGCAAGCGGGTGTCCCCCTCAATGGCATCACATCCAATGGCATCACATCCAATGGGCAGACATCTTCTTGCAGATCCGGACTGGTAGACGTACGAGAGCGGTGGCGTAGGTGCCGTCAATGCCAAACACCTGCACGGGGGGCTTGACATCGTTGGCGGCGGCCGCGGCAAAAGTGCGCACGGGGCCGGCGGCGACGAGGCGACGGGGAGCGGCGACGCGCGCGGCGCGGAGGACCTGGCGGGAGAACATGGCGACGGAGAGTCGAATTGGCACGAATTTCGATATGCCGGGTCGGTTTTCAGAGGGGGGGAAGGTTGTCGGCAAGCAGGGTGTGGGCTGAACTGGAGGTTTGAGAGCTTTCGGTGGTATGAGGTTTCTCCGGGCAATTTCGAAAACTGGATGCCTGACGAGGCACCAAACGGGTTAGGTAATCCGACGACAACCCGCGCGTGTTTTTGTTGGCGGTTGGACGCCAAGATGAATACAATGTAAAAAAAAGGTCTACAGCAAACCGGAGTTGAGTTGCTTTTCCAAATCAAATCCAAAAATATAAATAAAATTGAGAAATCGGAGCAAAAATTGAAACCAGGACAAAAAGAAACGCTTCTGAGCGGGTATTGGACAAACGGGGAATCGAACCCCGGACCACTCCCAATCGCTGGATCCGCTGTAAAGCTGATGCTAAGGGAGTATTATACCACTAAACCATTCGCCCAGTTGCTCAGAGGCGTTGTTCATCTCTGAACGAAGACCTCAGCTTCTTATTTGTGTATAATAACTATTTCCAAGACCCCATGCAACGACATAAGCATCTACATCACACTAATCGTCGCATTTGCTTAAATCTTGTCGCGAATACGATGCATTCTACAAACTGATCTTTCGGCCCTGCAAAAGAAACATACCAGACCCGCAAACAGCATGTGCAAATAATAATCCAACCGAAGAACGCCATTCTGTGAGCATCTCTTTCCAATCACCCAGACCAAAGCCACCACCGCTGGAGCCCATTAAAATTACAATCCTGTACCCGTCCATTATTTAATCGCTCTTCAGCATGCTATCAACCAGGTCGCCTAGAGGACCCCAGTAGTCGCGGCCACTGGCGAGGCTGTGCTCGTCGATAAACAGGACGTATTGCTTGAAGCTTGTGTTGAGATGAGGCTCCAGGCCAAGTTCGCGGATGACGGGATAGTGGTGACAGTAAATATGTGCGTAGACACGGTACATGCGCTTAAAGATCTGGCGAACCAGGGCTGGGAACGACTTGGGGAACGGGACGCCTGCGAGCAGAGTCGGTTAGCTATTTCTCTACCTCGTTTGACCGCGGGTAGACTTACCAATCTTGCTTGGTAACACTTGCTCGTTGTCGATATTGGCTTGGACCCACGTCATCAGCTGCTCGATGTATGCAGGTGCCGCCATCTTTGTGGGCTTCTTGTAGTTGTCGTTATCCTGCCAGAGGTATTCGAACCTGTACTTGTTAGCGAACATCGTCCCTCCTCAACGTCCACCTGCAACGTACTCGTCGGTGGCCTTCATTTCGGGACAGGACTGCGGGGAGCAGAACTCGGTAATTGCGCCGTAGAGCAGGTTAATCTGGTTGTAGAAGTCGACCACTGCCTATTGTCAGCCGAAATTCCCATACACATACCCACGGATCTAGACATCTTCTTACTGTTGACCGCGAGCCACTCATTTTCGTCCTCGCCCTCGGGAAGCTTGACAACCTTGCGGAGGCTGCCTCCGCCCAGGGTCACCTCGGCGTACTGGCGCAGCTGGTAGCTGGTAGCACCGCCCTTGCCGACGCGAGGCCGAAACTGGTTCTTTGCGCGCTGGTTGCTGACGTTCATGATGCGCGTGTTAGCCGTCTGCTTCTCGTCGCGCACGCTCTTGCTGGGCACGGCCAGCGACACGTCCGGCGAGTCTTCGTGGACAGCCACGGCGCCGTGGGAGTGGCCCGTCAAGAATCGAGCGATCGCGGCCATTGTATTATTGCGTATCTCGAGATGGATGGGCAGGAAGGGGAGGCAGAACGGCAGTAGGATAAAGGGCAGCAACTAACACTGTGGTGAGAAACTGGGCCATCGTGAGCGGGAGTGGTCCGTCGACCGGGGCTTTGTAGGCGTCGTTTAGTGGACGAGAAGCGACTCGAGGCTACATTCCAACGGTTAGCAGGGCAATCGGGCCGCTTTGTGGTGGTGGGAGGGGTAGGGTAGGTGGCGGCGAGCTTGCGTACAGGCTAAGGCGAACCAGGCTTATCTGGCGACTGGCTCGAGACTAAGAGGAAGAGGCTGTATTTTCTGGTGGTAAACCATGCGAATAGAAGATGCAGTGACGAGAGTGAGCAGGGCGAATTTTTGGCGGGGTTTGAGTCGGTGATGATGCTGGTGTAGAGTTTCCGTGTTTACTGGACTTCCAGATTGGGTTGGTTGCTGGGGCGCAGCTGTCGAGCCCCGCCAAATATGAGCTCTGACTCTGGCCGCCCTTGACATTTATTACAAACAACATACATTATCAGAAACAAAGCCTGGATGAGTAAAGGAAACCAGTTGAAGGCATTTCGCTCCAAATTTACCTGAAAACTTGGAAAATCGTCATTCTCTGCGCTAAATGAGCACTACATCAATAACCGCCTCACCTTTGGCCGTGGCCTCGATGCATCATCCCATGGATATGACAAGAGCATCTCGTCATGTCCATATGTAGGGTAACAACGAAAACGCAATCAACGGCACGGTGAATCTAACGTAGAGATGATAGTTTTGTGAATGCTAAAAAGGTCGGGAAAATGAAAGCAAAAGAGCCGAACTCCCAGCAAAATCTTACAAGACGCCACACATGATCTCTGTTGTCACACCCCCTTCAATGTAGCAAAGTAAAATACAACTGCCCTGGATCCTTCATTTTCTGTCATCGTATGGAAGAAAATGTTACCCCGGATTATCATCTTCCGCGGAATCCACGGCCTCTCCCACCACCTCTTCCACCACGACCACCTCTGCCACGCCCACCACCACGTCCTCGGCCTCTGCCACCCCCGTCAACGGGAGCAGGTCCACGACTTCTCCGCTCTTCTCTATCCTGCTCGCTAGAATCCCACAGGTTGGCCATGCCTAGAAGCTTACAGAACTCTGCCGTCTGCGGGTTGGTATATTCTTCAGGCTGATCTTGCACGATTGCGGGAGTACCCTTCTCGTACGGTGTCGCCGTCTGAAGAAAGTTCTCAGGAACTGCGAGCTTACCAGCCTTGACAATATTTTCTTCTACCCATTCTCTTTCTTTGTCAATGAGGGGAATATATTCCTCTTCGCCCAAGTCCGGAGGCACTTGGGATGCCGGGTCGCCAATGACAAGTCCGTTGTGAAATACTCGAGTGATGGCGAGCCATTCTGGGTCATATTCTAGACTGTAGCGAGGTTTCGATTCATTTGCCGGATATCGAAAAGACTCCTCCTTATTAAATGGGTGTATTTCACATAGTTGCAAGAACCGTCGACCAGGCAGACATTTATCAAGCGCAAGGAAGCGAACGTCGGTATTCGTGATGCCTGGCGGAACAGGTTGTCCAGGAGTGCTTTTGGGCCGCGGTGGTGGTTTTGCGAAGGAAGCTGGCAGCTGAGCTAATAACTCGTCGGAAACTTTGTTTGTTTCTGTTTGCTCCTCCTTGGAGCTGTCCTGGCCCTCTACTGCCACTGCTCCATTGGTGGGGAGAACGGCGACATCGTCGTCATCATTATCAAGATCCAAGTCGATTTCGTCCGGATTAGCATCTTGAGGCGGTTCTGCTACTGTGTCCTCTGTCGTATGTTCTGCCTGGTTCGCATCAACTTCCGGTTGCGCGCCGAAACTTTTCAAAGCGGCAAACTTGACATGCAAGTGGGCAGAAAACCAGTATGGTGGGCGGAGGCGGTTGAGAACATATTCTGCAGCCACATTCCCCAGCGTGCCATCAATGGACTCCTGACGAAAATCTCGCTTCTGTTTAAAGAGACGCTCCGAGTTGCCATGCCGCTCAATACCTCTGGGCCAGTCATGACTCAGGCCAATGTCAATCTGGGTGCGCAGCAGCAGCAGCTTGCGAATATCAATTTCTCGCACGTGGTAAAATGACCGCACATCATTGTCATTGAATGGGAGGCGTTCAAAATGAGGTTTTCTATAGTCAAAGCCCTTCCATATGCCAGACATGCCGGCGATGCGCAGGGGCCCGAATCGCACAACGTTGGCGGCGCCCATGTAGTAAATGTTGGGCGCCACCCAGCCGCCGTAGTAGAGCTCCCAGAGATGAGAGCTTGCCTCGTGGTTTCCACCAATGAAGATGGTGACATAGGGCGCCTTGCGAACGCCGGAATAGTAGTCGGGAAAGTCACCGAGCTCTCGGTACTTGACAGGGCACGCCATGACGGACAGGTCTTGCGCGTTGCGGACCGACTGCCATTGTCAGCCAATGCAGCCGAGAAACCAATGCTTGAGGCGGGGAAGGGGGCGGAAATACCTGGAAATCACCACCGATGATGAGGAGATCGACGGCATCCCACTTTCGCTCCTGGCAGGACCGCTCAACGGCGGCGTAGATGGCGTTGAGCGTACCATGTCCCTGCAGTCAATTAGCAAGCTGCCTGGGGAAGTAGAAGAACGGGATAGATACTCACGCATCCCTCGATGGCCACACGCACCCCACCTGATTCTAGAGTTGTTGTAGCCATGGCGAATGAGGACCGCTGCTCTGGACGGTTTGCTTGGAGCACGTTTTTCGCGTTCGAGGCACCAGAAGCGGAAGCACGTCTAGCGGCCGGTTTGGTGGATTCACGCGGCAGGTGCCACCGGGAGCAAACCTCCAGCACTTACAAAGACAATCTGATAAGTCAGTTAAAAATGCAAGGAAACTGCTGACGCAAAATTGTATGTAAATTATGAATGTTGCCATTCCATTCTGCCATGAAGCGCTCCATGACTAATGTTTGGTAATGATTACCACTGATTACCACGCTCGAGCCTGCTAATTATTAAAGCCTAAATACCCCAACCTTGAAACAACTACTAAGTTACTGAGTCTATTTCTACCCACCAACGGCTCACTGACAATCCGATTTCCGTTTCCTTTTCCATTGCCTCACTTCCACAAGCACAAAAAAAAAGAAGAAGAAAATATCCAAATACGCTGCAAAACCACCATCATGCCTGCCGCCGGAAAAACCATTGCCCTCATCATCGGCAGCACGCGCACGCCTCGCCTAGGTCCTCACATCCACAACTACATCAAGAGCGAGTACCTCGACGCTGTTGCCGCCAGCAGCCGCGTGGGCCTGGAAACCATTGACCTCGCCGACCACCGGCTGCCCATCTTTGATGAGCCGTCGCACCCCGCGGGCCGGCCCAAAGAGGACCCCACGGCCGCCTACGCGCACGAGCACACGCGGCGCTGGTCCGCCCTCGTCCGCCGCTACGACGGGTTTGTCTTCTTCACGCCCGAGTACAACGGCAGCGTGCCCGCGGGCCTCAAGACGGCCATCGACGCCCTCTTCTACGAGTGGGCCGGCAAGCCCGCCGGCATCGTGTCGTATGCCGGCCGCGGCGGCGCCTCGGTCGCCGGTCACCTCCGCACCGTGCTCGGCGTCGTCGGCCTCCGCGTCGTGCCGACCACGGCTGGCGTGCCCGCCAACGCCAAGACCCTGGCCAGCTTCGAGGCCGACGGCAAGCCCCGCGACGAGGACCTTGAGCGCTGGGCGGCGGCCACGGTGGCGGAGAACAGCAAGGCGCTGCTCGGCGAGATTATCGCCCAGCTGGATGAGCCCCAGACTCAGTAGAATCTCGTGCAAGGGGACGGCTCTTCCTAATGACACTAGCATTAGCGTAGATATATAGCTAAGCATGGAAATAGACTCGGACGATGGCGTAACCAGGTTTTATTCTGTGACTACAACGGCTGGGCCGACAGACCTCTCTGTGTCTTATGGTGCCGATTTGATGTAATAGCAGTAGCCTAGTCGATCACCGCTCAATAGCAGAGCAACACCGGATCGACCGAGAATAGACGCTTCCTCCGTCAACTCTTAATTCAAGCCGAGTACACACGCCGAATACGCCGGAAGAGAACGGGCGCAGTCACCACGACGGGCAGGAGGGCCGGTGGACTGCCAATCACAACACAAGACACTGTTCATACGCCATCATCTTCTTGTTTCTTGGCTTCTTGACTTTTTAGAAGAACAGCGCAACACAGTATGTGTTGCATGTTGTACAAAAGGCCCTATACTGCCACACTCAGTAGTCCAACCCTGCGAATGGCTACCAGCTCCGCGCTGGGGCATCCGACACGGCACACTCTTTGCGCAAACCCGGCGCCCACCCATCCCGAGCGAAATCAACTTAGCATGTGTCCGGAGTAGCTACGGGATTCCTCTTGGATATGCTGAACAGGTCCGGTACTTATCACTCCGAGGAACATCGCAAGGCTTGTCTGTGTGAGACACAGACTCTCCGCATTTCAATTTCGCTTTCGCCGTGGTTCGTTGGCGAATAGTAACATCTTGACACATGTAAGGCGAAATCATAAATGACCTGCACAATTCACTCGCTCGCTCTTTTCTTCTTCTCTCACCGGTTTCATGTCTGTCTCTCCTGTATAGTCCCTTCCGAGGCCATGCTGGTACCAGACAGGATAGGGTGGGTGTGGTGCCAAATGTGACAGGCCAACGTGGATGCAGCGAGGAAAATGGCACACGTTGCTACTACGCAAGAGGTCACCACTTTGCGACGTCGTCCAAGCTCAGACAGCTGGCCGGCGCGGTAAACTTTCGTCTCGTCAACCGGGCGGGAGCATGCATACCATGCATGGTGGCGCCATGTGGTGGCTTGTTGCGTTCCGAGACAATGGCTTCCTGCGCGGGCCAGGTCGCAGCAGGAATCGTGCTGACACCCGAGCGTAGCGCAGTCTACCTTGCATGATCTTGCATCTGATTATACTGCGAAACCGAAGAAACTAGTGGAGATTTTGTTGCATTGGATAGAAGAAAGTATGTATCCGCGCGGACAACGAAATAGACTATCAGCAGAATGTGAGCACAAGAATTTGTTTTCAGGTCCGTAGCCTTGTAAACGCCTAGAACAAAGTAAACCCCATCCACGCGCCGCAGTCCTGTAAAGCAAATAATATAGAAAAAAAAATGTACGAGAGAAGAAAAATACCAGCGCTATCGTAAGATAATTTCGTCAAATGGGCAGGCAGGACGGTTAGACATCCAAACCGAGTCTGTTTCTGAGTAACGTCCGCACAGAGTCTCTGCACATGACGAGAGAGGAGATGATGAAGCCACCGAGGCTAGACGGCTTCTCGTCGGCGGCGGCGGCTTCTGTGCTCTCCTTTTGGGCTTCCCCTGTGAGAAGCGTGGCGGGCACTTCATCGGCGCGGGGCTTCCGGCCGTAGACGATGTATCTAGACGAGAGAAGGGCGCAACGGTTAGTCTTAGTTCGCTTCCGAGTCTGGGCTGGCACAACGAAGTGTGGTGGAACGTTTCCACATGAAGGTACACAAAAGAAAAAAAAACTCACTTCTCGTAATAGGCGTGCACATTGGGGTCCTCAATCGTCGCGCGGACGCGGCGCAAAAAGTCATCTGCGGCGTCCGAGGAGTAGCCGGCGGCGAGGACGAGCTTCTTGAGGCCGCCGATGAGGGCGTAAAAGTCGTGAAACATGAAGCGGCCAATCTCCTTTTGGTGCTCGTCGCGGCACCACTCGTTGACGGGGGCGGCGACAATGGTCTCGACGACGTCGACGAAGCCGGCCTCCTCGAGCCAGCGCTTGTACTGCCGGGGCTTGGCCATGTCGCGGCCGAGGGCACGGCCGGCGGCGCGGCCGACGTCGCCCCATTCGGCGAGGGCGGTGCCATCGATGCTGCCGTCGAGGCTGAGGGCCTGGATGGGAGTGTCGAAGATTTCCAGGTAGCCGCCCTCGCGCAGGCTGTCGCGGGCCTTGCGCAGCACGGCCGGCATGTCGTCAAAGCACGTCACCATGTACCGGAAGTAGGCGTAGTCGAACTGCCGGCCATAGTCCCAGTCCTGCTTCTCGACGTCGTGCTGGATAAAGCTGCAGTTGGGCACGCCCTCGCGCGGCTGGATGGCGCTCAGGTCGCTGCCGAGCACCGTGCAGTCGGGATGTTCGCTGGCTGCATTGCGACCGGTCAGCTTCTGGGTCAAGATGGGACGACGGCCGGGAAGCAGGAGAATGGACGAGGAAACAATGGGATTGTGCGTTTGCTATTCCACACACGGGCGTGGGTAGGAAGAAGCAGCCGCAGGAGCATTCATCACTCACCATATTCAGTGGCCCAGATGCCCGTGCCGGTGCAAACGTCAATGACATTCTTGGGGTTTTGCACAGGTGCTAGACCCAGCTTGCCCTGCTGGATGAGGCGGACCATGCGGTGTTGATGATCTACCGAGACAATGAGTCGTTAGTAGACGCCACGCTGAAAAGACCCGCCCGGCGCGCCGCCCAGGTCTGACATACCCAGTCGTTCATGTTCCGCCTGCACGTAATTGGGGTCAGTCAAGACGAAGCAGAAATGGAGGATTTTCTTCTTTTGGCGAGTCGAAACATACAGGATCATTTGGTAGATAGTAAGCTGTTTGCGACAATGGGATTAGTAGATGACTTGTAGTTGTACAGTGTCTGTACAGTGTCTGCGTGGAAGCACCTACAGCCAGCGTTGTAGCCGTGATATGTGCGTCCCTCTTCGGCAATGGCCTCTTGCTCCGCGATGGCCTTGGATCTGAAACCGTGGGGAAAATCTAGTGGTTAGCGGCCGTTGGAAGGAGTACGGAATGACAGCTGCTCACTTGGGGAATTCAACCTCGCCCGACTTCTGCTTCACCCACTTCTCGTCGACCACCAGGTGCGAGGTATCATAGCCTCGAAGGACAGACAACCTGGCCCCGTCCGTGTGCGCAATCTCTGGCGTTGCCATTTTCAATCGACTCGTGTCTTGGGTTTCGTGGAACTTGGCGGAACGGATAAGGTAAATCAATGGGCTAGCAAGTCCGTCAAGTAGAGTCAACTCTGATGTAACTTGTCCAAGTTGGAAGGGTTTGGCGGAACAGAGAGGGCTCTTTCACTGCAAGGATATTATTTATATAAGTGAGACAAGAAGGAAACGGAAAAAAGAGAATAGAAAAAGAAAAGAAAAGGAAGAACCGGGCCTGGTTTTATTACCCGAATCGTCGGTGAACTGACGGGCCTGGAGACTGCAGGGGAACCTACCGGCGCTCGCTCCAGTCGTCTTCGCACTGACACGAGCAAGAAAAAGGTGCCCATGTGGCCCTGTATTAGCAGCAGAGAGAGGATCGTCCACACGTTCAAGAGTTGGCGTCGTTGCACCATGTGGAGGCTAGAACGTAATTAGAGCAAAGACCAGGTTTCGTTAGCGCCACACTGTATTTTCTATTTTATTTTATTTTATATCATATTCTAGTTTATCTCAGTGAATCCGCTGTAATCTTGCCCCTCCCTATCCCCCTGTCATGGTTCCCCCATCCGTGGACTCGGGCCTGCAATACGACATTGGTCGGGAGATGGGGCCGCAAAGGCGGAAACCTCCGCGCGCTTCTACTGAAAACAGAACAAGATTCAATAACTAGTTACAACGAGCTAGACCTAGTAGGCCCGGCGAGTTTCGGAGACGCATGGTGGGAGACTTTCGTGTACGTTTCTGCCGTGCCGTGTCGGTGTAAGACGGTATAGTCTGGCAATCAAGGGAGGGAAGGGAGAAGGGGGGTGGGCCGAGCTGGTCCAGAAATTCGGGACTCGTCCGAAGGATAGAGTAGCAGAAAGAAGAAACGTTGGAAAAAGACTAGTTATGAGAAAGCCATGTAGAGCACTAGAATTTGTCGTCATCTAGATGAATCTCCTCGGCGAAAAGAGAATGAAACGAGAAGAGGAAGAAAGAGGCCACTGTCTGCCGGCCGGGGCCAAGTCCGATGCGTTCTCACACGAAACAAGGGACCGCTCTCATCGGAACGCGGGCTGACGACCATGACAGCATCGTTTTTCGCGCGCGCAGCGGTATCGAGGCCCTTTGAAGGGGGGCACCAATTCGTCTAGGAGCGGGTATCCGATTCCATAATTCTGCATGTAATACTACGTCCACTCCTCCTCCGCGCATCCCGGCTTCTCCAAGCTTATAACAAACACTATTTGTTGCAAGTCACTCTGTAGGACAAGTAAAAAGTCGGGCCACTGACGAAATGGTGGTGCTGACAATTGCATTTGGCCCCCCCTCTGATGCAAAGCCGAGAAGAAAAGAAGAAGGGATTTTTCCACATCCGTCAGAAACTCGCCGAGTGCTCTTGTGCTTCGAAGTCTCCAATTTCCTTCTTTTTACTGCTGATCCTTGTCGTCAAGGTCAACTACCGGCCCTAATGCACGCCACCGCCCAGAACCTAGGTCGCTAGGGCTTTGGGAAGTTGGGGGCAGGCAAATGGAAAATCATGGCAAGCCAGCCTCGGATTTGGATGGTCAACAACGTCAACAACAAGTCGAGAGATAACTACGCACACCACCCGAGACCCATGCCAAGCACAGCCAGCGCTGACCACCACCGCCGCTAGTCCAGCCGTCGTCGTCCATTTTTCTAATTATGTGACCAGTGACCGTCGCCTGGGTCTGAACCTGAATCAAGTCCATCGTTGGCATAACCGTTTACCGTCTTGTCGGAATGCGGAATGCAACAACCTTACTCAGACTTGGAAGCAATATCCAGCACAATCGACTCGCCGATGCGACCCTTGGTCAACACTCTGCTTGCTCTCTAGCTGCCGAGATGCGAGCGCCACTTTCTCCATCTCGGACAATCCGTGGGGGTGGATTGTTGGTTGAAATACTGACAAAAATACATTGAACCATGACCAGACAGGACCAGGTCGAGCAACATCCGTATCCACGATGGCAATGAGCGACAATCGATCCAAGCCCCTGCCGTTCGGTCCCAGTACGGATAGTCTGTTTCTGACTCTCTGCACAGGCAGCTGAGAGCCTCGCACAGACGATAAAAGCCTCGTTTCTAGTCATTGGTATCATTTGTATCCACAGCCCAAAGCCCCAATCGCCGCTCACAACATCGCCGAGAGCCTAGTGAATAATCACCCCAGGCTTCTGACTCTAGAATGTCCTCCTCGGGCCCTCTCTAGATCCCCAGCTGCCAACTTTACGCAGCGTAGACAATATGACGAGTCGTTGCCCTGTAAACCCTTTGTTAATGCCATCGCCGTACAGACTTGTGGTGGACCATGTTGCATCGCCACCTCGGTTCCTCTTACGTCCCGTTCCGTGGGAGTGTTCCGAAAGCAAATACCCAGAGACAACAGTACATAACACAGCACACACGGCAGAGAACGAAAAGAAAAAAAAAGCAAAGAAAAAAGCAAACTATGTCTCCCAGCAGAAAAAGTGAACACTCAATGCACAACTGAGCTACACAGAGTGAGCGGGATGTTTCAATCTTCCATCTCAAATAGACGTTCTACCCACGGGGAGCTGAAGAGTAGAACAGATGCTGAAATGGTACAGTCACATAGCCATGTATCCTCGGGCGCCTCGTCACATTCCCATACCCTCTGTCGCGAAAAGATGCGTCATCCATATTACTCCATACCATCATATTACTCCATCCCATGAGCCTGTTACTCTTCTGGCATGTGCCAGGTTGAAATCACCAAAACGCCGAATGCAGATTGTCATACCCAGCAAACGCCTACCGTATAAAAGAAATATCACTTGTTCATCTTGCCCCTGCCACATCGATCGCGTTAGAGTCCGGTCAATCTGAAGACCGAGTTGGCGCGCTTACTGGTCCATGCCCAGGTAGTCTGCTGCGGCAAGCACCTCGAGGCAAATCTCGACGGGAATATCCATATCGGGCACGTCTTCGCTGTTGCGGTATCGGTACCAGTAGTGGAAGTACTCAACCACCTTGTCGAGGACCACGGCACTGTTGGCGGACCAGGTTAGCTCCACGCAGTTGATCTCTAGAGACGACGCAAATATAGACTGCGAGAAAGGAGTCGGTTCAAGTGTAGTTGAGAATTCACGCAGAACCAGCCGCCGTCAATAACGTGGCGGTTCTGTCAGGGAATAAAGCTCGGCAATCCAGCGCCTATATCGTCATTCCTTCCCCACCAGTTCGTAGGTAGCGCATTGTTGCATCACATATAGGGCTTACCTCATCTCTTGGAAAATACACCTTGCTTCTTTGGCCTCGGCGAATTGGCCTGCAGCGCATTGGTTCCTGGTAAGCATTTTCTATACAGGCAACGGCGGATCCATGTATGGGCAGGGTGGCCACTTGAACCACCCGAGGAATTGTCCATGTTCGTTTCACGCACTTCTTGGCTCGAGCATGCCCTTGATGATGGGGCTGATCATGGTTGCCTCGCGCAGCACCACAAACTCAAAGCCGTCACCCGAAACCAGAGTGACGTACTTGCTAGGAGTCTGTATCGTCGCCATGCTGGGCCGATGGGTTGGGTGCAGCGGCAATGGCGTCGAAGACGTTGGGGAGCTGTGCAGGTGTGATGATGGAGAGAGCAAAAATGCACGCGTGAGAAGGGGTCGAAATTATTTTTGGTGTGAATTTTTAGTGCCTGTGCACGGACCACCCGAGCCATCTGATTTGGCTGTGGTGTCATCGGCTCGACTTCAAGGTTGGAGCGGTAACTATTTGTATGTGCAATGCCACGTTAATTTCATCCAGAGTCATCTTACTCGCAGCAATGTGATCTGCAATCAAAAATCATAATCAGAAAATTCGGCATGTATTGCACTGTAGCTCACGCAAATGAAGCACCTCACCCGGAAGAGGGACCTTGTCCTCTGTCTCTGTCCGTGTCCCTACCCTGTCTTGGTGTCATAGTTCTCAAGTTTTGCTCGTGTAGACAAAGTCGATAAGTTACTTCGTCGTTTGCGGGGAAGATTTAGACCTGGAACTATGCCTGCGTTCCCTCGCAACACGGTTCCTGTATTTGGTCCATTGTATAGCTTCGCGCATGTTTGTTGGCCTCTTAACGCCATTTTTCGCCCTTTCTTGCGCCCGTTTCTCGAGTTCCGCATTTTGATCTTTTAGCAATGCGAGATTGCGACCGCAATGCGCCAATACAAGTGTAGAAAAACCTGGCATATTGCGGATTACATTGAGTTTCTTGTCGTCGGTTAGCTTGTCAATGTGGCGACCAAAGGAAGCCGCCAGCGCGTCCTGGATTTCAAGCTCGACGTCCAGGGAATCCGCGATCTTAACGGCAGATGGTAAGGCCGATACCAATCCGCTACTATATGAGTGTGTTTGTAGAAGATTTCTGAGATTCAAATTCGAAAATTTTTTCATGTTGTAGACCTGGTAGTGCGATGCAATTTGGTGGCAATGGATGTGGTTGACCATCTCACGAAGTATGTTAGGCGCGGGTTCTGACGGATCGAACGGCTTGTTTTTCTTGGTACTAGCATAGTCTCCAGTATATAGAAACTTGATAAACATCTCGACAGTCTGTGGCTCGAAGTTGCTCATGTCAATCGCGGTGCTACCTGATTTCTGATTCTGATGCCCTGGGTTAGTGAGTCTGGCGGAATCACATTGCGAGAAAGTTTGCAAGCATACGATGGCTTCGGCTTTTTGAACGGTGGTCATCAAAACATCAGATTGAGCACAAGCAACAACTTTGTGGACAGGAAAAAACTTCCAGCGGCAGATAAAAGTCAAATCACTGAAGAGATTACCACTGCTCATTTTCTCTAGGATGCCGCTGGAATGGGAATCGGCCATCTTGGGCAACCTAGGCGATGAGATGACTGATTGTGAGGGAAATCGGGGAAGCTGAAGAAAATCGTGAAAGCTGAATATGATACGAGTATATCTTTCCCGGCGCAAAAATGTGAACGGCCAGAGACGAGTGTTAAACGGCGGCAAACGGCGGCAAACGGAGGGATGGTGCCAGCTGGCAACAACAAGCACAACTTTGCCCGACATTATCCGACAATTATGAGCTGCTCGACTTTATACCAATATTTATTGTATGTGATTTTATATCTTGTCACTTCTCAACTCAATATTTTGGTGGTATACTGCGGCATTTGCTGCTCAAGGCCGTTTTGTCATTTCGCTGGAGCCGGCGCACAGCATCCATCCATATCTTGCAAAATCTGTATCTGGCCTCCACGTAAACAGCAGCAGCCCAGATAAAACTCCGAGACACCACTTAATCCTCCATTCTCATCGATCCCAGCCCCTCTTCTCGTTGCTAATAATAAACTGCACTTTATTCTGCAGTGGCCAGCCCCGCGACAACTCGTGTTTGAGCAAGACCAGTCCCCAGAGCGCCCCTCCGTTGCCCAGCCAACATGTTGACTTTGGGCCGCCAGCACCACACGCAACCCAGCACCAGCCCACCAGAAAGAAAGCTGCCCACTCGAGCTTGGACATTCATCCTCCTTCCTCACAACATACACTTTCTTTTGCTTCACTGACTATATTTTTCTGGCACCTGAATATAGCATCTACAGCTTGTATCTTGCACGACGTCAATTTACCTTGCCAGAATCGTATCCCGCAACAGTGTTTCACAGAAACGCCGGGCGCCGAACAAACGGAACAAGTCTGAAATCACCTGGACAACGTTGGACAGGAAAAAGAGCCCCTCGGTCACTTTGGACAAGACCCGTCGCAAAGAGGAAGCGAGATCGCACCGGGATCAGACGTCACACATTCCGCGCTGACGGCGACTTCGATTTTTCCTTTAATTCGTACACACACAAAACAACAATGGCGTCGCAGCAGCAATACCGCAGTTCATACTACGCCCAGGCCAATTACGACCAGCCGCGCCGCAACCAGCGCACAAGAACGAGCGACGGTACTGTGAGCACTACTATGAGCTCCGCCTCGGGCCGCGAGTCGGCCGCGACGCACGTTACCGAGCCGCCCACCTACTCTAAGAAGATTGTCGTGGTGGGCGACGGCGGCTGCGGCAAGACCTGTCTGCTCATTAGCTACAGCCAGGGCTACTTTCCCGAGGTACGAAGAGGCAAATCGAAAGAGACGAGCTGTGCCCGGCCGGGCGCAAAGTCGCGACGAGCGACTTTTGCGCGAACCATGATCGCTGACCCTGTATCCGATAGAAATACGTCCCTACCGTCTTCGAAAACTACATCACCTACCCCATCCACCCGCCTTCTGGCAAGACCGTAGAGCTGGCTCTGTGGGACACGGCCGGACAGGAGGAATACGACCGCCTTCGCCCGCTTTCCTATCCAGAGACGGATCTGATCTTTGTGTGCTTTGCAATTGACTGCCCCAACTCGCTCGACAATGTGCTCGACAAGGTATGCCTTCCGCCTCCTCCATGGCGCATTGCAACTAACCAATACCCGCGTTTCTCAGTGGTATCCTGAAGTTCTGCACTTCTGCCCCTATACGCCGCTCATCCTCGTCGGCCTCAAGTCAGACCTCCGCTACAAGCGCACGTGCATCGACATGCTCAAGACGCAGGGCCTGACGCCCGTTACCTCGGAGCAGGGCCTGGCCGTCGCCCGCAAGATGGACGCGCAGTACATGGAGTGCAGCAGCAAAGAGATGCTCGGCGTCGACGAGATATTTGAGCGCGCCATCCTCACCATTGTCGCCAATGACCGCAGAAACGTCGAGTCGGCGGCCGCCGCCCACGCCGCCAACGCCGATGGTAAGCCGCTGCCGCCTCTCAAGGCTAAGAAGAAGAAGAGAAAGTGCCAATTCCTCTAAACGAAAAACGAGAAACGAAGAAAAGGTAATACAAAGAATCAACTTTTGCCAAGAACGCATATGTGTCGGGGACACTTTTGGGTTTTTTCCTTTCCCCTTTTCACGATGGAATCTCGTCGCCAGCGTCTGTGATGAGTCTTTGTACAAGCTGATGAACAATGCTCTTGTCTTGTAATGAATGAATCCCCTTTGAACAGCTTTTCTCTTTTTTTCTTCTATTTATCATCTGCTTGCTTTCTTTCTTGTTTATCCTTTCCTTTCCTCTTCTGGTATGAAAACTTCTGGTACTTTTGGGTTACTTACTTTTTTTTTCTTGTTATTTTATGGCATCATACGGCAGCGGGCAAAGAGAGTTGTGCTGGCGAGAAGGGGAGGGAAACGAAACAGGCTGGAATGTTTCTTTGACGGGTTTGCAAAAGAGAATGCGCAGGCTGCTTTTCAAGTTGTTGTGTTTATGTGTGTGTGCATGACTGTGTTTTCTGCTAGCATATACTGAATGTCAGTCTTCCCCCCTTTTCTCAGATTGTTGAACAAGTTGTTTTATTATTGCATGTGTTTCCTGCCTTCATCCTTGATCTGTCATTATTTCATGTATACATAGAATCGCCTAGATACTTCCTCCCTCTCTGATGCGCCGCTGCACACTCCGGAAGGCTCATGGCAGCTCAAATAGAACGTCATACACCCGAATGATCGCGTCTGTGAATGTACCCATCCACTTCAGCAGTGTGGATGAGCCGTAAACGTAATTATTCGTCATATCATCAAACTTGTGCTCTCCTGGAGACACTATATACACATACAATGTCCTTGGATATCGTCTACGACTCCTCCACATCGCTTTGCGCCTCGCGCTTCACCCCCCTCGATCCGGACCCCGATGCTTGCCGTTGCTGCTGCTGCTCCTCCGCCTCCTCTTCGTGTTCGGCCTGCTTCTCCGCCGTCTCGTCCTTGCCCATGACATTTTCAAACTGCGACCACAGCGTCTCCACCGACGAGAACTCGTTGCCCACCTAACGTGCCCTGTTCAGCAATCCTGCCCATGCAACGCTTCATTTTCAATTGTCCAACGTACCGCAATTATGGATTCCAGCGACCGGTTTAGCTTATTAATGTTGCCGAGGACTTGCTCGAAGCTCTGCCATTTGGAAAGAAAAAAAAAATCATTAGCTTGGCTGGAATCTTGGAAGGGGGAAACCGGGGAGAGAGACGGATACGTACCAGGGCAATGTCGCCGAGGAAAGCTTCACGCTGCTGCTCAAAGTACGACTTGTCGCGGGACGGCCCCACGGACGCGCCGCGGTGACTCGAAGCCATGCTATTCTAGTCTTTCCTTTTCTTGAAGACCTTTGTAGGTTGCTGTTCTCTTCTTTTTTTTCGAAGAGTTAATGACGAGTTCTGCGACTCCAGATGGCGGGCTGTTGTAGACGTTGGATTTCGATCCGTCGTCACCAGTCGCGTCGCGTAGAGGGGGCACCACGACCCACAACGCTCTCGCTGGAGAGAAAGCCATAATTTTCAGATCATCACTTCCCGAGCGCGATATATATTAAAATCGGGTTCGCCTTCTACATTGCTGTACTTCAAAAGGACATGCGAACCTTTGCTGTTGACTTGTTCCTCGTTTGCTGTTATCGTACTAGCACGGACGGACGATACTCGCTCCATCACCAGTCGCAGAACAAGGGCAAGGCAGCAATGCAAAAGACAATATTACGAGGGCATCATTAAGCTAATATGGCAGAATAATAGCAATGAATTTCATCTTGGACTAAACCCCAGAGCTGCGCCTAGCACCATTGTGCAAAAGACCCCTCCCCCCCAAAAATAACTATGTATACATCCCCGAAACAATTGATATCCAACAAGAATGTAAATGGGGTTGTTGCAAGCCCCTTTCCCGTTTTCATTTTCTTGGTCCTATATCATTAAAGCAAAGACTTTGAAACACCAAAAACAAAAAAGATAAACATGAAAGAACCCTCCCCATCATCGTCTATACTGATCCTGGCGTCGATCATACTCTTGCGGTCGCAACCCTCTCGACATCATGTCCCGTGGATCTCGCTGGTCTCGCGGATCTCGTTGATCTCGCGGATCTCGTTGATCCCGCGGGTCCGGCGCTGGGTATCCTCCAGGACCGGGAGGCGGCGGCCCTCTAGTATCGTAGCTTCCAGGCGTGTAGCTCCGGCCGGGCATCTCGCGCGGGTCGCGAGGCACGGGCGTTGCCGAGTAGCGATTGTATGGCGCTTGTGGTGGACCTGGATCGGGCGGCCTTGTTGTTGCCGGCGGCGGCGCGTAGCGGCTTTGCATCGCTTGCGCGGCGTATCCTCGTTCGTCTCTGACGGCGTGCGGGTGAGGGGGCGGCTGCCCCTGCGGTGTCGGTGACCATGACTGTGGTGGCGGCGGTCCCTGTGACGTCTTAGGACCGGGGGACTGCTGCCAGGCATTGCTAGGAGGCTGCTGATGTGTGGGCCAGCCCGAGTCGCGCACATTCTGCGGCGGTGGAGGGCCGTGGTCTCTGCCCCTCGGCGCCGCATGGCCAGCATACTGAGGAGGCGGCGAGGCTGCGTGCGGGGGCGGCGCAGAGCTGTACTGGTTCGGGTAGACAGGCTGAGGCTGGTATGCCTGCGAGTGTGGAGGAGCATATCGATGGGGAGCCGTCGGCGGTGAGTTGGTAGCGGTATTCTGCGGCACAGACGGATATCCATGTGGTCGGTAGTAATCACGCTCGGATTGGGCATCCATGGTCATCCGCGATCCTTGCATCGGCGGAGGTTGCGAAGGTTTGAGTGATGGCATACCTGCAGGAGCTGCTGAAGGAGGGGGGTTGCGGCCATATCCATGGTACACCTGTTCTGGTTCACGACGCAGAGATGCAGCAGACTGCTGTTGTGCGGAGGCCGGACGTGACATGGACTGTGGCGGCGGCGTTGCGACAGCCCGGGTAACAACTTCGTTGACTCGCTTTGGTGCGGGCGGAGGGTCGTCGTTCAGCAGAGACATAATGCTGGACGTCTTACGTGGCTCGGGGGGCTTCGCTAAACCACTACCAGGGACGGGAGTGCGCGACTGTGGAGGATGGGAAGGATGGGAGGGATGGGAGGGATGGGAGGGATGGGTAGGGTAGAGCTCCCCAGAGGGTGGTCGCGAGCCCATGGTCGACATTGGCCTCGACATTGGAGGCGAGTGGCTAGGGCCAGGATCGCCAAGAAGTCCTCGGCCAGGTTGTGGTCCCTGACCATAGTTGCGTGGAGGCTCTGTCGTTGCTGGCCGGCCGAGTGACAGCGGATTGGGTCTGACCTGTTCCAAGCTCGGCTGTTGGCGATGGCCAAACGGCTCGTAGCCACCATGTTGGGGTGGCATCTCCTCCTGCTTCACGTGCATAGGCGGACGACCGAGATCCCGCTCTCGTTCTCGGTCGCGCATCTCGCGCAGTGCAATGTCGGGTTTCTGGCGCTCGTGCAAAACTCGTTGATCTCGTATGTCTGGACTACCAGCGACCGGTCCTTTTGGTGCCAGGGGTCCGCGAACATCTCGCTCACGATCAGGAAAGCCAAAAGCAGGCGGGGGTCCACGTCCAGTGCGGGAAGGAGAGAGTGGCGGGCCAACTGGCGGTGGCGCGGCTTGGGCGCCGACGGGCTGTCCCTGCCCTGCAGGCGGCCCAAGACCCTGTGCAGGCGCCTTTGCAATGGGAACTGCGTAGGCGGGATATCCCGGCGCCCGGCCTGGCTGCCCAGGATCCTGCTTGGGTGGCGGCGGCGGCTCGCTGTGCATTTCCATTCCTTGTGGAACACCAAAGGGTCCAGGGCGGCCAGGTGCAGGTGGCAGTACATCGTACCGCCTTCCACGGCCACCAGTCGTGGGCATTGGTGGATCAGGTCGCTTCTCACCTCGCATGCGCTTCGCGTCTGCCTCGGACACAATCGCTTCCAGTTCGGGTTTTGTCTGGTCCTTTTGGCGAACAAAATAGTTTTTTACCTGTGCCCAAATGTCAGCTATTTCCCCCCTCCTGTCATCGCTTCCCGAATCCTCAGCTTACCATAACTGCCGTTTTCGACCCCATGTGGTTTGCTATGCCGGTCCAGTCAGATCCAAATGCCGCGAGCAGCAGAGGAAAGTCGTTAGATTCGGATACACTCCAGTAACTAGATGCTTGCGTAGCCGCCTTACGATCCTGGCTGGACTGTGACAAGTTGAAAGTTGCCATGGCTGGTTGAGGTGGTGGTGGTGGTGGCGGCTCTGGCCGAAGAGACGGCGCCAATATCACATCCGCTATTGGAGGGGGGGCCACAGGTGTCTGTTGTCGCTCAATACCAGTCATCGGCTGCGAATGGACAGAGAACGGTGGCTGAATGCCAGATGGGATAGACTGCTCAAAGTTGGGTATGGTAGGTTGCACTTCGTTGGGCGTGGGTGCAGGACCTTCGGGTATACGTGAAGACGATCGCGGTCGTCCCTTGCTTGGTCCAGGAGTGGACGCGGCAGACAACGACTGGTTCGCCTTCTTTTCTTTCGCCTCCTTTTCCTTCTCCTTCTCCTTGGCTGACTTTCTGCCTCGCCTCCTGCCATCTGCCTTCTCTCCCGGCTCACCTCGGCCACGCCGACCAGGCGTTGAGGCAGGCGTAGAAGTATCAGGGTCAATGGGAGGCTGTTCAAAGCCCCATGTAGGGGCAGCAGCGCGTCTCGGGCGCCGCCTCTCACCATTCTCGCCAGTTTCCTGATTGTCTTCCGTTTCTGGATCGGCATTGCCAAGCTCAGACATCAGCGCACTAGATCGCTGCTTGCCTCGGCCCTTCTTGCGTCTCTTGGGCTGCTTCTTCAGCTTCTCCTTGAGATTGAGATCCTTCTTCATAAGGTAATAATATTGGATACATGCACCAAAGTCACGGTTGGGAATGACTTCCGCGATTTTACCCCATTGCTTGGGGTGCTCCAAATATCGCTTCTCGAAGAGTTCCCCTTCCTCCTTCGTAAAATTGTTGACAGGCGCAAGAACTTGCCAGGCAGAAACAAGCCTGTCTTGTGATACGAATCCCGACTGGTCCCAGTACTGTACACTCTGGCGTTCGTCTGCGTCCCAGTACATGCTAGGAATATCGGCTTCTTTCTCGCTGCGATACTTCTCTTTTTGTATTCGAAGCTCTCGCTCCTTTCGCTCTTCATCTTCACGCATGGAGGCTTGAAGAACTCGCTCAAGATCACGTTCAGAGGCGAAACGGCGGCCCGAGGTCCGACCTTCGGGCTTTGGTTCAGGCGTCGAAGCAGCTGTAGGTTCCGGGACGGGAATCGTGACGGAGAATTTATCTCGGCTCTTCACAGCAACCGGGTCACTCGAGGTCGTGAACTCGAGATAGCGCATATAATTATCCGCGTACAGCTCGCGCTGCTCATTCTGTTCTTGATCCCGATCCAGATGGACCTTGCTCATGTGCTGCGCTACATAGTTATTGATCTCGGGGTCAGCGTCAAGAGTTGCCAGAAAGTCAGTATCCTTATCCCAGGGTTTTGTTGCGAAGTTTGGCAAGCTCTCGGGTGGTGGAGTGACCATGTATTCTCGAACAGCACTGATATCCAAATACGTGTCGTCCTCGGATTCTGTCTCATCGTCCTCAACTTGAGAAGGCGTGCTTGGGACCTTGGATTCGGTCTCGGTGATTTCCATGGGCACAAGAGCCTCAAGTACATTGGACTCTTCGAGTTCCAGTTCCGTAATTTGTAGACTTCCGTTCACTTCAGCCACGGGTTCGGGTTCAGGTTCCTCGGTTACTTTGTCGGTTTCAGAAACCGGCGGCACTACGGTGGCTGGCTGCTCAAGCTCCGGTATCGGTTCCGGCGCGGGCTCCGGCGCGGGTTCCGGCTTTGACTCCGGCTCCGGCTCCTTCCCGGGCTCCTTCTCGGGCTCCTTCTCGGGCTCCGGTTCTGGCTCCGGCTCTGGATCCAGATTCATCTCGCTCGTTTTGCTCTCAGTCTCCGGGACTTCGGCCACCGGAGAAATAGGTGTGTCCTCAATTTTGGTCGCTACCAGAACATCAGTGACGGCAGAAATGTCCTCTTCCGGCTTGGTCGCAGGCTCTGTTACAGCAGCTTCTTCCCTGATTGGTCTGCGCACCGTCTCTTCTTCCTTAGTTGCGGCGGCGATCGTAACGCCTGTTGGTGGTTCGCCGAGCATATCCGTCAGCCCTTCACCATCATTCAGTATTTTGACCATGGATCCGTGGGACAGCGAGGCATAGCGCGAAAGAACTTCGAGTGGCAACCCTGGCTTTTGGAGCTTGCTCAACTCAAATTCGGTTTTACTGATCTCCATGTCGAAGTAGTCGGCCATGTCTTCGTCATCGTCAGATTCGGAATCGTCGTCTTTTGAGGTCTTTGGGGGGAGTGAGAATCGAACAACATTAACGGCAGGTCGCTTGCGCCTAAAGCGTCGCTTTGGTGAAACAGGCTTGGTGTCAAGTTTCTTCTGACTAGATAGCTTTTCGTCTTGAGGAAGCTCGCCTTCGTCGAGATCAGCAGCCGACTGTCTGGAGTCTTGCATCTCATTCTCGTTTTTAACAATCTCGCCTGGTTCGGCGCTGTAATTAGACCGCGATCGATTATCCGTGCCAGTGACAGAATCCGAATTTGCCCCGCTGCTACGGGGGCGTCGCTGCTCTGGATAGTCGCCTCCATAGGCAAAAGTTTGAGATCGCATAGCCTTAGGAGAGTCAGGTATTCTTCTGCTGAAATGTCGACTCGGGCCTTGAGGGGGACCCCGCAAGCTCAGGGAAGGGCTCTCTGGCCCCAAATGGCCCGAGGAGGGTGGGCGATCGGTGTGCGCTCGAGGCATAGAGGGTGGCTTGATGGTGCCGTCCACGGATATCGATCCTCTATTTGGCACGGAGCCAAACGCCGGGGCGGATGGTGCGACGGGCGGAGGAGAAATGTCGCGGGGTTGCGGGGTTGACTCTGCAGGATTGGGCGTGCGGGAATCTGGTTTGCCACGGAGATGATCTCTATCGGGCCTCTCCCGATCATCGCGAATATCTCGGCGGCCATCTTCGGGATAGCGGTCTCCTCTGTCTCTATCTTCGCGGTCCCGACCCCAGCGGCCCTCCTGAGACCGGCTTCTAGGATAGCGATCATTGCGGTCGTCGTAGGGTGTGCGGCCTCTACCTCGTTCCGGGCCCCAATCACCTCTCCCTCCTCTTCCACGTCCTCTCATGAAGCTGCCTCCGCGAGCAAAAGAAGGTCCGCCAAAGGGCGGGTCAGATGCAGTAGACCCAGCCGAAAGGGGTCCAGCATCGCGAGAGCCACGACGGGGTCGTTCGACGTCTAGGAGCGGTGGTGCATCGCGATCACGATCTCGAAAGTCTCGGTTGGGTGATCTGGGTCGTCCAATGGGAGAGCGCCTGCGGGCAAAATCGCGGTCGCGCCAGTCTCTGTCTCTGTCGCGGTCGCGCTCTCTGTCGCGACTACGCTCGTCGCGATAGCGTTCACGAAAATCATTGTCCCTTTCTCTACCGCGTTCTCTGCTGTCATCACGAGCCTGCCAGGGTCGTCCCCTGCCTCGACCGCGCCCGCCGCGAAAATCTCCTCCGAAGCCTCCACGGGGGCCATTGGGCATGTCGATGAGAGCCTTGGGGCCGCGAGGCGGGTCTCGGCGTATCGAGTCTCCAAATCCGTCACGGTTCGGAGGGAAGCCACCGGGGTTTCCTCTTGATTCAGCGGATGACCGGCGTCTATCCTGGTCATATGGCGGTCCACGGTCGAAGCGATCCGGAGAGCGATCTCTAGGTGAACGCGACCGCCGGTCCGGATCGTATCTGGAATATCTAGAAGCCCTGGAAAAGAAAGTCAGCCATATATTAGGAGGTAACAGGCCGAGGCTAGGCGGGCGACGACGAATGTCACGTCGCAGGCGAGGTCACGATGGCCTCACGACAGGCGGCGGCTAGTAGGGGTAGTGGAGTGACGAATGCATACATGCTCAAGAGCAGGCCTCTGCGTCGCTGCTTGGCGCGATAAAATTATGGTTCCATTCATACAAACAGCAAAGGGTCGAGGAAGAGACGCGTAGATGGCGGTTGGCGGGCGTTGGGTGGCGAATACGTGTATCTGTTGGTAGTCTCCTGGCGATCGGATCGCACAGATTTGACTCGATGCGCACAAGGGCACGCAAGAGGAGAGCGGCGGGGGGGCAGCGCGTGTTGCCGAGCGCACGATGTACAATATGAGATACTGTCGTCTATATAGACGCAGACGTACAGCAACAGGGCTCGGCGCGCAGCTGCAGGAAACGGGGTAGGTATCTGTGGTAGTGGTGATGGGAGTCGGACAGAAAGATAGTTGAAGGGATTAAAGGATGGATGCACGGAGGTTCCACCCCCGGGGGGCAGGCAACTTGAAAATAATATGGTGCGCCACACTAGCCTACATGCTAGATACATGTAATTTGTACCTAGCCAAAGTCACCCAGGGCCAGGGCCTCGGCCAGATGCCAGACACCAGGTGGCTCCGGAACGCCTCATCAGCAGCAGGTGTCTACAGGAAGCCAGGAAGCTGGGCGCTATTTCTGACAAGAACGAAAACCTGTATCCGTAGAACGATGGGATTCCCCAGATTTGTACTGGATATCATGACTGGCTGCTAGGTACCTGCCAGCACCAGCAAGTACCACTCCAGGTACCTAGTTAGGTACCGAGAGGCTGAGGCTGGGGCCATTGTCGAACAGCGCTAGTCCTGACTCGGCGTTTGGTGCTGGGCTAGCATTTCGCGAACTGCCTACATACGCGAGTAAGGCCTGTTTTTAGACAGGGTACTAGACAGGTCGTTTTTTTGATAGATAATTTTCCCCTGTCACAACGCTGTTGACGTCTCTAACACGGCTTATAAAAAATATAAATGTTTTTTAACACGTAGTGGCAACCTGACAGCGTTGTGATAGGGGAAAATTACATGTTAAGCGGAAAACGTGTCCAGTGCCCTGTCAGAAAACAGGCCTCGGTAGGTAGGTTAGTACGGTTAGTCGGAGTTAGTAGTTCTATGGTACAGCCGCAGTGGTTTGGCAGGTGGCACAATGAGGCGCACCAGGTACAGTGGGGTGAATCAGAAAATTGTCTTCCCGCGGCACAGCTTGTACAGATGACTAGGCATCAGTACAAACACTGCGCGCACAACGTCTCCCTTCATCATGGCGGACCAGTCTGCGCCTTCTGGGGCCAAGGATGCTGTCCTCGTTAAATCCGAGGATATGCCCGCTGATGCTCAAAAGGTGGAGGAGCTCGACTTCAACAAGCTCAAAGGCCCCATCACCGCACACGATCTCTTCATCGGCATGCGCCACATGGGCTTTCAGGCTTCTGCCATGAGCGAGGCCATTCGAATCATAAATGAAATGGTACGTCTTACATATCCCTCAAATCTTTCATAAAAGCTCCCTTTGAAAACATCCTAACTTGCCTCCAGCAAGCTTGGAGAGACCCAGACACTGGGGACAAAACCACTATCTTTCTCGGCTACACTTCTAATCTGATATCATCTGGCCTCCGCGGTGTTCTTCGCTGGCTCGTCGAGCATAAGCATGTCTCTGCAATTGTCACCACAGCTGGTGGCATCGAGGAAGATTTCATCAAGTGCCTCGGCGAGACCTACATGGGGTCCTTCAGCGCCGACGGGGCCGATTTGCGCAAAAGGGGCCTGAATCGCATTGGAAACCTGCTTGTACCCAACGCCAACTACTGTGCTTTCGAGGACTGGGTGGTACCTATTCTCGACAAGATGCTCGAGGAGCAAGAAGCCAGCAAGGGCACCGACGACGAGATCAATTGGACCCCGTCCAAAATCATCCACCGCCTCGGCAAGGAGATCAACGATGAGCGCTCCGTCTACTACTGGGCCTATAAGAACGATATTCCCGTCTTTTGCCCAGCGCTGACAGACGGCAGTCTCGGCGATATGCTCTACTTTCACACCTTTAAATCCTCGCCTCAGCAGCTCAAAGTCGACATCGTCGAGGACATTCGCAAGATCAACACCATCTCCGTGCGTGCCAAGCGGGCTGGCATGATTATACTGGGTGGCGGCGTTGTCAAGCATCACATTGCCAACGCATGTCTCATGCGTAACGGCGCAGAATCTGCAGTATATATCAACACAGGACAGGAGTTTGATGGCAGTGATGCTGGCGCCCGACCAGACGAGGCTGTGTCGTGGGGCAAGATCAAAATTGGCGCAGACAGTGTCAAAGTAAGTGGCCGAAATGCAAATTACCAGAGTAGCAATGCGTGGACTCTACTAGGCTGGATACTGACCTCTGCAACAGGTATACATGGAAGCGACAGCCTGCTTTCCATTCATTGTGGCCAACACTTTTGCCAAGGACATCTGAACGAAACATACGCATTGCATGATCAAACACATATAGAATAATGACCAATCCACAAGTATATTAGCGCTGTGGAAGCGTAGACTCTCTTGGCCTTGACGTGTCTAATCAGGGCTCGTCAAGAAGCTTCTTGAATTCCGCAAGTGCCTTGACCCACGCCACCGCTCCATCGCCATCAGCCCATGCACCGACGCGCTCGAGGCCCTCTAGGTCTTCCTTCATGTGAGCTTCCTTTGTGGTTCCGTCTAAAATCGCAATGCCTTCTAAACCCATGACCAGCGCATAGTACGCAGACACGACACCAACTCCGGCTCCCTGCACAATATCCGCGACCGGCTGGCTCTTGACCAGCTGCGGGTTCGCTCCAATGGTCCAGAAGGACTGGAATTTGACATTATGCTCCTTGCAAAACGCGCGCAGCCCAGCTTCATATTCGGTGTCGGGGTAGAACCGGTTTTGCACAACGGCAGGCTTGACAGTGACACGGCTATACAGAGCTTCAACGAAGCTGTGCGTAGCGTTTGAGATGCCCAGATTACGGATTTTGTGCGGGTGGTATCCTTCCAGAGCCTTCCATGCCGTGATGGTGTCATCGAGGGTGTCGAGTGGGGAGTGCAGGACAACACTGTCAAGATAGGTCACCTGGCCTTCTATGGTAAAGTTTCGGAGCGACGACTCGACAGATTGGAGGACCCTGTCCTCAACGGATGCCTTGAAATCATACGGTGCGTCTTCGTTCTGACCGCTTGGCGGTGTGAATTTAGTTTGAATCTAGATTCCCAACCTGTTAGATTCGGGTCCAGCCTCCGCGTGACGTCGTTATCATCGGGGCTCACAAAAACATCTTCGCGCTTCACAATGCCCTCAGAGACGGCCCTTTTGAAACCAGCCGCAACACCTTGCTCATTATAGTGTTTCGGCTGGGCTGCAGTGTCGATACCGCGGAAGCCAGTCTTGAGCGCTGTGTACACCAAGTCGGTTGTCCTGTCCTTCTTCCATGCCGTGCCATAGACGAGCTTGGGCATGCGCGTCCGAGCTACCCCGTTCAGGGTGAAATCTCGCGCCAAGCGGGATGCCTGAGCACCAATTGATGGCTGTGCCATTGTGTTGGATGAATTTATTGATTTTTGGAGTGCGCGGAGTGAATGGCGCAAGTTCGTACGGTCTGGTCGCCACTCGAGGGCGACATAAGCGGGGTCAATAGTGTGTGAAGGAGAATGAGCAACTTCGCAAATCCACGGTAGCGCTGACTGTGGCAGAGTAAGATAATTGCATGCCAACGATGTATTGTAGAATTCCGCTCTTTTGGATGCTAAACAAAACTTGACCTGCACAGAACATTCTCCAACTATATCCATAGCACTTCGACCCAAGTCACCCATCTATGGCATCATAAAATATTTCGAGACATCAAAATTGCATTTGGCGTCACAATGGTACTTGTTGCAGTGTTTTTAGTCCTCCTGCTTCAACCTATGTCCGAAGTACCCATACATACAGTGCTTGTTAAGAGGGGAGAAGGGAGAGGGCGACGACCAACAGCTGGCTTGCAACCAAGGAGTGTATCGGCAACAAGTGCCCGCAACAGGTAAATACTTATACTCTTAGTACAGTTTCCGGATCAAACGAGAATGCTTAGTCGTCTGTAAAAGCGGTAACTGCGCCGTGGAAATGGACCAACCTCTGTTCCCAGACTCACAAGAACAACTCTGTCAAATATCGAGTTGTACTGTTTGATAGATTGGACCAATGGCGTACAAGCTCGGTAGAACTCGCCTCCTCTAATAGAGAATCCCTCGAGTAACCATCATGCTCTCCAGCTTTCCGAGAACCGGCTTCTACCTTGACTGAGACTGGTTTCTCAAACGTAAACGGCGCTCGTCAAGTAGCTTTAAAACTGGATCCTGGCAAAGGTAACGTTAAATCGTGGCGCCTCGTCTTCAGCGCCGTTTTCCCGACGGCTCCGGTTTTCGCAGGCACAACTGATGGACGTCATTCGGAGAACCCCACCATCCCACCTGAGGAGACGGAGCTGATCCCGCTCCTGCTCCGGATGGAGTTTCAACGCGGGGAACCTAGACATCTCGAACTGAGTTTTCTTCCTCCTTCACATTTTCTATATCTAAATTTCACTGCCAATCATCTCATTTGGAAGGAGCCAAATCGATTCATCAGAAAGAAGGTTAGTACAAAGCGTGTTCTCCCTACCTATGGCGGGGTAGTGGGTAGTGGGGTGTTAGTACGGCAGACGTTAACTTCCTCTTCCTCAGTTCTACACAATCAAGGTCACAATGGCTGCTCAAACTCCCTTCACCGTGAAATGGGGTATTCTTGCTACTGGTGGAATTGCCGAAAGTAAGCTGCTCCTCGGTCCCGGGCCTCGTGCCGCACATCTGACACTTGCCACAGCGTTCTGCCGAGACTTGCTCTGTGACCCGGCCGTCCGTGACGTCCACGACGTGCGCCACGAGATTGTCGCTGTCGCCTCATCAAGCTCTGCCGACCGCGCGGCTAGCTTCATCCAGAAGATCAAGGGGCCGTCCTCCGCCAAGACGTACGGCTCCTACGCTGAGCTGGTCGCTGACCCAAACGTCGACATCATCTACGTGGCGACGCCCCATAGCCACCACTTCCAAAATGCCATGCTGGCCCTCGAGGCTGGCAAGAACGTGTTGTGCGAGAAGGCGCTCACCGTCACCGCGGCCCAGACCAAGAAGCTCGTCGCCAAGGCCAAGGAGAAGAACCTGTTCCTGATGGAGGCTGTCTGGACACGCTACTTTCCGCTTAGCATCAAGGTCCGCGAGCTGATTTCCTCTGGCGCCATTGGCAGAGTTCACCGCACTCTTGGTATGACCTATACTTGTCTCGTGATACAGTGATTATGGATGGCCCATAGCTGACTATATTTTGCAGCTGATCTAGCTTTTGCTGACGGCAACGACGATGGCTCTGTCACTTATCCCGACACCAACCGCATGGTCAACCTGGATCTTGCCGGCGGTGCCCTCCTCGACCTCGGCATCTATGCTCTCACCTGGGTCTTTCAGACTCTGTACCACCTCCAGCAGGACAAGGAATCGCCCAACGTTCTTGCTGCCATCGACCAGTACCGCACCGGTGCCGATGAGACGACCAGCATCATCTGCCACTTTCCCAAGAACAAGATGACTGGTATCGCCACGACTTCCATCAAGGTAGCCACCGACCCTAACAACCTCAACTCGGCCGGCCCCGCGGTCCGCATCCAGGGAACCAAAGGCGAGATCCAGGTCTTTGGTCCCGCTTTCCGTCCCACACAGTACAAGGTCATCCGGAAAGACGACAGCAACGTCGATATTGTCGACTGCCCCATTCCCAAGGATCCCAAGGTTGACTATGGTCATGGAATGTTCTGGGAAGCGGATGAGTGCGCCCGCTGTCTTCGTGATGGCCGCAAGGAGAGCGAGACCCTACCTTTGAGTGAGAGCATCGTCATTATGGAGACCATGGACTCTGCCATCCAGCAAGGAAAGATCAAATACCCTAGTATCATTTCTACGGATGTCTTTGACCCTAAGAGCCCTCTCAACACTGGTAAGCGGTAAATAAAACGCATTACGCACGGTACGCGAGGTTGCTGCAACGGGACCTTTGGATGTACTTGGATAACCCACGTCGGGTCCAAAAAAACTCAAATACGGCTCTAGAATGCAAGGGGAAGTAAATCCACTGTAGAAATCATCTCGCCGAATTTTTCTAGGTTCTCAGAGCCACCTCTTGAAATTTGGTTTCTCATGCATAACTGAACAAGTTCATGCTGGTATTACAATCTGCTAGCGGCTATTGGTCTATAGCAAACCGGAGCGCCCGTCGAGATAGGCGACAGGTTTAGCAGCGTAATAATATACCTTTTTGATGCTTTACATGATACAAGCATGAGTCACAAGCAAAAGGAAGCACAATGATAGACACACACCCCTCATTGTCATTGGTGTCCCTTGAGAGTGCCATCGCCTCTCTCACTCGTGGCACTCAGAACGTAGAATCAAGTTCAAGGGTGGGAAATGGTTTCGATATTAAATAGCAATTATCTTGCATTTTGGGGGGGAAATTGGTTTCGCTTTTTGTATATTTAGAGAATAAATGAATGTCTGAATCGGACAGTTTCGTAATTGCTCCAGCGCCTGGTCCAACACAACGGCCTGCATCATCTCATCTGGGTGGTTCATCCGAAGCCGCCGCACATTGAAACAAAGATGCAAAGTTCATCTTTGACGTTTCAAAGACCGTCTCAAGTCAAGGCTCGGTGCATGAATGAGGGCCCTGACACGTGACCTGGGAATAGGTTGCGACAGCTGGCGTATGGCGTGGCAACCTGGCAGGTGTCAATGCAGGGGTAACTTATGCGTGCTAAATTCAAGCCTTTTTTTATGCCCTAATTATTCTCCAGGGAAAATGTAACAAAAAGGAGCAAAACAATTAGCGCAGCAGAGAGGGTGACGAAGCGCAAGGACATCACGGGGGGGACGAATACCCTGCAAATAACGAAGCCAGTCCCATCCATGCGAATATGGGCTACGACCTAGAAGTCAATGCAAGTGATATTCTGGAAATAGGTATGCTATCCGAAAGCGACTTCTTCTTTTCTCTTTTTTTTTTTTTAAAAAAAAAAGAAAAAAAGAAATTGACCGGCAAATGCTTCTGTCATTGATTGAGAGGGGCGTCGCAACTGCATGATCCACTCACCACCACGTCGACATTTTCTGCCTCTTGCACCCCCCAAGCTAACTGATCGCCATACGTACCAGGGCAGTTGGGCGGTATCACAACAACGAGGCCACGATAGGCACCGAGATAATGGAAGTCGACTGAAGGCAGGGGAAAAAAACCTTCATCAGCACACTAGCACGTTTCGGCCCCGCGCCAGCGCATGACAGACAAGACGCAACTGAGCCAACTCCACCGACACACACCAGTCCATCGTTTGCATCGGCCGTCGATGCTATCGACAAGGATTCCAGTTCTCTGCTAGTTGCTGTTTCTTCGCGACGATTGTCTGCGCGCGCCCCCCCTCCTCTCTCCCGGCACGGTTCCGGTTTCGTGACGTGCTTGGCGCTGCTATGCTGGCATCTCCCCGGCCATTCATTGCCTCACCACTGCAAGCCCACACCGAGGCACACCAATTTCAGCATTGGCCAATCACGAAAATCATCTGAAAGCAGCTTCATCACCCTGCCGTGACACGTATTCTCGGTGTGGCATTATACGTTCGCCCCTGGCGTCTTAGAGGAGCGGCAACGGTTACGAACTCGCGGCTTGTCACTCTTTCGAGCAGGGAACGGGCAGCTGGTTTCTAGTTATATCTTGTTTTGGGTTGGTCGAGCAGAGCGGCTCAGAACAAGCTGTATCTGTGAAGCTTTGGCGCAGTTCAGCCAAACGCCAGCTAGCCATCTCACCCGGGAGTTGACTGCCAGCTAGCCATCTCGCCTGGAAGTTGAACGTGAGGGCTTTGCGCGAAAAAAAATACCAAAGCCATTTCTTCCCCACGGGTATATTTCCCGGGGTTTGTTATAGGGGTCTGTCTATGGAAACAGCGCGAACGCCGCCGCAGCAGCAGCAACAACAACAACAGATGGAGAAGGAAACGCCAGCTGGCAATGCCAGCGACGCCGAGACATACGAATCGACGCACGTGCATGCCGTGTACGAAGCCATCGCGCCGCACTTTTCGTCGACGCGACACTCGCCATGGCCCCGCGTGGCCGCCTACCTAGAGGCTCAGCGCCCTGGGGCCGTTGGGCTCGATGTCGGGTGTGGCAACGGCAAGTATCTCGACGTCAACCCTGCGCTGCACATGCTGGGGTCTGACCGAAGCAGTGAGCTTGTGCGTCTCGCACGCAGTCGCCGCGGCGGCGCCGGCAGCAATGCCACCTCTAATACTCTAAAAACAGTTTCCCCTTTGCCAGCGCAGAAGAGTGATGCTCCTGAGAACGCAGGAGACGATTGTGGCTGTATTAACGGGGGCAACGAGGTCGCTGTCGCCGATGGCCTTGCCCTGCCCTACCGCCACGATGCATTTGACTTTGTTATTTGCATCGCCGTCGTACACCATCTATCTACAAGGGGACGCCGCGTGGAGGCCATCAGTGAGCTCCTGTCGAGGCTCCGGCCCTCACACACCACGGCAGAGCTGGCCAGCAGCACATCAGACGGTGACGACACCGCCGCCACGAATCCGACGCCCCCAACGGCTGGGGGCCAGCGCAGCAGCACAAAGGCCACCGGTCTGGTGTTTGTATGGGCACTAGAGCAGGCGAGCAGCCGGCGCGGCTGGAGCGAGGGCAGCGAGCAGGACACGTTGGTGCCCTGGGTGATGCGGGCCAAGGGCCGCCCCAACGAGACGTTTCAACGCTACTATCACCTGTACAAGAAAGGCGAGCTCGAGGAGGACATTGTCGCTGCAGGCGGTGTGGTCGAGGAAAGTGGCTACGAGCGCGATAACTGGTGGGCAGTCTTTAGCCGGCCCCAGTCGTAGAAGGTCGACGAGATGGGTGGAAGGCACACACACACACACTCAGACCGCCCCCCTCTCCCCCCGAAAAAAAAGATCATGCGCGATCCTGGACAGTCCTCCTCCTTTCCTCCCCGCACACACCTTGTATACGGAGTTCGCCTACGCGAAATGAGTTGAAGAAAAGAACCCGGGAAGGGGGTCAGCGCAGAAAGATGGGGGATGGCAATACTGATAACCAGAAACAAGAGGGTTGTTAGAGAGCTGACACAAAATGACTGGCCGTTCCAACATATACTGAGCAGACTCCACTCAAAACTTGAAGTGATGATTGGAGAAGACTTGAAAAGGAAAAAGAATCAACATTAGAGTATCACACTTTTGATTTTGGGAGAGGATTTACGGAGTCGTTAGTTAACGGCCTGCTCAACAGATAAGACTGTCCCATTAGCACACAACTAAGCATGCCGAGGCGGCATTGAATACGTAATCTAACTATTCGGTATTATGGATTAGTCCTCAATAGTACATGAAATTTCAAAAATGAATCGAACACCTAGGCCAAAGGTCAACAGCATCGCGAGCAACAGAGGAAGCAAAAGAATGGTATCTCTTGCAGTGACATTAGCCAAATTATAGCCCCAATAGTGATAGTAAGTATCCTTGGTCCATTCCCAACCCGTCCACTGCATTGTGACTAGTTGTTTCGGAGTAAAGAAATCCAAGCGCTTGCTATGACCATATCCAAGTGCATAAAATTGAGTGACCAAAAAAAAACACGAAAAACGAGTAGCCAAAGAGAATAAAGGGCCGCCAAAAAGAATGGACTCCCTGAAAATGCCAATCCCTCGCCAAGAAAAATGAATCTAACGCTTATTTATATATAAACACAACTTTTGTCTTTCTCGCCGGCTGCCCCGAATCTGGGGGCGCTGCTGCTTTGTTTCGTGTGCAGCCGTGCCACTGTGCTGCTGTGGCCCTTTCTTTCTGGATGCGTATGTGTCATTAAAACGTTCCGCTTGCGTGCCAGCCGTCTGTCGGAAACCAGTTGTAGTCCTCGTGTTGTTGTTGTTGTTGTGTAAGAGTGGTGTTTATACTTTCCAAAAAACTGAAAAAAAAATCCGCGCTTCAAAATGCTCGACTCTGTATCCGCCCTGTAAAACCTTTGTACCAGTCCATATCCCATCATATCATGCCATCTAGTCAAATTCAAAAGAGGAAATTGTGCAAAAAGAAAGGAGAGAGAAGAAGAAGAAAACACTCCGCAAAAGCTTTGAATCATTCCATTCGTCGTCGATAATTGCTCTCGCGCAGTCGGTTGTCGGGACTGCCAGGTCGCTTCATCCGGCCGTGATCTTGCTCCCCGTACATGGACTGCCCCGGGGGGTGGCCGTGCGGCGGCATTCCGTGATGCATGCTCTGCGGCGGTCCAGGCATGTGCACCGAAGGGGGCGTAGAGTAGGGCGTGACGCCCGTGGTCAGTTCGGCGACGCCAGGCAGCGGACCGGGCACTCGTGGTGACGGCTGAGGCTGGATCGGCGGCAGGCCGTGGCCCATGTTGTAGATGTAGTCGGGGTGCGGTTGAGGCGGCTGTTGCTTCTGCAGCGGCGCCGACGTGACAGACGCCGGCATGGGATGCGGCGGCGGCGGACCGATCTGCATGCCCGCCGCATCACGACGGGACATGACGCCCGGTGGCCGCGGGCCGCCCATGGCTCCGTAAGACGATTGTGGCGGCGACGCTCGCATCTCGCGTCCTACACTCTCTTGCGAGTGGGAATGGGCGTGGCCTCGGATCTGGGCGTTTCGGCCGGCGGCCTCGGCATTGACGGCGGCAAGGGTAAACGGGGTTTGGCCGGCTCGGCGTGCCATGTCGTGTTCTCCAAGCTGCCAGTGCATGGCTTCTGCCGCACGCCACGGAACCTGTAATTCTTCCGCCACTTTCGCCCACATCTCTGCTTTGAATCTATCACCGTGTTAGTGTCGCATACATCGGTTGCACTATGGGCCGTTTTCGACGCTCGTTGCAGAAAAGCTGCTTCCAGAGACAATTTCGCTCGTCATGTTATTCATGTGTGCACTAACCTGTCATATAGCCGTGCGAGTTTGTTCTTGCGTTCTTCGTCCCACTCGCTGCGTCGTTCCAGATAATTTTGATAGTGTAGGCGGCAGCTGATGGAGCTTCGTCCAGGCAAGTGCTTCGAGACGTCGTCCCACTTCATTCCTTTGCCTCGGAGCTCGATGATGATGGCGTCTTCGTCGGCGGACCACTTGCTCTGCTTCTTGACCGGCTGTTGCGGATACTGTTCTACGCCTTGCGGAGGCAGTTGGCGTCGGCTGGACGAGCTACCACCTCTGGGAGGCAGCCGGGGCATCTGGTGGTGGGACATCTGGGAGGCCAGAGGAGGTGGTCCATGGGACATGGGCTGTGCGAGCATTGGGGCCGGCTGTGCAGCGGAAGAGAATACTGGAGGACGATTGGAGTCTGCTGACAGAATTTTCGACTCATCTGAGTCTTCTCGTTTGATGAGGGAGGCGATATCCACCGTGATGGTCGTTCGAGAAGCTCGTGCTGGCGTAGACTTCCTGAAACCACTTTTAGAGACTCGGCGAAAGTTGATGGCGGCGCTGGGAACAGTAGACGAAAAAGGAAACTCTGCCCGCGAGAGGCAGAGTAGTGACTGTGTCTCGGTTTGAGCCACGACTGCGATTATGGTGGTTGCGTGCCTGGTGCGGCGAACAGGCAGGCAACGGGGGTTTAATAAGGTGCTGCGGAGGAATGCGACGGATGAGGGAAAGAGCAGACGACGAGGCAGGGGTTCTTCTATTGTTGGGCTTCAGGCATGCGCGCCTTTGAGATTCGGAGAGAAGCCGGCTATGAAATAGTCAATGCCCAACGTAGGCCTCCCAAGTGTGGTTGGTGGTGGTCGGATATTTAGGTGTTGGGTTGTAATCAGTGGAGAGGGCAAGGCGTGGTAAGTGACGACTAGCGGCGAGCGTTGAAGAAGGAAGGTATTGGATCTTGGCTTGGCCTGGACAAGAGGTCGGGTACTGGTTGGTGAGGGCAGTGGCAGGATCAAAGACAGGTACTCAGTAGGTGTGTGTGTGTGTGTCTGTGAGTGTGTGTGGTGTGCGAGTGTATGTGTGGTATCTGGAAAAGAAGGTGTAGAGGCAGGTTGGCGTCGAGGAACGGTCAAAGTTGAAAGGTGGTTAGCGAGAGAGGGCAGTACACAGGTACTTGTACAAAGAGAGGAAGAGATGAGCAGAAGAGAAAAAGCTGGCCAGAAATAGTCACAGCAAAGCAGTGTTTATGAGGCTAGGCGTAAGCATGATTGGACATGCCGGGGTTTCATCCGACCAATGGGGGGAGATGAGCATAGCAGATGAGGCAGAGACTGACGGCGGCAACGGGCTCAGCACAGTACCACTGAATTCCATTCTTGTACGGGGTTGCTTTGCTTTGTACACGTTCTAAAAACGCCTAGCCCGGGGCGCCTGGATTAGACAAGGGTTCTCTTTTTTATTTATTTTTATTTTTATTTTCTTTTAAAATGGTATTCCCTGTATGTCTTGCCAACAGATCGGGTCGCGAAAAAATGAACGCACCAGCAGGGGTCCCCCCCTTCCAAGGCAAGTCAGTGTACGGAGTAGTGTTGCTCTTCATTCACCCGAGTCACAAGCATGCCCAAGCAAGTCCACATCAGGCCCATCAACGAGGACAAGCCAGGCCCCAGGTCAAGCAGCAGGAATAGGTAATAAGTGGGAGAGGTAGAAGCCAGACGGGAGGAGGGGCGTGTGAGTGTAGAGCCAGGGGTGTGTCTGTGGACGCAGGGGGGTGTTGACACCGTTGATGCAACTCTGGGGCTTGGGTTCTTTCTTGGGGCTTGTCAAGGTACAGGGTATAGGGCAGCATAGGGAAATAAACAGATGCTATCAGTACGCTTGGTATGACTGCATGCTGGGATGATGGCGGTCCAGAGTGGCTGGCTCCACGAGCGAGCGAGCAAGACGGAAGTTTGCCTTTGGTTTTGCGGAAAGGAAGCCGGAGGATGGTTGGGACCTTCTCAGCAGGCTAACTAACTAAGTGAACTGGGGTGTGGTAGATTGGGGATGTATCTGTCTTGTTGGAGGGGTGCAGTCCGGATATGCATCTGCTGTGAATGCTCTCTGTGTCTTGTGTGTGTGGTGTGTACTGCGAGGGTGTGCAACGGGGCGTGCGCGTTGGGGCACAAGGCGGGAAAAGGCATCACAGTCATGTATTGGGCCGGATTTCAATCTACCATGTAGTTATCAGTAGTTACGACGTGCGGTTATATGCTGGTTACCGGACATGATCGGTTGGGTAAAATGAAGCCGTCGTACAGATGAGCCTTTTCAAGGGTAATAAATGCAGGCCGGGGAAACTTGGCCACCTCTTTGTGCAGATGGGCAGATGGGCAGATGGGCAGTGGAGGCCTTGCACTTGGAAAGCTATATCAAGGTTGCTTTTTGTCTTATTTGAAATAGTAGGCCGAAGGAAAATGGAAGTTTTCTCCGTATTAATAAACAAAGGCGAATCGAACAAAGCGCAACCAAGGAGGGGCGTGTGAATGATGTGATGTGATGTGACGTGCAGAGCAAGCTTGACGCTAGAGAAACCAGGTTCACGAACAAGAGCACCCGAGTGACCAGACAATGAGAAGAGGAGTCGGCGAGACAAGACGGAAACAAGGACGGCAAAACGGGTGATGAGAACGAGAAAGGGGGTTCACACGGGAATTTTTGTGAGTTGTGAACAATTAGGGTACATTTTATGCGAAGCTAGCCGTGTTGGGGGTAATTGAATCATTTGTTAGGTGCAGTGAGTGGCAGCGAAGAGAAATGGGAGCCAAAATATTCGGAAGCAACTAACTAGAGAGAACATGGTGAGTTGGGGGAGAAACCAACTAAACAACACTCATAAGCTTCGTTGGCTTGGGATAACTAGTGATTCATAGGGCAGATGGGGGTCGACTAGGGTGACTAGGGGGCCCATTGTTGGGCTCTAACTCTGTGAGCCATGGATGGACGAACAAGGGGGTCATGAAAAGCAAAGTGGTGGGATGGAGGGGAGGAACTAGAACAGGAACAGGAACGGACAGGAACACCAGGAGTGTCATTTGCTGTACATTCACAAGTTGACACATGCGGCAAGGGCCGTCGACGGGAGAAAAGGACCGTCTCCCAAGGTTGTGACAGGAGCGTAGTACACGGTTCCCTTGTTGCACAGTGTGGCAAGCAATACGGCTACTTCAAGTCGTTGACTGATCAGTTGACGAGGCTCCAGCGTCGGGCGTTTTCCCCCCTGGGGCCTTGGAGTGCCCTGCGTCTGATTGATTGATTGATTGATCTGGCATGGCACGACATGGGAAGCGTGGAGTAACTGAGTAACGTACGTGGGCGAGTAAATCGGGGAGCGCGGTACGGAGCACTATGGCACGGCACGCTGGGCCACAAGAGGACGAGGAGGCCAACGTTATTAGCTAGTTATCTAGTTGTTAGCTAACTATTTGACTCGGAGGGTTGGTTACGGAGTACTAGAGTGTAATTGGATAAAAAAAAAACGTTGTGCATCTGGAGTCGGCTCGCCTCGCCTCGCCTGGCGTTGAAGAATATGGAACGGCGAGCATAACTATGTTTCTGAGTCCGCCAAGTGTGTAACATGGCATGATGCAGCATTTTAGTGCCACTTTATTTGTGCCAGTGTCTTGTGCTCTGATATGCAGCAACGCTGGCGCATGTCTGGAACAGCGTAGATGACATGGCTGCTTGTTGACTGAGACACAGTCCACAAATCTGGGCAACAGCACTCTATTATTGCTGACCGTCTGTATATTTTCATTTTTAGTTTTTTCCCACTAGTTATGGAGTCCTTTTCAACCAGTCGTCAGCTCTCCCGTGGCGTTGATGAGAAGATCCTTTTCTTGCCATCTTGTGCATGTAAGTGGGCGACAGAGGAAGGAAGCTCCCCTTGTCTGACAAGGCCGCCGCTTGGACGTGGGGGGCAGAAAGCAGGCGCCTCTCTTCTTTTCTTCTTTCTTTTACTGGATCACCGGTAAGGATACGGGATTTCTTTTTCGCCGTGATATTAAGTGCACACCCACTTTTCTCCCTTTCCCACAATGGTAACTGGAATTGCTCGCATCCGATGGGATAAGCGGGCGGCGGACGAGGTCGACGATGCTTTGCAAGGTGCAGCCGTCTGAACACTGTCTGGGCTTGGCGATTTATACTTTATGCAATCCATCAAACTACTCTGGAGATTGTCGAGGCAGGGAGGCAGACGAGTACAGCACATGATGCTGTGCCTGGTCTCGGGAGCATCATGGTCAACAAGGAAGCTGGCCACGCACTTTCAAACGGTTGAGAGGGCACGGTGGTGCGATTGGGTACAAATTACAAAGGGCTTGCGTATCCGGACATGCGAATACGCCCGCGGCCAGGCTCGAGCAGGCTTGCGTATGCTTTGCTACGTGTGATTTTAGATGATGCCCCCTGTGTTGGGCGACTGCCACTTACCAGTTACGTGGGCAGCATTAGCAGCTGTTGTGTTATATACGAGGATTATTAGATATAACTATGTAGCCACGACGGTTGGACCAGCGATTCGTTGCGGGCAAGCCCCCGTCTCCGCATGGGCTGAGTCTCGAGTGAAACAAGCATCCGGAGATTTATTTTTTGGTATTTTGTTTTTTTTACGCTGCTGCTGCAGTTGATATTGGGACCAAGTATTAGACGCCGTGTACTCCGTGCTGGCAATGGTAATGCAATTACAAAACACGTAACACGAGACGGGTTGTGCTACGTGATTGTATGACGGTGATGGTATTACCCCAGACATGCGGGCATGCAGATGACCCGTGGTGTAAAAGAAAAGGTGTAGTGTAAAAAAGAATGTAAAAAAAGAACAAGACGGGAAGGGGAAAAAAAAAAAGAATAAAACAAGGACAGGCACATCCGCGTCATTGGACGATGACGCGGTGGCTCGGTTGTCGATGTATAGCACGAGTAATGATGCCTGGCGGGGAAAGACTACGAGGTACGATGCAGACCGCTATGATGCTGATGGAGATGCTATTTTCTGACGGGCAATGTGCGCTGACAATGCTGAGCAAGACCGCTACTAGGTACAGGTAGGTAAGGTACGTCTACTAAGGTACTAAAGAGCTGCGACGGACCCTGACCGCTGCTGTGGCACAGTCAGTTTAGCGCATCGCTGCAGCACCCCCAAATAGCCTAAATGGCGAGGAGATGGGCAGGAAAATAGGGCCCTCCCCGCCCTACCCCCACCATCCACCATCCGCGCACCTGTCACGCCTGACTGACAGCTGGATGGACATGGCTGCACGGTGCACCTGCCTGTGCACTTTGCACTTGCCTTGCCTTGCCTGCTTGCCTGCTTGCCTGCCTGCTGCTTGCCCTGCACCTGTCTCTCGGCTGTCCGCCAACCCGCTCGTCAACCCTCGCCAACCCTCGCCAACCCCATGCAAACACCACCACCACCTTTTTCCTTTTCACACTCGCACACACACACACACCACCACCACCACCTCCTCCTCCTCCAAACGCATCACACTCACACAACAAACCATCGCGCCAACTTCCATCCCACACCGGTTCTTTCCCATCATCCTCTTGACCGCCAGCCTCCTCCGAATCAGCTCCAACCAGCACACCAGTTCATCGGTCAAGGAATGCGACTCTTCAATGCAACGCTAACCCTACCGCCCCTCGTGTCTAGTCGTCGTCGACGTGCACCTCCGCCCTCACTAACGACGCATTCGTACAGACTATTAGTTACCGCTCGTTGGCTTTCCGCCGCCTGCCTCGACCATCCGGACAAGACGTTTCCCGTCTGGCCTCTTGTCCTCGTCCTCGCCACGCGAATCACGAATGCCGTAGCCCAAATTTGTCATCCTTGTCCGCCCTTGGTCCCCTAGTTCTCAGCACACACCCCTGTTCTGTTCCGCATCGTCAATGGACCGTCGCGCCGCCTCTGGCCTTGCCTCCTGCGACATGCTGCACTGTATTTGATTCCACGCCCTCAAGATTGCGCGGTGGCGGATCAGGCGGATCAGGCTCCTGCGCGGGCCGCCGGTGGGCTGACTCTGGTTGCTACACATTGTTGGCGTTCCTGGCGCGGCCTGCCTCGTTCCTCGCTCCTGTCTTGGGACTGTGCCTGCCAGCCTGCCCGCTCGGCTGGGCCTTAATCCTCAGGGCAAAGCCAGGACCAGCCGCTCTTCTTTCACACGTCTGCCACCAAATCGACCTCGTCAACTTTTGTCTTGCCTGGCCGCGCCAAGGCCCTGGCTTGCCAGCCCAAGCCACCCCAGCCCCAGGTCTCGCACGCTGCATCGGGTCTCTTCCTTCAACAACGAATGGCAGAGACGTCGCTCGCTCTTGCAAGGTTCAAGGTCCCCAGCTTGTTCATGCGAGCCGGGTGCTCAAGCCATGTCCTCCTCCTTACTCGACTCGCGACGAAATCAGGCTACCACTAACTAGTTACGGGTACATACGAATACTCTAACTAATACCAACCAGACTTTTAACTAGGTATTAGTTATTAGTTACCAGTCCTATCCTTACTCGGCCGCACCGCACTTCGAGAGAGATTCGTTGTCAATGGCCCGTCTTGCCCTCCACCCACTTCCTCTGCTTCCAGAATCCATCTAGCGTCACCTGCCCGCAAGAACCAGGGGATATTATTGGAAACTGGAAACAGAATAATGCCGCACCACTCTAGTCTTTTCCCGCTTCTCTCTTGACGCTCTTTTATTCGCCCAGCCTGACTCCGCGCGAGTCCACTGCAAGTCCACTGCACGTCGACAATCGTGCATGCTGTCCCAAGACCTCATCTGCCGTATTTTTTCCTGCCACTTGCTCATTTCGCGGGGCCCCGATTTTAGGTATGTGTATCCGTAAACAAGACTGCACTCGAGTAATGCCATCCAGACGGCTTGCCTCGATTTACAAAGGCACTTGCAACCATTCCACAAGAGTGTGGGCTAATGATAAGTCTGCCTCAGCACAGCACTATCTATCAGTACACCAAGGCATGCGGTGAAGCAACCCGTTGCCTGCCCGGCGCAAAATGCTCGCGTTTGTGTGGTTGTCACTGAACCTCTCTCTATATCTACTCCGTACTGCTGACCAGTATTATTGACCGCGTTATAGTCAATCTAGGCGATTTCACTTGCCCCAATTTTCCTTCAGTACCCAAGCAATCGGGTTTCTCAAATGGTCTGCTCTGTCTCAAAGTACGAATATTTGGAATTCTAATACTACTTGCTTCCGGCTACCCGCCGTTATCCAGGTGGTTCGTCCTGCTCGGCGCCGCCGTTCGTTGCCGCCCCGTCCGCTATGACACTTGATGCTAGCTTGTACCACTACGTTGGTCCGGGAGTTCGCTGCCAGATGGTTCCGGGCAAATTTTTAAAGTTGGGGCCTCAAAACGATTATGTTTTGCGCGACAGGCTTGAACTGCTTACCAGGGCCCAGGGGTGGCGTGCAGGGCTCCCAGTTACCAGACCATTGGGCTCGCTAACAATGGGTTGGGTGCTAACGAGTTATGGGTGAAGGAGCAGAGAGTTTACCGAAAACCCTAGTTAACTACGACTTACCAATGCCGTCTACTGGTACTCGTCGTCACTCTGCTCCCCCATGTATAATGATCCAGCCGTGTCACTGGCTGGTGGATACCGCTGCAAGCCAAGACCGCTTTTTCGAGAGCAGATATTTGGCATCGTGGATGCCAGACAGACGTGCGCCTTGCATTTTCTCGCGTATGTACGAAATCAGTCCCCCCATGGCGTACGGCGATGCCCGCTGGCCCCTTGTCGCCCCTGCTTCCGTCTAATTAATGATGTGCCCAGCAAGGAATAATTGTGGCTTGTCAGTTGCCCAGCCTGAGATCTCGGGTCCAGATGGAGCTGCCACAGACTGTGACAGACAGCACAAACATGTTCAGTAATGCCAGGTATCCGTACCAAGTACTGGTACATGGCAGAATGCCCTGGCCTAGGCATGTCACCGCGTCACCACGCTGGCAGCACCACGTACTCGCCTTTTCTACGTGTTCTTGCGTCCCCAAGTTCAAGCTGTTCGTTGTAAGCCGCAATGCACCCACGTATGGCCGTTTCATCACAATGTGTACCAGCAGCTTTGAAGCCCCTATCATGGACGGCAGTACGTACTCGTCGTACACAACTGTGCGCGCCCTGGTCCAGCTTCTACTCTGTTGATGAGACTAAACTGGCGGAAGCCACCGGGCCGGACCCGACAAGCTGGATCAATCCCCACTACAAACAATCTCGAGGGGACATCAAAAGCAATCAAGGAACAAAGTGGCGCTGTCTACTCCGTACGCGAGTACGGAGCACTAGTTCAGTCAATGCTTATTAGACTACTGGCTCAGCTAAGCCGATTTGCGAGTCGTTCACAACGTCCATCGCGCCAAAAGCGGGCAGGGGGGGCCAAATGGCAACAGACTAACGCAAGTGAGGCTCTCCAGCCGTGAGCTGGACAGCATACCGCCGCCACCTCGTTGTTGAACTTCAGCTCGCCAGCGGAGGCGTTTCATAGAAAGTACTTTATTGCATGGAAATCTCACCTTTTTCTGCAGAATCGCTTCTCCCAGCATGTTGGGCATGCCATCTCATCTCTTCCGGCAGCTCGGGCCCGCCACTTTCCGTCGCTTACTGATGTTCCATTGGGCAGCAACAAAACGCCACAGTCAAATTCCGCACAGGTTGGGCTGTCAATCAAATTCGTACGTACACATATACCCTCCCTTTCCACACCGATGTTTTTGCCAACTATTACTGTTTAGATTAGCCGAATAAGCTATGCCGACGCCGCCAAGGTGGCCGTGTCTCACTCATCTATGAGCCGGTGACCCCGTGGGCTGCAATTATACTTTATACAGCCTCTTGCTCTTGACCCCTTGTCGCGTATTGCTTCCTTCAATGTACCACTACATCACACTTGTGGCTGCATTGTCGGGGGAGGGTAATCTGCAAATCGCGACGATGCTCAGCATGGTGTGGTGGATCTGTGGCGTTTGATACATGGGTCACTGCCATCTGTCGTGAAAGGGGCGCACTACAGAGAGAGAGAGGCTGCGAATACCAGCAGCACCCCTCGGCCCATTCGAATAGCAAAGATGCTCAACACTTGTTCTCGTCTGGCCGGATTGCCGCCCAACATGGGACGCCTCACATGTTGACTTGCTCGTGCCCGCTTGCCAGGGTGTAAGAAACGGTGGCTGAGGGCAAAGCAAGCACCGCTAATTCCTACTAGCAAAAGCAAGCATGATATCCGTGCCGGATCCCGCTCCGCGACATGACTTGGCCTGACCGCCACCAAGAGCAGCATAAAAAGGCGTGCGTACCAGTACACGCACTGATACGTGCATGTCAGTTGTCTCTTTTCTTTTGCTGCCAGCGCCTCTCGCAGGCGTGGCACGCCTGCCACGCCCCCAGCTCCGGCACTCTGTACACCACGGACCGGGTCGCTGGGTGAACATGGAGTTCCAAATCGAGTGGGCGAAGTGAGCACAGGCTCCTCGTCCCGTGATGATGACAGTTGGTAGGTATCTATGTACAAGTTCATCGACAGTCGGGCCGCCACCGCCTTCTGCGAAAAGCCACTTGGCCCCATAGGCTCAGCCGCGTGCGTTGGCATTTTCCATTGAGCGGGTTGGGCAAATTGTACAGCATCTCTATGATGCATCGCTCTGCCTTGGGCTGGGCCGGGCTAGGCTGGGCAGTGCTTGCGGTCAAGTATCGCGTTCCTGTTGACCGCTAGTTTCCAGATTTGTATTTTTTGGGGGGTTGCTTGCATCGCAATAGAGGGTGCATCGTGCCTACCGCTCGAAGCGCCATGAATGGGGAGGCTGCCAGCTCGCCTTGATGTATGCAACCCACTGCGCATCATTGGGGACTGGTCAGAGGCTTTGTGCCTGCTGCTGCTGCAGAACATTCGGTCAGTGGTTTGGTGGCCCAATCAAAATAGGCAGTACCTTGCGCAGGTGCAGCAGTTCATGCACCCGGAACTAGGTGAGCAATGTGGAAGATGGCCTGGTGAGCTGAGTTGTGATGTGTACCTCTCTCTATTGTACAATTCGGCCCCTTACCCACCCCGCGTCACACGACGCAGCATGGAGGCGTATTCCAGAACCAGATGGACGATGCCGCCCTGAGTTTATATGCCGATCCCGAGCCCTCGGGTGAGGCTTGAAACTTTTACTTGCAAGTATTCCGCGCGCCGTGCGTTGGGCAGGACTACTTGCGACCACTTACAGTCTTGCCGAGCGGAGCGTCGGTGTACTCGTTTCGTCTCGTTTGGTGGACTTTTCTCGGTGTCGACAGTTCCGTGGGAATAAACGACTACCTGTCGGTGCACAAGAAGCCGCATTCGCGTTGTCTACAAGTGAGGCGATGCCTGCGCTGTTCCGTGACCGCCTGGCCCGTCTACGGTTGGCCACGTCTGCCGGCCCCTCTGTTGACATTTTCCCGGCTACTCTTTTTCCTCTTCTTTATCATCCCGTCTGTAAATCATCATCTCGTACCACAGAGATGGAAGGAGTGACATCTATTATTGCACAGCACGAGCCTTGTATTCCAGCGTGGGGGCAGAGCGTGTAACGAGTGACCTTTTTTTTCTTTGTCGGTGACGTAGTGCAGCGCATCGTCTCCCGTTGCCGGGGCCCTTTCTTGATTGGTGCACTACATGTACTGGTGAGTGCACTGGCATGTGCGGCATGCAGACAGACTGGCCTACCTGCAGCATCGACTACTGTGAAACGCCCGCGGTGGCCACAAGGGGAGAGAGATTTGGGGGTGATGATTTGGGGGTGATGTCTCTTTTCTCCGCCTACGCGCATCCATGGATGATGATGAGTGGGTGGTGCGTGTAAGCGGAGGCGCATGTGTGCTTTTTTCTTTCAGTCTCTCTCCTGACGGCAGATAAAATCAAGGATTCCCGGCTTCATATCAGTTGTTATTATGGTATGATTTGTCATGGTTGGTATCGGTGCCATAGAACCGGTATCCCGAGGCCTTGGGTGGTGTGTTGCCCCTCGCGAACCCATGGTGAGGCGTGACAGACGTGCAGATGCGAGTGTACGCGGAGCCCGAATGTTGCGTGCATATGTCGCGAGGCTGGATAATAGTTGCGCGGTTGTGAATGACATCCTTCATATCGGGGGGGGGGCTTATGCGAACTGTTTGACTTGGGTGTATCATGTTGAACGTTGGTCATAATGTACACGTACACCATCGCCAAACAAACGACCTCTCGGCGTAAAGCCCGACATTGCTAGTATTGCTTTTTCCTTTTCAGTAGCAACGCACTGCCTGAGAAAGAACGGAAACGGAGTCATCATGATCGAAATGAATCTTGTTGACCATTTTTCCCAAGCTGGGGCCCAAAGTCGATCGGGCAGCTACCCTGAAAGGTTCCGCATTGTGCCACATGTGGCTGGTGCTCCGTCGTGGCTAACAGCTCTCCTTCTCCCTTCTCCCCTCCTCCCCCCCACCTCGAAACACCAACGCCCCAAAGGCCTGATGAACCACCTCAGCTCTTGCATTGTGCCAGTTACGGCCCCTTCGTTTCCAAGTTTGGCATTTCCAGATTGCAAAGAACACGTAAAAGAGATCAAGGACGTTACTCTATTTGGACACCAGCCGAAGAACCCTGCACTCGTGCTTGTGTCAGAGACGACAGACGACGCCCCCTTCTGCGACGAACCCCACGTTTTGCCTCGAACCATCAACGGTTCAACCCCCCCTTGTTGGTGCCAACGAGATTGAATAAATAGAGCAAATTTCGCAACCAGCTCCCCGGGACAAGGCTAGCAAGGTATATTTTTTTTCTTCTTTTTTTCTCGAGTGTCTCGGACCCCTCTGGTTAAGGATGGATCATTGTTGAAAAAAAGAAGGATTCCAAAAAAAGAAAAAGTGTCGTTGAAAAAGGGGGCTTGAGCGTTTCTCCTTTATTGTTCTGTAAGACCCCCCTCACGCCCCCTCCCCTTGCATCATTGCATGCCAGACAAGATCCTGGGGGAACGACTCAAGACACACACACACACACTGGCAAAGCACAGTTCACACATACTGGTACATACAACACACACTACAAGACATGGACAAAGCGTTGCACATTTGGGGGCACGCACTCAGCACTGCAGGGGAATAACGTTAGGGAAGAAGGAAGAAGCAAACGTTTCATCTAAACAATGAGACGAACATTGATTCCTTCTTCTCAAACCATGGACTTTTCTTTTTTTGGGTCGTCTTCTTTCAAGGGTTTTTTTTTTAGAGATTGCCGCGCCAGTTGTTCGTCTCATACTGCAACCATCGCCCTACTATTATTGGTTCACCGAAAAAGCTAACCTTTTTTGTATTTTTTATTTAGAACAGACCGAGACTTGTTTCTTCCCAACAAGCCTTGGGCAGTGAATTTTCTTCTTCTTTCCTTGGCGGGCACACACGCAACAGAAATATACCCGACAAGTTTGCTTTCTTTTTTTGTGTTGTGTGTTTTGTGTCTCGGAGGGCCAATTCTTCCTGTTTTTCTGTGGACTTTTTGAGGCCAAAAAGAAAAAGCGCCAAAAGGCGAAACCGGACAAAAAGCAAGTGAAACCATGGCAGACGTACCCATGTATGTCATCTCGGAGAATGCTTCGTCTGAACGTCGCATCACCCCCTCATGGAGCATCGACACGTTCAAGACGAAGCTCGAGCCCATCACGGGAATTCCGCCGTCGGCGCAGCGTCTCAGCCTCAAGGCGTCCAAGGCGGCGGGGAGCGTGCCCCTGGAGGCGGTGGATGAAGAGAATACCTTCTTGAGCAGCTTTCAGCTGGTTGCGTACGGCGAGATTCATGTAAGTCTATTGCTATTTGTGCTTTGTCTTTGCAGGGCTGGGTTCTCGCTGGTTCTATGTGGATGGCAGGTGGGCGACAAGTCTGACTTGGAGAAATTGGCGTCCGAGGCTGGCAAGACATGGCTTCAAGCTGTATCTTCACTTGCATATGCACACAAGATGACATGCATATGACAGCGAAATTGCATATGCACTTGCGCGACTTGTGGCAGTATCCGAGATTGTGGCCATGATTGACGACGACTACGACTTTCAAACGCAGAAGAGCGGGAGATGTCTACAGCTTGAGAAGCAAGCCAGAAAAAGAGTGCTAACAGCCATGCAGGTAGCTGATACCCGTCCCGCGGGCATGCGCGTCAACTTCAATGACACGTCGGGAGTGGAGAGATATGTCATGCCCGAGACTGAATATCAAAAGAAGTCGGACTCGGTGCTGGCCTGGAAGAAGGCGCAGAAGCTCGGCCGCTTTGACCCGAGCGCGCCGGACCAGGAGCAGGCGCGCGTGTCTGGCTTTGCGCGGGAGATTGAGACGCGCGGCATCGCGCAAGGCAAGCGGTGTCGGGTCGGCGGCGAGGATACGCGGCGGGGCGTGGTCCAGTACGTGGGCGAGGTCGGGGAGATTCCCAACGGCGCGGGACCGTGGATCGGTGTGCACCTGGACGAGCCCGTGGGCAAGAATGATGGCAGCATCGCCGGGAAGCGGTACTGGGGCGCCGAGTCGGCGATGAAGCACGGCGTCTTTGTGCGGCCGGAGCGGGTCGAGGTGGGCGACTTTCCGGCCCTGGACGACTTGGAGGACATGGAAGAGATTTGAGGGCGAGTGACAAGATGAGAAGAAGGCTGATACACTGATGAGGACAATGACGTCCACAATGACAGGTCACGAGTTGTCCTGATGCCAATCGCTCGCTACCTTGGTCCTATATATGGTTTGCGCCAGGTGCTTGGCGTGGAACGGCTAGAGGGTTTTTGACACTCGGCAGAGAAGAGATGCCTGAAATAAGACGAGTAGTTATTCCATATGCATGAGAATCCTCACGAGATGGTTTGGGAGTCGTCCCGGATTCTGAAACGGCGTTGCTGCCTTGTTGCATTGACAAGTTGTGCTTCAGCGAGCAGGCGCGTGGCAAGGGGGGGTTCATTTTGCCACATTTGTGTGAAACAGGCGTAGGTTTTCTTTGTTGTGCGCAACATGTATTTGTCAAAGTCATGTGGTAAGGGCAAGAATATAGTAAAGATGGTCAAAAGTAGAAGAAAGGCGTCATGTTGGCAGCCAGTCTCGACTTGCAGCTGCCAAGTTGGTGGCAGCGTGGTGGCGGCCTGGGCAGAGGCTTGGCCGGCCACGAGGTTGTTTGCACAGTAAAGATGGAATTGTTGACTAGGTACCTAGGTATCCAGGGCTTTTTTGGGTTGTACTATTTCCACTCTCCCGGATGAATCCGCGTTACTTGTCCGTAGGGTGGGATGTCGGCAACCCGGATATGTCGGGAGAGTTTGGTGTTGGCTGCGAACCAAATGTATCCTTTGGGTTGGAATTAGGTTCCAGGGTACATGGGGACAAGGCGGCGCCAACGCCGGGTGTTCAGCGACCCGTTGGCAAGCGGTTTCAGTGGGTTCTGGCGTGCCGTAGCGGTTCCATTCTGCAACTAGCGCCAGCCGCTGGCTGAACTATGATGGTGATTTACCTGGGCATCATCTTGGCTGGTCACTTGACAAGGCATTGAATAAACTGCTGGAGAACAAGGACGCTCGGGGGAAACATTTGGGAAGAACTGGATAATCGGCAAACCATACTCTATAGAGATGGCCTGTTTGAGGCTGGTCCAAGAAGGTGTAGAGTCGCCCGTTGAAACGGCAAAAGCCAAGTTCCGTTCCATGGAAGGTACCTACCTACCTACCTACCTACCTAAGTACTAGTTAAAGGTACCTGCCGACAGCTATCGCCGCCTGTCAGTCCCGCAACTCGTCACTCGTCATGCCCGCCTCGTTTTCTCTCCGTTCCACCAACCACCAGCACCCCAGATCAGATACCAAGCGCAAAAAAAGCCACCCAAGCTTCTGGGCTGCAATAGACTTTTTTTTGCCTCTTTGCCGCCCATCCGACCTTTCTCTTCCTTTTCTCCTTCTCGGTCCTGGCTGGCTTTTCTCTCCTTCCTCCTTTCGCCTCCTTCGAAATCCGGTGATGCACATGCGCGCTTGTTCTGCTTCTCGCCCCTCTGCCCTTTGAAGGAATTCCCGCCAGCTCCCGTCCCGGCATCGCCCCCGAAAACCCGTCCGCGTCACTCTGGCAGGTTTGGTACGAGCGCCCGTTGATTTTGGCGTCGCCCCCGGCTGGCCGCCGCCTCCAATGACTCGAAACGGCTACTTAAAACGAATGCTTTTCGCGGCGTTACCTGACAGAACTCGATCCTCCATCTGAGACCTCTTTGTCGCCTCTTCTTTCTTGTGTCCGTCGTGGTCACCAGCGGCGTGCCCCTCCCCCCTCTCCCCCGGTAATTCCGGGCCCCTCAACGAACGCCCGCCAACGACCGGCGACGGGGATCGGATCATGATGCGGATTGCTCGCGCGGCGGCGCTAATGGCGCTCGCGCACAACGTGGTGTACGAGGCGGCGGCGGCATCGGATGACATCTCGACGACGTCGCCACAGACGGACACGCCCGACTGGCTCGCAAACGAAAGCCTCGCGCTAACCCTCGTCAACTCGGCCACGCCGGGGCTGCAATACCCGGTGCTGCCGCTCACCAGCAACATGGGCCTGAACGGATCGGTCAATACTGGTCGGGTAGGTGCGGCACTTTTGGACAAATAGAATCGTGAACTGACATGGGCTTGCAGACCATGAACATCCAGGGCGACATTACACTCGCCGACCAGAACAACTACTACAAACTGTCCGGACTTGGCCACATTGCGTATCTGTGCTGTGATGACGCCGATAAACAGGACAATTTCAACATAAGCCCCAACAAGATGCTCAACCAGCTCATGGGCTCCAACCTCTCGGCCATCATCCTGTATTCGGCCAATACAAACTGGTGCTCCTTTGATAGAAACAATGGCCCGTCGTACTCGAGCATCGTCACCATGGCTGACAAGGGCGATGCCGCTGACGTCTTGGCACACATCACTGGCAAGTCGAGCAACCAGACGCTGCTCGTCTCCATCAAGGGCAACACAACCGCGCCCGACACGGCCGGCGACAACCGCGGCCACTCGACCGTCGCCATGAGCGTCCTCTACAGCATCACGGGCCTGATTACGCTGCTGTTCCTCGCCATCATCATCACTGGCACCGTGCGCGCGCACCGCCATCCGGAGCGCTACGGTCCCCACAGCGGTTTCGGTCGCCGACCCCGGCAGAGCCGCGCCAAGGGTATTGCACGGGCCGTGCTGGAAACCCTACCCATTGTCAAGTTTGGCAACGACGAGCACACCAAACCCGACCCGGAACTGGAGCTGGAACCGACGGTGACTGCAAATACCGACCACGCAGCAACGGCCGTTGTTGCTGCGGGCGGGCTAGGAGGCGTAGCGGATAATACAGACAATACGGACAATACGGGCAATACGAACAAGAAGGAGACGCTACCAAAGGAGCAAGAAGAAACGCGCAAAGACGCACCAGAAACGGATGCGGATGCTGCGAATACTGGCCAGATAGCCCCGGCAGAAAGTGCCATGGCCGAATCTGCTAATGCTCAGGCCAGCTCTGAGCAGGGAGACGAGCATCTTGGCTGCTCTATTTGCACTGAAGACTTCCACGTCGGCGAGGATGTCCGAGTCTTACCCTGTCACCACCAATTCCATCCAGGCTGCGTTGACCCGTGGCTGGTCAATGTATCTGGCACGTGTCCTCTCTGGTGAGTCGTGCCCTCGTGCTCCTCTCTGAAACACGCATATGCTAACCCCCAACGCAGTCGTTACGATTTACAGCCGGGCCGCCACGACGCGGCAGCGCCCGAACTGCCACCGCCTCTGGCGCTCGAGGCCGAGGACAGTGAGTCGACGGTGTCGTCGCGCCATAGGACGTCTCGCCTATTTGACCTGAACCGGCTGCGCCACCTGTCCCCGCAGGACCGCATCGCGGCGCTGCGCGAGATGCGAGCGCCACGCAATGGCAGCGGCGAGGCGGCGGCCGAAGGCGAAGAAAGTGGACGCGCTGCCCGCTTGGCTGCAAGGCTGCGCGACAAGTTCCGCATCCGGACCAGGGCGCAGACATGATGTCTGGCTTTCCCCAAGGGTATTGGTTCTTGTATATGACAATGAATCAACCCAAGATGGCGCCACGAAATTCCCAAGAAACAAATTGCTTTTGAGAAGTAGCACTCGGAGTCTTGGAACACATTGCCATGTTATATGATGATACACACCCTTTTATGTACGGCGCTCGGGCTAAGTAATTTTTTTGATTTTTGATTTTTCTTTGTCCAACTTTACTTTATACAGGGAGGAAGGCGTGCGGGGAGTTTGCTTACAACCAAGGGTAAACGAAATTTGAACATGATTTATTCCCTCGTCTATTGCACCTTAAACGTGACTGTTGGCGACACGGAAGGGGGTGCAGAAACAAGGAACTCTTGGCCGTGGCTTTGTTTTATTTATTTTTACAGTTTGTGATACCCCAAATAACCTTGAAAGACGCGCCGCGCCGTCGACCCGTTGTGGCTTGAGGTCCTTTTGAAATGGAAAGACGTGAGTGAACAGGATTGTACGACAGAGACTCGAAACGTGCTCGTATCGGATTTTCAGCACATGACTTTTTTCATTTGCAAAAGAGTTTACATTGACCCATCCCGGGTTTTTATGGATGGCGTTCTTGTCTTGGCAACTTGCTGAATTGTCACCATGCCGCGTTTCAATGACACCCTGGAGATACATCTTGCTGGACGTCGGCGTAACCACTCGCTTATTGCTTCGCCGATAGCAGTCTTGTGCCCCCACCTTCAGTCGAGGCGATTCTGTTCCCCGAATAGGGCCGCAGTAGATGGGGGGGTGCACCGAAGGCGGGTTGGTCGTACAGCGCGGCCAATAGTCTGACCATTGCAGATCCCCCACCTCTTCGGGATCTCCTTGATGATTTATTGAAAAAGAAAAACCAGAGCCTTGGTCTCAGTGATACTTTATGTCCAATAATGTACCGTTTCTGCTTGATACACTGGTTCTTGGAGGATAATGACGTACGGCCACATCATCCAACCCCGCGCATCGAATGATGGAGAGCAGAGAAGAACCGGCGGCGTAACCTACAGCCTTGATTCTATGGAGGGCCCTTTTGATCTCTTGTAGGAGCATCTGACACCTTGCTTTTAAAAAGAGAGAAATTTCACCCCCTCCGTAACCGTCGTCTTGGCGAGTAGGTACCGTACATTTTGCTTGGCAGGCACGTCCTCGAGTGCACAACACCGCACTGGACTGAATCAAATTGTTGTTGCGCGCCTCTTCTTCTGGTTTACCCCCCCGAAAACCTGTTTTCTATTTCTTCCCGTCAGAGATCCTCGTCGACCCATCATTCTTTTTCCTTCTTTTCGCTCGAATCCTCGCCAATCCCTCCCTCTCGCCTAAGGACCCCCCTCCCCCCAAACGGCCGATGCAGACGACAACCCTCGAATCTTCCTCCAAAACGTTCTCCCTGCGGACCGTTACCCAGCCCTTGCATCGGCTATCGGCAATCACCTCACAAGCCTGACGCTTGCCTTCCGGGGGGCTTTTCGAGTAGAAGCACTAGGCCATGACCACGTCATCGGATGGACAGGCACCAGTGCCGTTGGTCGGCCAGGTGGTCAATGTCGTCTTATCCCTGGCTGCCACGACTGTGCTGTCACACTTTATGAGTATGTACTCTCGTCGTCACTTGGTGGCGAGCTAGGCTGGAAAGCTATAGTCTAAGCACTTTGGAATGGGCTCCTACTGATTGAAATGCGCTGTAGCACAGCGCATACTTGTCATCAGGGTCTGGCGGCGACTGCCCTTTGTTGCGTGGCGTAGGTTTCCGCTGTTATACTCCGCATCGAAGAATGAGCATCATGACCGGGATGGCTGATATTTCTTCTTTGACGCTCAAAGTCGTCTTTGCGATATACGTTGACTCGTATTGCTTCGTGTTTGCGACAGCTATGCTGCAGCACGCATTCGGAGTCAATCGCAACCTGGACGTTTGTCGCGGCGCAATACTTCTTTGTCTTGCATGCTACGTGACGACCAAGGTAGGTGCAACTTGTATCATGGAAATGCATTGAGCTAACTTGATTCCTAGATTGTTGGTCTTCTCCAAAAACGGGCCGCGCTCTGTTCTGACATTTCTAGTTTATCTATCTGTTCCTCGTCGAAAAGGCAGTGAGTCATGCACACATTGTAGCTCTGATGCGTAGCTAATATCGTGAAGCATGTTATTCGAGCATCTACGAAACTACGGCTTCAGTCAAAACTGTACATTTTCAACTCGTTTGGAATGCTGGGAGTGTACACCGTTGTCGTCATTCTCAATTTTATCTTGTACGTATTTCACCAGCTTGATATATCCTGAGACTAACAACACAGCCGGATTGCCCGTATGGAAAATGGACAGTGCATAATTGGTATGCAGAGCATCTCCATGATACCTCTGATATCCTTTGACGCCGTTGTCAATGTGTACCTGACCATTCTCTTTCTCATACCGTTGAAGAGTAAGTTTTCGCGAACAACTGATGGCCTCCAAAAATGCTGAGGTAGTAGATTTATATTCGTTCAAAAACATGCCCGAGACTCACGTCAATGCGCGGCTTCGGACGGTTGCCTTTCGGACCTTTGTAGGCTCCTGCTGTACGCTGTTGAGCAGCATTGTGTATGCCATGCCATTCCCGAGCCTCCAAGCTACCGAGCACTAACACGCCAGAGAAATTTATCCGTTTTGATGGCTCTTAACGGCGAGCCGGGATGGGTGTGCCTACTATGCTGCAATCTGGACAGTGCGTAACCAACTCTTGGGCTTTCATCTCATCAGTCACTAACGAGAGCAGTTTTGTTCTCTGCCATTGTGATACAATGGGTCACATCCAAGGACAATGCTGGAACATCCATCAGCAGCTCTCTGAGGGTCTATAATGGGAATGGTAACGGAAATTGCAGCCCATATGGTCAGCATGTGAAGGCGCCACATGACCGGCGTCGTTTATCCCGCAGCTTTTCGCCTTGTCTCCTCGATGCAGCCAGCTCGTCGCCGACGACCCCCTCCGAATACCCGCTCGTGACTACAACGCGCTGTTGCTCGCAGGCGGTCGAGTACGACGCCGAGTCGTACGACTCGGCAAGCATGTCGGCGGCCAAGATACTCGCCGCCGAGCAGAAACGTCCGGCCGTCATCGTGACGACGACCATTGAGCGCGACACCGCACCCATCGAGACTCTGGATTCACCATTGAAGCAAACAACGTCGCATGACTTACTGGGGGGTAGAGCGCACCGCCATTCGCACATGGACACGTCTGCGGTGACAACTTCGGATGTGCTCAGACGGGTGAGCACGGGCGCTGGTCCTTGGGAGACGGTGTACACGGAGCACTTGATGCACGGGAGGACATCATCAGGGGCGCGAGTGTAAAGAAAAGGCCAACAAGTATGGCGTGGCTCGTCTTGTGTATTTGGCTGGTTACCTCCCTCGTGGCTAGGGTGCGTGTTGGTTGTGAAGATATCTATAGTCCACCTCTCTATCCTTGTCTAGGCTTCAAGTCACCTATTTTACCAACACACTTTTTGTTCCTTACCAACATACTTTCTGTTTCTTATGAACACACCTCTTCTGTTTCTTAAAAACACACCCTCCGTTTTTTACAACACACTTTGGTGAGCCATCTAACAGCTTATCGGTCAGAATCAAGGCAAGCACGATTCAAGGGGGACGCAAAAGTGGCTCATCAAATTGGCATTTGTTGCTATTGATTGCTTTGGAGTTTCCACATAACATCGTCATGAGTCAAGCGTCTTCATCGTCACCTCCTTTACCAACTATAAATACTTTGGTCTTCACACTCGGAGAGGCGAAGCAAGAGCAATGTATAGCAAGGAGGGAGGGCGTAAAAGGAATAAGAAAAAAAAGGCGTTGAAATATATATACAACTACAAGAGTAGAAAACAAGTATCAATGCGATATGTTTTGTGCGCCCTTGGGAAAAGAAGAGAAGAAATAAAAACAAAATCCGTTTGGTCCAAATGTATCCGTTTTTTACCAACATGAAAAAAATCCGTAAACCGTGACATCAAAATATTGAAAAAAGAGTGAGCGACGACGATGGAGTGAGAAAAAGGTATGGGTATATCCCTAACGAGTGTGCAAGAAGTGAAGCAGATTTGTAAACGAAAGGTGAATCAAATAGCGAGGGTCGACTCGGTATTTGCGTTGGATGCATCTGTATGATTTTGATCGTCGCAGAGGTTGACTGAGAAAGGACATGCTTAGTTGGCAATGGCAGCGTAGACCTTGCCAATGGTGCTCAGGGCGGTGCTGGAGCTCATGAGCTGGTTCTGGGCAACCATGAAGTAGGAGTAGGCGTGGAGGTAGTCGAGAGACTCAAGCTTGGGCAGGACAGTGGTCATGAAGGAGGAGATCTGGTCGTCGCTGCCGAAAGGAGCAAACTCGGTGAGCCAGACAGGCTTGTTGTCGCAGGCTTCGGTAGCAGCCTTGAGGTGGTCAAAGAGGGTGTCAGCGTACTGGGCCTCGGAGTACCAGTGAACGGCGCAGAAGTCGAAATGGCAGTCCGAGTTGGCGTTGCAGGCCGAGACGAACGACTTGAGCCAGGCGACACCCTGACCAGCCTGGCCAGAGTTGGAGACAGCGGGAGAGCCAATCTGGGCGCGGCCCTTGTACTTGGAGAAATACTTGGCGTGAGCAGCAGCGGCGGCGCCAGCATCCATGTTGGCCTGGGAGGGCATATCGGGCTCATTGAAGCTCAGGAGAGCCTTGGCACCATTGGCAATAGCAGCCTCGGCATCAGCGTCCCAGTGGCTTGTGTGAACAGGCAGGTCGCCCCAGAGCATAGGAATGTACTGGACGGAGGAGTCAAGGCCGGGGGCACTGGAGCCCCAGTTGTAGGCCCATTTGCAGCCCTTTGCGGAGCATCCCTGCTTGAAAGCGTTGGCCATGGAAACATCGTTGTAGGCGATGCCCTGCTTGGAGGAGACAACGGCGCCGCTGGGGATGGAAGCCTGGGTAATAACAGGCTTGACAGCAGTGGACAGGGTGGTTTGGGCGGGAGGGGCAGCCGCAGGAGGCTGAGAAGGGACAACGGTGACGGCGGGAGGAGCGGCGGAAGGCTTGCTGTCCTGGACGAAAGCTTGGGCAGTCTGGGCGGGAGCGTCGTCGACGCCGGCGGTTACGTAGACGGTGGTGTAAACGGTGTGCCAGACGACGTTGTCACGCTTCTCAGCGGCGTGCTGGTGGCGGTGGAAGCTGAAGGCGTTGACCTGCTCGAGGAGCGAGGCAGCCAGAGGCAGGGCGACGGCAACCTTGGAGAACATGTTGACGGTTGGTGGTGGGGGTGGTGTAAGTCGACGAGTGAGAAGCTAGTCGGACACTGGAGGGCCTTCTTTTCGAGTTGCGGAAGGAAAGTGGTGAAACGTTTCGAGACGTGTTGCTTTTGAGATGATTTGCTTGTTTGATAACAAGGCAATGAAAACGATGCGAGTCGAAAGTGTTTCGGCGCGGCCGGTATAAGAAGGAGTGGTGATGAGAAGTGAGTCTATCAAAGACTGACTTGATGAATCAAAGGAAGGAAGTGCGAACAGCGAAAAGAGGCTGTAGGTGCAGAGTCGAAGCTAGCTTGACGACGTGAAAAAAAGGACGGACTGGAAAAAAAAGGATTGTGATGAGAAGAAGTGTGGGAGAAGGGAGGATTAAGAAGAAGAGGAGGAGGAGGAGGAGGAGGAGGAGAGGAGGGATAGAGTGAGGGAGAGCGTTGGGAGGAGACGCTAGGCGGAGGGCAACGGCGTGCCAGTGCGGCGGCCATTCATTGTCACCGCCCACCACAGCGGTGGGCGGCAGCTGGCAGCTGGCAGCAAACGCAGACTGTTTGGTACCTGAGCACGACGGCGGGGCCGGCGAGCGAGCGAGGTACACCTTGGCCCACTGGAGCGGTACGTACTACGCTCAAGCGGGGACGTTAATTCGGCGCCAAGGAGGCTCTGGAAGGCGGGTCGCGGGCTGTGGACGTACGAGCGTGCCTTTGGCGGTGCGGTTGCTGAGGGGCGAGCGAGTTCCATTCTCAATGGTTGCATGGTTGCATGTTCGGTTGGAAAGAAAAAAAAAGAAGATGGTGGGGAGGGGCGCGCCGCCAGGGGCGGAGGGGCTAGAAGCCATGCAGGGGATCCATCCAAGCGGGCGACGCCATCAGGTACCAAGAACGCTGGCAGCTGGTGGCAGCTGGCAATGGTGGCAATGGTAAGCAAGCTGCAGGCAAGCGCCAGATGTGTGCCTATGAACCCTGAGCGTGCCTGACGGATTTACAGCGGTCAACCGGTCAACTGATACAGGTACTTGGGAGGCTTCAGAGGGAGAGCACAGGGAATTCCTCCCTACAATCGCCGGTCAATAACACTGGTGAGCCCCGTATTATTAGTGGCCTTTTGCTGTCGTGGCCAGCAGCCCACCACTCGTTGGTGGGATTGGGTTGCGCGATGCAGTCACGCGATTGCTGTCTTGCCATTCTGCATTGAAATGAAGGACAGCTGCGTCGTATCCGTCTTGATCACATTTTCAGCCCGCCAATAACTACGTGTGTAATTTGTACAGAAGCTGTTCAGTTCAGCCCGACACTCTGCCGTGCTCGCCAAAATGGTCCTCGTCAGTTTTCGTCGGCCGTCGCACGCATATTGAACTCAGTACAGACGACGCCCCAAGCTTTGACAAGTCAGAATCGTCAGAATCCCTGCACCATCTAAATGCCCGACCACGTAATCGCGGCGCATTGTGTAAATCACTCGTGCGTACCTTTTTTATGCCGCGCCGCCGCCATCTATGGACACCAACGAACCATATCGTGCCGGTGCCACGTTCGAAACAAAAGACGGACAATCTCTGCCCACAATTATATGGGCTACATACATGGTTCTACAAAAATCCCGCGCCCTGACGAACCCGTTTGGTATTTTCATCGCAAGGTGAGGGGATCAGGAAAAACCAAGGCTGCCACACACCTGCAAAGCATTGCGACCTCCCTAATGCGGCGCAGCAAACGTTATAACGTTAGGCTGCCCTGAGCTTTTCTATTTTGGATGTTTTTTTTTTGGCTATTTCCAAATCATTTCATAGTTACATTTCTTTCTTGCATACCTCGCACGACGCTTGGCCACTGGCATTCAACCCAGCCACCGACGACGAACTTGGGTCGCACACTGGCCACAACTCTCCACAGACCGGGCTCCAGACCACACGGGCCAAGAAAGACAGAGAAATGCAGAAATCGTTGCCCTGTCACGTCTCGAGTAACAGTTAAGACGCTAATAAAAAAAAATTGTGATTTTCTTTTTTCCTCCGGCCGCGCGATTTAATATTTTTCTCGCAGATAATCTGGTTGTGCCTAATTGCAGTTTGAAGCGAAACGCTGGACCAACGGGCCAATCAGAAGCTAGTGGATCGCATCTGCTAAACCAGGGGAAGGGCAAACGTGGCCCCCGACAGATCCAGCCAATCATTGCCTGCCACAGCTGGCCCGACGAAAGTGATGAAACAGCAGGGGGCTGCCGCACCAGCAACAAACACGCACGGGAAGCAGGGGATAATAAGCGAAGAAGAAAAAATAGTTACATAGACGTGGTTACGTACGCCAGGGAAGGATGAACCATTGTTTCTTGTTACGCGCTCGTTCTTTTTTCTTCCTTTTCTGCCTACTCCCCTGCCATCTTGAAAGAATCATCCGTCCTGATCCCCCACTAGGGCGCTTACTCTGACAGGTACTGTAGCAGCCAGGCCACCCACTACAAAAATCGCGCGATCCACTCCCGATAAACAATAACTGACTGGCATGAAGTCGAGAATAGTCGGAGCAAATAGCGTGTTTGTACTCGATAAAATTCACACAGTTTTCTTTTGTTCTATGAAAATTTAGAAACAGAAACAGGGCTCTAACTAATAATGATCCTTCATATCCGCATTTATCCTTTCTTTGTTTACCAGCAAACGGCCACACCAGCCAGCCAATCCTGCATCGGCACGCTTTCCACAATCAGCAGCTTGCTTCTGGAATCCTCCCAAGCCTCGCACTTTCAGCCAAATTATTTCGCACCTGCATACGGATGCTGACCACTCCTTCGAGCGCCACACAGAATGGACACGTTTCTTCTACATTCGGTCTGGCCTCTAGTTTTCGGGCTTCCTCGGCTGGGGCCTTTTTCGGTCCCTGTTCGGCGGAGAATACACTCGACGAGAAAACCGCTTGCCCGATGACAAGGAAGCCAAGGCCGTGTTCTCGACTCTGCCGATCTGCAAGCATTGAAAACACCCTCGAGGTCTGGCTGAAAGAACACTCAATAGGTATTTGCCGGGAGCCGCCCACGACAAAGCTTACGTACCCATCGTTTTGGCTGATGAAAACCTGGGGACGTGCATCGCATCTCATGCGCCGCCGCATCCTGTCAGACGTAGCCTCTCGATCCTCTCACCCATTAACGTTAGCTAAGTAGGTACTCTGTAGTTACGCATGTAGTTATGCCTTCTTTCCGCTACAGGCAGGTTGCAGCATGGCTGACCCCAAACCCTTTTTCCGCGCAAACCTTACTTCGTATGACACCAAGCGGAGTCGCGCCCGTTGTCTCAGCGAATCGTTATCCGAGACCAATGTACAAATTAGTAGTTAGCCGAAACTCTGCGGGATACAGTTGGTCGTTTCTGCTTACTACAACTTTACCAGACCACGTACGTAAGTGTCGTGGTTTAGTTACTTTCTCGGCCGGATGGTTCAAGTCACGCCGTTCAGATCTGCCCATGGGGAAACAAACGCAAAGTTAGCCTCCGTTGATCCTTTGACATTCGTGGCTTCGCCCAATTGCACTGATACTTTGTGCACATTGACTCGTTTTGTTCCGTTGACGGTACGACGAAGCGAGCGTGCGGCGTCCAAGCCACACCACCACAAGGTCCGCATTCCTCGGTCGGGTCCATGTCAGGATGATTGTTTATTGACAGGTTGACACTTTGCCCTACATTCCGAAACCAATCGTTTCCCAGCCTCCCCCGCCTCAAATCCTTCAGTGGTTGCATCCTCCCGCTCCGCTGACCTGCGTCTTGACCGCACATCCGGACACATGTGAGCTTTGCATCCCGACTTTTGTCAACTAGTGAGGCTCTTGGGGTCAACTTGGCGTTGGCGCCGGTCGCTTCTCCTCAGGCTAAGCCGCTCCAGGAGTTCGGCCTGAGGGACCGAGGGACCGGGAGAACCGGTGTCTAGTTTCAACTGCCACTTCCATCCTAGCGACCGAGCGAGAGCCCTCCTTCTCCAACAACCTTTGACACCAGTTCTTCATGGCGTTCCTAGTCTGGTGCGCCAGTGAAACCCGAATGGGCGATTGTCGGTGTGCTTCTGTCCGTTCACCTACCGATCGCACATGGCCTCTCTGTGTCTGTTCCTCGGCGTGGCTTTTTTATTTTTGACAGCGCATTACGTGTCACCGAGGCTTCACTGCTTGGGATGAACGGGCTCAGAATGCTCGGATAGTCTGGCTCTCCCACTTCCTTCCACCTCGACGGGCTCAGTTTCTCAAGAGTCAATCAGGCTTCTCTTCAATTAGTTACAATTGACATTCTTACGGAGTATCAATTCATCAATTGAAACGATCCGATTATCCGATTCAAGACCCCACAGATTACCCTCTGCCCCTGCGACTCGAAACAAGCCATCGACCGCCTGGCCCCCTTGTTAAATTACAAAATGAACAACAGAGCCGATTTTGCCACGCTAGTCTCCCCTTTTTGCTCGCCGTCTCATCCCATCCGCCCTCAAGCGAAATTGCACCCGCGCCGTCCTGCGTTCTGATTGCTCTAATGGCCATTCATGCCCTGTCTCGCGTCGTCCTCATCGTCGCCTCTCTTGACGGGACGAAAATAATCCCAGTCTTCCCGTGGCAGTCGTGTGCCGATTAATTGCCCGTCGATTCGCTAACTAAGCCAGTCAATCCCGGCCAACGACGCTGTCACCCTTGCTGGTTTTGCTGTTAGCGCCCGACCTTGCCGAGTGGTTGTTGGCTGGTTTCAACCCCCTGGGACCTGTTACGGGTTGTCGGCATAAAGCTGCACGCTCGGTTCCAGGGCTGGTTGGAGAATCTCAGCTTCTTGCGCCCTTCATTTCCAAGGCGCAGCAGAAGAACATTCGTCTGTCTCTACCACATCTCCTGCTTGGCGCTGTGGCAGCATGCCAGATGACGGCACCATCGCGCGCTTGCCCTTTTTGCTGCTCCAGCAACGCGGCATTGTCATCTGATCTGGAATGATTCGGCCGGCCCAGGCCGTTGTATTTATTTTCATCTCGTACTGAGTTGATCACTTGTAGACCATTCTCCATCGCGCAAAGCAACGCGCTGACCTGGACTACGCGACGCGACGTTGGACTTCCTTTCACCTCCCCAATTACTGGTGTACTCGGAGTTTTCTAACTACCAGCAATCCTTCTTGGCTGAAACTTGAGACCGCGCGCAATTTCATCGTTGCTCTCCTAATAAAGTTTCAAATATATTTCGCTTTGTACAAATTACAAGGGGAATGTTGCCACGCCACAACACAAACTGGCCATCCAAAATCCCACCTCTCTTTCTAATTCCTGATGGTAATTAATCACCGCGTCGTGCTTTGACCGTACGGAGTACCGGTGACGATCCTGGGGGGATTTCTTTTACCCCGTATTGTCATTGTTTCATGTGTATTGTGTTCTGCGCATGCACTGCAAAGTGCCTGTCGTGAAACATGCTGTTCGTGCCCTCGAACTTGGCCCTCCTGCATCTTCACGTCACAACAGGAACACGGACAGCACATCACAGAGTGGAAACTCCTGCAGATTACCTTTGGCCATTTATGTAACCCGTCAAATTGCCTGTCGATGGTCTATGGTGTGAAAACTATGCTCATGGTATCCTCGCAGATGTTTGAGAATCAACGCTCGCAACGAGCACTATGACAATCATGACCACAGCCATTACTAATGTTTCCTGAATACTTAAAACGCAGAGCTAGTTGGATTTTTTGACTACTTTTTGCTATTATTTTGTCGGCAGTCCCCCACAAACTGTTCAATGGCTGACGACAAGGTGAGCTGGCTGCGAGACACCACTTACCCTACACCATTCATTGTAGGAAGAAGACGGCGACTCGCACAACTCCAAACGCCCACCGTAGCCCAACCGATAACTTGTTCTTTGTGGGAGTACCATGGGTCTCCTTCGCGGGGCTTGTAGAGGGGCGCGTAAATTGCGTGTCGACGTGATGCTGGCGTGTACTACCCAATGTCTGAATACCGTGCACTCGCACAATTACGTCAGTCCCAAACATGATCGACACAATTATTGCCATACAAGAGGGCGTCAAGGCAGGAAATTCGTATTCAAGCAAATCAAGCACAAGTGTTGTCAAAGTTCGTAGTATCCCGGACGTCCAAGTGTAACAACTCGGCCGGCCTCGACCAAGTGCGCTGACGCAGGGGGAGATCAAAGGTGAATGAGGCGGTAAAAACAACTCAACTTGTCTCGGGTCCTGAGTGTTACGTGTAAAACTGCAGGCGGACTTCTAGTCACCCAGTGGTGCCCATTCTTCAAAGAGAGCGAAATCTTCAACGAGAGTGAAAGGGCGAACTTGTCTTACGCGTGTAAATGTGTTGCTCGAACGATATACTTTTATTGCAAAGCTCTTGATCGAAATTCTCTAGCCAGTATTGTAATCAGTACAATTGCAGTTGGCCTTGATACATGTAGAAAAGCCGCAATTCTGCAAACTCATCTACGAGGTTCTAACTACCAGTATTGCCAACATCTCGTGGGAAATGTACTCAAGTCCCGCTATTGGTCCCTCGATTCGGATTCCGGGACAGAGTCTTCTTTTTGGCCTATTTGGTACTTCCCGACAATAAATCCCTCGAGAAGCTCCTTTTGAAATTGCGGGACTGCAGCGAGTACATTGTCGAGGGCTTTACGGTGGTAGCCATGCGCGGTCAGCCATGGGCCGAAGCTGGCGACGATTGCGGCGATGCACTCCCGCCGAAGTATGTTTCCAGACGCATTCTCTAGCTCATACACACGCGGTATGACTTCTATGATTGCAACGAAGCAGTATCCGCACTCTGGCCGGGATATCAGGGCACGAAACTCGCCGACTACTTGCTCGACGAGCTGATGTATGTGATATGTTTCTGCGAGGGCGACGAGTTTGATGTGCGCTGTCAAGACGGTGACGTATGCGTTTTTCATGCGCGTATAGCCGGGGTCGTCGATTACTCGGGTTTCGCAGGTTGCAATGGAGGTGTCGTGCAGAGAGCCAAGAACTTGGAGAGAGAAGGCGTGTTTGCCAGTGTACAGATATTGAACCATGAGCCTGACTGTCTGGGGGTCGGTGTCGGGAATCTGAAGGGAGTTTGAATTCGCTGCCTAGCCAAACCCCCATCAGTGGCAATTCAAGTCGTGACTCAATTGTAGAGCATGCGTACTTGTGGCTTCCTCCCAAGGCACGCGGCGGCGAAGACGGGTGACTGAGAGCAGACGACAGCCCTGTGGACGGGTATTCTCAGCTCCCCGCAGATAAACTCGAAGTCGCAAAATTGACCTGTCCCGAGAGATCTGAATTTGATCCATGAGTATGCATAGATTGATAAAAAACGATGAAAATGGAGCTGACCGAAGGATGCCAGCGGCAGCTTGGCTGGAGAGGCCGTCGACGGCGAGCGGTAGCTCTACCATGATGTGATCACAAGGAAGAAGCGAAGCGACGAGATTATGGAGAGAATAATGGATGAATTGTGGCCAAGAGAAAAGAAAGAGCTAATTGGAATAGTTTGGATATTTATGGCCGATTGCTGGAATAGAGCGCTTCTGAATTGCTGCTGTGATGGTGCTCACATTGTGTAGGCTTCATGGACTGGGCTGTGGAGGAGTTTGCTCCAAGCATGACTGTGAAGCTCAAGATTGTGCTTGTAAAGGTATAGAGTGATGGGAATTAATTCAATTAAATGCGGGAAAACGTGTTGATTCACTATTTGATCTCGTCCCTAAACGCAGCCACACTCGATCGCAACCCAGACCCAATTGTTGCCTTCTCTAGGCACACTCGATCGCAATTCAGATCTCCTTGCTACTTTCACAGATATTCTTTATATATGACATCGGGTGCTTTGAGACCGTGGGCATCGATGACGACGCATGAATCGAGAACCCCCTTTGCAAAGGCTGGGGTCTGTGCAAACGCATCCTCCAGCAGCTTCCGTCCGTTTCCGCCGGTGGCAAATTTGGGACCAAAGCAGCGCCGGGTGGCTTTGACAATAACGTCCTGTAACAGGACACCTGTCTCGCCGCTAATCGAGTACACGAACGGGATATGGTCCAGAAAATTGAGCAAGTCTCCTTTCAATCGAAGCTCCATTTCGATGTAGTTGACAGCTTTGCTGGCAAGTGCGGATATCTTCAGCTGCAATGCCAGAGAAACAACTTGGCAATGAGCAGATAGAGTGAGACTACTGATCTCGTCGTAGTCGCTGAACCCTACATATATTGGACTTCGTCCCAAGGTGTACTCTCCGGTGTACAGATATTCAACCACGCGCTCGGTTGTTTCGCCGTCGAAATTGATGGTATAGGGGCTCTAGTAGACGTCATGTTAGTCGCAGTATCGGACTGACATCAGAAGCATCGTGTACTTGAGCGGCTGCGAGAACGGATGACTGTGGGCACACCACAACCTTGTGAACCGATATGGTTTTCTCGCCAGGAATAATGAGCTCGAGATCGCAGTACTCCTTTGCTGTGCGGTCGCTAGACAGGAAGTAGGAAGGCTTAGTAGGAGGAGAAAAACTGGGAGGTGAGAGGATGGACTGACTGTAGTATGGTGGACGCCGCGGCCTTGGACAGCGTGGGTGATGTTGCCATGGTCGAGCGAGTTTGGTTGAGAGAAGAAAATGGAAGACTACTTTCGATCTCAACGAGCATATATATAAGTTTACAAGCGTTTGCACGTTGTTTGCTGCCCTGCCAGCACGACATGGCATTCACTCAAACACACCCTCTCAGTGGCATTCACTTGCACTTTACACCTGCGTTCAGGTCCGGCCTGGGCCCAAACGGACAAAGGTAGTCATATTGAAGTAACTAGTTCTATCCGTCAGTCAATGGAAGTGCTTTCTCTTTTGATTGACAGGCTTGTGGCCCGTCTGATAAATTCGCGTGCTTCACTTGTCACGGATGGCGGCCCGCGTTCCGTCAAGTGCCGTGCAAGGGATGGCCAGCTAGCGCTAGTAGCTGAAGTGAACCTGGCTGACCGTTCTTCGTTGAGTTACTTACTGGACATACCTAGGTAGTTACTTATTTAATCTGGGCCAATGCAGGGTGCAATTGCTGCTGCCTGGAACGACGGGTCCGACAGAACGAGACTACAAACGAACGTTCTTTGTCATTGGGCAAACGTATGGTATGGTTTGGCTCGGAAGCCTATTCTTTATCAGGAGTTGTCCTGTATGACAGCCCTCTTCCGCCACACGGTGACTCCATCGCCAACACGGCTGTGCATGTCACCTGCCAGTCAGAGGCAGATGCGGGAAATATACTGGGTACTGTACAGAGCACTTCCGCTACAAATCTGCGAGTAGGTAGTTATCGAGTCCAGAGCTCTCACTGCCTCCTTGCCAACGAGTCGGGCGAACACAGAGCATGGCGGACAAGTTCAGCCGCACTCCTCGTGGTGGGGATTGGCCCTGTCTCTTACCATTCACGGCTGCGTCATGGATCATCTGTCACCGAAGCTTCTCACTAGCGGGGCGAAACGGTAACTGTGACTGGGTGCCCAGCCTTGATCAAGCATAACGTCCGCAGTTCATCTCCTAGGGTCCATCCTCATGCGGATATCGAGACCGCCCTGCTGGGCTGGCCTACCGTGCAACGGCTGTCGCGACGAGTCGCCCGGCGCCGACACACGTGATGATCTGAGACGCCGTCTTTTGAAGGAGCCCCTACGAAATGCCTCGCCGACTTGTGCCCATCACCATTCACGACCTAAATTATCAGAGCTACCATCTTCATGGTCGGCATCGATCCGCGCCCGCCGCCCGCTATCCCGAGTGAAACGACCAAGCTTCGACAGCCCCCGCAACGCCCCCTCTAGATTCAAAGCTTCCATTCCTCGGTCCCAACAAGCGACTCATCGTAAAAAAAGTCATTCAGTTCGGCAGGTTTAACTCGCAAGCTGACACCATAAAATATTTCGAAGATACCAAGAGAGAATACTTACGCCGCCCCATTCTGTTCACCATGGACATGAACGGCTACTCGGCCGATATGCTACCGTACCCGGATCCGAGCGAGTTCGACTACGGCTCGTTCTTGGGCGGCGACGGCGCGATGCAGTTTCAGGACCCGACCCTGCCGAACAACCAGGTGGCGCTGGCTCAGTCGCCGGGCCAGGTCACGCCGCCCACCTCAGAGAGCCGGAGCCCGCCCGGGAGCGAGGTGGCTCGGCGCGCAGGCGCTGCGCGGCTGCGGCTGGAGAGGAGAGGCCACACCAAGAGCCGGCGCGGCTGCTACAACTGCAAGAGGCGGCGAATCAAGGTGAGCGGGCGATGCTGGTCCACGTTTGAATTGGTGTGTCTGACTAGGGTGAAAAGTGTCAAGAAACGCACCCGGCATGCGGGCATTGCGTCAAGACAGGGCTCAAGTGCGAGTACCCCGCGGCGCCGCAAATCATTCACCAGGTGAGATGCCACGACAATGGCAGATGGACGCATCATGGACTAACGAACGACTTGTATAGCCGCACCACCAGATCCCTCTATTCAGCCTGCAGGACATGCGCTTCTTCCAGCACTTCCTGACGCAGTGCTACCCGCACCACCCGCTGAAGCAGGAGGAGGTCTGGACGCACGACATTCCCTGCATCGCGCACAACCACGAGTTCCTGATGCACGCCATCCTCGGCTTCGCGGCGTCGGAGCTCATGCACCAGGACGCGAGCCTGGTGACGGCGGCGATGAACCACCGCATCAAGGCCATCAAGGCCATCAAGAAGCGGCTGGCCGAGTCGGCCCGGACCGAGACCAACTACGAGGAGGCCAACGCGCTGGTGGCGACGTGCTTTGCGCTCACGTTCCAGTCCGTCAGCCTCGCCGACGGCCTGGCCGAGTACATGACGTTTATCCGGGGCATCGTCATTGTGGGGATGCAGATGAGCTTCCGCAACATTGCGCCCGTCTTCACGACGCTCTTTGACAACGACCCCAACGAGCACCTGGCCGCGCAGATGGAGGACCTGCCGCTCATCTCCCGCGCGTGGGTGGACGCGGCCGTGGCCGCGCTCGAGGGGCTCGC